AATATCTCAAGCACCGCAAATGTAGTTTTGAACAAGGCAGAAGTGCTGAATGAATTGCTCCTGATTCCACATCTGGGTCTACTGCCGGATTTACGTATAAGCTAAACAAGCTATAGCTTAGGGCCCCACTCTCTTGGGGCCCCCCCCAAAAAAATAAAGGAAAAAAAACAACCTGGATGTACATTTCCAAAGTATAAGATAAAAAAACAAATAAAATAAAACCTACGTACAGCAAGTGTTTTGTGTTGTGTAGGTTCCTATTTGTTATGTGCAAATGGCTTTAGATACCTATTAGGTCCATAAATTACCATATAGCATATATTCAACAACAAAAAAGTGACAATTTGTTGTTGACAAAGGACAGCTGGACATATAAAGGGCCTCATTACCTTCAGTAGCTTAGGGCCTCATCAAACCTAAATCCAGCCCTGTCTGGCTCTCACAAGGTTTTGGTATTTGGGGAATGAGGCGTGCAAGAATTGCATCTCTTCACAAAAGTAATATGGGCCTCTATTTGATGAACTTTCTTGACCTGAATACAGTCATTTTGTGCAATGCCAAGAAGAAACACCAGTGGTTTCAGTGACTAAAGTCTAATTATTGCCAGAATATTGGGAGGTTGATGACGATGAGAGCCAGTTCTCCACTATCCTGAGTGGAGCGGGAACCACTTAGGCTGAAACCAAGCAAACTCATTACAATACATAATTTTTTAAACTATGAAGTATTGTAAGGCGTCTCCTTGGTTTCAACATATTTGTTGATAATCATAGGGTTCCTGCTCCACTCAAAATAGTAGACACTGACTCACCTATAGCTTAAATAGAAACAGAAATAGAATATTTCAGGCTGAGAAATTTTGGTAGCATCCGTCTATCTCAAGAGAAAATGGAGTGTGCTTCTGGGGGTAAAGTCCAACCACTGTGGTAGCAGCACTGAAGTGACCTCCTTGGGGCATGAGCCTGGGCAGTGTGTATGGAGGTCCTGGGCTGCCCACCCCAGCCTCACTGACATACATTGGCTAAGAACTTAATTCGTTCTGGAGGTCTGTTCTTAACCTGAAACTGTTCTTAACCTGAAGCACCACTTTAGCTAATGGGGCCTCCTGCTGCTGCTGTGCCGCTGGAGCACAATTTCTGTTCTCATCCTGAAGCACAGTTCTTAACCCAAGGTAATATTTCTGGGTTAGCAGAGTCTGTAACCTGAAGCGTATGTAACCTGAAGCGTATGTAACCCGAGGTACAACTGTAGTTCAAAGGAAAGCAGAGCAATATATTTGGCACCAGCTTGGCTGCATGAGTTGCCAGAAGGAGGTATACCAGGCATACAAGACTCCATCCAACCATCTTAGGGACCCCACTCCAGATTTATGTAGGATGTCCCACAAGGCAGCAGAGGTGTAGGATCAGAGTTATCCTTCTCCTAGATGGGCTTCTTTCCCAGGTTGACAAGCTCCATCTGCCCCTCACTTCCCTCTACAGCTTGTACAGAAACCACCTTCTTGACTCTAGGGTTGCCTTATTTCAAAAAGTGAAAATCCAGACATTTTGGCCAAGTTTTTTGAGCTTTTTTTCTACACTTCTGACATTTAAGCAATTTCCGCCCGGACACTGTTTTCAACGGCCAAATCGTGGCTATGTCTGGGAAATTCTGGACATATGGCAACCCTATGTTAGACCCATTATTGGTCTCATCTGCACCATCTGCCAGAGCCTGTCTTTGCATGTAGGGGAAGTCCCTAACTGTTTGAGACTTATCCGCTACCCTCACCTGGTTTAGCTGGCCAGTTGAAACTTTTCCCAGGGTGTGGCTGCTGTTGCATGCTGATGGCTTCTAGGAGGCACAGCAGAGAGCTGAGTGCAGGGTGTGATGAAAAAGTTGGTTTTGCTGGACTGGTTGGATCAAAAAGTGAAATATACTCAGAGTCGCAAAGTGATTTCATGCTCTTTATTCAGCTCATAGTGGTGAGGAGGAATGAATGAAAGTCCCCTCACGTATCTGCTTTATATACATTATTTACACAATGGGCTGCACATGATTGGCTAATTCCGGAATTCTACTGTAAGTCAATCAGGTTGTGGATTCACTTCTATCTGGAGCATGATTGGGTGGTTCCTGCCAACCAATCAGACTGCTGCATTGTTCTAGGATCAATCAGACTGCTGCATTCTGAATCCTATTGTTCTAGGACCAATCAGACTGCTGCAGTTTGGATCCTATTCAACTCAGGACATAACAAAAAGTGTTTCTTTTGTTTTGTTTTTCCCTGCCAGCAAATGGTTAATGAACAGCAGCCTCCGACTGGCCATTGTTCCAGGAGGGAGAGTTTAAAAGGAGAAGATTTGAGAGATGGTTAGGTAGAGTAAGGTTGGGTGAGTGGGTTGGAATAGAGGTTTGAGAGGTTGGGAGATAGGTAGGGAGACAGGTTGAGGTAGAAAGAGTGAATTTGAGAGTTCGTTCTGGGGGAAAACAACTTCCACTCTTAATGTTTTGTGAAGGACGGAGTGTGGTGTCCTGTAGGAGGAATAGACCGGAATTTTACTAGGAGGCAGAGGTTGAGCCAGGAGAAGTAGGAGCTGGAAAGGAACAGCCTACTTGGGACTCAAATCTAGTCTGGAGGGGAGATTCTTCTAAGGAAAAGAAGAAACTCCCAAACCCAGTGAAGGGAAGGGGGTGTGGAGAGCCCTTGGGTCTATTGCTTAAGGTACCTCAGGAGCAGGATTGTTCAAGGGGGAGGATAACTGAAAGAATCACTGTATAAAGGAACCAAATCTATAACGCAAAAACAGCTGAGGACGAATTAAAGTGTAATTATACTGTATGCCTGAAGCAGCCCAAGTTTAATCCATTTTTGTTACATGCTATCTTGCCTTAAATAAATCTTTGTTTATTTAAAGAAAACTTGTCTGAGACTCCAACTTACTAAATATCCCCTCACAAAGGTCCCCCATAGGATACTCTGGGTTAGAATTTTAAGAGGAAAGGAAACCTTCAAGTAAAGGGTTGTTCAGTGAGGTGAGGGCAAATTCTCTAAGTGAGAGAGGGCCCAACGGCGTGAGAGGAAAAAGTGCCATCGCGCTCGTCACATATGGTGGAGACCAAAGGTAGACAAACTACACAAGAAGGAGCATAACAGGTCCCCCAGCAGAGGTACTACTCAGTTTAGTCATGATCCATAAACTTGTCTGCGGACAAACACCAGCTCCCTCAGCCTGAAAGGGGAGATGAGCACAGCACCCCATTGCCAAATTTGACTGGACTTAACCATCTAGGGGTCCTTTATCTTTACCTTACCTCTCCTAACACCCCATATATAACAAATCTAGAAAAGAATATTCCATAATTCCTTAAATTCTTATTATTGAGCCTGGTGTCTAACTAAAGAAACCATGTACAATATTGAGGAGAGTCTTCTAAATGAGGCACAATAATCAAAATAGGTAGCAGTAGTAGTCAGAGACAAGTGATGGCACCTAATATGATTAGCCCACAAACTATGTTTGTGAAATAGACACATTAGCCGTATTCTGGATCCCAGCCATACTTACACTGCAAAGCTAAGGGCAAAGCAACTGCAGATCCTGAAAAGTAATCAATAAAACCTGTACAAAAATAGCAACTGCTCTATTTTGCAATCCCCTGGGAGTCAACATGTATGAAGAAGGCTTTGTCGTCTGGCAGGTTTGCAGGGTGTGGGTTTCCTCTCATAGAATTCCCAGATTAGCAGGGGCCTTGGGCTGCCAGAACTATTCCGGCTCAATTCTCACAGCCTGTGGTTAAAAATGCCAAGGGCTAGCCTACAGTTCACCTCTTACAAGAGGCTGAAGGTATAAAGAGAGAAGCAAGATCCATTTCCTAGTCTAAATCCACACTCTGAAACAGAGGCAGGAACAAAGGTTTTCAGGTTTTAGAACTAGGAAAGATCTCTTTCTGTGACTCTGGAGGGTGCTGCCAATCAAGAGTTGAATAATAGAAAGCCCCTCCAGACTAGTGTTTTATTGTTTTTTCTGCAATCTGTTCTTGACTCAATAATAGTGCATTTATGGTGAATTTGTTCTTAGTTTGTTCCATGTTGCATCTCTAATGCTGCCACATTATTGCTGTCTGGAGGGGCTATCGTGAAACAAAAATGGGAAAAAGATAAACCAGAACATTTGTGGTATATATAATTACGGGATTTTACCAGGAAGTTATGGGATATGCGTGTGACCATCCAACATTTTTGCACACACAAACAGTATTGAATTCGGGATTGTGCATGACCACCTTGATATCCTCATGAGCAGGAATCATCATGAATGCATAATGAAAAGGTCTGGAGGGACCCAGAGTACATTGAAGTATAAGACCTCAACTGCCTGACCCAAAAAGTTAAAATACTAGAAATGATGGAATAAGTGGAGCTGAAAAGAATTTGCCCTTTCCCTAACGATCCTCAAAAGTTTTTCTCTGCACATGTGAGTGCCAAATATTTGGTAGATATTCAGCTTAGCATCAGTATTTTATATATTCCAATATTTGATCTTAATATTTGTTTCCAATCATTTATTTGAATGCTTTATGTTTGTCAGTATCTATCACTGATAGTCAACAACGGCTTATGGCATTTGATGTTTTACACCTCGAAGAAACAGTGAGCAAGAGAATGCATAGGTCTAAAAACTCATATTTTGCTGGATGTTGAGGTCAATATCTATGTTGAGTTCCCATACATAGTTCACCCTTCAGCTTGTCCTGTGCCTAGGAAGCACAGATCCAAGTGGTTTTCTGTTTGCCCCACTGATTTCCCTGGGAAAACCAGCTCCTTAACACTGTATCAGAGTAAACATCAGTCCGCGGACAACCCGATTGACATTTGTTTTGATTCAGCAGTTAGTATTGGGTTTTCCAAGGGGAAAGTGGCGAGACAAACAGAAGTCTGAATGAGCCTTCTGTGTTTCATGAAGCCTCAAGAGATGTCTTGCTTTGTCATGTGTGACATTAAAAGCACACAAAAAAGATATGAATTCACAGGAAAACTTTAATGAGCAGGTGGAAGAGCAGTTCATCAACCTGAAATATATACTATGAACACATCTGGTGGATTTGTAAGGGGAGCACAGGGGAAAGTGGGCAATAGCTATACAGAAAGAAAGAAAGAAAGAAAGAAAGAAAGAAAGAAAGAAAGAAATTTGAAACAGTCCTGGTGGGTTACAAATAACAATCCTTAGTAGACCATCTTCCTCCCAGCAAGCAAAGTGGAGAAGGGTGCAGTTGGCAGACTCAAAGTGACTCCGACAGTGTTTCCTCAGTGCACATTCTAACAAGGGTGGAAAGACAGAATAATGTTACAAAGGCATACCAATGATCACTCTGAAGTTCCATTGTCACTGATACCCTACATTTGAATCCTACTTTCTCCTTCAGAGTGGTGTTGTGAGCTCACAGTCATCCTGAAGAATATTTGAGAATACTTGTCAAAAGGAGACAGCTCTAAGTTTGAAAGGCCCCTTGGTAAAGGGCTCCTTGGTGGTCCCTTCCTCAGTCAGTGGTAGGTCTCCTTCAATGTTGGTGAGCTCTGGAAACAACAGCCATGGTGGATAGCAGTAGCAGCTTCAATCAGTGCTGCGCGGCTGGAAGCTGCCATTTTGATTTCCAAAATATACCCAACTGCTGTGGGGCATTGTGGGAAATGTAAATGGTGGCTCTCAATCCTAGCCACCTGGTGTTGATCAGAGCACCAGACAAAAAGATGGTGAGCATCAGTAGCTGGCCAGATGCCTGAGGATGCCATGTGCTAATGCCAGTCCATGTTCACCCAGACAGTTTTATAGCCTAGCAGCAATTTAAACTTGGGTTTTTTACACACAAGCCACTGCTCCACACTGGCCCTTTATCTTACCCTACCTCTTCTCCCTGCTAATGCAGACATGTAAGATGATGCTCCGTTAATTAATAGCCCAGAAAAAACTCAAGGAGCTCAGTCCATTGTCCTGATTGCTGATTGAAAGAAAACCCCAGTGAATTCAGCATCCATGAAGACCAAGGCATGAACCTTTCAGAGATTCAATTTACCATCTGCAAGTAAAGTTGTTGTCTACATTCACAGTTACAGTTGATGAGGTTGGGGTTGTGGACTTTCCCCCTCCCCAACAAAGGTTATTTGTCTGCAACAGCTGTGTTGCATGCAGAAATTCAACAGGTGCCATCCTTGCTGGCATGGCAATGATGTAGTGCTCAGAAGCTGCAACTGTTGAATTTCTGCCCATCATGTAGCAGTTAAAAGCTCAGAGCCTCTGTCAGGAGGGAAATGGAAGTGGTTCGCCTGTGAATACCATGATCCTGTCATTCTCACTAGAGAACTAGAAGAGAGGGGCCCTCTCTTTTGCTGTTTCAGCAAAAAAGACAATCCTATAGCACTTTAAAGAAAAAAAGTTAGGAATGTTGGAAAGTGCTATGAGCCTCCATTCCCTCCCAGACTATATTAGCATCTACAACACCTTAGGGTGCTCCAGACTTCCAGCATCATTTCTTCCTGGACCTCTGAGTGCCGTCTCACAGTCACCAACCGCTTCTCCATCTTCATTCTCAGGAAGCCTAGATTGCATTGGGGCAGGGAGAGACAGAGTTAGATTAGAAGCGTTGCTAGCATTGATGGAACCTAGTAAAATCTTGACTGTTCTCATTTTACCAGTTAGGCCTTAAGTAGAGAGAGCTGGGGAAATTCTACAAGCTACAGAATAGCCAATGGCAGTGACCCCAAACTTGATATCGCAACCATCCGTTGCTTTAAATGTCTCATAAAGACCTCTTCCTGCCTAGGTTTTCCTGGACCCTTAAGATTGGATCCTGTTTCTATTTGTAGAATCTCCAAAATTCCTGCATTTACACATTGTTTTATTGGGTTTGTGTTGTATTTTTGTTTTCATGATATTGTTTATTGTTTTTATGTTGTACACCACTCAGGGATTTTTTTAAAATATTAAGTTGTTTATAAATGCTCTTATTTAAATAAACAAATGTGACTGCCCTAAGGTCATAGCTTGGGTCAATGTCAGAATCTGAATAGCCATTCTCATTCCTTTCTCTAAAATCTGAATGCTATAAATAAAATAGCTTCTACAAAGTATACCAAGCAAAAGTCAGTCTCAGGGCTCCAACTATCACTGGCTTTATTTTAAAAACAACAAGAAGTTTAGAACAGATTAAACTTCATGTGCAGCTTTCAAATTAATTTACTGCACTGCTCTCTAAAGGACAACTGTTATACTATTATGAATTGCCCTCAAAAGGATGCAGCACAGTACCTTATCAGTAGGTACTTCAATGCTCATTAAAACAGAGATGTAATGAGAGTTCAAGGTAATCATCTGTTCATCACATCTGTAGCACTTCTAGAGGCCAATTAAAGGCAGATTAAAGTTTATCCGGGTGATCAGTGATCAGTTGTTGTTCCAGTTCTTAAATTTCTGTACCACTATTTACCCAATGATCACAGTGATCCAACCGTATTTTTTTAATTGCACAAAAGGTGGCCCCAAGTTTGTGAGAGGATCATCTGTTTGCTTTTTAACAGAAACAGAGCATTTGTGAATTCTACTGCTGGTGTAGATCAATGTTATACTTAAAAGGAAATAGTTTTTAAAGATTTACAAAATGGTAAGTCATTGCTATGGGTAAGAGGAGGGTGGTGATGCCTTTAATTTCAATACACGTGGGATAGTTTTAATTTATATTATTGGGGGGGGGGAGCTGAATTCCCACAGCAGAGCTTTTGAATAGGTCAACTGGATCCTCAGCAATAACTGTGCATATTCTGTGTAAGAAAATAAATTTAGGAAGGCCTGAGGATGTCCTATTAAGTCCTTCACTTTTTCTGCAGTTCTATAATATATCATGGATAGCCAGCCTTTGGCACCAGTGTTATAGGCAGCACAAATAAGAGAGGCTTAGGGCTATAGCATATTAATTATGAGCCCCCTGCTACACAGCCAACTGCTCCCTGTTCCCCAGCTCAGCAGACTCACACAAAGGCACAGGATGATGAATATGGAATGTGTACATACTAGGGTGGCACTCTCTAAGACTTTGGACTTCACCTATGGCATATTTGTCAAAAAGATTTGCCACCACCACGGTTGGTTTTTACTAAGATTTCTTTCACGTTCATAGACATTTACACTTATATATTCAACACCAACAAATTGCAGATTTAAAATGTACAATCGTATATATCTAATTATAATCCTTACAGCAGATTAAGAAAGAGAAAGTATTTTTAAATACTCCGTAAATTAAAGACTCTGTATCAGGGTGACTCACTATAAATTCTCCATTCCAAATTATTGCCCCTTAAACCAGGGTGTTTTCTTTTAATCCAAGTACTGTAATGCATTTTAATGCCTTTACAGCCACTATTGGATACAGTACACACTTTAGCCCAGTAAATTTGTTCTAAATTGGACAGTGACATCTAGTGGTCATATGTGGTACTATCCAAAGTTGTTCCCAGCACTCCACCTGACAATTCATTTTCATTTATCAACTCCAGTTGGCTTAGTGAAGAGCTGAAGAACCCTCTTTAGAATACAAATCTGGTGGTCCATCATTGTCCTAGCTGGAACCTCTGCTTAGGGGCCAGAGGCACCCCACAATGTTTTGTTGCTCATTCTCATTTGTTACATTCTACATTTCAACATCACATTGCACAAATTTTGGTATTTGGGGACCATCTACTCAATGTTTCAGAATTTGGGGGATGAAGAGCACCACAAAAAACTTACCCACAAGCACTGCAAACTGCAGAGGAATTTGATAGGGTGACATGAGGTCTGGGTGTTGCAATTCCATATACCATTAGATCATCTTCAGCAACTGGTTGTACTGGAATATCCTGAAGATGGTGCATATATATTTAAAAAAAAACATATTCAGAAGATGTGGCCAGATAAAATGGAATTTAGTTTTAATTATCCAATTATAGCAAGGTTTCTGAAATTGCATAAATACCTGTATTATATTATTTCACAAGTGGACCAAGAATGTAATTTTGATTTTGAAGAATTATGGATGTTTGAAATCTGATTCTATTGGGACTGCATGAGTGCAGTTCAATTTTATTGATGTTAGTCATGGACTGTTGCAAAAATGAAATGACCAAAAACTTACAAGATTAAAACAGAAAGAAACAAGCATCTGACAGAAAGACATGCCTGCATAAGAAGGAAATCCTTCTTGTGGGAAGAAGCTCCATCGAAATTGGTGAGAATTATTTCTGAATAAACATGCTTAGGACCGTTCTGCACATTTCTGTGGAAGACCACTGTGTTTAGTATGTATGTTTAGTAAGTATGTTTAGGATTGCAGCCTAACACAGCAACCCTATGCACCTATTACAATGGTACCTCAGGTTAAGAACTTAATTCGTTCTGGAGGTCCGTTCTTAACCTGAAACTGTTCTGAACCTGAGGTACCACTTTAGCTAATGGGGCCTCCCGCTGCCGCCACACGATTTCTGTTCTCATCCTGAAGCATAGTTCTTAACCTGAGGTACTATTTCTGGGTTAGCGGAGTCTGTAACCTGAAGCATCTGTAACCTGAAGCGTATGTAACCCGAGGTACCACTGTATGCTGAGGAAGAAGATGTGCCACTGCTCTGCCAGAAGAATGGCCACCAATATATCCTACATGTGTTCAACCCAGAAGGGGAGGGGGAAGTAAACAGCCGAAAAATATAAAACAGGATAAAAAGAGCAGACACACACCCTGTGTGGGTGCACTGGTGGGAGTACCAGATTGGCTCCACCAATGTGCTGGCATAACACAGCCCCCCCCCCCTTTCACCTTGCCCCTCCCACTTCCAGTAAGTTTCAACAACTTCACTACCAGAAGGCCAGGTTTGTGGTGGGAATCTGAGGTGAGAGACCCATGTACTGGAAGTTGTTCCCAGTTCCATTCGCCCCACAGGAGCATGTTAAAGTGCAAAAATAGTTTACTGCTGTAGAAGATTAGACTTCAGTAATACAGTCCTTGGTGGCAATACACTTGGTGGCGATACAGATACAGTGGTACCTCGGGTTACAGACGCTTCAGGTTACAGACTCCGCTAACCCAGAAATAGTACCTCGGGTTAAGAACTTTGCTTCGGGATGAGAACAGAAACCGCGCAGTGGCGACGCAACTGCAGCAGGAGGCCCCATTAGCTAAAGTGGTGCTTCAGGTTAAGAACAGTTTCAGGTTAAGAACAGACCTCCAGAACGAATTAAGTTCTTAACCCGAGGTACCACTGTACAGATACAGATACAGATACAGATACAGATACAGATACAGATACAGACAAGAACAAAGTATCTCTGTTGCTCCAGCTTTAAGACATAACACAGACTCCAACTCACAGAAAGGCTCACTCACTGACTAATGAGCTGAGGTGCCTTGCTCACTTATATAGACAGCACTGGGTCACAGCCATAACAACCAGCTTTGCTGACCTTGCATCTGCTTGCTTATCTCATACACAAGGTGATTTGTGCCCATGAGGGAAATTAACCCTTTCCTCCATGCCCAGTTCCTCTGAATAGACCTGGTTAGACTTGTGCTAAGTCTTGTGGGCTGTTATATGAAACTTCCCCTTTCCCTCTGACTGGAAAGCCAATGCGCCAAGCAACAGAATAGTTAAAATTACGACTAATTATGGTAACTGACTACTACTTACTGTAATTCTGCTGCAATACCCAGCTATTTAAGCACTCCCAATCATTAGGCACTAACGGTGTTGAGGGCAATGTATATGGTGCAAAAAGACGCTTATGAAGCCATTTCCCTGTGGCTGCAAAACATGTTACTAAAAATAGGCATGATTAAGCTCTTTGCACAAGCACTTGCTTATCTGTGTGGTAAGGATTGAAAGAGAAACATGTGCAAAAGCCATTGCTATAGCCGGAGCTACTTGCTGTTTTTATGGGCAGAGGCGTTGTGCTGGTACAGTGGTTAAGAAAACAGGCAGTTGGGAAATCCCACGTCTTCACCTCAGCTCTGAGGTGGCCTTAGGCATGCTACTGTCTTTCAGATCTTGCCCTCCACACCCACAATACGAGGGCAAAAAGGTTGCCCTACTTTTCAGCGTTATTGTAAGCTTACTGAGATAATGTATACAAAGCTATTTGAATGCTTAAAAGTGCTGTTTAGGTTTATTGTCATGTGATGCTGGCATGTAACAGCTGACTCACAGGCAGAAACTGACAGAATAGATATTCCAAGCATGGTGATGGTAGCAATGAGAAATAGTTTCCACTCTTGGTTTTTGCTTGCTTGGACTGAAACATGTCCAGGGCATTGTGGGAAAAGTAATATAAGGGATGTCACCAGTGGTGGACTTTGGGCTTTCAAATTTCAGTGCCGTGCAGTGCGACACCAAAATTTGGCACATGCACCTCATTGCCTCTCACCTTCTGTTCTAAGTCATTGTTGTGGTGCCCCCTCCAGTGCCCTCTCAGTTCAGTGCCCAGTGTGGGCAAACCGGTTGTGCTCCTAAACCCGCCACTGATGGCAACCAAATTGCAGTTACCAGAGCGCTGCTCTTGAGGGGGCCCAAGGAAGACAGACTTTAGCACGCAGCTACCCAAGGAAGTCAGATGCTGATGTTAGGTCTCTATCTTAGTTTTTAGGACACTCGGCTGCTGATATGTCAACAACAACAACAACTTTAAAACGAGTCTCCAGTGTGAAACTAGAATTTAAATTAATGCGGAGCTAATCAGCTTATTTGATTGTATTTGTTTAGGACTCAGTCTGAATCAAGGTCTCCTTTCCAATATGGGTGTTAAATTAGCACTGCTAAAATGAAGTCACTGAGATTACATCCATACATTTGAGCTCTGCATAGAAATGTCACATGCTGTACATCTCTTGCATTTCATGGTCTTTTATTCCACTGTTGATCGGTTGTCATCCCCCCACACCTGAGTATATATCTGCCAACAAATAATAGCACTTAATGCAGCTGATGAAGTGGGCTATAGCTGAAGGGCTATGACTGCTGGCCCTGAATTATTTTGCCATACCCTATTTCAAGGGTTTCTTAAGTATCTCTAAGACGTCTGCTGTTATAATTTAACATTTATTGAGCACCACAAGATCACAGGCATGACAACTGTCGCTATCTGGACACAGTTGTAATATCAACCACTTGTAATATCAAGACTCCTTGATATTTTCTATTTGCAAGTCAAGTATTGTTGCTTGCTATTTTGCTGATTATTGTCTTGATTGCTACTAGATCTACTGATTCCTACTGCTGTGTTGTTCCTTTTTCATTCTTAACATTTTCACTGGATGATAATAGCTATTGTGAGCTAGCTTGTGGGCTGATAGATGAAAAGGTGGGGTGTTATATTTAAACAAATAATAAAAATAAATAGGTGGCACTGGCAGCTAGCATAGATATTCTCAAATCCCACCTATCTTTTGATTTTTAAGCAAAGCAAATTTACATTGCATTCTAGAGGGGATTCTAGAGACCAGCTCACAATGTAATTTTGTTACCTTCACTCTTCTGAGGGAAATCACATATTTATCCTTGCTTACGATATAAAAATGCCACTTGCAGAGAGGGAGGGGGAAACCCCAATACAACTCCCTGTCGCATATTTACCCCTTTAGAAGCAGGAAGCCACCGGCGCTGCTTGTACATATTGAGGAGTCTGTTCCATGGAGAGAGGTCTGCTTTTGGAGGTTCCCCTTCTTGTACATCTTCTGTTTAAAAGAAAAGCCATGTCACCAACTCATGAAGTCTCTCCATACAACCAGGGTGGGTTGTAATGCCCTCTAAATCCAGCAGCAATTCAGCCACAGAGCTTGAGGCTGCACAGGCACCAGCTAAGGAGTCGGGTCAAGAAGCAGGGCTCTGAACTGGCTGCTGCAGATCAGGAGACCACTATGCTTGAGGCTGTGAGACAGGAGTCTCCAGAAGAATCTCTTAGTCTACTAAAGCCTGTAGGGTCAGGGCCCAAATCCTCACAGCCAACTTCCCGTGAGTCTGAGAAAATGAATGCCTCCCATAGTACCTCTCCAGATCAGTGGTGTAAGATAAAATACATTACACTGGGGTGGAGGGGGGTTGTTGTGGGGGATTCTTACTGCTGTTGAAGTTAATTTTTTGTATCTTTATTTTGGATCTTTATTATTACTTTTGTTATACTTGTAGTTATTTAACTTTTGATATGTTGTAAGCCACCCTGGGCACTGTTTTAACTTAGGAAAGGCGGCATACATATGGAATGGTTGATTGAATTTCCCCACAAGTGAGGAGTGCCTGAAGGAGGTAGCCTGGAGACATAAAACCAGGCATAGGCAAACTCGGCCCTCTGGATGTTTTGGGACTACAATTCCCATCATCCCTGACCACTAGTCCTGTCAGCTAGGTATCATGGGAATTGTAGTTCCAAACATCTGGAGGGCCGAGTTTGCCTATGCCTGCATAAAAGGCTTCAGCCTGCTCTCAACCTTTGTCAGTGAAATCTTCTCACTCAGAGCTATCTGGACACCTGCAATGTTTGACCCACTTAGTCACCTTGCTGCTTTCACTGTGGGATCTGGCACTGGACCAGCATCTACTGGTGTGAATACAGCCTCTGCGCAATATAATTCAATGGAATCACCTAATAAGAACTGCAGCTGTAGTTCTTACCCATCTTTAATGGGCCATCTGACATAATACTGGGTGTTCCTGATTGTAAGGTTTGCCTCCTGCTTGCTTGAAATACATGTCTCAAACCTCAGACATCTGGTATTGAATAGTATGAAAACAATCAAGTCATGACAGCTTGGGGGGGGGTAAAGGTACTGTTGGACAGCAGCTGCCATATGGGTGAGTGGGAATCTTCTTCCAGCCCTCACCTTTCAGTAGATGCTCTCTTTCCTCTTCAGCGCTACAGCCTTTAACATCAGTCATGGAGCCAGCAGACATGGCAACTCCATCATCTGCACATAGGACCTGGGGAAATTCATCCCTAAAGTCAAACACACAATTATTGCATAGAAGAAGGGGACATCCACATCGGTGCTTCATTCATCACTTTTTTCCTTCCCACCCTAATATCTACACCCAAACGCCACATCTTTATCAGCAATGATAACTGCTACATTGCCACAGACAGGTGGATTTACTGTAGTGAATAAAAGCAATGATGTTGATGGGGATTAAAATTTTAAGAGAGAATTTCCTGGGATGAGGCCTGTCTCTAAGTCAAGCCCTTTAGTTGACTGCATGAACAAAGCCTTCAGTCTGTATCTAAAAGACCCAGGTAGTTAGTCTCCATGATAATCTGTGGTTTGTAATAACAGATTATGGAAACCTCTTCACATGGAAATCTTACATTAAGAATTATTCATGGAAGCACTGCTTATGCAAATACCTCTACTTAAAATTGAATTATTAACCGTTAATGATTATTCATTATACACGGATGGGAGGTTTTAAGTGCAACTCTAGGATTACAAATTTTGTTCTCAAAAATCCAGACACCTCCAGCCGAGTGCTTCTGAGCATGTTCAGATCTCCATTTTCCTCTTAAGATGATGAAAGGGGTTTCCCCTCGAAAAACAACTTCAGAGTAAAATGTGTTTGAGGTGGAGCATGTGCAAAGTGGTTTGTTTTTTTGTAACGGAGATGTTCCTTTTTCTGTCCAAAGGCCTTACTTTCAGCCTGTCTCCATAGGATTTGAACAACCTGGAAGAAGGTAGCAGACAATCGCTCAGCTGAGGGGAAGAGTATTGAGTTCATCTGCAAGGCAGCAAAAACAGATCTCCATCTAACAACAGAGTTCACATGGATTCATATTATTGTGCCTGCAGACACACAGATGTGCTAAATCAAGCTCTGCTGCATTTTTTCTGACTTTGCATCCTCTGCTGTTGGCAGCCAGTCTAAATGATAACAAGTCAGGCTTGTGAAATTCTGGTTGGCTGCCAACTGTTGTAACCCTTCCTTCCACATGCATTTTTATGGTTAACATCTCATACAGTGAACTTCAGTTAGCAAGGCAAAGCCCCACGTATCTCAACTCAGTGTGTGATAATCAACCTCATGGAAAGTTTAGCACAAAATTAAGTGTTCGGCCTTTTGAAGCCAAGAACAGCCGGAACAGTCAATGAGCAATTCCATTCCTAATTAGTACCCATGTAATACAGCCAGAAGCCAATTAACACAAGTGGTTTTTGTGAAGGGCTTTGCAATATTTGCCCATCTATTTTCACACATTCCTGTATGGGAAGCAATCTGAACGGATGTTAATCCTATTAGAAATAACCGAGTTTTACTCGAAGCAGATTTTTGTCATGTTCATTAATTTCAGTGGGTCTACTCTGAGAAAAACTTAGCTGAATTCCACTCTGAGAGTTTTAAACACTGTTCTGTGTGCTGAGACTTGGCCTCAACGTTGGTGACACTCACTTTCCCACCGCCTCCCTGTCATCAGATTCTTCTTCCTTCTCTCCTGTAACAGGAACTTTCTCACATGGGTCCTTGGCCATGCCACTTATCATGGGGTTAGCAAAGCCATCTGAGTCTCCCATCTCCATCCTAGCCGAGTGAAATGAAACGGGCAGTTTGTTCTCATTCATAGGGGTAGTGTCTCCCAGACTTAATTCCTTCAGCAACAATAGCTCTTCAGGGCAGCTGCCCATCAACCCTCCACAGATCTCACTGGGAGAAGTTTTGGTGGCATCAGGCTCTTGGTCTGGCAGGGTTGCTTCAAGCCCATTTTTGGGCAGAGGAGAGTCCAGGAGTTCACTCTTGGCATTATCTTCGTCTTTCGCCTTGGGTCTCTGCCCCTCTTGTGTGACATGCCTGCCGCTCCCAAAGAGGTTTCTGAAGAACTGGAGCACCCAGGGCCTGCTGGAAACAGAGGAGGCTGTGAGAGTATCCATCGGTTTTTGGTCTTCTGCAGGCCAACTCTGCTCTGGCACCCAAAGGTGGCTGCTCGTCTCAACAGATTGGAATCAGAGCTTCAAACTGAAAAACCAACTGCTCAGAATCTTCTGAGGATTCTAGAATTCCTGGAGGGGGTGGAGCCACAAGAGAGATCACCCAGTGGTTTTGCAATCCGGAGTTCACCTTTTGCTGTCCTGGCTCAGCTAACAACAAATTAACAGATTAAAAAATGGCCAGGAATGGAATAAGAGCTCTTTGGGGATATCTGTGCAGGTCTACAGCTCCAAATATCTTTATTATCTGTGAAAAGTCTTAGGGCACTGGGCCCAAGTTATAACTCTCAGAGCAAACTAGTAACATTTGAACAATTGCTACAATAAGGGAAAGGTGGTTCAGTTGAAACAGAGGAACCTGCCTTATACCAGATGAGGCTATTTGTCCATCTAGCCTAATAGTGTCCATTCTTACTGGCAGTGGCTCGCACTGACTGCGAGTACAGATGCTATGCATGTTAAATTATGCTGAGCATGTTTTGCAAAGATCAATGTGCTTCGATCCATTTCCAGCGTTCAAACATGGTTAAAACAGAATTTCATTTTGTAGCCAAGACCAAACAGTGCTGGGTACAAAATATTTTGTCTCCTATGCAAAACAATAACACGACTCACACTTTCAACTAGGACAGGAATAATTTATAATTGAGTTTTCTGGAAAAGGTGCATTAGAACATAGAAAACTGCCCTATAACAAGTCAGACTATTGGTCCACCTGCCTCAATATTGTCTACATGGACTGGCAGCAGTTCTCCAGAATTTCAGAGAGGAGTGTCTCCCAAACCTACTAGGAAATTTCAGGGATTGAACCCAGGACCTTCTGCTTACATCCTGCAGATGAAAAATGGCAGTTCTTTTTAACCTGTACATTTTGCTCTAGGAGGCTTAGTTTGGTCAGAATCGAGTATACACTTCCAGAGTTAATGCTATGCTAAATACCATACATTACTACTCTTAAATTAGCCATCATAGCTGCTAGAGGGCTGTGAAAATTTGTGTCCTGGGCTTTTTAGATTCACCTATACAGTGGTACCTCAGTTTTTGAACAGCTTAGTTCACAAACAACATGGAATTTAAATGCTGCAAACCCGGAAGTAGGTGTTTGTGAACTTTGCCTCGCCTCGGTTGTCGAACATGCTCCGTTTTGTGCCCTGAGCTTCCATTTTTACTGTTGTGCTGCTAATTTGTGTCCTCCCATTGTAATTGCAGTGTTCTGAGGAGAGCTCCGCAGCCTAGCTGGTTTGAGAGAGAGAGAGAGAGAGAGAGAGAGAGAGAGAGAGAGACAGAGAGAGAGAGACAGAGAGAGCTGCTTGGGGGAGGGGAGAGAAAGGTCGGGGGGGGGGGAGGAAAGAGAACTGTGTGCCCGCCCACCCTGGCCCTATCCCTGCCCCCTCAGGGGAAGCAGCCTACTTGAAGTTGAACATGCCTGATCTACAATACTGTTTTATTTTATAGTACAGTAGAGTGGTACCTCTGGTTACATACTTAATTTGTTCCGGAGGTCCGTTCATAACCTGAAACTGTTCTTAACCTGAAGCACCACTTTAGCTAATGGGGCCTCCTGCTGCCGCTGCACCACCGGAGCACGATTTCTGTTCTTATCCTGAAGCAAAGTTCTTAACCCGAGGTACTATTTCTGGGTTAGCGGAATCTGTAACCTGAAGTGTATGTAACCCAAGGTACCACTGTACATTGATTATTGCTTTCGTTTTATGACTCAGTAGTCTCGTTAGATAGTAAAATTCATGTTAAATTGCTGTTTTAGGGGTTTCAGGTGGTGAGTGCGCATAGGGTCCAAATCACAGGGCATCCATGAAGCTCACTGGGTGACCTTGGACCAGTCACTTCCTCTCAGCCTAACCTACCTCACAAGCTTGTTGTGAGGAGGGGGAGACTCACGTGTGCAAGCTTCAGTTCTTTGAAGGAAAGGTAAAAGTAAAGGGACCCCTGACCATTAGGTCCAGTCGTGGCTGACTCTGGAGTTGCAGAGTTCATCTCGCTTTATTGGCCGAAGAAGCCGGCATACAGCTTCCGGGTTATGTGGCCAACATGACTAAGCCACTTCTGGCAAACCAGAGCAGCGCACGGAAACACTGTTTACCTTCCCACCAGAGTGGTACCTATTTATCTACTCGTACTTTGACGTGCTTTCGAACTGCTTGGTTGGCAGGAGCAGGGACCAAGCAACGGGAGCTCACCCCGTCTCGGGGATTCGAACCGCCGACCTTCTGATTGGCAAGTCCTAGGTTCTGTGGTTTAACCCACAGTGTCACCCGCGTCCCTTTTTGAAGGAAACGTGGAGTATAAATGCAATGAATGAATGAATGAGGAGGATGAGGATGTCAAATACCGAATGTTGGAATCCTGTGTCAGATCAAATTGCAACTCCTGTTGCGTAACATCTGACGCACCTATAACAAATATTTCACATCAACCTTCGCAGAGGTGGTTTTGCAGAAAATCTGGCGGAGGGGGTGGGTGGGAATAAACTCTTTCCGGACCTTTCTACCTCTCTCTCTCTCTCTCTCTTTTAAGAATACTGTACATATTACATCTCGCGGCTACCAGGCTGCAACCCTAGAGGGAGCTGCGTATCGGCCGCTTTGCGTCTATGGTTGGCCGGCTGCCTGCCGCCTTCCTTTCGCCTTCTCTCCTTTCGCCTCGCCCCTCCTCGCAGCGGAGGAAGCGGCCGAGAAGCAGCAGGAAGGCGGCCACAGAAGGATGCGCTAGCAGCGGCGCCGCATCCCCAGCTCGCCGCGCAACCCCAGAGACAGCTCGCCGGAGGGAAGGGGCGCGGCGGGAAGGCGGGTGAGTGGAAGCAAGTCCGGGGCAGCGGGGGACATATCGGGGGCTGCAGGATGGACGGGGCGGCCAAAGGGTCCGGCGGGTGCTGCTGGCGTTGGGCGCCCGCTCCTCCTTGGAGCCGGAGGCGTTTAATCGCCGCGCCTCAGCCCAGCGGAAGGACATAATTCTCCGAAGGTCCCCGAGAGGCGGGAAAGCCCACGCCGCCGCCGGGTCCCCTGGCTTGGCGGTGGCGAGGGGGCGCGAGGGGAAACGGACCCCGCGGTCCCGGGTCAGGTCGCTTCTCGGGAGCCGCGCTGCTGGGCGCGCCACGCCGACGCGAGGAAGCGAGCGGTGGGCTCGGCAGCGGCCGGCTAGCGGGGCGCGCGTGCGCGCGTGGAGTTGAGCGGAAAATGCGGAGTCAGCAGCGCCTCCGGGAGCTGCTGCAGCAACTGCAGGGAAATGGAGCTGGCTTCTCCGCCAGGCTTTTTTCCCCCCTTTCCCCTCCTAGACGCGGCTACTTGAGATCTGGCAAGGTTTCAACATCCGGAATACGATCTCTCGCGCGGGTGGGTGTGGGTGTTCATCCACCGCATGCATGTGGGCTATCATTATTACTAGTACTATTTTGAGTTAAACAAGCTGTAGCTTAGGGCCCCACTCTCTTGGGGGCCCCCCAAAAATTTCCAAAATATAAGATAAAAAAGAAATAAAATAGAACCTACATACAGCAACAGTGTTTCGTGTTGTGTAGGCTGCTATGATGTAAGTAATGGGCCCCCAATGATTTTAAGTTAGAGCTTAATGATTATTTCGCTATTAATATACTTCTTCTTTATTGTATGTCAGTTCAACAATTACTTTGATAAAATACATATTTTGTGATGTGCAAATGGCTTTAGATTAAGGTTACCAGATTTTTTTCCAATGAATCCGGGGACACTTTTCAACTTCAGTAGGAATGATAGGATTGTATCAGGGTACTGATTTGTAAATCCAGGGACTGTCCCCAGGAAATGAGGACGTCTGGTAACCTTACTTTAGATACTTATTAGGTCCATAAATTACGATATAGCATATATTCAACACAAAAAACAGCGACAATTTGTAGTTGACAAAGGACAGCTGGACATATAAAGGGCCCCATTACCTTCAGTAGCTTAGGGCCTCATCAAACCTAAATCTGGCCCTGCTGGCAAACCACAGCACCTCAAGTTATTCCAGAGTAATGACCAAGTGGGGATTTGAGCCCTGGCCTTCCAGGTCTGACACTTGTAAACACTAAGTGCCAGGGTGTGATCCTGAGGATGCAGGATCTAGGAGAGGGTGCATCCTCCCCATTTTTCTAATGCCATTATATCCATCTGCTTCCGTGGCAGCTACGTGATTGCTTTGCGCAGCACTGTCAACGTGCAAGAGGAACAAATGCTTCTCTTGCTCCACGGCTACAACTGGGGAGTTTGAATTGTGAGGTGGATTACTCTTTCTCCGGTGTCCCCCCCCCCATTGATCTGCAGCTGGTGGGGCAGGACCCACAGCTCAGTCTGCCCCTAACTCATGTCTTAACAGTGGCACTTTTATTGTGTGGATATGTAGTAATAAAGTGAAGAAAAAGGTCCCCAAGGTTGTCCTTTTCATGTTTTAAATGGCTGACTCCCTTGACCAAGAACTTGAAAAAGTTGCACATTCAGCCCCTTCTGCAACTGGCTCCTATGCATATTGATTATGGACAGTGCTTTTTTCTGGGGGGACACAGGGGTACGCATACCCCTAAACATTTTGTGAATCTTTGTACTTTTTTTCCATTTACTGTATTTATTTTCCCCGATTTGAACTATAAAATGGTGATTTTCTTGAGTCAAAACGAGAGTACCCCTAAATATTTTTTAAAGAAAAAAAGCACTGATTACGGAACAGTTCATGAAGTGGTTCATAGGTCATAAATGTGTTTATAATTGGTCCTTTTGGTTTCAGTGGTACTTGCTGCCTAGAAGGTAACAAGGTGACGTCTTTGGAATGTGCATAGCTGCTACTAGATTTTTTAGGAACAACAAAACACAGCCTCCCAGAGTGGCTGGGGCAACCCAGTCACATGGGCAGGGTACAAATGATAACATTCTTCTTCTTCTTCCAGTTTAACACACAATTTGCACTTGAGAAGGGCGTTCTGCTCTGGTAGGCATTTTGAGTGATAATGTCAGATAAAGATGCTGTGTTAACTAACTATGGTATAAAGTAGTCCTAGCTTTCTGTACAGAAAAAGGTAGTGGGGGAAATCCTATTTGAATTGGGGGAACATTGAAGTTGTTGGAAAAACCAAAGAAGAAATTGACCATTCAAATGAGCAGAAATTCCAAGAGAAGTTGGGATATAGGGAAATGGGATATATATATGTAAAAATACAATTTTTTACATAGTGCATTAAGAGTGCTTTTATATGACTCTTAATTGTATATAGAGGCTTGCATTTTTCTAAAGGGTTTTTTATGTTTATAGATACATTGTAATTGCATAGTAGCAAATAACATCCCCACCCACCCACGACTTTACCAATGCCTTAGGCTTCATACACACCATCCATTTAAAGCATGCACACACACTCCAGGAATCCTGGGAACTGTAGTTTATTAAAGGTGCTGGATATTGTGGTTCTCTGAAGGGGTAAACTGCAGTTCCCAGGATTCTTGTGTGGGGTAATGTGTTTTAAATGTATGGTATTTATTCAATCTTAATCTTCCCATGTGGTAACTGGGGTGCCCTCTAGGAATTAGTGCACTGGTGGGATGGAGAGGATTGACATTCCTCAAATGTTCCTTAATGAACTTTGGTAAGTTACATTTGTTCCCTAGACTTCAGCATGTATCTCTCACAGTGTGTATAGATGCCAAGCCAGTCATTTTTGACGGAAAAATAACACATACAGTGGTACCTCAGGTTACATATTCTTCAGGTTACAGATGCTTCAGGTTACAGACTCCGCTAACCCAGAAATAGTACCTCGAGTTAAGAACTTTGCTTCAGGATGAGAACAGAAATTGTGCTCCGGCGGCGTGGCGGCAGCAGGAGGCCCCATTAGCTAAAGTGGTGCTTCAGGTTAAGAACAGTTTCAGGTTAAGAACGGACCTCCGGAACGAATTAAGTACTTAACCCGAGGTACCACTGTATTGTCATTTGATAGTGATCACGTCTGTTTTTTGTTTTCCTTGTTAATGTTATTTATAGTGAAATATTGGGAGGAATTTCCCAGGAACTCAATGGGGTTCACTTCTGAGTAGACCTATATAGGACTGAACCATTATAGGCCTCATCTCTGCAGTTTCTGTTTTGATTTTGCAAGATTTTACGTGTATTTGCATAAAACAGAGACAAGATCTCACGGTACTACAGTGTATTATGGCAAAAACTTTCATGGGCTAGAAGATGTTGTGAAAAGAATGTAAACAGTGAGATCAAATGGCAATGAAATTCCACTTCAGAGTAAATGTATGTCAAATAAGAGTAGTGATAATTCACATCAGCAGTAATAATGCAAACATTGATATTCATAGTGGGACAGAAAGCCCCAATCCCTATTAAAGCAAAATATAATAGAACAGAACTTCTCCATAATTTGTAGTCAGTTTCATGCCGGAGTCTCTCTTTGTTTAAAAACAACAACTTTTCAGGGCAGCAGCAGAATGCCCTGAGCAGTTGAAATACAGTGGTGCCTGACCAGGGAGAAGAGTTGGTGGAAGAAGATTGGAAGAAATTTAAAGACTATTTACAGAAACATTGCAAAATTAATGAATGTTAGAATGATGTTGGATTGAAGTTAAGTGGCTTCTAGCTATATAGGTACAAAAGAATATGGAAAAATTGGTTTTTAATATGTAAAAATCTAATGTTACAATATATCAAGATTAAGGATTAGGATTAAAAAGGAGGGAAAGGAATTGTTGGATTAACAAATTGAATTGGAATACAAAAGAGGGAGGTATGAGGAGGTCCGGGAAACAAGTAAACGTAAAAGAAGTGAGGAAAAGATGGAATTGTTTTTAACTGTTTTTTCTTTTTTTCCTACTTTGTATTTTTCCTTGTTATTGTTAATTTTTTAATTTTTTTTTATTAATGTGAATTTTTTTTCCTTTGAAACTTTAATAAATATTATTTTATAAAAAAAAAAGAAATACAGTGGTGCCTTGGTTTACAAACTTAATCTGTTCCGGAAGTCCGAAACCATTCTTAAACCAAGGCACGCTTTACCTAATGAGGCCTCCCACTGCTGGTGCCCTTCCACTGTTGGGATTCCGTTTTTAGACCGAGGTAAAGTTCTCAAACCAGGACACTATTTCCGGTTTTGCGGAGTTTGTAAACTGAATTGTTCTTAAACAGGACTGTTCTCAAACCGAGGTACCACTGTATTCTACTTCTTGCTGAATGTAAGATTTGTGCCAGGGTACTCTTATGTGTAGAGACTGGCCCATTTGTCCATGTAGAATGCAGAAGGCGGGGATGACATTATAGCATATATCAAGTTGGAAGATGAGTGTGGTCAATGAATCCTTGATGTGTGCCTTTCATGTAACTTGCATTTAAACTTTAATATAATTTTCACATGCTTTTTTTGCATTTCATTACCACTTGATCTCACTGTTTACTTTCTTCTTTGTATACCCAAGTACCTGCCAACTGAAGATAACAACTTTATGCATCTGATGAAGCAACAAGGCTTCATTGTTATGTTTGCTACAACAGACTGACACGTCTACCTCACTGGAAACTGTTACAATGAAATAATGCATTTTGCTATCAGGACTGGGTTGGGGTGGGCAGGTTATTGCAAGGTTCTGAAATAGTTCATCAATTTATTTATGAAAATATTTATATGCCAATGTATCATAAAAATATATCACAGCCATTTACAACAATATAGAAATAGAAAACCAAACCCTAAAAAGTTAAAAACAAGTTAAAAACAAAAAGAAATTAAAAACAAACACCATTGTGAGGGATGTACTCTTAATTGCCTGCATAGGCCTGGTGGAATAGAAAGGTTTTCAGCAGATGTTGACAAACTGGCACAGAAGGCGCCCACTGTTACATCACCTTCTAGGATGCCAGTGTAATGTTTCTTCATAACTCTGAAGTTGACATGTTTTAACAGTTTCCCAGCCCTCTTTTTAGTGGTGAATGGTTTTTCATAATTTAGTCAAAGGTAAGAGCACCTAGCAGAAGTGGCCATGAAAATCAGTGAGAGGGTTCATGTTCTCTTCTATGTGTATCTCTATATATCACTGTAATTGAAATACATTATTATTACTAAATGTATTACTTGGCGTTCACCAGCAGGCTTCAGGGCAGATTGCAGCAATCTAAAATTCAGTATTGAAAGCAGTTGAAGCAAGTCACAGGAATAGGATGATTCCCCAAAACACATATCTTGCGTATCAAAGGCCAGGGCAAAGAGGTACATCTTTAGCATATCATCAAAGCTGTATAGTGAAGGTGCTAGAAGGGGTCCGCAACTGTTTTCAGCCATGGGCCAGTCCACCGTCCCTCAGACCATGTGGTGGGCCGGACTATATTTTGGAAAAAAACCACGAACGAATTCCTATGCCCCACAAATAGAGATGCATTTTAAATAAAAGCACACATTCTACTCATGTAAAAACACGCTGATTCCCAGACCATCCGCACAGCGGCGTAGCGTGGGTTGTCAGCACCCGGGGCAAGGCAAGTAATTTGCGCCCCCTAACCCGGGGCAAGGCAAGTAATTTGCACCCCCTAACCTGCCGCCGCTGCCAGCTTCTTCTTGCTGCTGCCTGGGCTGGGGTATTTACGGTAAGGTAGCCACGGCGGCGGCGGCAGGTCCGTGTCAGGTGATCTGAGGTGAGTTGCCGCTGGCGCTGCCGCCCAAACGACGCCGCTTGCCCGGAGGAGGGCAGAGAGGCGAGGAAAATGCAACATGGCCCAGCAGCTGCAGCAGTAGCGGCGGCGGCGGGGCTGTGAGGAGGGGCTGCCTGGCGCGCCCTCCGCGGCCCTGACGCGCGGGGACCGCGGCGAGCGCTGAGAGCCGCTGCCAGCTCGTCGGTTCCGCGAGACATGGGGCTCTGCTACAGCCTGCGCCCGAGGCTCCTCGGCGACTCTGGAGGCGGCTAGTGCGCCCCCCCCAGATGTTGCGCCCGGTGCGGCCGGCCCCCCCTGCACCCCCCATGCTACGCCACTGCGTCCGCAGGCCAGATTGAGAAGGCAGTTAGGCCACATCTGGCCCCCGGGCCCTAGGTTGCCTACCCCTGTGCTAGATGCACCTTTTGGGGAAGGAATTCCACAACCTACAAGCTCCCACAGAGAATGCCCTCTTGCAGCTTCTGAGGGTGGTGGAACTGCCAAGAGGAGTCCTGCTGATCTTAACACCCAAGTGGGTCTGTAGGGAAGGATATTGGGATATCCTCGTACCTACGGGACCGCCTCTCCTGGTATGCCCCACAGAGAAACTTACGGTCTTCAAATAAAAACATCTTGAAGGTCCCAGGCCACAGAGAAGTTAGGCTGGCCTCAACTAGAGCCAGGGCTTTTTCGGCTGTGGCTCCGATCTGGTGGAACACTCTGTCACAAGAGACCAGGGCCCTGCGGGACTTGACATCTTTCCGCAGGGCCTGCAAGACAGAGCTGTTCCACCAGGCCTTTGGCCAGGGCATAGCCTGACTCCCTCCCTCGGCAATCTTCATGGAGCTCTGGCCCAATGGTTGCCAGTGGCTTGAATTAATTAATTTTATAATGAATGATTTTAGAGTGTTGTTTATGCTGTACTTTCGTATTGTTTTATTGTTGTTAGCCGCCCTGAGCCCGGCTTCGGCTGGGGAGGGTGGGATATAAATAAAATTTATTATTATTATTATTATTATTATTATATTGTGACATGACCTTATTGACGTCGTTTCATCTGTGTGTATGGTGTATGAAGACAATTTTCTGTCCCAAGGGGCTCATCCAAGGCGGGTGAAATAACAGAGAAAGGAAATGGAAGTGAAGGCAGAGCTAAACGGGTGAAAGCTGTGCACCCCTTTTAAGACTCTGTGAATGTAAATGTCCTCTGTGTACAGCTACCAAGACTTGTAGCCCTAGCTAAACCAAGCTCACTCAGAAGTAAGCTTTGCTGAATTCAATAGGGTCTATTCCCTAGTCCTGCAGTCTCTCATGGCCAACCTCCTAGGGGCCACATAGCAGTGATGGGCAGGGCTGGAGCAAGAGGTGTGATTCTTGCCCTCACACAGTAGACCGTTCAACAAGTAGCGTAAGTCCAATCACAGAACGGCAACCCCGTGCCGCCACAATGGGAAGGGTAGCCCAATAGAGAATATGAAAAAGTTTTCCAAAGCTGTTTTTCAAAGATTGAACTGGATGAGATGTTCTTCAATAGGTCTTGAGTTGGCCTGTGAATACTTTCTTTATCCTGAGCAAACTGTTTTGTATGACTGGTTTTTCGGACTGATGAAGCGTGTAGCGAAACCTGTAATATATCTGGAGAACAGGTCTCCTTTTGCCCACTTGCGTTATTCTCACCAGGGTGGTGGCTTTGATTTGCCTTCCTGTGATTGATCCATGCATACGGCTTTGTGTTTCCAACTCAAGACTTGTTGAACGGTTCATTTATCCAGTCTGTATAATGTTTATTGCACATGTAACTTGTTAAGATACAGTTGTACATTTATCCACTCCATGTTTACAGTATCTCGAGGCTTTGTTTTGCACATGGCACCTTAGTATGTTTGTTGCTTGAATGGTTACAAGTCTATCTCTAGTCTAGCTATTATTCTAGTAAATTTGGTTTTACACTTATAAGCCAGTTTGTGGTGTTGTTGTTTTGTTGCATGTTAACACTACAGACTAAAAGCCCTAACAGAGCAGAGGGGAAGGACCATGGGATGTGTTCCTTCTGCAGATGAACACACAAGAAAAGGAAACAAATCAAAAAGTACAGTAAACCCAATACCCAATGGTGGCGTAACTTTTGACTGCACAGCAGCTCCCAGCATGAGCCACCACTTTGCAAAACTAGACTGATATGCCACTTTCCCAAACTCACATTTTGGTAGGTTTGCGGTGATCTGATGATAATGCATATGGCAAGCGGTTCAACATGGCACAAGTTGGGACCCACCACGCAGTCGCATTTAACCTTTCCATTGAAGAGATAATTTTCTGGTTATATGCCTTACTACATTTCATCCATGAGAAATATTGCTCCTTTATAAAGGACTGCTTGGGATCGACAGTTCAGTCCCTTCCATGCAATAAATCATTTTATGTGCGTAGCCAATACTTGGGACATTCCAAACACACACTTAACTTCTGAGATTGACTGGCTAGTTGTATGGCCTGAGAAAACTGGAATCCAAGCAGCATTAAATTTGAGTTCCAAGCTCTTTTGAGAATCCTAGTTGACTTGCTTGTCTTCTCCATATAATTTCCATGCAATTTGTAGCAAACCATTGATAGAAACTGTGATAAAGTAGAGGAAGGGGGCAGGATAATACAGAGGCATAACCAGGATTTTTGTTGGGGTACCAGGCCTTTTGTTGGGGGGTGCAAAACCTCAGTTAGCTATGTATTTTTATTGATTGGGGGTGGCCCAATGGCCTGCTTGCTTGTTTTAAGGAAGCATATATGCATTTCTTAGAAAAGGATTACCCACTAGAGGTGATTTGTCATTCTCTGCAAACACAGACCCACAGACTGAACTTATGCTTGCAGGAAATGAATTTGAATGTGACTAACTTGAGGTATTGATGGGATGTCTCAGTGGCTATCTCTTGTCAGGTCAGTAACCTGACAATTGTGAGCCTTCTGCATATTGGAAAAATGAATCACCCTGAGCTGCTGGAACTCACATCTGCTCTGGGTTATTATCAACATCACATAGCAGCTTCACATATTACCACTATTACGCTATTGCCATGTATGTTGCTTCTCAGAGCACAGGTTAGGTCCCTGCCCTGAGCAGCTTACAAGCTAAAATTTGACACAGATGAAATAACAGAGGACTGGAAGAGAAGTGGGGGCAAGGGTAAACAGAGAAGCAATATGCAGCTTTTTTCAGGTGCGTATGCTTAGGCTTGGTGCCTCAATTTAAAACAGCTGTACAGGTTGCCGGTTTGTTTCCAGGTCCAGTTTAAGGTGCTAACGCTGATTGATCTGTGTTAAATTATTTTAGAGATCTATTCTCTTTTTAAAAAAATACTGGTTATTACAAGGTTTGTTAGACTCCAAATATACTCCAAATTTGCTTCTTGTTTCCATATTGCTTTTTTTTATGGATCACTTATGTAAGAGCTTACATATTTTGACAAAAGAAAATTTTACCTAAGGGGTTTGGATGCAGAAGGAAGAGTTTGCAAAGCCGTGCCCCTGTATGTGTGTGTGTGATAAATACATACTGTGGGAAATGGAAACATAGATAGGGCAAAGGTCTGTTTTATAGTTGGGACCGAGTAGGCAGAGTGCCTACATGGCACGCACTTTCTGATAAGATCAGAATGTTTGCAATCTCCTGGCATTGCTGCTGCATCCACATCCATTCTGCCAGCTTCTAGTTTCTGGCAACTGGCTCTTTTGATTTCCTCCGTGGAAACAAATATCACTGGTGTTCCCTAGATTAACCCATTCCCAGCTGGTTAACATTAAACTTGTGCTGTCTGAATGCTTGAGTCCAGTTTGATTGTGGGTTCTTGATCATATGTAATGTGTTCTTTGGATTGTTTTAATTTGATACCAGCTGCCCAGAGTGTGGCTTTATGAGGGAGGGGCAGAATATAAAATATTTTAAATGAATATACATAAAATGAGAATGCTCTCAGTCCTCTATTTGCTCTTATGACTGGCCACCTTCTGATTCCATACATATAGTTACAACCTTGTGGTCCATTTTAATTAATCTAAAATAACTACGGGGTCTTGCTTTCCAACACACAGTCGCTGAGGTATGTTAGAATTCTGGAAAGAGTGGGGAAACCCCACTGCTTCCCATTGCCTAGCCCTCCTCACTGTGTTTGACAGCATGTTAAATCCATGCAAAGTGATTTGAAGTATTATACAAATAAGGGTCTTATCTTAATTACACAAGCCTGAAGAGTTCTTGGTGGGAACATTCTCTCTTCCTATTATTTTCATTTCTGTGTGCCCCTTATTTTATGTCTGTGAATAAGTTCCTGAGTCCTTGAAATGTGATATACAGGTGCTTATTATAATTAGCATTATTCAAAATGATTTACAGAGGGGGCAGGGCCCTGTCCTTGTATACTGTCTAAAGTACAATGCATGGTGATGACGTTAGGCAAATAATCATCAGTCACAACTGAGCTGGCAACAGTTATGAGTTTACTAATAAAGAAAATCTGTGTATGACCAGTTCCTGTACCGGAAAAGATATAGTCAGCCAATGAGAGCTAATTCAGCAGCACAGAATACTGTATTTGGCATATGCAAGATCCATTTGCTAACAAAAATTGCAACACCAAGTTAAAACTTGGATTAACTTCCAGTGATTAAGATTCTGATTAACAGCACAAGTTATAACTAGAATAGTGATGGAGATATTTTAACTACCAGTGTTTTGGAGTGCCAGGGGAAGGGAAGACACAAGTTACAGAAAATCTGTAGCACAAAACTCATGTAGAGGTTATTATTATTATTCCCTTTATCCCCCCCCCCCCATTATTTCACTCTTAAGGTCCCAGGATGGGTTGCAACATTTTTTACTATCCTAAATATTAAAGGCATTTAAAAAATGCTGAAATGGTCAAAACATTAATAAGAAAATTCCACGGACATGTTTTCAAGTGTTGCATGGTTTTTTTGTATTATTTTTTTTTTAGGAAGATCAAACAGTACATGTTATGTCTGTCAAAGGAGGTGTTATGCAACATGTAGAATGATTCATTGCAGACACTCTTCCTTGAACACTGCTGTGACACAGTTGTAGAAGTATTAGGAGGGCGACAAAGATAACCAAGGGTCTGGAAACCAAGTCTTATGAGGAATGGCTGAGGCAGCTAGGTATGTTTAGCATGCAAAAGAGGAGGCAGAGGAGATGTAATGGCCACCTTCAAATATCTAAAGGGCTGTCACACGGAGGATGGAGCAAGCTTGTTTTCTCCTGCTCCAGAAAGTAGGACTCAAATCAATGGCTTCAACTTAAAAGGAAGGCGATTCTGACTAAACACCAGGAAGAACTTTCTGACTGTATGAACTGTTAGAAAGTGGAACGGTCTCCCTAGGGAGGTTATGAACTCTCTCCTTCCTTGGAGTTATTTAAGCAGAGGTTGGGTGGCCATCTGTCGTGGATACTTTAGTTGAGATTCCTGCATTGCGGGGGGGGGGGTGGACTAGATGAACCTCAGGATCATCTACCTTATGAGGTAGCCTTTCTGATAACATCCCTCACTAGAATGAAATCTGAAAATACAAACATACCCCAGGTGTTTCATTGAAATTGCAAGTCTTTAAATGGAAAATATTGATGGTTTTCAATAGCTTCTCAGCCTTTTGCCTAGCGTCAAGTGTGAAAATCACTGCTTTTCATTTAGTTATAATGCTACAGTAACATAATGTATATTACTCTGAATTGACATTTTTAGCATTAATAATGTGCATTATTTGCATTATTAAGCATGTTGGGAGTCAGAGGTGGGTCTGAACCAGTTGGAGCCCATTGTCCTATTTGTCATCCCCCCCCCCCATATCTGAAAGACTGCTTGCCCTCTTTCTTGGTCCTCTTGATAGCTCCCCTGCTTACAGAAGTTTGAAGGTGGTGGCTTAGGCCGGGACATTCTCTGTGGCATTTCCTAGCTTGTGGAATTCCGTCAGCACAGAGATGCATTTTACACCTTCATTATACAGTGGTACCTCAGGTTAAGTACTTAATTCGTTCCTGAGGTCTCTTCTTAACCTGAAACTGTTCTTAACCTGAAGCACCACTTTAGCTAATGGGGCCTCCCACTGCCGCTGTGCCGCCGCTGCATGATTTCTGTTCTCATCCTGAAGCAAAGTTCTTAACCCGAGGTACTATTTCTGGGTTAGCAGAGTCTGTAACCTGAAGCATATGTAACCTGAGGTACCACTGTAGTTTCTGATGTATGCTGAAAACATACCTGTTTGCTCCAGCCTTTGACACCTGAATTATGTTTTTTCAGGACCTGTCCTTCTCCTGTGACTGTTATTAGTTTTGACTTTTAAACACTAATTTTTAAAAAATACTGTATCTTGTCCTGGGACCTGCTGGTGAAGGACAGGTGGGAATAATAATAACAAAAACAACAAACCTTTCAGAAGTCTTTTGCGCGTTGCTGCAGCAGGAGTTTGGTGTGCCATCATTTAATCACACCCAAGTCCATGCTGATTACTCTCCATTTTCCTCTACAGACTGTTTGCTTGGTGATTCGTTTTACAGCTTCTTGTGTTTTAAAATCAAGCTAAGAGGTCTATAATCCACCAGGTTGTTCTCTTTCCAGCTTAAAATATATTTGCACAGAGATCCTGTCAGAATGAAAGTAACGGTGTTAGATTGTTGAGTGAAAATAAGGTATCACCACTCTATTCTTTGACCTTCTTCTTTCATTGTTGTTTAGTCGTTTAGTCATGTCCGACTTTTTGTGACCCCATGGACCAGAGCATGCCAGGCACTCCTGTCTTCCACTACCTCCTGCAGTTTGGTCAGACTCATGCTGGTAGCTTCGAGAACACTGTCCAACCATCTCGTCCTCTGTCGTCCCCTTCTCCTTGTGCCCTCCATCTTTCCCAACATCAGGGTCTTTTCCAGGGAGTCTTCTCTTCTCATGAGGTGGCCAAAGTCTTGGAGCTTCTTTCATTACCTCCAGTGTTTCTTAATCATTTGAATCATTTGAATTATTTTTTTAAGCTGTGGGAATGGGTAAAAGAGGAAGAGAGAGATTTGCCTGGAAATAGCTACTCAGCAATTCCTTGTTCATTTCTCTCTGTTGTTACAATAGGGGAAGCTGAAGCTCTCTAGAAGTTGTTGGACTTCAGCTCCCATCAGCCCCAGCCAGAGTGACCAGTAGTCGGGGATGAAGGGAGTTGTAAGCCAGCAATGCTTGGAGGGTTACCGCTTCTCCACCCCTTCATTAAAACTTAATGACAATCAAATTCAGTGGGCGACCAAAAAGTTTTTGCATGGAGTTGCAATCATAGGGAAATCTGCACATCTCTTTTAATTTTCCCTGCTGCAGAGCTCTTAAAGACAGAGCAGTCTTAATTCCATCATAGCCAAACACTGATTCTGTGCTTCAGTATTACCGTATTTTTCGCTCCATTGGACGCAGTTTTTCCCCTCCAAAAATTGAGGGCAAATGTGTGTGCGTCCTATGGAGCGAATGCAGGCTTGTGCCATAGCCGCGCGCAACCCCTCCGGCAGGGAGAGGCTGCACGGGGCTATGGCTTCTTTAGCTCCATGCAGCCTCTCCCGGCAGGGAGAGATTGCGCGGGGCTAAAGAGGAAGCCAAAGCAGTAGGGAGAGATTGCGCGGGGCTAAAGAGTTAGCCAAAGCAGCAGGGAGAGATTGCGCGGGGCTAAATAGGAAGCCAAAGCAGCCAGCGGGATCCATCCCGCTGCCTGCCTTGGCTTGTGCCATAGCCGCGTGCAACCTCTCCGGCAGGGAGAGGCTGCATGGGGCTATGGCTTCTTTAGCTCCACGCAGCCTCTCCCGGCAGGGAAGAAGCCAAAGAGGCTAAAGAGGAAGCCAAAACAACCAGCGGCATCCATCCCGCTGGCTGCCTTGGCTTGTGCCATAGCCACGCGCAACCTCTCCGGCAGGGAGAGGTTGTGCGCAGCCTGTACGCTGCTCTTTGGGGCTGGGGGGGGGAAGATTTTTTAAATTGATTTCCCCGTCTAAAAACTAGGTGCGCCCTATGGTCTGGTGCGCCCTATGGTGCGAAAAATACGGTATTTGTTAGAAACGGAATTAATACTTTCCAATTGCATGAAATTCAACAGGTCAATCATTACCCATCATTTCTCCTCTCTTCTGTTGATTTCTGCCTGCCATCCATGAAAACTCTGCCAGAAAGAGAAGGTAGCAGCCTCATGTACCAGGCAGATATAGCATGACCTTTCAGCACAAACACATTTTGCAATAGTTTTGCCCACAGTGCCTATCCCTGAAATAAATGCTCATGCTTCTGGCAATCAGAACATTAACTCTTCTTATACAAGAGATCATTTCCCTTATTTTATGGCTCCCACCACCACTACTGACCATTCTGAGCTTTTCAAAACATACAGTGGAGTTCACTCTTTCCCCTTTATCATGTAGATAGGCACAATTAGCCATTAAGTGTGTTTCCCCACCCCCACCCACAAAGTGGGTTTTAGTACTGCTGCTTGATGCCTCCACAGGAAAGATGATTCACTGTGGAGCTACTTGATCCCAGACTTAGGCTGTTCAAAGGTTGATCTCAGTTTGTCAAACCAAACTGAAGACAACCAGACATTAGTGAACATCACCACTTTCATTTGGTTTATGGCTGCTTCACACAAACTGAAATTTCCTATGTGGAAGTTGCATATTCATCACGTGTCTATTTTGCTGCCTGTGCACATAGCAAGATTCAGTTGTCAACTGTAGCATTCAAATAAGATGGACGCTGTTTCCTCAACCAAAATGGCTTCCATGAGGGGAGCGCATCTTGTGGGAAGTGGACCTGTTTACAGCCAACTGTTGCTTGTTCCCCAGTCCCCAACACTAAATGAGCAACAATGAATGTTTGGTCCTCCTGTTGTTGTTGAACTACAACTGCCATCACCCCTGCCCATTGGTCATGGTAACTGGGCAGATGGTAATTGGACTCGAGCAAAATCTGGAGGGTTACATGCCAGCGTGGTGTAGTGGTTAAGAGCGGTGGACTCGTAACCTGGTGAACTGGGTTCGATTCCCCGCTCCTCCACATGCAGCTGCTGGGTGACCTTGGGCCAGTCACACTTCTCTGAAGTCTCTCAGCCTCACTCACCTCACAGAGTGTTTGTTGTGGGGGAGGAAGGGAAAGGATAATGTTAGCCGCTTTGAGACTCCTTTGGGTAGTGATAAAGCGGGATATCAAATCCAAACTCTTCTTCCTCACCCCTGCTCCAGCCTTTGTGTCTTTAAAAGCAATCTGAGCCGCAAATGTCAGCAGGTGACAATGTTTCTCTCCAGTGCCTTGAAGGGCTGCCCTTGCTGAGTCATATGTATTAAATTTATGTAAAATTAGCAGGGAGCCTGCAGTTTGTTTGTTTTCTGGCAACCATAAAATGCCTTGCCAAGAGTAGGCGGCTACAGTTTAACCATACTATTCATTAGAGAGGTTTCCTCTTGGTAACTGAGGAATGGAATGGCCTCTTTAATGCTAAATATGATGCAGAAATGTGGGTCCTTTGCCTTTCATTGATATTGACAACTTCTATCTATGTGCTAAGGTTCTTGCTGCATAGGAGCTAATGGCAGAAATTCTCATATCTTCCCCCTGCAACATGAGCTGCTGTATTTGAGGTCCTGAAAGCTCCCGGGTATGGCAATATTTCTCTGTTTTGCTCCCAAGTGGGTTAGATTTCTCCTTTTCTGAATTTGGCTCACTGATGCTCTTTGGGTCCCCACAATGAACTTATTTTGAGTCAGACAAAATGAACTCATTTTGAGGATTTGGGCACCATCATCAATGAGCCAGCCGGCTGAGAAGCATTAGTTATGAGAGATGGTCTGCTTCTATTTCTGCTGCAGGTAACTGCATTTTGAAATTATCCCTGAGTGCAATTTCAAGCGTTTCAGAGGATTTTATTCAGGACACTAGCATCACAGAAAGGAATAGGCTGTCTTCAGTGTCACTTTGCATTCTGATGTATTCAAAGGATAGTCTTAGAGCTAAACATGTAACATTGCATTAGCTGATGCATTTTCCTTACATATCTTGGGGGTGGACTTTTTGCATACACATATATAGTCTCATATACAGTTGCCTTGGAGTACACGCAGGCATTGAAATCAGTGAGATTTACTTCTGACTAGATAAGTATGAGATTGTGCTGTAAGTTAGCAAAAGAGGTGGGAGGCAGCTACACTCCCTTTATAAATGGAGCACTTGTCAAGCTCCTTAGTACTGCTTGTTTTCCCACTATGAATACTTCTGGTCTTAAATATTTTTTACTTCTCCTTGAAGCATATGCATATAGTATTCGGTGTACTCACTATTGGTTTCTGCATTGTTGGTTCCCATTTCCCTGGGTTCTTTCTATCTGGACACTCAGACAATGGAAGCTGTTCCACACGCATTGATACTTGTGGATAGCAAAGAAACAGTGGCTTTTCTGCTTTGAACTGGGAATGTCACAGTAGAAGGTTTTCAAAATGTTGGTGAAAATGCGCAAGTTTGTCTGTGACCCCTTCATGATAAGGGGACACATGTATTGGGTTTTTATTTCATTTAAAGTACCATATTTTTCCGTTTATAAGACTAGGTTTTCCCCCTAAAAAATACTTAGGGGGCATCTTATACACAGATACATCTCCCCCCATTTTCTTAAATCTGAGTCCCCAAAAATAGAGGGACTCTTATAGACGGAAAAATACGGTATATGTGTAAAGCATGTTGTACTATCAAACTAATGATGACAATTAGCTATGTTGGTTGTTATGTACTCTTTCCTTGATACTACACCATCCTAGGGACACAGGTGGCGCTGTGGTCTAAACCACTGAGCCTCTTGGGCTTGCCAAGCAGAAGGTTGGTAGTTCGAATCCCCACAATGGAGTGAGCTCCCGTTGCTCTGCCCAGCTCCTGCCAACCTAGCAGTTCAAAAGCATGCCAGTGCAAGTAGATAAATAGGTACTGCTGTGGCAAGAAGGTAAACGGTGTTTCTGTGCCCTCTGGTTTCTGTCACGGTGTTCCGTTGTGCCAGAAGCGGTTTAGTCATGCTGGCCACATGACCTGGAAAGCTGTCTGTGGACAAATGCCAGCTCCCTCTGCCTGAAAGCGAGATGAGCGCTGCAACCCCATAGTTGCCTTTGACTGGACTTAACCGTCCAGGGGTCCTTTACCTTTACTACACCATCCTGTACTGATTTTTTTTTAAAGGTAATATAATGCAATTTTGAATAGCAGGCATGAAATAACATTCAGCCACTTCTGGTTTGCTCAAATGGCTTCAAATCCTTGTTTGGTTAAAATGGCATTGACTTAAATGAGACTATGGGCATGATGAGCAAGACATGGATTTCAGCAGCATTCTCCTGTAGCTCTGTTATTACTTGACTGGAATCCTGCATCCGATACTTCAGCTCCTGGAGTTGAGGATACTGAGGTTCCTGATTGTTTTCAAGTCACTGAAAAATACCACTATGGCTGAAATGCATTTGACAGTTTGAAATTTTAATCCGCAATCATAGAATTGTAGAGTTGGAAGGGATCCCAAGGATCATCTAGTCCAACCCCCCGCAATGAAGGAATACACAGCTGTCCCATATGGGAATCAAACCTGCAACCTTGATGTTATCAGCGCCACGCGCTAACCAACTGAGCTATCTAGGCATGATACTTGTGGATTTTATGGTAGTTTTCTCTGCATGAATGCTTGTTCCAAAATGTTGGCAGTTAGCCATCTGTTTTTAAATTCATATATTGCAACTGTAGTTTTTGGCTTCGTTACATCCATTTAGATCTTCTGCTAAAGCATATTTTCTTCATGCTATTTCAACATAGAACTATTTTGTTGTTCTCCTTTGGACACCTGCATTAAAAAGAAATCCAGCTTCCCTGCATTTTTAAATTACAGGTGTCCATAGGAATCTTGGGTTCCTGATCTGCTTTTCAAAAGCCTTGTTGAGGCACACTTTGAGTGCCTGTCTCAGAATATATGAATAGTAAGTGGAGGATTCTAATAGCTTACTTGAAGGCAAACAGCTATGATTGAAATAAGCCCAATCTCCTCATTCTATTCACTATTGTCCCAGCAGATTCTCCCATCAGCAGCCAGGTGTTTAGCAGTTAGAGTTGAATCTTATAAAGATGCTATTTCTGGCATGTGTAAAATTATCCTGAGTGTATATGAAATGTTTTACAAGTACGTTAGTGGGACCTCAAGTTTTAATTGACGACAACAGACTTTCTGCCGATAAGGGAGTATTGCCAGACAGTTAAGGTTAAGGAACAAGGCTTGGATAGTGACAGAGAGAGAGACAGAATGTTTTCTAAGGAGTGGGAGAGGAGACTCGCAGGACTGAGGGGAGTTGGAGATGAGTAAGAAAAGCAGAGAGTCAAATTACTGAGAGGTGGAGCTAAAAGGCTCTTCAGGGAAGAGGAAGCTGCTGCAATCACACAGTGAGTCACATTACCCAAGGATTCTTTCTAGCATCCAGGTCCAAACTTTTGACTCTCAACACTAACAAATTGGTTTCTCTGACCCTTGAATTTTTGCAGATTAACGTTGTTCTCCCAAAGCTCCCCTCCAGCATGGCTTCGAGGAGGAATAGCAGTGACCCAGCAAACAGGAGGAGGACAGAGAGACGCAGATCATCCCTGGAAGTTGCCTCAGGTAAGAGATGTGACTATCTGGATCTTTTGCTTTGATTACTGTAAAAGGATGAGTGGAACTATATCCTCAACCATTGCTTTCCTTTGCTGATCTTAAGATCTGTCTTGACCTTATAAGAAATAAAACCAGTCTTGCTGGATGAGCCCAAAGGGTTATCTGAACTCCAGCTTTCTGCTTCCCACAACAGCCAATCAGATGCCTCTGGAAAGCCCAAAAGCAGTACATGAAATGAGAGCCCTCTCCTACTGTTGTTCCCCAGCAGCTGGTTACCTCTCATCATGAAAGGTAGCTTAGTTTATGGCCATCCTGACTAGCTTTCCTTAGATTTGTCTAATTCGATTTCAAAGCCACCTAAGATGTTGGCCACCAGCACGTCTTGTGCCAGCAAAGTCTATACAGTGGTACCTCAGGTTACAAACACTTCGAGTTACAGACTCCGCTAACCCAGAAGTAGTACCTCGGGTTAAGAACTTTATCTCAGGATAAGAACAGAAATCATGCAGTGGCAGCGGGAGGCCCCATTAGCTAAAGTGGTACCTCAGGTTAAGAACGGTTTCAGGTTAAGAACGGACCTCCGGAACTAATTAAGTTCGTAACCAGAGATACCACTGTACTTTAGCTCTGCTCTGTACTTCTGGTTTTTGTCTGTCTTGAATAATTCAGCTTCATTGGATGTCTCCAGATTCTAATATTATGGGGGATAAAAGATTTTATTTCCCTTTGGTATGTGTGTGGAGTTCACAGGCAACCTTTCCTTAGATACATACAAGAGAGGCCTGTTTCGTTTTAACTATGTAACAACAGTGCACAGGAAACCAGTGATTTATAACAATTATCTAAATACTTAACGCTACACTCAAGTCAGTATGCGACTGTTTATTTATGACATTTGTATGCCATCCCGTAACATATAGTTAAGTAAACACAACTGAGATGCAAAGTAAAACATAAAGCTATTAAAAATAAAAATAATCCTAGCATTAAGTACAACAAAACAGAACTTACTGCAGATTTTAAAAACAGAGGGCTGGATTCCCTACATTATTTGAATGGACTGGGTGAAGGTGTGTAATACAGGCATGGGAACATGTGGTCCTCTGGATGTTTCTGGACTACAACTCCCATCACCTCTGACCAGTAGCCATGCTGGTAGTAACTGATGAGAGTTGGAGCCCGACTATGTCTAGAGGGCCACAGGTTCCCCATCCCTGATTCAGTACATTCAGTGGAAGGTGCAGGCTGCAACTGTCATCTATTTCCTCTCCAAAATTTCCAATGTGCCTGTTATAAAGGAATCAGTGCAATATAATTAAAAATGCCAAGACTGAACCTAATTCAAAATGCTGAATGTGTTTTGAGCAGTCTATCTTAGTAGCCGTTCTAAAAATCATTACACAGTCACAGTGTTGGGAAATAATCATAATTAAATAAAACGAGAGAGAGAGAGAGAGATTAAAAAATGGAAAGTATATAACTGAAAAAGTGTCCGTCCCCCCCGTTCATGATATCAATTTTATCGTTGCTTGTTTGTTTATTACATTTATATACTAACGTTTCCTCCAAGGAGTTCAAAGTGGTGGTGTGCATGGTTCTCCCTTCCCTATTTTGTTCTCACAACAACCCTCTTAGGTTAGGCTAAGAGACAGCGACTGGTCCAAAATTACCCAGTTCCTAGTCCAATACTCACTATTACACCAGGACAATTAACCCACACAATTAAGACTGGGAGATAATCCTTATCTCCTCATTCGGAAGTGTGATCCTTCTCTGCAACATCTTTTCCTTAGAATAAAAGGAGTCTTTTCCTTAGAATAATTTCCAGAGTGGTAATTGTGGTATAGTACAATTTTGTTCACAGCGTATGAAGGTAGCCTGGTAGACTCATTAAAAAAGAAAGCCAAAGTGTTATAAAATAGTGAGTAAGCATCTCCTACCTTCTCCCACATTCTGTCCATAGACTGCAATGTAAATACAGATTCTGTTGTTCAGCATCAGCCAGCTTCTCTCCCCTACCCTTTAAAATGTTCTTTATGGTCTCTGTCCTGATTGAGAGTGCTGGAGAACCTGAAAGCATGCTCACTACTTGGTAATATTTGGGTTGGCCCAGGAAAGTTACTGCTTCCTATGAATTTTGGAGACTTGTGCACAGGAGCTTGCTCAGTCTTGTCTACTCTGACTGGAAGGTTCTTCCCAGGATTTCAGGGTGGAGACTATCTCAGCCCTACCTGGAGATGCTGGGAATGAACCCGGTGCCTTCTGTGTGCAAAGCGGATCCTCTGTCATTGAGCTACAGCCCTTTCCTGTGTTTACTTAGAAGCGCTACTGCATTCAGTGGGGCTTACTGCCTAGTAAATGTGTCTAAGATAGGGGTCAACAGCACATCATCCCATAGTTATCCTGCAGTCAATTGGAAGCCACAGAACCCGCGTCGGACGTTCGTGTTCCAAAGAACGTTTGCAAACCCGGAAAACTCACTTCCAGGTTTGTGGCGTTCCGGGAGCCAAAACATTTGACTCGCAAGGTGTTCGGGATCCAAGGTACAACTGTATTTGAGTTGGGCACACTCCTGATGAGCAAAATACTTTGCACAGGATCAGAGCTTGGAAGGTGTGTATGTGGAACCTCCCAAAGCTCTGATGCAGGCAGGGGAAGGAAAGTTCAATTGCAAAGACTTGCCTCAGTGGTGAGCCTTCATGCACATTTTAACCTGTTCTACTTGTGGACTTGCAAATGAGTCGTTGTAGCTTTGTCAATAGTATCCTATGTACAATGCTATGTTGCTTTGCTTTGGCTTTATCTTTTTAGACAGGATTACATTGTATAATTTGTATCACAGCAGTATCCACACTGTATTTTGTCTGCCCTGGATCTTCCAACATTCAGCATTGTTGAATGTCCCCGAGTTCTAATATTGTAAGAGAGTTTGTGACAGATTTAGTATAGTGGAAGTTAGAGAGAATGAAAGAAACAATCAGGTGGAAGCCAGGCAATTATTTCCTTGGATGGGGCTCCTGCTTCCTGCTAGCAGTTCAGATGTCAATACTTCTTTGCAAGATAGTTGGCATGTCTAATTAAAAACGAAAGCTGGCTTGTGTTAAGCTCAGTGGTTTGTTTTTCTACAAGTTGCATCGTGGCTGAGTTCAACAGTTTACTCCTAGGCAACTGTGCATAAGCCAAATTGCAGTATGCTAACCACTTCACCACCCTCGACAGGCTCACTTTTCTATGGCTCTTGCATTATATACTGCTGCTCTTTGGGATGTGTGTGTGCGTGGATTATTATCTGCAAATTCCTCTTTTAGTGTGTGCAAAATGCCATTTCTCCTTGTGTCTCAACACTGGAGTGAGCTTTAAGTGTGTACAATGTGGGTCTAGAGAGAGATTTAGCCTCAGGACAGGTACTTCACTTCCCGATCCAGAGATTATAGAGTGCTGCTGTTATGATTGACTGCTTGAATTGCATCATATCTTCTGATGTGTTGTGGTGATTCAGGAGGAGTGGTCCTCAGTGTGGGAATGGCTATATAGTGGGAACAGCCTCCATGTCATACATGTGCCATGTTCAGGACTGGTATAAAGTCACACCATTGACCGGGGCATGGCTGAGAATTGTGAACTAGAGGAGATGTAATGATGCACTTTGAATTTTGTATTTGAGATTATGTTTGTAAGCAGCCTAGAGGTTCCAGTGGAGGCATTGCACAAATCCAATTTGTAGAAATAAAAAGTATCCTACAAAAGCACAAGTTACTTGTACCTTTTAAAAGTAAAAGGATAGAACAGAATATGAAGATTTGATGCATGTTTTAAAAAGCATTCTATATGAATATATCAAAAGCGTAAAGCAGGTTGACAAATACACAAGTTGGCCTTAATGGTCCTGCTTATTAAGGTTGCCAACTTACTCGAGTAATGTTTAGAGGTGCAAAATGCATTTTAATCATGACACTATTTCCCTGTTCTCCCCATGACTCTGCCCCATTTCAGCCCTTTCATGGGTATATCTGTCATGGCAGTAGCATGTCTGAAGTTCTGTTGGCATGGTGGTGGTGCTCTGCCGAATCCTGTAGCTCAACCTTTCCCATCCTGGTGCCCACTAGATATTCTGGACTAACCCTCCCATCAGCCTCAGCCAGCATGGCCAATAGCTGGGATGCTAGAAGCAGCAAAATTTGGTGTGCACCAGGTTGGAAAAGGCTGTTTGTTACATTATATGGAACTTCAGTACAGGATTGTGCTCTGAAAGAGTGCAGTCTAACAGGAAAACAGCAACATTGCATAACAAGTGTGCTCATAGGCTGCTCTCATTCATTTCAACATAGCATGTGAGCAGGAAAGCATCCTGAGGCATTGTGACTTTCTATTTAAATCTTATTTTAAACAAAATGAAAATGGAGCAGCAAAACAAGAAAAGTTCGTGATGATTCGAAAATAGAAATATTTTCCGTTTCAAAGGTTTTGCTAACTTCGCATAATAGGTTGCCCCAAACCTTTTATATTTTGACCACGTCCTGTTTATAAAGCCAGTGTTTACAAAGCAATATTTCTGCCTTCTTGTGTGAACCAGGCATGATTTCATCTGCTCAGCTGAGCCCAAAGCACATTTGGTTGCTTCTGGTCACTCGAAGGCTGCCTCCTCTTCCTTGAAATCCTTTGTTCCTAGGCGTTTTTCAGGTTATGTCCTCTGATGTTTGCTTTCCCCGTGTATGAAATTTGTTGTTGTTCGGTGCTCAGTTGACTCATCAGTGTTAGTGAGTCAACAGTTACAATTCAGCTAGATTTGTGCAAAGGGAAACATGCGGAGGCAGAACGGGGAGTTCAGTCCTGCTTTCTGCAGCCACGACTCTGACTGAGATCACACTGATGCATCAGAGTTGCATCCTTCTTCTTTGCCAATCACTCATAGCCGAATAAGATTGTTTTCCATAAACACTGTTTTAACAGTGGGTCTGTGACTGTGGAGGCCAGTTCTGGATCCCCACATCCTTCCACAGTGGGGACATAGGTTTCTGGGCGGGAGCTGATCACGGCAAGGGTTTGCCAAACATGCCTTCCTCTTAGCACATTTCTCTTTTTCTTCCTGAGTTTGAGCGTCTTCAAAGCCCATTACATCTTTGGTAAAGCTGTTCTCCAATTGGGGCGCTTGCAGGCCAGTTTTTCCCAGTTGTCGGTGTTTATACTACATTTTTAAAGATTTACCCTGAGAGAGTCTTTAAACCTCTTTTGTTGACCACCAGCTCCATGTTGGAGTTGTGTAACATTTGTAAGCAGCTTAATGTGTGCTTCAGCCTTACCTTGAGAGCAGTGTGTGCACCAGCCCCATCAGCTGCCTGGAATATGCGGAGCTGGGCTGGAAACCACTGTTCACTTAAGGTGAGAGATCAACTCCTTTGTAGGTATACCTTTTGCAACAGTTAAATTTTGGTGTGTGGTCACATCCCACAATGTAATAGCTTGTCATCCTTTGTATAAACAGATCTCTCTCTGGGAACCTTAAAGGTTATCAGTGTTTTGTTTTGTTTTTTAAGTGACTCTAGTATTGGCAAGGTTTGACATCCCTAGAGAGCTTGGCTTGAAAAGGGGCATTATCAGGAACACCTGCAAGATAGCTTTGCAGATAAGTTCTTCCTCTGGATTTTGCTTCACATAGGATATTGGGTGTTGCTAGAATCTCCCTTCTCTATAGCAAATATTCAGTGGCTGGCCCCTGGTTTTGGATGATGTATTGATATACTGCCCAGCCCTGAAGCGAGTGGCGCTGTGGGTTCAACCACAGAGCCTAGGACTTGCCAATCAGAAGGTCGGTGGTTTGAATCCCCACGACGGGGTGAGCTCCCGTTGCTCGGTCCCTGCTCCTGCCAACCTAGCAGTTCGAAAGCATGTCAAAGTGCAAGTAGATAAATAGGTACTGCTCAGGCGGGAAGGCAAACGGCATTTCCGTGTGCTGCTCTGGTTCGCCAGAAGCGGCTTAGTCATGCTGGCCACATGACCCGGAAGCTGTACACTGGCTCCCTCGGCCAATAAAGCGAGATGAGCGCTGCAACCCTAGAGTTGGTCACAACTGGACCTAATGGTCAGGGGTCCCTTTACCTTTACTGTGAATAAGATAAGATTGCCCATGGCTGGCAAACCATGACGGGTGTCACCTCACTGCCATCAGGATAATGGTCAAGCAGCTCGCCAGGCCAGACTAGATTCGCAATGCTGATTCTTGCAGAGGGCAATGCCAACACTTAAAACAGCAGAGTCCCTTTTAAGGAATAGTGATACCGTGGCGTCCTAAGAGAGACATCTGTTTATACAAACATTAAAGCTGCATTTGAAAGCAGAAACGGGCACTGTCAATAAATCAAACAATAAAAGCCTTGCACCAGACCAGTCCTGGGTGGGGTCTTGTGAAAATGAAACCATACAGCTGACTCATATCAGGGTACAATTTGGTTGCAAAAATTCTAACCACCCACAAGTTGCAAACAACGAGCACGAAAAACACTCATGTCTTCAAATATTGTTCTTAAAAAAAAAAAAAAGGATTCCTGTGTCTCCATCCTCTTCTGGAACAAGAAGCATCCAGTACATCATGGCAAACACAGCCAAATGAATGCACACTTTTCAAAAGGAAAGCAGCAGCTGAGTGCAGGAGTATGTGTGGCAGCAAGAAGCACTCAGACCACAGAGTTTAACCCTTTCACCCCTTGCCACAGTCCTGATAAAAATGCCGCTCCCCGTGAACTGCTATTTCAGTCTCCTGGACTCTGCAGCTGGCCACATAGATATTCTGGTGAAATCTGTGCCTTGGGTTATCAACAGCATGGAAAGTGTAGACCAGGATATACTATGGCTGCCTTTGCACGTTACTGTAAACCATAAGCTGTGGCATACCATAAAGGAATAAATTTCACTCAACTTCCCTCCTCCCCATTAATGTTGGAATGAATCAAGCCACAATCCTTGGCTTAGCATTAAGTCGAAAATGGGTCTTGCTGTGTTTCATTCCCCACAAACCACTGTTGGTAAGCCAAGAGCAAACCTGGGCCTCAGATCATTGTTAACCACAGTTCTTAGTTCCAGTATAATGCTAAGCCAGGGATCAGGGGTTGTTTCCTCGCAATGCTAGTGGCAAGGAATAAATTGGATACATTGCATGCACAGTAAGTCATGGTTTGTGGCTTATTATGATGTGCAAACATGACTGATATCTTACTGAACAGACAGTTGCTTAGATGTTCACTTTAAACTGCCTAACCTACTGAACGTACTCTTTGATGAAGCATCTTCCACCCCTCCCTGCTTCCTCCATCTCATGAAAGAGTTAGACCCTAAAAAGGCCAGGGGGAGGGGGAAAGGGCTCTTTCAATGAAAGTTATGCTTAAGAATTCCATGGCACTTTGCATCTTCATACTATAATGCAGTTACTGATTAACTGATGCAAATGACTGTTTAACTTCTTGGAAACTTGAACATGGTTTGCAGATAACAGTTCGGGAAATGTAGCATCCAGTCACATGAAATTTCAGTTTCTACTTCATAGCCGCTTCCCTGAAGTTTGGAGATTTGGTGGTAAAAAATACACTTCTCACTCCTTGTTACAAATGACCAGGTTTCCTTTTGTGGTAGCATGTACACCATTGTAAAGTTTCCAAGAGGTAAATATAATCATTTGCAGCTTGTTGTGGTCATGTTTTAAGTTGTGCCGGGGAAAGATTTGATAACACTGCATACAGCAAGGAGTTAACTTTTCACCTGATTTGCAGCCTAATATAAGCTTCCACTTGGCCACATGCTGGAGCCAACAGCGCCAAAGTGTTCAGCAATGTGTGCAAGATTTCAGGAGCACTGTATAGTTTTACCTCCATTTAATAGATGGCAAATTTAGAAGGGCAATATGTGCAGGAAACTTGATTCTGGACCCAAATGGCTCTTGCCCCATCAGAGGGTCATGAGAGGAAGGCAAAGGAAGGCACAGCTCTTCTGTATTAAAAAGTCTTTTAGCAAGATCCGATGCATGCTTACTAGGAAGTACCGTATTTTTCGCCCTATAGGACGCATTTTTCCCCTCCAAAAATGAAGGGGAAATGTGTGTGCGTCCTATGGGGTGAATGCAGGCTTTCGCTGAAGCCTGGAGCGCGCGCGGGGTCGGTGCGCACCGACCCCTCTCGCTCTCCAGACTTCAGGAAGCTATCCGCAAGCAGTGGGAGAGCTGCGTTAAGTGGGAGAGCTTGCGGAGAGCTGCCTGTTCTGGGGGCTGGGGTCGGGGGAAGCTCGGGCTTCCCCGCCCCAGCCCCGCGCCTGGGGGGGGAAAATAATTTTCCCCCCTTTATTTCCCCACAAAAAAACTAGGTGCGCCCTATGGGCCGGTGCACCCTATGGGCCGAAAAATACGGTAAGTCCCATATTCACCAAAGCTTACTCCCAAAGGAAACATGCCTAGGATTGCTGCCTTTGATGTGCATGGGCTAAGTGGCCTATGAGGTTCACACACTTCAGTAAGGATACTACATTTTTATGGTGCCCTTCCTGTGATGTCCTCAAGACGGAGCCCATGGATCCCTCTCCCCACATCCTCACAATAACCTTGTGAGGTAGTTAAGGCTGAGAGTGGCTGGCATAAGGTCATCTAGTGAACTTCATGGCTGAGCTGAGATTTCAACTGGGGTTTCCTCAGGTCAGTGCTATATCTACTGTGCTGGGCATGTCCAACTCCCAAGAGACTGCGATCTACTCCCACTATAAAAAAAATCTGGCAGTGATCTATCCATTGGATTGACCGAAGTTGTTGATATTTTGGGGGGGGGGAGGCTTCACCTAAGTCAGGGGTCAGCAAGGTTTACCTCACCTGGGCCAGTTCACGCCTGGGCTGCAATTTTCTGTGTCTGCGCAGACACGATTTCCGGCATCTGAGCATGCACAGACGCGATTTCTGGCAACGCGGAAGTGAGTCCCTGCGCTGCACCAGTTTAGCGCAGTGCATGGGGACTCCCCGAGTGGGTGGTTCGTGGGGCGGTTTGTGGGCCGGTTAAATGACCCCCAAGGGCGTTAGGTTGCCTAGCCCGACCTAAGTTGTTGAGCTTTTTAAATATTTTTTTAAAAATTGTGAGATGAATAAGTATCACGCAATCGACCAGGATTGTGATTGACCAGTTGGACGTGCCTGTACTATGCTACATGCTGGTTCTAACTTAATGGTGTGATACCTATCCTACTGCTGGAACTGATAATCTTTAAAAATGTGTTCACAAAGTACAAAAAAAGTGGTTTGTTGTTGCTTATTTACATTTTGCTTTGGGACCCAAAGATCCCTGCATATTAATACTACCTAGTACAGAATATACTAGAAGGCAGCCCTGTTTAGGGAAGTTTTTAATATTTAATGCTGTATTGTTTTTAGCACTCGATTGGGAGCCACCCAGAGTGGCTGGGAAAATTCAGCCGGATGGGCGGGGTATAAATAATAAATTATTGTTTATTATTATTATTATTATTGTTATTATTATTATTGGTTCAATAAATCAATCATCAACACTACAGAAGGGAGCAAAGTCGCTAAATGTAGAATATTTGGTGGTTGACTGGCCTAAGACCATCTCATTCAACCCAGTCACCGTCTTTAACTTTAGCTTTCAGCCCTGTATTCCCTATTCCTCTCTCAGGACATCAAGCAAGCAAACAGGGCCAAGGGTGTCCCCTCCCCCGTTCACCACAACCCAGGCACAAAGAGGGTAGCTCCCTGCCCTTGCCCCAGTGTAAAAGGAAATGCTTGCTCTTGCTGAAAGATGGGATGGAACCTTTTTCTTTTCTGAACTTCCTAGTTAAAGCTGAGAATTCTAATGTGACTAGTCCAAAAGCTGTCCATTTGACTAAATGACCAGAGGTGTGCACACTCGTGTTTCCCGATACGGAAAGTCAAACTGAGTGGAGATGGTAAAATCCTTGCTGAGCAGACTCTGCACTTGACTGTGCTTGTCCAAAATCCATGGAATGTGCCTTGTCTAATCTCGCTGGTTGTGTCTGCAGTCTGGGTGCATAGCCTAACCTAATCATTTGGCAGTAGACCCAGATCTCCATTGAACATCTGGGGAAAAAAATAGCTGGCAGAAGACAGAATTTCCAGCAGTGGGGAAGGGTTAAGCATCTCTCTCCCTGCCTTCCCACTTCGCTTCACTCCCCTGCCAGCTGTTTGTGCCCCACAAGCTGGGATTCCAAGGCTCCTGCTTGCCTGCTACTAGGAGCTGGAGGGTGAGGGTGAGCGCAGGGGAAAGAATTGACTCCTTCCTCCCACCCCCACATTCTCTCTGTCAAATTGTGGTTTTCCTTTCCCTTCTACTTTGAGGCATCAGAGGCCTGCATTAAACCCTGATTTCCGGTAAGACATGTCCCTAGGGCCTTTCACAGGATTTTTGCAGCTTTAAAGAAAGCCCAATGCTGAGATGAGAATTGAGTAAAGACAGAGCTTTCCAGACTCGCCTCTCTGCTGAATGTCTAGCTTGGGCTCTGATGCACAGCAAAGAGGGAGCTGTCTCAGGGATCTTCCTATAAATGTTGATGGACTCACAACTCACATCAAACTCAGCCAGCATGGCCAATGGGCAGGGTTGATGGGAGTTGTAGTTCACCAACATCTGAAGAGCTACAGGTTCCTCATTCCTTATAGAGCTTCATGGATGCGCCATCAGTAAATTGGCGTTCTCCGTATTTCTATTACAGTGGTACCTCTGGTTACGAACTTAATTCGTTCCAGAGGTCCGTTCTTAACCTGAAACTATTCTTAACCTAAAGCACCACTTTAGCTAATGGGACCTGCCGCGCCACCGCCGCCACGCGATTTCTGTTCCTGAAGCAAAGTTCTTAACCCGAGGTAATATTTCTGGGTTAGCGGAGTCTGTAACCTGAAGCGTATGTAACCCAAGGTACCACTGTACTTAGTTGTTGAGTCCTCAGCCACTGCGTTTTCAGCTTTGACCCTCTTCACAACTGTGACAATTCAAGCAGTAGACCTTAGAAAGGTTGGATTTTTCCAAGTCTGTACAGCCACACCTAGCTTTGAGATGGAGTGTCAGAGAACAGTTAGTCTTCCTTATTTTTTTCTTTAAAAAACCACAACAGTATCTTCCCCGCCTCCTTGCTCCATTTGTATCTGTAGACAGAATTCCAGAATGCCACACCTTGTCGGTTTCCCGTCTTTCCTTGTTACCTGTAACAAAAACAGAAGTGAATCTCTGCCAGGGGTGAATCTACATTGAGTCAGGCGGTGCTTCGCTGGAAACAGCCCAGTTCCATGAAACCGAAAGAGATTAGAGTAATGAAATCCAAGTGCAAATTTGCTAAACTGATTCAAGTCTGAGATTCGGGATTCCTCAAAACGGATGTGAGTCAACCGCTGCCATTGTTCTCCAGTGAAATTTTGCTTTGGTATATGTGCAACAGTTAAGGGTGTCCCTGTGCCAGAAGACAAGACTCCTGCACCTTTAAGTAGTTATGCACAGGAAGAAAATTCAGCAGGTGCAGCTGATCAGGAATCTGATGCCTCAAAGTAGTTCACCCTGGGGCCAACTAGATGCAACTTAGTGTGCAAGTTTTTTGTTATATAAATAAGCAGCCACAAGGAAGCCTGAGCACCTTGGACCCTTGGGGTTAAACAGTGTTGCTGTTGTTCTAAACCTATTTCTCTTCCTACCAGCGCTGCAAAAATCACTTCTCCAAACCTGCTATTTGCATTCCAAGGGAAATTCCCATTGGGGCAATTGAATGGCATGTCTAGTTCAGTCCTTCACAGAATGGACAAACATGAAGACTAGGATATTACAACCCATATGAAGCAATTATTAAATTGCAGAAATATTTTTTTATAAAGGACCTCAAATACTGTTTATTAAAGTCATTAAAAGCACAAGAGAACAGGATGGGCTTGGTCTGGTACCTAAAAGATAGAAAATGAAGTGCTGATGAATTTTAGGGAAGGAGCTTGGGTGGATGCCACCACAGAAAAGGCCGTGTCTCCCACTGCTACTTGCTTAGCCTTCAAAGGGGGAAACCCAGGGAAGGGTCTCTAAAGCAGATCTGTTGGTGGCAGGTTCATGTGGGAGAAGGCAGTTGAGTTCAGCTCCCATATATAGCAAGGATGGGGACTCCGTGACCCTCCAGACATTGTTGGACTCCATCTTCCATCAGCCCCAGCCAGTGTGGCCAGTGGTCAGGTAGGAGGGCAACAGGTTCTCTAACTTTGCCCTAATAAATGCAACCCGATCAGATTAAATATGGAGAAGACCAGGCTGCATTTCCTGGGAGCTGGAGCTTCTGGAAGCCCACATGTTCTGCTCTAGATGGAGGTGCCTGTTTCCTTTTTTTTGGAATTTGCATATCATTTATTTGTTAACATTCTTATATTACATCGGTAAACGTTGTCACATTACAGGACTTACTATAATTTTCAACATGTTTACAAAAATTATATACAAATTTTATATACCTAGAAAGAAAATGAAACAAAAAAAGAAAGAACAAAAAGAAAAAACAAATCCCCCCCAAAAAACCATATACATACCAACACACTAGACTTCCTGTCTATCCCATTGTATATTCCTTTTTTACAAATGAATGTACTCTTATTATTGTATATTTCTTTACATTGGAGGTGCCTGTTTTCTTATCCACCTTGTTGCCCTTTTGCAGAAGACCAGGTGGCACAGCAGACAGAAGAGGTCTTCCAGAGCTATGTTTTCTATCGATACCAACAGGAGCAGGAGCAGGAGCAGACTGGGCAGGAAGTGCCAATAGATCCAGAAATAGCTGTGATGCAGCCAGAGCGTGACAGGTAAGAGCACATATTTGAAACCTATACCCAAAATTCAAGCCGCATGCCAGTCTGCCTCCACAGGCATGTCTAACACGGTCATTCGTCTCTTGGGCAGCATCACCACCCAAGTGGGCAGGCGCCTGGCCACCATAGGGGATGACATCAAAGAACGGTATGAAAACGAGTTCTCTGCGATGCTGAAGTCACTGAAGCCCTCCAGGGACAATGCCTATGCGTACTTCGTCAAAATAGCCTCCAGGTAGGTCACCAAGACTCTGCTTTTCCCTCCCCAAAAAGTGAGAGGCTGGCTCAGTTTTCTGATATGAAGAGTTCTCAGATGTTGCTCTGTTAGGTTCCCTCATAAGAAGAGGGAGAAGATTGAGACAAATTTTGGGCTTGTTGCTTTAATGTAGTTTGCTTTGATTTTATTGATGTTGTTTTGGTTTTAATTGAGATTGTTTTTTTAAAAAAATCTATTTAGTTAAATAAAAACATATACGTCAATAACCTACAACAATAAAGAAATAAAGGACAACAGTATAACTGAACAAAAATTAAACATACACAAGACGTATAGAGAGAGATTTGGGTCATTGCATTCACATTTTCTGGAAAAAGAATAATGATAATGATGACAACAATTGGTGTTGGAGGACAGCAACTTTAAAAACGTACTTGTTTCATTTATAAATATCAAGCTATTGTCCTCCGAGTCTTACGATGTTCTTGCAGCTGAAAAGTTACTAAGAATTGCAAATAGTAGCATATTTCACAAAAGTCATTACAGAAAAGTGGGTGATTAAAACAGGGGAGTAAGTGTGGACTCGATATGTAACTGCAGTTTTTAGGAAGGGACTTTGTACCCATTTTTGGTCCTTATTAAGGAAAAAATGCTGCCACTACAAGGATTCCATCTTGACTGTCATTTTCTGACCCACACAGCTTTAATTGCATGTTCACACCACTTGTGTGATCAAGGTAGGAGGTTTTGCAGAAACTCTGCTCAAAGTAGTGAGCCAAACACCTGGACCCTCCCCATGCCATGTTGCAAAGTGAAGGGATCAACGCATTCCCTCTTGCCAAGTTCTTTCTAAACCAGCAGGCAGGTAGGGAAATTACCACAGGTGATCTGGCGACAAGCAGCTTTGTTGCAGCCCAGAGCTTGTCCATGGTGGTCAGCTGCCAAAAGAAGGATTTGGGTCAGAGGTCTCCCTCATAATTCTCTTTCTGCTCCCTGACCCACAGCGCATACATGCCTATAGACGGGTGCACCCATACTCGTTCCCTGTGAATGTTGTTTAACTGTCTCTTGTGTCCTCTCTTCCTGCTCTCCCCTCCTTGGGAAGCCAAGCAGCGTTGCTCTCACCCCTTTGCCACCTTGAGGTGGTCAGTGTACTGCAACCAGGTAAATTAACCTACAGTGCTTTCTCTTCCCTCTCTTTCAGTGATCATGTGTGTGTGTGAACTTTCTCCATTCCATACTATGCCTGCTGAACTTTTTACAATGGCACACAAATCTTCAAGGTTATGCAACCTAATGAGACATGCTTCCACGTTTAAGTCTCATTTTGTCTTATAATTTTGTTTTTTTAAAAAAACACAACAACAACCATCACAAAAATAATGATAATCTTGTTGTGATTTTTTTTATTATTCTGCCAGTCAGCCAAAGGGGTTCTCTGAGCAGCTAACAATCAAGTTGAAATGCATGTAAAATTCAGTTAAATATTAGCCAAGTTGACTGGCAAACGTCTCTGAGCATTCTGCAAAAAGAGGTGGCATAGTTATGTAGATGGTGCCACCTCAGAAAAGGCCCTACTCCTTCCCCCTAGACTGTGGTACCCAGAGCAGAGCTATCCTGAAGATTTAAGTGCCAGAGCAGGCATCATATGGGATGTGTCTTGCTGTTTATGTGGATAGCAATTCTCAGCTTTCACAAGTCTTATTTCCCCCCCTTTTCTTCTTGGGTGCCAAAGGCATCCAAGTATGTGCTGTTTTGCTTCTAGAGTGAACACTTTTCCTTCAACCATGTTGCTGGCACTTAAAGACAGGGTCAGATTTATTTGCTGGGTTATTCAACTGTAGATTATGGGCACCTCCAGTGTAAATGGCGCCAACTGAGGATAGGATTTGCCACAGCCCATCACTTTTTGTGCTTTTCATTGCTACAGACCAGTGCTTGTACTTCGCAGTATGAACATAATGTGGTGTTGCAGCTGTACAAACAGAAGAAAAATTGTTTTCTGTTTAGATGAAATTACGTGACTGAGCCTTAACCCTGTTACAATATGACTTTTGGAAGCAGATCTCATTATATTCTTATTGTTATAATATTTATTACTTACCCTTTGCCAGCAGGTCCCAAGGCAGGTTACAACAATCTAAAATTCAGAATTAAAACAGCTAAGGCAGTACAGGCTTGGCCTGTGCATTCAAGCAGAATTTAGGGGAGAGAGGTACCATTTGGAGCCACAGGTGGGGAGTAGTATATTTGTGCGTGTGCTTTTAAGTGTAAATTTATTACAAAGTTGTTTCTTCATTTTTATTTGTATGACTATTAGTATATTTGTATGAATATTATATATATTTAAAAAGTCATCACCACCTGCAGTCTGAAATGGCAGTCCATTCTGCTGTCTTGGGATGCTTCTACCTCTTTTTATTGCATGTTATAGAAGGAGCACCTCTCCCAATATCTCCCACCTCAAGTCTTACAATCTGTGGAGGAGGCCCTACTCCTGGTCCCACCTAACATGGTGACTTGGGGTAGGGCCTTCTCTACTGTGGCCTCCCAGCTGTGGATTGGCCACACATTTTCATAGTCAAGTAAAGACCTTTTCGTTCTGTTAGGCGTTTGGGGAGGAGTGAGCTGAGAATTGTTCTTCATCGTGATTCTTAACTGTAAAATAGATGTTTTCATGGCCTCTGGTCCCCCCCCCCCATATATTTGCTGTGTTGTTGTATTTATCATTTGCTGTACACAGCCCGGGGATCCCTTTATGATGAAGGGTAGATTAGAAACAGAATGAATGAATGAAGCCTCACTTCCAGAGGAGTTGCAGCCTTCCGGAACGCACACTTCTCAGCTGTAGAAAAGTACCTGAATAGAAAGTATCTACATTTTAGTAATCTGTGTACATTTGGATTCTTGGGAGGAACAGTTTGAACAAGATCCGAGTGACTGAAGGCATATACACAGCCTTTCCCCCCCTCGGCAGTATAAAAGTCTTGTTAAATATGCCTTGTGCCTTAGCACTGCTCAGGGGAAGACGCTAGCACGCTGTTGAATGGTGAGGGGGCAGGTCAGAAAGTTGCTTTTAATGCTACAGCAGCAGACTGCGAAAAAGCTGTGCCTCAGTAGAGGGTAGCAAAGGGCTGGCCATAAAACGTAGCCTGAATTTTCTAAGAATAATAATATGGTCTCTTCCGCAGTTTGTTTGAGAGCGGCATCAACTGGGGTCGTGTGATAGCACTGCTGGGCTTCGGCTACAGGATGGCAATCCATGTGTACCAGCAGGGGTTGACCGGCTTCCTAAGCAGGATCGCCCGCTACATGGCTGACTTTGTGCTTAGAAACCACATTGCCCAGTGGATTGCCCAGCAGGGAGGATGGGTAAGTGAACCAGGGAGCTGTCAAAGATGAGTGGGTTGGTTTTTTAAAAAGACACACACACATTTCTTTGACTATGAAAGTATGCTGGTGCCGATCTGGGGTGGGCAGGAGTGGGCATAGTAGGGCAATGCCAGGCTGCTGCCCTCCCAACAGTGGAGTCATTGCTGTCTACTGAGAAGGTGTTGGGGGAGAGATCGGGGGTGTGCAGGGCCTTGGGGGTAGGTGCCAGATCGACACTGTTGGTGCACCTGTGCAACCTCAGGCTGTTGGTGCACCTTCCTGGCATCTAACTTTTCTTTCAGGGAAGGGGGAAATACATGCCAAGAAACTGCTGTGGTTGCCCTGGAATGAGTCCTCCCAACATTTCTGCAGGTAACAGTATTTTTCCCCCTCCTCCTCTAGGCGGCAGCACTGGACTTAAGCAACGTTTACTGGAAGTACGTGGTGGCAGTGGCCGTCGTGATTTTGCTGGGCCACTTTGTGATGCGGCGCTTCTTCAACAACCAGTGACCGGGAAGGAGAGTGTCACTGGCCATTTGCATCCCAGCCACTGACTCACTCCTGGGAGGTGACACTTGTCAAGGAGGATTCAGGAAACAACCAAAGGAAGCCAGATGGTTCTTTATCACCTTCCAATATGACACCAGCTTATTAACCATCCACATGGAGATTTCAAACACAAGAAATCCGCAGCATAGTATTTAAAAAGGTGGAACTGAGTATGGGAGAGGATTTATTACTTCAAGAGACCACTGGGGGGGTTGAGAAAACAACAGGTTGGTTACATTCACAGTGTTGCCAGAGGAAAAGCCTCCCTGAAATCTCTTAAGGAGGACAAGTCCTTTTCCAGAACGTTCTCAGGGCCAGCATAATCTCAGCTTTTGCAATTCCATTCCTAAAGAAAGCAGAAGATCAAGCAGCATGCACAGCACTGTTGTTTGCTCAGTACAGCTGTCAATTCTTCCACTACCTTATGCTTTTCTAGTGCTGAAAGAATCATGTCGCCGATTGGGAGATCATGTAGATCCACTTCTGGGTTATCAGCATGAGTAGCACCTTTTAAGATCTGTAGATGTACACCTAGACAAAGCCTGTACCAGAAGGGCAGCCGGGTGAGACAATGTCTAAAATATTTCATTACAGTGGAACCTCGGTTTTCGAACATAATCCATTCCAGAAGACTGTTCGACTTCTGAAACGTTCAAAAACTGAGGAGCAATGGGCAGTCAGCAAAATCTATTGAGAAAATTGAAAAACACACAACGGAAGCTGTTTGACTTCCAAGGCGCATTCGAAAATTACTTCCAGGTTTTCGGCGTTCGAAAACCAAAACATTCAGCTTCCGAGATGATCGAAAACCGAGGTTCCACTGTATATGCAGACCTATTTGTCATCCACCAGATTATTTCCTTGATCAGGCATAGAGCTCAGTACTCAATTAGTTGGCCACTCTCATGTCCTCACTTACTTTTAACTTAGTTGCAGTGATTCTTCTCTGTCAGTGGAGAGCGCCAGCCATTGCAGAAGTTATGAATACGCTTCTTTTCATGCAGCAGAGATCTCTTGGTTCCTTGCGTGCCAGCATTATTGCTGTCCAGCTTGACCAGGTAGTCTGTGTATGCAGTTTGGGAGGGGGGCAAAAAGTTGTTGAAGGAATTGGGGAAGGCATTTTTTGTTTGTTTGATTCCATTATAATTATTTACCCCTTTGACAATCACTAGCCCAAAGCTTCAATTCCCTTTGACGCAAATGGCATACAAATGAATTGGTATCCCTAACGTAAGATAGGGATGGGGGACCTGTAGACCTCCAGATGTTATTGGACACAAACTCCCATCAGCCCCATACAGCATGGGCAGTAGTCAGGGATGATGGGAGCTGTAAGGAGGGCCACAGGTTCTCTAACTTTGCCCTAATAAATGCAATCCGATCAGAGTAAATATGCAGATCAGGCTGCATTTCCTACAGGTTTTAGTGTGAAAGTTGAGCATGTGCTTATGTCTCCCACTGAAATTGATGGGATTTGGAAGTGCACGATTGGAGCTGTCCTTGACTCCAAGCAAATGTGCAGAGCTGGAACTTGCCATTTGAAGGAGTTCTGGTTTTCAAAGTCCTTAGCTGCAGAGTCCTGCTTAGCTACAAAAAAATTACAACACTCCACCAACCTGTCCACATTGCTTACTTAACTCTTGTTTTATAGCTTTTAAACTAGGATAAAACTGCATTGACTGCAGTGAAGCCAAGATTTTGAGCACAAAGGGTTCCTTTTCCTTGCTTTGCAGTTCCTCCCTTTACAAAGCTTATAAGGCAAAAGCTTACTTTGTAGCTTCTTTCATCTCTTTCTTGGTTTCCAAGAGCTCTTAAGACAAATACTTAGAAGCAATGTATGCATTTTCTGTACATTGTTTGTTTGCTTTTTTAAAAGTCACACCGCCTAGATTTCTTCTGAATGTGCATGCCAGCAATATTTGTTTTGTTTAAAATGTTTGATTTGGCTAACAATAATTTAACTTTGCCATGGCCTTAAGGTTTGTAATGGTTATGTCTTGATGCATGCTGAACTTCATCCCTGCCCAATGCAATCTTGCTTTTCTGAAGTCCCATTTTGTTTCCAGTGAACCTATAGTCTGACGACAAGCTGCACATCTCATCATTCCTTACCGCTGGCTATGCTAAAACTGGGATTTGTCTGAGAACAGATCAGTAGGCTTCTGCTGTGTGTGTTTGTGTATCATACTAAAGTAGGAAAATAATCTTTTTCAGAACAGCAGTTGTACAAAAAAAATCCATTGTACACTTATGTGGATCTAATCTATCAAGCCTATGGTAGCTTACTTCTAAGTAGATCTACAAAAGATTGGGAATCTAAGGTACTACTCATGGTGAAAATTGAAACAGGGTGGTTTTTATTTGTTTAGTTTATGCCAAACACTTTGATCTTTGGCACCACCCGCCATTGGCTCAGACTCTGCCCACTGCCAGTATATAGGCCCTGGGAGATTTCTCCCAAGGAAATGTGGCCCTTGGCAGGGAAGAAAGAAGAAGGTTGCTCATCCCTGCTGCATAGGTACACATCCTGCCACTCAGCTCAAGGGCTGGGTGGCAAAAAATTTGAGTAAAAAAGCAAATCCAGGAGGCAGGGAGGCCCTGGTACTAGCTGGTCCACACAGTGGCTGTCAACCACTGTGGATTTCACCAGCCAGAGTGTCCATGGAGATACAGAGATGGTAAAAGTTCTAGCAACGAGAACTCGCGTACAGAGATTTGTGGCAGCAATGTATTTTCAACAAATAGCCATTTCTGCCAAAGAAGAGCCAAGTAAAATTGTGGGAGAAAAGGAATCTGTTGGGAACGGGAATTGCTCCAATAAATCTTTGTATCGCTTTAGGAATTTTTGTTTCTACTGATGGAGAATTATGTGTAGATCAAAAGGTTGCACCATTCTGAGTTGCTTCAAATTTAAACATGTCGTGTCATATCTTCTGTCATTTGGGACCAGGCTAGCAACTGCTGTATAAGTGACTCAAATTATATATATATATATATATATATATATATATATATATATATATATGAATGATGATACAGTGAATGCAGGTATGGCATATGTAAACGACAAAGCTGCAGAAACACAGGCTAGGGTACTGGATGCAGAATTTAATTTCTTGAGAATCTCGGCATTGATTCTTCTACAAAATAAGCAAGAATCTAAGCTCTTTTGACTGTGAAGATACATCTGAAATGATGGGCAATGCTGCTGAAACCTCAGAGGTGGCTAACCAAAATATCTAATGACTAGCAGTGGGGCACCAGTGACCTCCATAGCTTTTTCACCCCATGATTAGGAAAACCAGACTAACAAGACAATCTTAATCATGCCTACTTTGAAGTAAATCCTATTGAATTCAGTGGGTCTCACTCCCCAGTAAATGGAATTAGGAGTGCGGTCTGAATTCTGCAAAATCAGCATTTGTGCAAGTTTGCCTAATTTATGCTGGATAAAGCATTTTAAATTTCAGAGCATAGAGTTCTGGGTAGAGGCAGAGATCGGGCTTCACCAGCATCTTGGTTTGAGACATGCTGTTTAAACGTTTGAAGAACGCGTGGCTTCAAAAGCGGATTAGACAAATTCATGAAGATTAAGGCTATCGATGGATAAGTTCTACCTCCAGTTTCGGAGACAGTACACACCCAGGGAACCACAGGAGGGATGCATGCTGTTGTAGCTTCCCATAGGCATCTGGTTGGACCACTGACTAAATGGGCCACTGGTCTGATGCAGCAGGTGCCTCTTAGGTTCCAAATGAACACCATTTCTGGGGGCTGGTCAGTAGCATTTGACTGTCTCCTACCTAGCAATGAATTTCCTCCTCCCCCCCCAACATATATTAAAGGCTTTAGCTAATATTCTGTCCATCTCATTTCTTCAAGGGTTTCCAGCTTAAAGTCTCCATCTGTGCCATAGAATTGGTTGCCCCTCTAGAGCATAGGAAACACTCCTGGTGACACTTGTGGCAGCTCTGGGTTTATAGCCATGAAATAGGTAGAGGCAATGCTTCTCCAAGTAGACTGCTCAGCAGTCTAAACTACATGAGCCACTGAGGAAATCTTTGGGGATGACAGCTAAGTTTTTACATACATACTTGAAGCCATAATGTAGCTATGAATCTTCTCCCTTTGTTCTGTATTCTATTTAAGAAGCTGCTTATTATTTTCCGTGCATCACACCCAGCTTTAACAGCCCCCTTGCCCTCAGGGATTCAAAGGGAATGAAGCTAATAATCCAGAGGTACCCAGGATATCAGTGCATCCAGCGGAATTGCTTTTCCTTATCTTGCCTCCTTACCTGCAAGGCGATCGCTCGAAAAGTGAATCACTGCTGGACGTGTGAATCGCTGGAGGAAGAAGAAAGAACGTCTTCCGGGGAAATAAACACAAGTAGGGAAAGGGGCTGTCCTCTTCAAATCACATTGCTTAATGGCAATGTGGTGTGCATGGCCAGGAGTTTGGAGAATTCCAGCTCTAAATGCAGATCCTGAATTGAGTGTTTATTGGAGGAAAAGAGTCTACAGCTATATCTCCTGCTGTATACACAGACTGCTTTGGGATTTGGAAAGATGTCCCTCTGTGGTGTTTAATACAGACATCTAGCAGGGATTGTTGTTCTGGTCTCAAAAGGCCAAGAAAGGGGGCCCCTTCTATTGGATCTGGGTTTATAAGGTTTCTTGCATGTATCACATCATGCACCAGGCAAAAAACAAATCTGCCTCTCTACCTCCATCAAGATCTGACCCCTCCATGGGGGCATGGTGGTGCTACTGCCTTTGGAGATACAGCGAAGGTGCCTCTTATCACACTCCCCAAATGAGCACTCCAGCATTCGTTGCGTGGGGTATTCATGGGGAATGCACTGGGTTGTTTTCCTGGAAAGCTATGCCTTCTATGTACTTCTGAATTGTGAAGTGCCTGGCACACTACTGGCACTAAGTAAATGTTAAATGGTAGTTTCTGTAATATATATGTCAAAATAAAAGTTATATGCAAATACAAATGGTTTTAAGTTTATGTTATTTAAGTGTATGAACATGAGCTCGAAATACAAGGTGTTTCCTTAATGTGTTTCTGTTTTTGTTTGTTGCTGTGGAGAGCTGTTTAGGAAGTGGCTTTGTTTTGATATTTTACGTTTTTTTAAAAGTGGATTTATGCTTCCAAAGCTGTGCCATCCCACTTCCCGCATGAAGTTGTACAGTTTATAGAAGCTATCTTGGTTTTCCCTATAGTTTACAGCTTGTGGTTTGTCTGGGAGAGGGTTTGGACAACATTCTAAGTCAAGTATGTATTCGCTCAGTATGGCACAGCAGCAAAAGGAGTGCAATCTCTTTTCCGAGACCCTGCCATTCACACCAAGCCATGGCTTGGCTTATGCAATGGAAGTGGGTTCTGCACTCTGCACAGCTCCTCACCCCCCCCCCCAAAAAATCAGGCTCCTTAGAGTATATAAAGTGACAGGAAAGTGCACTGGAATAAGTAAGGTAACAATTGTTTGATGTGATATCATATGACCTCTGCAAACAAATCAGGATGAATGCAAAATAAATAGGCTGTCAGGAAACAGCCTGGATATTAAGAACATTACCTGCAGTGTAGGATGAAAGACGGAAGCACGGAGATTCATCTCACCTCCTGCATTTCCCACGCTGGCAAACTAATAAACAAAGACAGTAAAAGGAAAGTGGAAGCTAAAAGCAATTAATGAAGACTGGAAAAGGCAACAGTCTTAAATAGCCATAAAAGCAGCATTGCCTACTTGCTGACAAAATCCAAGGCAAAAAAGGTAGGTTTAGGTTATGATTAATTCTAAGCACACTTGCCTGGGAGTAAGCTTCATTGAAATTAATAAGACATACTTCTGAGTAGATATGCATAGGATTGCATTTGTAGGAGTTTTGACTGGAAGCTGCCATGGCCATCCTTGTGAACAGTCAACCCAAATGTGATAAAAACACAAGGGCTGGTCAATTTCAAACTAATATTTGTATGTTTTTGTTGCACACTGGACCAACAGGTCCTGGCAAGACACTATTGTTCTGCGTTACCCAACTATTTTTGTGTGCATGTGGAATCTACTGCCATTCCAAGGTAGGTAAGTTATTGACACAATTTGTATCCCACCTTCCAGTAAAATATCCAAGGTGGCTTATAGTCTGGATAAAAATACACAAGCTATAATAAAAACAAGCACAACAATATCAAATAACATCACCGAAATCGGTCCTAAAACTAAAAGTCACCTGATTTTCATGCCACAGATGCCAAGTCTGGATGCCAGCTTGTGCCAGTCATTCCCACTAATGCTCTCTGCCTCTAACAGCAGCTGCAGCTGCTCAAAGAGCTCATGGAGGATTCTGGAACCCCCCAAAAATGCATCTCCATGTCATTCCAAACATCAACTAGCCATCCAACTGGATGTAAAGACCTTCACTGCCTCTCCCTCTGGAGTTGTAGGCATCTGTTGTTCTGCACCCTTGACACATTTTCCTGCCTGCTCCATCCTCACCAGTAGTTTCCACTTGATTTCACCGCTAATCTTCCACAGGAAATCATTTCCCCAAATGCATAAGTTTTGACCGTTTTCAATCAGGCAATGGAGAAAATTTAGGCATACTCTTTAACGTAAGGATGGGGAATGTGTGGCCCCCCAGATGTTGAGATTCAGCTTACATCAACCCCAGCCAGCATGACCAGTGATGGGGTATTGTAATCCAGAAATATGGAGGGGGGCACAAATTCACCACCCTTGCTATAAAATGAAAGGGAAGTAGAGCTTTGCGGAAGGGCCACCACTCTGGGTTGAGCATCTGCTTTGCATGCAGATTCAATCCCCAGCATCTCCAAGGATGGCTGGGAGAGAACTAGTCTGAAACTCTGGATTGCCAGTTAGTGTAGACAACATTGAGCTAGATGCAAACATTGAGTTTGAATCAATATAAGGCAAATTTCTATGTTCCTACATGACTTAAGAACCAGGCCCAGAGTTTAAAATTCCCAAATAAGTTTTCCATTTATGCATTTATAGAATTGTCATTACTGTTAATGCTCCTTATCTTAATATAAGGTAAAGGGTAAAGGGCCCCTGGACAGTTAAGTCCCGTCAAAGGCGACTATCTCTCGCTTTCAGGCTGAGGGAGCCAGCGTTTGTCCACAGACAGCTTTCCGGCTCATGGCCAGCATGACTGAACCGCTTCTGGTGCAACGGAACACCATATCAGAAACCAGAGCTCACAGAAACGCCATTTACCACTTGCACTAGTGTCCTTCGAACTGCTAGGTTGGCAGAAGCTGGGACAGAGCAATGGACAATCACCCTGTTGCAGGATTTGAACCGCTGACCTTCTGATCAGCAAGCCCAAGAGGCTCAGTGGTTTAGACCGCAGCGCAATACTGTATTTTAATATACCACCTGCCTTATCCGGAATGGCTGAGGATAGCTAGATGGCGTGGTCATATGTCACTGACCATACAAAGCAGGTTGTCGCTTTCCCGATTCTATGATGGAAGAACTGAGGCTGAATGAAAGAGGTCCAAACACGGCAGTCCAGGGCAGAGCTGGAATCTGAACAGAGAGACATATAGGAGCATGTGAAACTGACTGTTGGCCTACTGGTTTCTGTAGGCCCAACTAGGTCTCGCATCATGTCGCTTCTGAGGGGTCAAAGGTAACAAAATGCATCCAAACAGAAAATTGTACATTCATTTAACCCCATATCTAGTCATCGTGGTTACCAAGTGCTGGCCAAACAGTCCTGGCACTGTTACCTCCCTTATTCTGATGCATTTGTTGTTTTAGCTGGCTTTGCCTCGAATCACCTGTGCCCCCCCCCCATTCTGCTCCAGAGGGTCGCCCGGCCCTGTGGAGCAGGTTTTGTGCAGTTTTGGTGGGGTAAGGAAGTGCTGCTGCATGCGCAGGAGTCCGCTCACATCACATTGGATATTGCCCTTGACTATCTCTCCCTTCTAAGTGTTCCTGGCACCCTGGTATGCCAATGAGATGCAACTGTAGCCAAGCAGTGCCAGAGGAACAGCTGTCACTCGTGTCCCGGCCTTTTCATCGCATGAAAGCCCTTTCATTCTGTCTACAGAGTTTATTTTATTTATTTATTCCCCTCCTTTCAAAACAATTCCAGTACAGAAGCAGACTAGGAAAGAGCTCAACTTATAAGGCTTGTTAAAAGAGGAACGTCTTTCGCAGGTGCTGGCAAGGGAGCAGAGATGGTACCTGTCTAACATTCAAGGGAAGGGAATGCCAAAGGGTAGATGCTACAACACCAAAGGCCTGATTCCTACACTGGGTGGAATGGACCTCCTAATAAGGTGGAGTCTGCAAGAGGCTCTCACAAGCATCCCAGAGAAATGGGACAATAATGGTTATTTCAACAATTCTAACGCTGTGGATACCAAAGATGCCTGCATCACTTGAGGAACCAGGTTAATCCACAGAGAAACAAGAGTGCACTGGTAACCCCCAAGTCCAACTCTACTGAGCATGCATAACATTGGTAGATGAGGAGCAATGTGCTACTGTAACTTAAGCGGGATCATAGTCTATTCTTAACCTTCCTGTCTCATAGCAGGTTCAGCAGACGCCCATAAAAAGATACACACCAAGAATGCTACCAGCTGCACTTGCTCCTGCAGGATTCTCTCTCCCTCTTTGTTTAGTGGAAGGTTAAACATAACAAAAGATAAATGGCCCTCATAAAAAGGGCAGCTGCTGTCTAACAATCCCCCTCCCACAAAAAGAGAAAGCCTTATAATGGTAGTTAACCGAACTTCTCAACTGTAGTTATTAACTCCACAACAGGCAAGGTTAAGACCTAATTAAATTTTCACCTAAGGTAGCATTGGAGTAAAGGAATGTACCGTAAGCCCTGAAGCAGACTTCACTGCTGCCTAACAGCTCCATAATGGGCCTAACACCAAATTAATCTGAGCCTCCTTCACCTAATCCCACAGGACATTTTTTTAAAAGCAGCTGTCCTGGGGGAGAAAGAGACCCAAGGGGAAGGCATGTAATTGACTCTCATAGCCATGTTATATTTTGATATTTTGTCATGTTCTATTGGCTGCTTTGAGATTTAAAAAAAATAGGAATTGGTACCAAAATGACCAATACATTCTTAACCAAAACAAAAATAAAACAGGATGGGGGCAGCCAGTGAGCTCAGGACAGAAAAAATGTGTCTCAGACTTTTCTAATCCTATATGCCCCAGTGTCTCTGCATCAATGTGTCTGAGGGTATTTCTACACAGTGGCAGCCTTTGGTCTTAGTATATAGTATGTTTTTGCCCTAATATGACATAGTAACTAAGGGAGACCCTGCTTCCCCATCCAAAGTAGTCACATCCTGGGAAGCGGAATTACCTGCCTCAACCAGCCTGTTTCCTGGTCTCAGCACCCCTATGTCATCTTTTTGTTTCCCCTTCCTCATCTGCCTCAGCCTGCCCACCCCACTCTTCAGCATAGTGACACTTTGGGACTCATGACACCTGCACAGGAGGAATTGGGAAGGTGTGGTCCTCCCAATGTTGTTGTACTCCTTCTTCCATCGTCCCTGACCACTGTCGATGCTGGCTTGAAGGGAGATGGAGTTCAACAACGTCTGGAGGGCCACAGGGTCTCCATCCTTGTTGTATATTCAAGGAAGGGGACACAGTGCCCTGGGTGCATGTGATTTTGCACAAGTAAGTTTACGGCTGTTTTTAATATATGCCCAGCATCATACTCAAATCAGCTCTAAGCAGTTACCCCGGAGATACGGATATATTTTATGACAGGCTGAAAGTCCAACTCTTGCTGTGCTTGCTACATGACCCATGGCACAAGGAGATCAATTTGTTCTGGAGGTCTTTGAAACCTTTGTCTTGCAAAGCCAAACTCAGATCCTGGAAATGTGTGCCCCACATTAAAGCAGCCTTTGACTCCATCTCAAGACCCCGACTCTGGGACAAACTCAACAAATCATCCATAGACCAACGTCTCCTGCTATTAATATCCAAACTGTACAACAACACACGACTTCGCATAAGATGTAGCCAAGAAGGTCAACTCTCTAATTCCATTAGAACAACAAAGGGAGTTAAACAAGGATGTATCTTGGCCCCCTTTTTGTTCAACATCTATATAAACTCCCTAATAGACCACCTACAAGGAGCGGATACACACGCCCCAAAATTAGCAGACAAAAAACTGCCTATCCTACTCTATGCAGACGATGCGGTTATACTGTCCCAGACTCAGAAGGGCCTTAAAAGAGCTCTTAACAGCTTATCCCAATATTGTAGAGAAGAGAAACTAGTAGTGAACTATCAAAAAACAAAAATCATGGTTTTCTCTAACAAAAGAAAAATATATAGATGGAAATTAGACAATCAGGAGATTGAACAAGTGACATGCTTTAAATACCAAGGAGTTATATTCCAAGCATCAAGGAAGAAGACTGCCCACATAAATTACAGTTCCTCTACAGCACAAAAAGTACAACAGCAAGTCTAAGATACCATCGTACACTGGGAGGAAATTTTATTCCTGCCACAATTAAACTATTCGCTGCAAAACCAACAGCACAAATACTATACGGCGCACCACTGCCTCCCTCTCCAATCTAGACCCATACGAAAAGATACAATCAGGTTTCCTTAGATCACTCCTGCAAACACCTAAATGCGTCCCAAACGCCGCCCTACAACTGGAAGCGGGCTTATACAGCATCAAAACCAAAGTATGGATAAGAACCTTATGCATTTGGCTAAGATTTAAAACTCGCCAGTTGGACTACTTTCCCTGATGCTTCTTGACAAATTCCAATCTAGTTGGCTGAAGGGCATTCTCAGAAAATTGGCCACATATGGTCTCTCCCCAGAGTATTTATTAAGTTTAGAAAGGGGAAGGGCCAAGAATATAATTAAAGAAAGACTCAGGGACATTGAAGCCCAAAATGACTTTAGTCAACTTCCGATAACTCATAAACTCCTATTCGATTCCCAAAGCCCCCATTTAGCAAACTATCTCAAAGTTCTACATAATGCTAAACACCGATGGGCATTTACCAGGGCCCGCTTTAACGCTCTCCCTTCAGCTCTTCTAGAGGGAAGATACAACAAAATACCGATCGAACAAAGATTATGTCCCTGTAACAGCAACGAAATTGAAACCATCGGGCATGTCATCTTATATTGCCCATTATATCGAGACTCAAGAAAAGAGCTGATCGAGCCGATTCTGAGGAAAATACCTCATAGTACAGACAACACCTATATCAGACACCTCTTAGCTGACAAAGACCCCGAAATCAACAGGCCTGTGGCGAAGTACTGTTACATTGCAACAAGAATAAGACGAGCAATGATGACAGCAACGGAGTTCAAATTGCAAACATCGAAGGAACGATAATAAACAGTAGTGACATTTGAATTGAATCCTTAAAACCTTAAAAGTCGAAACTTGGTCATAAACATAAGTACCAATTTTGTGATTTGGCCATATCTCCACTGTTATCTGTAGTACAATAGTACTTATATTGCCATATTTTATTTTATAAATTGCTTGCTGGTCATTGACCGTATTAAAGATATTTGATTTGATTTGTGTGCCCCACACTTTAGAACTGGAGATCAGCACACCTTGTACTATTGTAGATGCAGCCTGTTCCCTTTGGGTCTGGTCCAGTTTGTATACTGAGAATAAGATATACCTAATAGCATGGGGATCAGGTTGCCATTATATATCCAAATAACACCAATGATGCACATATATAGCAAACACTTATCTGACAACCAAGACGGGAGCTAGCAAAAGGGAGTGCATCCTTCCTTCATCACAGCATTCTCCTATGGCCTTAGTAAATAAACTGGGTTTCTCATTAACTTCACAGTTTGCTCTTTCCAGTTTGCATTTAATACAGTAGCAACTGCTTCTCTAGATACCCAGGTGCACACTGTCTTAACAGTCAGGCAGAAAGAAGCACTAAGTTTACAGCCCTACAGTGTGATTTCCATTACCAAAGCAATTCCATTATGAAAGTGTCTGCTGTGGACACTGCAATCTTGGCTCTGGAGCAAATTTGCGCAACTGGAGCATTGGGATCTGGTTGAGTCTGGTCTAGCCAAGCAGACAACTTCAGGTGGGTTCACAGAAGAATGTGCAAATACCAGGTCTCCCTGTTATTATTATTTTTTTCATATTCATCCTCAATACTTGGAGAACCATCTATACCAAACAATGGATCACATGCGCTCCTTCCTATGACATGAGAATAGCCATAACAAGTGCAGATTCCCACCAACACACTTGGGACACTGCACCTTGCAAGGAGAATCAGGACTGAACCAGCAATGTTGTCCTAAATTCCTTCTGTGTTGGTTCTATATGCCTTTTATTTTCACCCTCCCCGATCTCTTAGAGTAAATATGTTCGATAAAAACACATGTAATTATTGTCTGGGTCAATAGCTGGTCTAAGCCGTACTTGGGGCTCCAGATTTCTCCTAGGCCAACACCACAGACAAATTTTGGATGTAGCAGAACTGTTATTTGTCATCCAATCTTCACATCAGTTCTTCCTTGCTTATTGTCAAACAAGGAAGAATATTAAGTACTCCGTTGCAAAGATCTCAAGAGCCTTTGCTCTTCTGTCTCAAGAAGAAGTTGAAAACACAAGTGAGCTATTCCCAAAGGCCCCATAAAGAAAATTGCTTTGGGATAAATAGTCCATTGTCAGTGACTATCTATGCTGAAGAACATAAAATATCTCTGCTCCCTGTGTTGTTGAAGCAAATGCTCATTCACATCTAATTCCAGCTTCCCATACCTAAAACACTCAGCAGAACAGCACACTATCTCTTACAGCAGGTGGCAATAATGACAGTGAGAAGATAAGACTCAAGGAGGAGGCTTGCTGAAGGTGTCCTGCCCAAAGCTGATCTCACAGACTGTAGTAATACTTCTTAGTTATAGTTTGCATGCTCAAGCTCTTTGCCGCAACAGGCATTGTACTGACATCCAGATGCCCATTCTTGGATTAATGCAATTCACTTGCTACTTTGAAGGGACAGCTGCATGCAGAAAGTTAACGGCACTTACAGAAAGCTCTGCACAATCACACCAGCTCACATCTGCTCCTTAGCACAAATGTCTCCCACCAAATAATTTTCTTTAGCACCATTCGAGTGCAATAAAACATAACACTAATTATGTGCAACAGCAATAATATTAAATTCCATCTGGACACATCAGCCTTGTTTCAAGGCATAAACAATTAGATAACTATCCATAGCCAAAGCGAATGAGTCTTTAATGCTCTCTGTGTTGCAGGCAAGCCGCTAATGGAAATGGATGTCTAGCTTTTATTTGCATTTAGCATGCATCTGTAATGTTGCTGTTATTTATTCAAGTGGCTCATGCTAACTTTGGCAGAGAGGTGCTCCCAAGTGCATATGGTTAATGAAGGTTGCACAGCAAAGAGCATCAGTAATTAAACAGCAAACACAACAGCTCAGATGCTTATGCACCAAGGGTTTCAATACTCAAAAGGCCTGCTTCAAATGCATGGGAAGGGGTGCATGGAGTTTGAAGGGAACTGGGGAAGACCAGAGCATTCAAAGAGATTTGTAGACATTATCTTGGCTGGTAAGCTTTGCAACAAGAATTTGGCCCTTTGAGGACCACCGGATGCCCAGCAGCTAACCCAGAGGGATGAGAGATGAGTGGAGGGAGTTGACAGTGGTACGAGGCTAGGCTAGCAGCTCTCTTTGGTGTACAGCAGGAGGGTGGGGAACCCAAGGGTCACATTTCCTCCAGTGAAACCTTCCACACGCCATTGGTGGGAAGGGCCAGAGGCAAATGTGAGCAGAGCAACAATGTAAATGTTACCGTTGTACAGGACGCTAGGTTCTGTCCTCCATCTAGATGAGCAATAAGCATTATCAGAGTTCAAAGACATATTCCAACCAGTCAAAAACCAGGGGTGCAAAGGGCTGGTAAGGAGTGTGGTGCAGAAGATGGCCTGGGGAGAGGTTATAATGGGGTCTGAGGTGCTCTTTTCCTGGTGTACAGCCTGGGAGCTGACTCACCACCTCATCCTCTTCTTAAGAATCTCCTTCACCAAGGTTTTACAACAACCCTGGAAAGTAGGACACTACTATCACCACCATATTCTGGGTGAGGACTGAGCAATGGCCTGCCCAAGGCCCTTCGACGAGTTGATTATGGCAGATGGGGTTTTTTTTAAAGGAGAAGCTTCCTGGTTCAGCTCTGAATCTCTTCTAGGAACTGCACCAGCTCGTCAGCCTGGCCTGGCTCCGCAAGCCGTTCAGCCCAACTCTGACGGGTGACTGGCCTCGGAGAAGGGTCGCTGCTGTACCCCGCCCTCTGCAGCCTGTTACACAAACGGGGCGCCGCCGGGGAGAGAGCGAGAGCGATCTCCTCCTCTCCTTATCGTACTTGCACGCCGCAGTCCGTTGTGTAACCCGACCCACACAGGCTCTTCACAAAGGCGACGCCTCGCCCCTGCTCTCTCCCTCCCGCTGCTTGGGCACAGCCAGAGCTCGAGAGAGGCTGAAGCCCATTGGCTCGCTCCTCGCGTCCGCCCTTGCAAGACGGCGAAGTTCCGCTCCGGGAAGGTAAGGGAAACAAAAGGCGGCGCGTGGGGGGCGCCCGAGCCGCGCAACTTTGCCAGGGTGGTCGCGTTCTGTTGCAAAGCGGGACGTTCCATCCGCTCGGACAACGGAATGCCTCTCAAAGAAGCAAAACGGGCTCAATGGCTCCCCCCCCCCACAGAACACACACAGCATGCAGCCAATTAAACCACGCTGGGCTGCGTCGAGGCGGAAGGTCAAGCCAAGCCACCTCTCCGTCTTTTTAGAAACGTTAACAGCAAAGACCCCTGTGTCACCCTGAAGCGTGACCAACCGAACGCCCTTGGATTGTGGCGGGAGAGCTTTCCTGCGCGACTCTAGTCCGCGAAAGCTTGTATCATATGCCGTCTGTGCGAAGCGTTTTCGCAGGCTGCAGCAGCAGGGCTCTCTTGCTGTTGCTGAGTTTTTTTAAAAAAAATATTACTGTAATTCTAGAAATGTACAATGAGCCTCCCTACAGTGTTACCTATTCTCCTCATCTGTTCATCATAGTGTAACAAATTGAGACTATGAATACGTATTAGAACTTCAGAATGGGAATCAAGATTCCTGTTGTCTGTGGAGCTGGAAGTAATTTTTTTACAAAACAAAACTGAAAACAGGAAATATTTCAGTCAAGAAAAAACATCTTGCCTATGGGAAATTCCCAATGGAATTAAATGAAGCGATCAAAAATAACTTGTTTATTCCACCTATCTTTAACAGAGCATTCAGGCTGCAGGGCGTGTGAAATATTTTTTTCCTGATCTCCTATAAAGGCGAACAGTATCAGAATTTTCTGTTTGATAAGAAATCTGTTCCTCAGCAAACTCTAGTTTAACACCAGGCTCTCAATGGGACTAAAAAGTCTTTAGTTATAATCCTAAAACTACTTGAAATGAATGGGACATACTGTACTTCAGGGGATGGGGAAGCACACTAAATCTGTTTTCTGATCATTATCCCTGACTGCTTACTAGAGAATCTGCTGTCTGGTACACAGCTGTGAAGTGTAATTATGTAGGTAAGGGTTTGCCAGATGAAAAAATAAAACATGAGAATTGCTTTGCCTTAAATAAAGCTTGAGTGACTGTCTGGCAGGCAGGGATGCTGTAGTCACAACCAGCATTGCACATCCTGCATTGAACAGTGAGTTGAGACTTGATGGCCTCTAAGATCCCTTCCAATTCTATGATCAAGGCCTATCTACTACAGCATCTTGTCTCCTACAGCAGATGATGAGCATCCCCTATTCTTTGTTTCCAGCATCCCATACGCAAGACATATATGCTAATTCTGAACATGAAGCTTCTAACGGGTCATAAGTGGCCTACCTGAAGAACAGCAGCAGACTGCTAAGGGGAGATAAATTTGCCAAATTAGATTGCCATGGTCTTAACAGCATTCTTGATATAGTAAAATGGCTTACTCTAACTTTAAAATGCTAATAACAGCATCCTCGAAGGAAAGATCATTGGAAAAGGAGCATCTGCATCTGTCCCTCATTTTAACCAACACAAGAAAAAAGATCTTTGCTTTATTTCCTTTAACCTACAGGAGGAAACACATCTCAAGTTGAGAGTAAGTACCTCCCAATGTGAAAATAACTAACGGTGTACAATTACCAATTTTCAGTTTCAAAGGCAAATCCGCAATCCGTATTTGCTAGAACTGTCTGGCTGAGGATGTGGGTCCATGCTCTTGGCTTCACAGCCTTGCCCCATCTTGGTGGATTCCTGGGCTGGTTCTTCACTCGGAAGGAAGTGCCCACGTGGTTTGAAGATCTGAAGAAACCGTCATGGCGGCCGCCCAATAAAATGTTCCCAGTTGCTTGGACGACACTGTATACAAGCATGGGGTAAGGCTTCCTGGGCAGCCCCTTCCTCTTCACTCAAGGCTCCAGTCCTAAGCACATGCTAGAAAGCAAGCCCAACTGAATTCAGTGGAACTTAGGTCCAAGAAAAAATACATGGGATCAGACTGACAGCTATTCCATTTGCCTCTGCTGCTTCCATGGTAGCCTTTGTAGCAACTAGTTGGCTGATTTCCTCTTTGCGATGAGTTTTATCCAGTTAGTCACACTCAATTAGATCCATGGAATAGACACAACTAACTCAGGTACCTTCATTTCAGTGGGTTTTAGTTGGTGCTACCTGTTGCAATTAATCCTGACCCAGTGGCTCCTTGCTTCCGTCTCCCTTCTTGCATTTCATGTTGGGAATGGCTATCCTAGAGTCCCCTGCAATGGATTAAGTAGTGTCAGGATGCTGCCTTTAATGAGGTTGTTCCAGTCTACTGTCTCCATCCAGGAGGACAGAAGTTGCGACTCTTAGGTTGCAATCCTAAACACACTTTCTTAAGAGTTAAGTCCAAAGTACCATTGAAAGTGGGCCTTACTTCTGAGTAGACAGGTGTAGAATTACACTTAATATCTTAGACCCTTCTGCACTACTTCTTTAATGCAGATTCCTTGGGGGCTCAGAACTCCTGCTAGATTGGTAGTGATAACCAAAAATGATGCAACATTAAACTAGCTCTGGGAAATACAGTAAGCCCACAACTTACACACATTTATATTGTGCACATTTAGCTTTACACATGTAGCAAAAAACTAAAAAGGGGTGGAAAGGGGGCTGGGTTCCTGGGGAAATGACGTTGGCAATCCCACCTGCCTTTGAACCCAATGGGTTTTGATTATACAAAATTTTGGCTTTAGGTGCGATCCCCAGAATGTAACCCCCATGTAAGTTGAGGGCTTTCTGTAGTGAAATTCTAGCTATATTGATAAACTAAGTGCTTGTGCAGCAGCACCATAGATTTGTTATGTCTTATCTTTGAGATTTCTACTGAAAAAGCTTCAAATGTACTTAGCCATCATCTAAGCTGCATTTCACTGGTGTTAAGGCTTACACGGGAAGGGTTGCTCAGAGTAGTAATCCTACCGAAGCAAAGCTGATAATGTGGCATTCAAAAGCAAAGCATTGTCTGGTTTCCTTTTCTGCAGGTATGCTTCATATTTGGTGTGGAAGGACCTTGATGGCTTCAACAGTCAAGCAGTTGTCCCACTGGGTCTCTATGGAGCTCAGCTTGCACTGAACTGGGCATGGACTCCTATATTTTTTGGAGCTCACAACCTAAAGCTGGTAATGTATCCCAAACATTTGCTGTACCATTATGTTGCCTGTATTGCTGTTACCTTTTTGGGACCTCCAGTGAGGCTGACTAGGAAACTGCTGGGCTAAAATTGATCAATGGAATGTGCAGACTCTTTAAAAAAAATCCTCTAGCAGGGATGTTTATCTAAACGCACACATTATGTCCGGGCCTCAAAATATACTGAGTTTCTGTTAGAAATGTCAAAACTAGGAAGGTCCAGAGTGAGGTTTTCAGTTGTTGAGCCAGTGGGACACAGTGCTTCAAATGTTAGACCAGAACTGTGGAGAAACCCACTCTGCCATGAAGCTCACTGAGTGAACATGGGCCAGTCATAAGCTCTCATCTTAAGCTACCTCACAGGGTTGTTGTGGGGAGAAAATAGGGGCAAAGTCCCCTGTAAGAAAAACAGGATATAAATGTAACAAACAAACTAGAACTACTTCCTTTACGGCTTTGTTCTTTGCTCTCTCTGGCCCCAAGCCCTTGATTTTCTGTCCATGTTCCCAAAGGGTAAAGCAGAAAAAGAGGGCAAAACAACCTGCTACAGAACAAAGCAGGCAGATAGGTTAATGTGTTTTAGTGGTGATTAAAGTTCCCTGGGCACACAATACATGAGTCTTCAAGTGAGGTCTTCCATAATGTTTGTAGCTGGCATTTAGTTACAAGAGCAAGGAGAATTTGATGAACTGGGGCAAAAGGCTTGCATGGCTTGTATCCACTTTGCAGCTGGCTCCTGCCAGTGATATCAGCCCCTTGCAGTTCTGTTTACTGCCTTCAAAATTAAAGCAGATGGCTGCCTCGAGAAGGGTGTGAAGCTAGCACCGTTATGATCGGGGTGATCCATATTTTTCAGTTGAGAATGGTGTGTCTTGAGATAAGCAGCTCTGAGCACCACACCTTGACCTAATCAGCAAGCAAAGGCCAGAGCTTCAGTGCGCTCATTATTCATATGTACCTTATTAAACTGTAAAATGCCAAAGTGTTAATAAGAGAATATGTATGATAGGAGTTGTTTGGATTAGCACATTTAGACACTTAGCGCTGCATTAGAGATGAAGAAAAGGAGAGCCTGGAGTGTTCAGATGGCTAAATTCCAGCCTCTAGGGAACCGAGGAAGAATGCCAACATTTCTAAGCACAGATGGAAGTGACAATACAACTTGGAAAATTTGGTAATAAGGGTAATAACTCTTATCCGGCTCTGGTAAAGGGAATATGGCCCACCCAGCCCCAACCTATGCTCTGCTGTCTACTGGCACAATAGCATAATATCTGGTGAAAGGATTCTATAGTTGACACCTGGGAAAACCTTGCTCTAACACTATGAGCTGGATCCACCCTGTGCACTGAGCTAGCCGCCATCACTACCACTAGTGCCTGCTAAATAAAAGCTGCTGTCCCGATTCCTGCATTGTGCAAAGATCTTTGCAAGGGAGGCAGGGAAATGAGGGGACCAGCAACTTGTTCCAGTTGCCAATGGAGCAATGCTTCCACTGACAAAAAGCTCTGGCATGAAAAGCCTGAGAGGTATATGGGAGCAGATGGGGCAGTCCTGGAGTGCTCAGCCACTTGCTTTGTGTAGGATCATTCTCAGCCTTGTGGTAAAAGAAGAGATTGCGTCTTTTGCATTCTGTCCAGTGTGTCAATCATTTAGACATTGCTATTTCTCTTTTCCAGGCCCTGATCGACATTGTGGGTCTTTATGGGTTAGTGCTGGCCACAATATATTCCTGGTACCCTATTAACAAAACAGCAACACTGCTGATGCTGCCTTACCTTGCCTGGCTGACCTTAGCTTCTTCTCTTACCTACCGTATCTGGAAAGACAATCCTGAAAAGGGAAAGAAGAAAGAATAAGGAAGGAACTGGGGAAATGGACATATTTGGCGAAACCCTTTGACCCTGAGATCTGGTACTATGGAAGGAAGTTAATTTAACTGGCACAAAAGCATTTAGCATTTAAGGGTTGGGAGATGGGGAATCCTTTACAAAATGCAATGGCACATATTAAGAAGACTGTTATACATTCTGAGTTTGAAAACCACAGTTCCCATCCTCATTCAAAGCACTATTTTATACATGTTTACTCAGAAAAGTCTCACTGAATTGACTGAAGCCTAATGAGACGATGTTGTTAGGTAACATTTATATAGATAAGCCCTTCTTACAACTTTGGATTAGCTTTGTTTTGTTTCACTGAATTGTAGTTAGAAGACTACTTCAGAAGAATCTGGAGGCGCACTAGACTCATTAAGAGTTGAACACCCATATATGTATTGTACTAATGAGGGTTGCTTCACACATTCTTGCTTTTTAGGTGCATACATTAACTTTTCCTCTCCCATTTCCTCCCCTCTTCATTCTTTTCCCCAAGTGCCATAATTTAGATTGTAACACATTGGGGCAAGGACCTATTTTTTTTGTTGGCTTCATTCCAATAGCCTATAAGCAGTGCAATCCTACATATGTCTATTTGCGAGTAAGCTTTATTGAGTTCAGTAGGGCCTACTCCCAGGAAAGTGTGTATAGGACTGAGGTGCAAGTCTTTATACACCTAAACATGTAAAGTGTGGATGCTTAAGCACTGGTTTTTGGGTTTTTTGTGGAGTTGGGAATAGCCTCAGGCACTCTGTTAGGTGGATACTCAGTGGCATAGCTGGGTGAATGTATGAAAAGGCTCAGATGCTGGGAATGGAACAGGAATTATTTTCACCCGACAGGAGGGCTTGCTCTGTTTTTCCAAGTCAGTTATTACATGGGCAGATGGTTACACATGAATGCACCATGATGAGCTATTTCACAAGCCATGTTTTCATTTGTTTAAAGTAAAGGAATTCAGTTCTAGTGCTGGGGACAGAACCGAGCAACTGCTGGAAATGGGTTTGAGTCCCCAAAAGTTATAGTATTAATATATATGCTTTTGCTGCTTGAGATTAACATGGTCAGCCCTTTGGAAATAGATTTAATAAGTTGTGGGGTTTTTTTTAAAGTGGGGGAGCTGATATTATTGCTTCTTTCTCCCAGTAGCTCTTGGTGCAACCTGAAATCTGTTTAGCATCCAGCAGAGGCTTACTTAATGAAGTTTGCCCAATACCCTCTTAACACTGCTACAAACTGCAGACTTTGGGGCTTTGACATCATATTCTGCTTTTTCTCCCCTTTGCATTGTTTTGTTGAACATCCAGCCTGACTAAGTGTTTCAGGCAGTGTATTTTTCTAGAAGAGGCACCAGAACTCACCATGAATGCCTCCTTTGTTCCCTTAAAATGGCAATGACGCCCACCTGAGAGGTGCCGGAACTGAGTTCCGGCAAGTTCTGGCTGAAAAAAACCGTTTCTGGGGAACATAAGCTTGCTCATGACTTTGTGAATTTTGCTTTGTCATAATAAAGGTATTGTCCTACTGTGGCTTTTGGATTTTTTTCCTAATGGGCAACACAGTCTTTAAGCAGAGCAGGCAGGCTGGTTTTCAGGACATCTGGAGGTCAATGCATAAACATCAACTCCTTCACCCACCCACATATACAGTTTGTGTTTTAAACTGGAAACTGCCTTGAAATGCCTTTTGAGGGCCACCATGTGGGTAGGAACATATGAATCTGTCTCATACCTAGTCAGACCACTGATCAATCTAGATCAGTACTCATAGATGTTGATTTAGCAGCTCTCCACAGTTTCAGACCTACCTGGAGATTCTGTGGATTGAACCATGGACCTTCTCATGTGCACAACCACAGAGCAACAGCTCTTCTCTGACACTGTTCACAAGTGATCACAGGAATTACATTGACTGGCAAGTCCAATGCATCTGCTCTGTGATGGAGACTCCTCCATGGGATCTTGAATGGTGCTCTGGAAAGCTTGGGGGAGATAGGATTCTGGAGTCCTAATTTTAAAAACCTGCCTTATTCCAGAATCTAGAAGTAAGTAGGTTTTCGTAATCAATGCAATGATTTGTATTTTATACTACTATTAATATTGCTGTGAAATCATGACTGATGGTCAAAGGCCAACTCCGTGTTTCCCTTCTTGACACTCAAGAACAGAGGGAATAGGGGGTTGGTGAAACAGTACCCCGCCAGGGGTGCTGGCCTGCCCCCCAATCACTTACTGGGCACAAGTCCTCCCATGACGCCTCGAGAGCACGAACACCCTGGCTCAGCACTCCAGCCCCTGCTTTGCCCACAGGAGGAATCTGCCGAGATCTCTAGCAGGAAAAGCTGCTGCTGCTGCTGCTGGAGGAAACAGAAAGGGGTCCTCAGAGCAGCTTTCTAGTAGAGAGCAGTGTGGGTGTCCCATCCAGCCCCGAGGAGGCACATCCCTCCTGATGTCCAGGCAACCTCTACTGCTTCTCAGATTTTTTGGTGGGGGGCAGCAATACAATTCCTTGCCAGGGGTGCAAGGGACGCTAGGTATGCCTCTGACTGGGAACATTTCCAGCCCAGTTTGAACTGGATGCAAATTATGTAAACAGTTTTGTGCAGCAGATACGTGCTTGGTGAAGTGAGCCTGTTTTCTTTAGCTTTTCAGTGGTGACTCATGGCCATCCGTCCAAGTTTGTTTTTAAACAAAGGTGTGAGTCAACTAGAGAGCACGATGGCTCAGAGAATGGTAGAGCATTGTGAACTTTGCACTCATTCTTTAACAGAATCAAACAATCGGCAAATGTGTACGTGATTTAACTTTATCAAAATAATAGAAACACATTGCTAAACAAGATCTGCCCAAATAGCAAGATCTCACCTTCCATGCATTGTATCTCAGAAGCTCACATTGCAATACACTCTAACATAAGAATAAAAGTGTTGCCACTATTGGGTCAGACTAAAGATCCAACAAAGGTCCATCTTCAAGAGTGGCCACCCAGCTACCTCAGACAAATTCACAAGCTGAGCCACCCCATCTGTTCTGAGCACCTGATAATTTGAATTTAGTCTGTATACTGCCTTGTGCAGGTCATAAATATTGTAAATTAAATAAAATATCTGGGTTTGAAATCTTTCCCAAGAATAACTGACAACACAGTGCTTACAATTATAGTTTGGCAAAAGTGACACAAATTTACATTTTACTTGGGAAGGGGAAAATAAGAAAGAGTGGCTGATGTTACACTGAAACTGTCTCTTAAAAGATCAGCTGGTCTTATCCAAAGAACTTGCATCATGTAATCTGCCCAGTCCTGGTGCACAATGATTATTTAGAGAGCCAGAGCGCCACCTAGTGATTACTGTTCTGATACAAGATAAGGCACACAAACGCTATGTTGGTTTTGTTACAGAATCCTTATCAGGGCAATACCTTTATTAGGCTAGCTAAAGTATCACAAAACAGCGTGCAAGTTTTTAAGTTCTCTGTAACCTTTCATCAGACTGGATGGTAAGCAGAGCAGCAGAGGAAGGGGAGGAAAACTATTTTGGCTGATGTTAAGGCCTGTGGTCTGCCTCTGATCAGAGTTTTAAAGCAGAGTGTAGGGGAGGTAGCAGACATTAAAACGTGACTCTTTTTAGGTGCTATATAGCTATCGGGTTGTACCAAGACCAGTTTGGAACATGGCACCTAAAAGAAGCCTCATTCAACTCCCTGCTCCACCCTCTCCAATTCCATTTTAAGTGCTGGCCCAAGACACCACCAGGGAAGGATCAAGTGAGGAATAATGATCTGCATCGGGAACAAGGGTGAGAGGAGACGACCAGTGCCTCCTATTTGCCAAGAGGCCACTGTAGAAGTAGGGGTGCATGTGGTGGTGCTGTCAGCAGATCCAGCCTCCAAGAAGTGTGCTGCAGCTGTTGCTCCCACCGCAGCAGCAGCAGCAGCAGCAACAGGCAATGCATTCCGTGGAGGCTGGATCTGCTACCCCTGTGGATCCTACCGCCTGAGGCAGTCATCTCACCTTGCCTCATGAGTGGGCTGCCCCTGTATCAGAAGTCTCTGACCAGATGCAAACTCCATGGGTTTGGTGGCAGACAAGATGTGTTTCCCTCTCTGGCCCGCACCCCTTGCTCTGCTTACCATTTAGCCTACAGAAGGGTTCTGGAGAACATGCATGCTTGCACACTATTTATGTTTTTGTTGACCTATGTAATAAGGTATTGCCCTAATACAGATTTTGGAGTTTTTCTTATCTGTTGGTAAGAGTTATGGGGTAAATTATACGAAACAAATTTAGTTTGCAACATCAGCATTCAAACACCACTCTGACCTGTATCATGAACAGATAGCTATAAGCATAATCAAATATCTGTCTCATTTTTACAGATTCTAGGGAGGGAATGGTAATCTTGAAGCAATGCTGAACAGCAGTAAGGTAATGGATATAGGGAATAAAGTGAAATTTAATCCAGATCACAGAAGTACTATTTACTGGTAGATCAGTTAGTCCAGGGCTTGAGGTACAGACTGTGCTGGATGGAGTTGAACGCTCCCTTATGCTGGAAGTTCACAGCTTCAGAGGGTTTCTTGATCCAGCACTATTTCTAGATGGACTTGGCCGTGGTTATTCATGCACCAAGAACATCAAAACTGGACTACTGCAATGAACTTTACACAGGGCTGCCTTTGAAAAGTGTTCAGAAATGTAAATTGGTTCAAAATGCTGCTGGGCCAAGCTAATGCCTGGGAATGGGATGGACAGAGCCTATAACTGCAGTCCCATTTGATCTGCCTTGATCACCTGTTCTGGCCTTAACTCAGCTTGCTAGTTCTCAACTTTATAGCCCTAAACCAGGCATAGGCATACTTCAGGTCTTTTTAGGAGGCTGAAACAAGAATCTCTTGTTGCTTTTAATATTGTCTTGATGATTTTCTATGTTGTTAGCTGTTCTGAGTTACCACCATAGTTGGAGTGGGGAACAGGGGAGACATTTTAAAATAAACAACATAAAGAAGAGTCCTGCTGGATCAGACCAAAGTCTCATCTAGTCCAGCATCCTCTTTTCCAGAGTGGTCAACCAGGTGGTGCCTCTGGGAAGCCTAAAATCAGGAGATGTGCACAGCATCTCCTGCAGTGGTTCCTCGGCAATTGGTATTCAGAGGCATTTCGAAACAGGTAAAATATCTGTATCATTTAACATTGTGTTACATGCAAGCTTATGAGCACTGTATTTATTTTGTTTCTGTCGAGCCCCGAAGCTAGACAAGTCATCTGATGCTGGCATACAACTGAGATATTCATACACCACTGGCGCCACCACAAACAAAGACACCTTTCCAATTCCCCCAGCCTTCAGGGAGATAATGTACTCCATGCCAAGTTAATGCTTTGGCTGATCTTATTGAAAGACCACATCCACATTTACTACCTGCCAAGATACTTTTACATGTAAACAGTCTCAACACCAGTGTCAACCCATGCAATTCCCGATCCAATCAATGTTTCAAATGTATATGAAACTGTATGCTTTCCTTATGTTAATGACCTGCATTTTATTTGCTGAAATCTGAAGAGTTCTAATAAGCTATCAAGCATACATGACTTTGTGACTGAACAAACCAATTGGCTCTGTTCCAAAATTAAAGGCAGTTTCATGCTATTTCAAGCTTACTCAGTTCTTCACTTGGGTTTCCTGCTTAAGAACCATGGAGTCTTGCACTGAATCAAATCATTAAGCCATATATGTAAAATAAATTGTTTCATTTACTTATTTTTAATCACTCTACACCCCTCCTTTTAATCAAGAAGGCTTCCACAGAGCTTATGAAGATGGGTGGTTAGATAGCAGATATACTTATTTATAAATTTCTGTACAAGTATGCAAAAAGGGAAATTCCACTGAGCCTATTATTATTATTTTATTATTATTTAGAGAGAGGATGCTTTATGCTAAGCCACTGGTTCATCAAGCTTAATACTGTCTACACTTTCAGTAGCTCTCCAAGCTTTTCCAAGAAGGACCTTTCTCAGTCCTACTTGGAAATGTCAAGAGATTGTACCTGGTGGAATATTTAGAATGCAAAGCATATGCTCTGCCATTAAGCTCCAATGCTTCCTCACCTGTCACAAGGCCAAAAAAAATTGTTATATAGAACTAGGAGGGTGAGGAGCATGGCTCTTACATCTGGAATAGAATTTGCTTGGAGTCGTAGCTTATCTCAAAGCCCTGATGCTCATACACGGTTGAAATCACATTTGTGCACTTACCCAATACAGTTTTATATATAAATGGTTTAAAATTATTGTTGTTGTTTATTAAATTTATATATCACTCTATACCCATAGATCTCAGGGTGGTTACATCTTAGATATACAACACCCCATGGGGCTCCTTTTATTTGCAATATTCAATATTTGGCTACAGTGGTCTAAGGTCAAGCAGAAATGGAAAGAATTATGAATGCCAGCATTCCTTAAACTGCTATTTCCCAGTCTTATTTTTCATGGACTAGCATAAGTGAATGTCAGTGTCACAGTTCTCTAAGCTCTTTGAAGGGCTAACAGGTTGTGTGTGCTTTTCCCCCTCTGTAAAATAATACCTAGTCATCAGGTTGTTGAAGAATATACATAGTGGTAGATTCCACTAGATTAACACTTTTGTTTGCCTTCTAAGTATCTTAACAAGGGTGCCCATAAGCGGTAGCTTTGATGTGCCACAGAAAAATTAACTGATACCTACTAATTATGACAATCCAAGTCAGCCTGAGACAAGAGTGCCAGCATTGCTCTCCTGATTGCTTCTCCGTATTGCTGTAGTCCTGGGTATGGTTCTATAGCATATAGCAAATCTGTACAGAGGTATAAAAGCATGCCAATCTGCCCCTGAAATCACTGGAAAATAAGCAGACTGGGTGGGTGGGCTGCTGGAAAGGAAGACACCCTCTGGTTGCTACTGCTACTAAGTGTGCTTGTTTATTGTTTATTTGTCTTGCAGTAGTTACAGGAGGGGAGCAGAGGAATCACTGCCCAACAACGTATCCAGGGATCCGTTTTGTTTTGATAACAAGCTGTCCTTTTTATTCTAAAGAGCACATCCCAACCCTGTCCAATACAGACAGTGTCTTATTTCATCTTTGCTTCTGGCCAAATAAATATTTCCTGAGCCTGGATTGCAAGGCGCTGTCCTCTGTAGGCACCTTTATAATTAGAAAATATCCTAGGGGGTAGACCCAGATGAGCAGAGGATATAAACACACACATTGACAAAAGGGTAACTCTTATAAACAGACCATCGGAGAATATTAGACTTGTACTTGTGGTTTTTAGACACTCTGCCAGCAGGCAGAGCTGGGGAGAGTTTGGACTGCTGGAAGACACTAATAAGACAGTGATTTTTAAAGTAGCCTTATCTACAGCAGACACAGTTAAGATTAATTGCAAACTGCGACCAACAAGCCATGAAGTTGTACAGCAGGGGTTCCCAAATTGAGCTTCATTCAGGTGGTCTGCAGCATGTCTGCATTCAATATTCATATCAACCTCCAACTGTATCTGTATTGCTTTTTATTTCTCAAGTTGCATTTTACTCTCTTACAATCTGAATCCTGTGGAATGCAAATTGCAATACAATAAAATAAATGAAAGAAGCAATACAGTACAAACACAATTTTAAAACATACAGCATCTAGCACAGTGCATTACAATTGCTACACCAGCTCTACTTCAGTAGTGTCAGATTCAGGCCTTTTTTTCTAAAAAAAAAGGTTTAGGGGTACTCTCATTTTCCTACTCATATTGACAATCTGCCCCTCAATGAGGCCAAACTTAGACTCATAAAATGTTTAGGGGTATGTTTATAGGGAAGTACAGGATACATGTGCATTTGGAGAACTTCATGTGAACATGGATTACAAACCCAGCACTGGAAACACAGTGAGTGCACAGCAAATGGGAGTGTGAACACAACCTTTATATAATATGGTAAAGTAAAGCAGTATTTTGTCAGGATAAGCAATATTGCAACATAAAAACGTAAGGCTTAAATTTATTTTGAAAATTGTTTCAGAAATGGATAACTTTTTTTAAAAAATAAATCTGTTCATTTGTTTTCTATAACAGCTTACTGAAATGTAAATTAGTTGGATTCACAATGCAATGCCTCATTCATGAGAGGTTCCTGAGCAGAGGTTGCAGGGCAACATTTCAGGGATGCTGTAGTAGTGGATTCCCTGCATTCGTAGGGGGTTGAACTAGATAACTTTTGAGATTCCTCCAATGCTCTGATCTATAGTGTTGTTCGTGTTTATGACGTAAAATCTCCACAAGGAAGATTCTAGTTTGAAACATGTCCATAGCATAGCCTCCTGTTAACTACATGCCATATGCCCATTGCCTGGACTGCCCTTCATGGAATGATAAAGGTTCTGAAGAGGCATCCTTCTATTTTGCAGGGGGCTTTCAGTTCGTCACTGATGCATACTCAAAGTAAATGAACCAAACACAATGAGGATTTCTACACCAAATCCAAAGCATACCACCACTGTGTGCTCTGTGCACTGCACAATTTCGGTTGTCTTCCTGTGCAGTGTCTGCCTGCACAGAGGTAGAGTACTGCCCTAGAAGGAGTTCAGCAGCAGCTGGGAAAGAGATGGAGCCACAATCCCAGCACCACATTCCAAAGATTAGATTAAAGCTCAGCAGTGATTCGTGCAGCTTGGCTGGCTCCAGTGAAAGCTAAAGCAGCAAGAATGATGGGACCCTGATTAATCCAGCAGTCAAGAGCTTCCAAAAATAAAGTGGGTCAGAGGGACACGAGAAGGGGTATGGAAGAGTTATCACTCATCAGCTCAGGATTCCCATCCCCACAATTCCTCCCTAAAATGTCAAAGGTGACAGTGATTGGTCTGGGGTGCATAGTAACCAGGGAGGGGAGAAAAACAATACGCTTCCTATGGAAAGTATTCCATAGCATTGAAAAAGCTGGTCATAGATTGCATTATAGCCCCTGTTGTCTCTGTCTCATTTTTATAATAAAACCCAGTCCAAGAGGCAATTGTCAGGTGCACAAAGTCTGCTTGTTACAGAGGCCCAATGAAATCACTGCTGCTTATGCCACAGACCAACTGGTGTGTAAGTTTCTATGTAAGTGGTCTTTTTAAAAAACAGTTAAACGGAATGGGCGGAAGTCTCATATTGGTATGAATGGAAATTGTTGTTCTTAAAGAAGCAGCTCAACTTTTTAAAACAGCAAAAATCTCTAAAGATGCTGGGTTCTATATAATATGTCCAATAGTGCCTTTGGCTGCTTTGTGAAAGTAGAAAGCACTTCTATGCATGCACCCAATTTTCACTAATCCTCCGATCTTCTGCAACACCCTGCATCATGATACATATTGTTCTGAAGCAGCGGTTCTCAACCTGTGGGTCCCCAGATGTTGTTGGACTACAACTCCCATAATTCATGAGCTCTGGCCTTGCTAGCTAGGGGTGATGGGAGTTGTAGTTCAACAACATCTGGGGACCCACAGGTTGAGAAAGGCTGTTCTGGAGGGTCCCCCACCTCTCAGGAGCAGCTTGGAACAGGGAGAGAAGTGGCTGCAGTAGATAGGGGCAGATCAGTGAAAACAGAATGCCGAGCCTTGCAAGAGCAGAAATGCTTTCTGCTAGTGCAAAGCTGCTCCCTGTTCATAGCTCCACTTTTCATACTATGTTCATAAATTGTGAAGTGTGAATGTGAGGAATACATATTCTCAAACACTTATACTGTGAAGGAAAACTTGATTTGTTGAAGCACATTTGTCAAACACTGGAGAGTTCAAAAAGGTTTTGGACACTGGGGAGCTGCTATGTAGTTCCCAATGAAACATATCGGGGGGTAGGGAGAAATAAAAATGTAAGAAAGCAAAACGTATACAGTTAACTATTAAATAAAATCCAGCATGCACTTATTTCAAATACTGTCTTGCATTATTAATGCGTTATTATAAAAATGTATGTTGGAATTTTTCAATCTTTATAGTCTAAATTCTACATGAAAGGTATTCAACGCAATCTCCATCCTCAGGAAGTTTTGGATAGCTTAGGGCAGAGCAATGCAGACATCCCAAAATTTTGCAGGTCAAACTAGCTTGTAGGCAAGCTATATATATTTTCAGAATGCATGTACAGCTTACTGAGCTCCAGTAGGCAAAATCTGCACATTTCCCATCACTTCCTCCTGATCCGGACCCAAATCCACTGGGTTCAAAAAAATTAGCCATTTTTATACTTGTTCAAAACCAGCTGTGTATTCCCTGCCTCAAGCAGGCTCCTATTCTCAACTCATCATCATCAGTATCATTTCCCTTTGCCCCAATCTACATTCATTTTTTAAATATCAAATTGCACCACGGCAGTATTGGTCCTGGTCCTCTCACTGCAATTCCACCTGAGCAAAACATCTCCAGATAGACTGACTGTGGAGAAGAAAAAGCAGCCATCTAAAAGACATAATACTTCTCCTATATATTCCTTATTAACTAATGCTATCATATTCCAGTGTATTGGAAACTTCATAGATCCTCAACAAAAGGCAGATCCTGTACAATGGGTTTACTCTTAGGTTCAAGAACGACTTCAATCATTCAGATTATTTTGTGCTAGCAGAACATCTCCCCCAACATACTTTCGGTGTGTGGTGCTGATTCCAAATAACTTTCAGTCTGTTTTTCAGTATATTCCCTAGGGCAGAGGTAGCTAACTTACAGTCTAACAGCATCTGTAGGGTCATGTCTCCCTTCATTCCTCACTACTGGCCATGCTGCCTTGGACTAATGGGAGTTGCAGCCCAATAATGTATGGAGGGCCACATCCCTGCTCTATGAAAACAGGCATTTTAAAGGATACAATTTTCATATGTATGTAAAGGTTTCAACAAAAGGCCCCATCGACCTTTGGCTCAACAACCAGTCCATTCTTTAAAAAAAGCTAACAACGGCATTGTGCCTTCCTCCTCCTGTCTAGTCTGGAAGGGTGGTCCCTCAAGGGCAGAAGGAGGGCGTACTGTCCAGGGACATTGGTCAGTGACCAGCCTTGCTTGAAGCCAGTTTTCCGTCATGGCTGTGGATAAATAGGTTACTTCTGCATTCAGGATTTTCCATCCATCATCCGCCCACACTGAACTCGTCACTTCATACTTAAAATATAAAAGGGAGGCAAGGGAGAGGCCACAGCCAGAGTGAAAGTGAAGAGGTGACATCCGAGAGTGCTGGAGTCATCCTAGCCTGCACCCAACCCTGTCGTTGCTGCCATTCCATATATAGCTCCTGACAACTGTGTCTAGGGCTGGAACTTCCAGCTCTCCCCACCACCACCTCCTGTCACATTTCTGCATCTGAAGCCTGAGCACAGCTCTTGGCCCCTGCTGTAGCCTTTGGACATCCACAGCAACAGGATGGCTGAGAAGCAGGAGCAGCCGCAAGCCTCCCAGAACGGCGAAAAGGCTGAAAATGCAGAAAACGCAGAGAACGCAGAGAATGCAGAGGAGGCCGAAAAGCCACAGGAGCTGGAGGAGCTGCCACCCTTCGAAATTGTAACAGGGTAAGAGGTCTGTTTTATCCCATACTCAACGGCAGCAAAAAACACAGAAGACAAAAAGAAGATTTTTCCAGAAGTTGGCCACCGCAGTGTTTGCACGGTTTTGTTTTTTTTAAAAAGAGGTCTGCCTCAGGTTCAAGGTTTTACTGCTCTGAACGACAACCCATATTATTTCTAAGCTTTGTGGTGCAATACAGAGATTTAAATGTTATTCAAGCAGGATGAACTCACAGCAAGTATTTATTTTACGATTATCATTTATGGCACTGAAACTGTTATTGTCCCTCAGTGGGGGAAATGCTCACCTGTGGGCTTAATCATATTGCAAGAGGTTGCTGGCTGTGTGCCCTCCCACGAGCCAGCAAGAATGTCATGCATTTGGTTAACCTTTTCCACATATGCAGCCTCATTAAAATGAAAAAAGAGGAAACTTTCTGAGTAGGACTAGAGGGACTTTGCATCTATTCCAACTCTGAAACAGAGAGTTATAGCTGCAATTTTTGGTTCGTATCTAAGCAGATAAAATCAAATTGTTTAAAAAGACCAAGAGCAGAGGTGAATGCTAAGTCATCTGAGAGATCTAACAGGTTTTTATACAATATAGCAGGCATATAATGCAATCAGAAAATCTTTAATCATAGAGATTGATTCATCTGGAAAAACCTTTTGAGCCACTGTCTTTAAGCATTAATAATATTTATCACAGTACCATATAAGTGTGATACTTAAGACTTCAACTACAATATGTAGTGAGAAATTCATCAATATTATACACCTTTATCCTCTTACCATGATCTCAATGCCACGATATTCAGTTCCCAAAACAAATCAAAAGTGGTCATAAACTGTAAAACAAGGATCTGAATTTGCAGTAATAACAGCTTAGCTAGCAATTTGAGTTTGCAACACTGTTTGTCGCTATGCTCTGTACTGGTGTTGCAGAGAAAAAGAATGAGGCCCACCCAACTAAATGCAGACGAACAAGGCAAGGTGCTAATCCCCAAGACAATGCTTTGTTATTATCCAGAGTCTAGGTGGCTCCTGGTTGCAAGTTTCATACACTTATGCTCTTTTGATGAGTATTACCATCTCATTCTATTCTATGGAGTTAAGCCACTTCTGGGTGGAGCTATGGTTTAAGAACTAAATGTTATTCATTCCTTGGTCTCTACCAGAAATAGCAGCAAGAGAAACTGTAAATATAAACTTTTGACACCAATAATTGCTGAATTATTTGGGATTAGGTGCTCAAGGCTGTAATCCTACTTTACACTCTTACCTGGCAGTCCCATTGGAGCTAACTTCTGAGCAGACATGCACTGGATTGTGCCATAAATGATCATGGTGCATATATTAAAGACACACCTGTTTACAGAGGCATTCCTTTGATCTTGCGACCAGATGGGATTGTTTCATTGCACATTTCAATTATGGATGTTTTTATTTTAATGTTTCAATTATATCGTTTTATTGTGTATTTTAATTTTGAATGCTTATATGTATTTTAATACTTGAACAACTGATTTTTATGCAAACCACTTAGAAGCCTATTTGGCATTAAGTGGTATATAAATTTGCTTATCAATAACAACAGCGGCTTCATGCTACCATATGTGTTTCATGTCTCTCAGCCTGGGTAGCTCAGCTGGTTAGAGCTTGGTGCTGATACCGCCAATGTTGCAGGTTTGATCCCCATATGGGACAGCTGCACACTCCTGCATTGCAGGGGTTTGGACTAGATGATCCTCAGGATTCCTTCCAACTCTACAATTCTATTATTTCAATTGTTTATCAGTTGATTGTGACACAAAGCAAATAGTTCTGATAGCTTTACTAAAACGGCAATGGAACCATGGACCTCTGGGGAGTTGGGAACGGGCAGTGTTATTTTATTTCTGACATTTATACCCAGTCTTTCTTCAAAGGAGCTCAAGGCGGTGTACATGACTGCTCATTTTATCTTCGCATCAATTCCATGAGGTAGGTTAGGTTTACAATGACTAGCTCAGGCTCACACACAGTAAGCTTCATGGCAAAGTGGGGATTTAGATCTGGATCTTGACACTCCTAGTATGACACTGCACCACAGCACTATAGCTGTGTGCAAATACTGGATTATTAAAAATAATAATGCTGTTGAGATGGACATTATTATTGTTACTACTACTACTGTACTACAAAAACCAGGTTACACTATTTCAGCTCTAGCTATAACCTCAGTTTTGTAAGAATGAACCCCAACAATTCCATCTAGTCCAAACCAAAGATGTTCTAACAGATCTGCACAGTAATCCCACTCCAGTGCAGAGAAGGGATAGTGTGTAATTCAGTGGCAGTCTAGAGGGCATTTGCATCCATAATGTCTTAGCTTCAATTCCTGGCATCTTCAATTAAAAGGATCAGGTAGTAGGTCTTGACTAAACAACAAGGAACTCTGGCAATTTACACATTAGCAGCTTAAAATGTAGCAAGGCTGCTTTGTCCTGCTGTGTTTCAAGTTGCACTTGCTCATTGATGTACATACCAGAGATGGGCAGGGATGTCTTCACCTGGTGCCCACTGGCTGCTTGGCTTCCCCATGTCTGCAACCCACCCAACCCCGGAACTCCTATTCATGAAGCTGCTCGCATGCTGTCATCAGCACATGCATAACGGCTGTCTAAAATGTAAATATTTCAGTTTAACCAAGGGAGTGTGGCTTACATTTCCAAATTGGACAGATGGAAGCTGGTTTGAATGAAGACATCAAACAGCAGCATTCCTCAGGAAGCTACAGGTTGGATGTGGATTGTGCCAATATCACATATACACGACTTCAAACACTAGCAACAGAAGTTCACTGGAGCAAGGTCATGTATCCAAAGCTGTAAAGCCGAATACTAAAACCTTCATATTCTGTTCTGAGGATGCTCATTGTTTGTAACTTACTGTAATGCTTTTGCTAGGTAGAATCATGCCTTTGCATGAGGTGAGGCATTCTGCCAGTATAATTTAAACTACTATCTTGTAGCATGCCCAGTCTTTCAGAGAGACAGCCGTGTTCACAGGCTCAGATAGCGATACTGCCACTTAGTATTACAATATTTAAGCATTCTTTCCAAAGAATTTCTTGTTGCTGATTTTTAGGCTTTGAAAAAATGAACTAAATATAGGTTTGAAACAAAACAGGCTTGCAGAGAAAACATACACCGGTGACATATTCATATGAACTGCAATTGGTACCTCCAAAGTTCTTCTCATCTCTGTCAAATGAGAAGCAGAAGGTAAAAAAGTATTATTTGCCTAAGATCAAAGGAGTTCATAGTGAGCTGAAATTTGAAACCAGTTCTAAGTTCAATTACAATTCAGTAACTGCTTTCCATTGGTAAGTTTAGGCAATACAAGCAGGGCTGGATTAAAACCGTTAGAGACCCTATGCACTGAAAAAATTAGTGCCCCCATATGTATTTCAACATAAGAATACTAAACCATATCCCTCCACCCACGTGTGTGTGTCTGTAAGAAAAAAAATTAATCAAGTACATAGAACTCAAAAAACATCAAAAATAAAACATAGATTTATTGCAACATATGATGGGATCTTATTTCCTTGCATTATTTTGATCTTTGTTATGTCCCCTGGTTTAGGTGGTGATAAGGAATAAAAAATAAAACAGAAAAATGGGGGAAGAATGTGGAGTGGATGCAAGAAAGTCTAATAAATGTCTGATTTTTCCCATGATGTCTACCTTTTTTAAAAAAATGTCAAACGTCAAATTCTTTTTTAAAAAAATATGTTTTTTGTGCCCCTTCTTTGATGGTACCCAAGCACATGCTTAGTCTGCGTGCACCAAATATAAGAGGATACACTATGAATTCAGTGGTCTCATCAAAGCTTTGAATATCTGCAGCCAAACAAGCAGGGCATTTTTCTTCAGAATTTTTATTCTTTAAATATCTTGCGCTCTAAGACAACATAACCCCTGCAGCTGCAAAGAGAAATCTCAGATCAAATTTTCTATTTATTTATAAGCTTCAGTCTGATGAAGCCAGTCATCTAGCTAATGAGGGGATTAAAAACACCAAACATACCAGCATTTCTGCCTAATTATCCCATGGCAGTTCAAGCATTTCAATTGCCATTTGTAGATTAGAAAAGCTTCACAGTGTCTTGCCAAGTTTTTTTGATGCTGTCCCCAACAGGTGCAGCAGCTGTGGAACCTGCACTGAGAATCTGACCAATCTTTATAATTAAGAATATCCTCCTATCCCTTTCTATAGTGTTCTAACTCTTCCTAAAGCTGCCATGTACATTTCATGAGACTCCTACAGATACATTAATTTGCACTGCATCCTTCTGCAATGGAAATTAAACCATCAGACAAATAGCTTCAGCCCAAAGGATGGAATAACACAAAGTGCAAATCCTGCTCCCTTCTCTTTGGCAGTGGCAGACTGCTGTCATGATCATGAGGATACCTGATACTGTGGCTCCAAAGTCCCTCAAGACAGCAAGCAGCACGTTGTTTGGCTCTTCATAGTGTTCGATCAGTTCCATACACACAGAACTTAGTCCTTACAACAAGCCTGTGAAATAGGTTAAGCTAAGAAATTGTGCGCTTCACAGCTGAATAGTGATTTGAACCTAGATCTCCCCAAGTCATAATCTGACACTCTTACATCATACTGGCTCTTACATTACTAGTTTCTCAGACAATTTCACAAATGGAGTTAAGCTAGAAAATTATATAAACAAAATAATAGGGCCTGATAGACAAGAAACAGTGGGTTGCTGCGCATCACCATAATCTAAGAGAGTGCTTCCAGACTCATCATGTAGAAGGAATACACAGCATTCGAATATTAGAACCGCAAAGCAATGAGATTTATTTTTTAAGGAGATATCTTAAGGACAATAGATTCACCAGCACTACCTCATAAATCAACTTGGAATTTCAATTCCAATGTTTTCCATAAGTATTCCTTGCATGGAAATAACTTTAAAAGTACTCCTGTAAGGGGACAAGGTAACACAGAGAGGATTTAACTCCATTTACAACAGAGCTCTAAATATCCAAATGTCTAGTTTCTAGTTTCAAGGAGTCATCCAATGCAGTAAGATTTATATAGCTCATTTTCTTCACTGGTAAAACGTGGATATATGTATTTCCCAACACTCACATATATAAAATGCTTAGTCCTCTTTAAATGAACAGAAATGTGCAATAAAGAAAGAAATAATTAACCTCACATAGCAAATTGGGGGAGTAAGTCAGCCAGCCAGCTATTATGTCCCTTCTAGCCTCAGAACTGCGTTGAAATATTAATTTTAATGTGTTGTAGAAGTCCCTTGAGCATTCTGAATCACTGTTAGGTTAGAAGAGAACAGCTATTGTTAGGGGCAAGTTGAACAGCACACAAGATAGCTTGAAAGGCAACTATGTCACAGACGTGCGCGTATGTGCTGATTTATGGGACGTGTGGTTTCTTTTCCCCTTGCCCTTTCAGTGATGAATAACTAAGCGTTTCAGAGCTGCAGGGGGCACAAGCAATCTGCTACAATTTGTGATTGCTAAGGACAGAGGCTTCAAAGCCTTGAGGCAAGATCTATTTAAGATATTTTCCAGCACCGAGTTTAGGATCCACACACACTGGAATATGCACTCTGCACTTATGTGCAATTAGGCAGAACATAGCAGACACTATAGAGATAAGCACTACATCAAACAGTGCAGCTATATTGGCATCCACAATGAGCAAACAGTTTTCATGGGTGTACCGGGTACTTAAAATCCAATAAAGTCTAGGTGGTAGCCAATCTAGCGCTCTCCAAATATTGTGGACTACAACTTTAATCACAAGGTGGCTGGCCACCTTGAGTAGTGATCAGAGATGATAGTTGAAGCCCACCATATCAGCTTGCAACTCCTAGCATACCCTAATGCTACCTAAAAATTTGCCATTCATTTTGCATGTTAAATTAACCTTGCTTTGAAGCCAGTGAACCTGAGCAATTCCATAAAAGATGCTGTACTGTCTTTCCTGTGGTAAACTAACAAACCAAACTATGCCACCTTAAAGAGAAATTGATTGATTTACATTTTGAGCCTCTGAAGGCCAAGAGCCTCTTACATCTGGTACATAGACAGAAATACGAAGATGAATTCACCTGGCAGGAAATACAGCGGAGCAAAGCCCAGTTTTACAAGATGGGACTTTGAGAGAGATAAATGGATGCACTTACTTAGATCATATAACTTAATACTCTGTTAAAAGAGCAAAGTGAAATGTTGAAGCCCCACACAGAAGAATGGACATACACAGAGCTGGTTTCATATGCTTCTCCTACTTCAGTGGGAGAAATTCAATAGTGCTATGGCAATAGCTCTGTCAGTGCAAGCTTTCCAGCTTGCCAGACAGAACATCCTCCTCTCCACTTCCCATGCGCTGTTCAGGAGGTTCTCTCACACACTCAAAGGGGGAATGCAGGAGGAGATTGGGGAGGAAGCCCTGTTGTGCTAGCAGGAGCCCATGCTGACTTCTGCTAGCGGGACTTGCTAGCTGAATCCCACAAAACAGAATGACTAGCTTCTACAAGGCAACTATCATGGAATATTCCAAATCTTGACCCATCTATGAGTCAATCAGAGTCTGAACTTAAGCTTGCTTCAGAAAGGTCACAGAAGGTTCTTTGAGGTAAAAATCTCACTATGGGATGGAGGGAGAGAAGAAAATATGTACTGGGATTAAGTGCTAACTTGCGTGCATTACACCAAGAGTAATTCAAGATGAGGCATCTTGGATACAAGAAAGGAGCTGGAAAAGTAAAGGAAGAAGCGAAAAATCTTAATAACCAGTAGATTTAAATGAATATAGAAAAATAGAACAGGCAGGTGAATAGCTCACCAATAGTTTCTAGATACTTACTTTCAAATCATTTTAAAACCACAAAAGGGGAAATTAGCTTGTGTATATCAGCAACAGATTACTTGAAAAACAGCTGATGCAAACACAACCTGCCCTCTAAACTGGAAACATCTGACGACTTATTTCCTCCAACTTTTCCCCAGTTCCAAAAGCAACTCCCTTGTGGTTATACCAAAGCTTTTTCACCAACTTCTACCATAAACCTCCAAATTACTTGAACATGGAATTAAATACTGTATCTTCAGGAAATTTAGTCATTGCCCAATTCTTCTATGTCTCAGGCCTTAAAAGGAATAGCATGGTTACAAAATTACCTTAACATCACCAATAACTCTGAAATTAATGGATGAAGGGGGTTGTATGTTATTAGGTGTGTAACACTGAGGCTTTCTTTCACTCTTTTATACAGGGAACGGCTTCCAGCCTTCTTTTTCAAGTTCCAGTTCAAGAATGTAGAATACAGTTCAGGCCGGAACAAGACCTTCCTGTGCTACATTATAGAGATTCAAGGCAAGGAGTCAAAAACCTTACGGGGCTATCTGGAGGATGAACATGCAGCAGCCCATGCAGAAGATGCCTTCTTCAATACCATCTTGCCTACGTGTGAATCTGGCCTACGCTACAATGTTACCTGGTATGTCTCTTCTAGCCCCTGCGTCGGCTGCGCTGAGCAGATAACTAAGGCACTGAAGAAGAACAAGAACCTGAAGCTCTCCATTGTAGTGGGCCGTCTCTTCATGTGGGAAGAGCCTGACATCCAAGCTGCTCTGAAGAAATTGAAGGCAGCTGGCTGTAAAATGAGAATCATGAAGCCTCAAGACTTTGAGTATGTATGGAAGAATTTTGTAGAGCAGGAGGAAGGTGAGGAACCTAAGGCATTTACACCCTGGGAGGACATTCAAGAGAACTTCCTATATTATGAAGAAAAGCTTGCTGAAGTTTTGCACTGAGGTTCAAGTAAGTACAGTACCGTAATGAATTCTGAAAACTAATTTCAAAAAGCTTTCTCCTTTTTAGAGTAGTTTCTCCGACCATCTAACTCATGAAAAAAATACATTTTGTTCTATCCAATGTTAATAAGATAAAGCAAAGAGCTGGAGAAATTTTTTAAATTTTCCCCATTTCAGAAGAGCCATACAGAAGTCTATTTCATAAGCTCCATGAGAGGTCTAGATGCCTATTGAAACTATTTCTGTATGGCAGATACCCTACACAGCTCCTGTGCATAGGTGGAAGACCAACTGCCTTGCCACATGGCAGAAGTTTTTGCAGGTGCCCTGAGTGTAGCATCTGAACAGAAAGTTGGCTTCAAAACATCTCAACCTGTGACTCTTCAGATGTTGTTGCACTCCCAACAACACCAGCCAGCATAGCCAACAGCCAGAGATTATGGGAACTGGAATCTAACAACATATGGTGGGCCAGAGGACCTTGGCCTACAATGACTTGCAGTGGCTCTCAAATAAGAGCCTTTCCCAGCTCTACCTAGAGATGCCAGGGATTATAACTGGGCATGCCTCCAGACCATCACTATTTTGCAGAAGAGATTCAAGCACATACTGAAAATTTAGGCTTGTGCAATTAAAGTGGATTAATACACTGTGTCACCCAAATGTGACAAATCCACACAAAAAACACTTTTTGCAGTTGGAAACGCACTGAAAAATCTTGGATGAATGAATGAGAAACAGGAAGATATATAAACACCTATAAGCAGTTCAGGATGAATACTCACAATCGTATAACCACCCCAGAAGCAAAGCAGAACTAATGTTCAAAAGAGAACAAACATAGCCTAAGCTCCATGTTAGCTTTGTGCCATCAAATCAGAATGAATGCTCAATAAATAGGTTTTCTAGAGGAGCCCTGGGACCTGCTGCATGCAAAACATGTGCTCTACCAATAAGCTATGGCCCCATCCCCTGGGCTGTATCTGCTGCTCTGTCGGAACAGGTAATCTTATTATATTATACATCACAATATACAACAAACAAGTTCTAGAGGCATACTTCAAAAGACATTATTTTTCCTGCAGTTCAGATTCATTACTTTGAATCCCATCTATTTAAAACAGGCATTGAAGAAAACAGATTAAAATATTATGGAAAACAAATGCTAATAAAGCAGGCATATGACATTACAGCAAACCTCATCTGGAACCTCATCAGTATACAATCAAAGTCCTATACCAGCTTCCATATAAAATGTCAACAGGAATCTTAGGCACCCCATTCGAAGACAAAACCTTATTCTAAAACGCAAGATGTGCCACATGGAATTTATGCTAGGAACTTGGCAAGGGGTGAAGAAAAACATCCGGCAAACACCCCACCCCAAGCTAAAGGAGAGCTATTTTATATCATTTTGTCCATTATGCAAGAGGAACAAACTGGTGAGGCATTGGTTATTTTGAGCAATAAAGCCCCGTACATTTGAGAAAAGCAACTCAAGTCTCCCTTTCTCTCCCCAGGGCCAGCGTGTGTGAAGTTTGCCAACCCTATGGAGAGACAAACATGATATACTTTGACATCTGGGACTCCCCCTTCAGTCCTCCAGAGCTGCTTTGAAAAAGAAAAACAACACCACAAGTCTCTGGCTGACATGTCGCCTTGCTGACTAAAAATACATTTATTATGCTGCATGTAGGCATTTGGTTGTTTGAAATACATAAACCTGCAGTGCTGCTGGTCACATGGGAGGAAAAAGCATTATGATATGGAATGAAGTTAACAATCTGCAGTGCAAAGCTTTTCATCACTGAAAACTTTAAGCAAAGAAGTCAAACCACACCAAAGAGCTCCTTACCAAAACAATAATGCAAATTAAATAAGTTTAGCAAATGTGGTACTCTTTTATCATTTCAGATCTCCTTTAAGAGAGCATAAAATAAGTATACATAAGTCCTGCTATTCAGCCACTTGCTATCTGACACTTAGAATTCACTTAGAATTATGCCCAAATCTTGCTATATACTCTGCAGATTCACTTGTTTGAACAGTCGGCTTCCTTACATGTCTACCCAGCAGGAAATCCCATTACATTCAATGTAATTTACTTTCAAGTAAAGTGGTATAGGATTGCTGCCCCAAAGGTAAAAAACAATGGTCCTAATCCAGAAACATGTGGCAGCTTGAGTCCTTCTTTTCAGCATGGCCATTCTTCCATACCAGCTCAAGTTTGGGGAAACATCTGATGTACCTCTGAAGCAAAGCAAGGAACAGCTCATAGGAGAGAGGGGTGCCAAAATTCTGGTAGACCTACATAAACCTTTGCATCTGCCTAAAGGGGTTTGGTAGATCACAGAATGTATTACAATATGATGAGAAATGTGTAATAGCATAAACCAGGGGTTCTCAAACTGTGGAACCAGTGTTCTGCAAGCTTCATTCAGATGGCCCATGATGTATCTGTAAAAATACGATTAAAATGCATACTGCATCTAGCACAGTGTGCTACAACAGGCAAGAAAAATATTAAGTGGTTCACCAAGACCCTCTGAGATTTTCACGTGGTCCATGAGAAAAATAGTTCGGGAACCACTGGCATAGACCTCTTAGTTAATAAAGCAATTAATAAAGATTTACAAGTTCCCTTCCAAGATCACTGTACTGCAAAATGCTCTGTGATACAAATATGTGAAGATCACATAAAAGGGATATTGATGATTTCAACAAAAGGACCACAGTAGTGACAGATTCTCCACATTAAACATATGGGGAAAGGAAAAATTTGCTCCCAGAGCGTTTCTTTATTTTTGCACAATTTCTGTCTTCTGGTACCTACTGTATCTTTCGCCCCATAGGGTGCACCGGCCCATAGGACGCACCTAGTTTGGGGGGGGGGAATAAAGAAAAAAAAAATATTTCCCCCCCCCAGGCGCAGGGCTGGGGCGGGGGAAGCCCAAGCTTCCCCCAACCCCAGCCCCCAGAACAGGCAGCTCTCCGCAAGCCTTGGGAGACCGGCGCGACTTCCTGCCGGGCTCCCACGCCTTGCAGAAATCTGCCTGAAGCCCAAACCAGGTCAGGGAACAGCGGGAAGGCGCAGCGCCGCCATCCCACTGTCCCCCCGCCAGCCACCAAACCAGGTCGGGGGACAGTGGGATGGCGGCGTTCCGCCTCCCCGCTGTCCCCCGAGCTTGGTGGGCTGGCGGTGAGGAGAAGCGCGCTTCTCCCCACCGCCAGCCTCCAAACCAGGTCGGGGAACTGAAGCCCAGGGCGCGCTGTGCAGTGCGCCCCTTGCTTCGAGATGCAGGTTGATATCCGCAAGCCTAGGGAGCCCGACGGGAACTCCCGCGGGCTCCCAAGGCTTGCGGAGAGCTTCCTGAAGCCTGGAGAGCGAGAGGGGTCGGGGCGCCCCGACCCCACTCGCGTTCCAGGCTTCAGCGAAAGCCTGCATTCGCCCCATAGGACTCACACACATTTCCCCTTCATTTTTGGAGGGGAAAATGTGCGTCCTATAGGGCAAAAAATACGGTATATCCTTTCAGAGACACACTATTCAGTTAATTTAATGAAATATGCTAATTGGATAATACCTATCTTCTTATATTTATTGCACATACAGATCTAAGGGAAACAACATTTATTTTAATATATGCTATAGGAACTTTTATTTTTCTGCAAGAAGCGACCTTGAAGCTCTGACCATATATGGCAAGAACAAGAGCTGCAGAAGTAGAGTTTTGGGCAAGACTTAGAAAAATCCCATGTCAGATATCTAAGAGGTATTTTTTAATAGTTGCTTAATCATGTTATTTAATATTGATATGTTCCTTTGCTGCTCAGCAATATCTGGTTTATGAAACAAATGGACTAAATGGAACTGATCCAGAATTCCACATGTATGCCAATATGCACAGAGCTCTTACATATGCAGGATACCCCAATAAGTTCAATAGAAGTAGATCAGTGCTGGATTTACGTATAAGCTAAACAAACTATAGCTTAGGGCCCCACTCTCTTGGGCCCCCCCAAAAAATTTAAAGAAAAACAAAACCCATGGGTGTACATTTTCAAAATATAAGATAAACTTCTTCTTAATTGTATTTCAGTTCAACAATTACTTTGATAAAATTCATATTTTGTTACGTGCAAATGGCTGTAGATACCTATTAGGTCCATAAATTACCATATAGTATATATTCAACACAAAAAAACAGCGACAATTTGTTGTTGACAAAGAACAGCTGGACATATAAAGGGCCCCATTACCTTCAGTAGCTTAGGGCCTCATCAAACCTAAATGCGGCCCTGAAGTTGATGTACATATCAGACCTTGTATGTGCACAAAGAAATACAACTCTAGTTCAAAATTAAACAGTTCACTCATTCTTGGAAAAGGTATTTTATTTACACAGAATAGGAAAATCTAATTACAGAACAGTACTTTAAACAGAGCATATAAGACCTGCAACAGTTGGTCCCATAGTTTTCACATTATTCTGAAACACAGGATTGTATAGTAGAAAGTGCTACACTAACCAAAACACATCTATGCAAAGCCTTTATGTCTGTTTGTTTTTAATTTGTAAGTTTGTCTGCTGAGTAAAGCACACTCATCTGCTGGCTAGATAAACATCCCTGAAGATCCAATTGTAAATTTCTACAAAACACTGTCCATACTTGGACACTAATAATGGTGAGAAATGTCTGGAAGAGTAAAGAAAACTGAAACAAGATCATACCATCATCTTCTTCCAAATCAGTCACAAACACAGATTACAACAGTATAACAGAGCAACTGCCCTAATAATTACAGGGAATAAACTGTAATGCTAACATCTGTATCCTCAAATACTTCTTCAAGCACTGTTGAAACTTTATTCCAATCCAGGCGGTCAAGTCCGCACCCAATCCTGGAAGATAAAGAATGCCCAAGTATTCCCACACATTCATTCTTGCCAATTCACCCTTGAGAAATATCCTAAAAATTGCTAGTCTGTAGAATCATCATAACGTTTAATCAAAATACTCGTAATTGCTCCCAAGCAAAGTCAGTTAGAATTATTACTAGTCTCACATACAAATAGCATCACAAAATGAATACACCAGATCTGTCAGTCATGAATTGGTGCCCAGTTCTGAGGTCATGGAGAAATCATGGTCAGGACATCATGAATGGGCTATGCTATGTGCAGCTGCATTTCCTCCTCTTTCTGCATGCTTTGACTTCCTCTTGCTTCCTGCTTTACAGTAACGATAGTATGCCATAACATCCATATCAGGCAAACTATGATTATTGCAAACCATATTATGTCTCCAAATCTGAACTGGAAGTACTTACACCCAGTTTAGAGGTCACCATAAACTAAAAAGAGAGGGAGGGAACAGGCATGCAAAGAGAACACAAAGTCCGCTGAACAATAACCAAATCAAGATTTGAATGAAACATCAGAACAAGATGTACGTCCATTTACACATGCAACAAAAAATAAAATCAATAACTAGTTGCCCTCAAAACTGCAGCAGAGTATGTACTCAAATGCAAGAAAGTTAGCAAGCTAAAACAGACATATTATTGGATCATCTAAATATTACTAATGTCTAGATTTCTCAGCATATCATCTATATAATACTCCGGACTTTGGTTCTGACAATTGCTATCGTTTTCCACAATATTTTTATCAACTCAGAGGTGGTCAGAGCAGAGTTTTCTCAAAAAGCATAAATCTGCTCCAAAACACAGTGTTATACGTTGGCCTCAAATATATTCATTTTCTCCTCCATAATTTCTAGATTGTAAACTTAAACAAAGTAGAAAAAGTCATTTCTTTCACACCTATGTCATCTGTAAATATATATAGAATACAGTGATACCTCTGGTTACGTACTTAATTTGTTCTGGAGGTCCGTTCTTAAACTGAAACTGTTCTTAACCTCAGGTACCACTTTAGCTAATGGGGCCTCCCGCTGCCACCGCTGCGTTATTTCTGTTCTCATCCTGAAGCAAAGTTCTTAACCTGAGGTACTATTTCTGGGTTAATGGAGTCTGTAACCTGAAGCGTCTGTAACCTGAGGTACCACTGTACATTTTAAAGCATTTGAAATTTTCCAAAGAATAATAAAATTTTACTATATAAGATATATGTATCATATGAATATTCCAAAATATGTGGGAGTAATTTTCCAGTATCAAATTTGCTTACTTGGGCATAGAAATGCAAGTTACGCCATTATCCATGCAGTGGAGTTTCATAGCTTCCAGACTCTTCTGTAAATTGCCATAGGTAGGTTTATGAAAGTATTTGTTCTTTGTAATCTGAAAGCAAGTGCAAGGTTAAGTGCAGATTAGCAATACTTTTGATTAGGCATCTTTACATCCCATGTGACACGTGCCTTCTCAGAATAAGTTGCACTGAATTCAATAGGACCCACTGTCTAGTAAGCTTATTTAGGATTGCAGTCTTAGGCTGAAATCTTGTACAAAATTACCTGAGACTAGTGATCTCAGTGGGATATAATTCTGAGTAGACACTTAAAGGATTGTGTTGCCTCATTCATTTATTAGGTACTTTTAACCAATACTGTTGATACTAACCAATACTGTTGATACTAATGATAGATCACATGAATCTAGATCATTAATTTGGCTGCTTGGACTAGCGAACTGAGACATGTTAAAATTTGCTAAAATCTGGGCCTTTGGGTTGCAGTCTCAAAATTAAGTACTTGCAATTTGCATCAGTGTCAGTGGGACGTGTAAATGGCATTATAGCTGCCACACACACATTAAAACCTGGTCCCTGCGATGTTAAAAACACTGAGATTCTGCAGGTAAATATTCTGATTTATGTTTGTTTTATTTATTTTTAAAGGCTCCTGCAAAGTTATATTTTGAAAAGACTTTTTTTTTTTGTTACAAAATTTTAACCACTGCTGCTGATACCTATTTGTAAATAGCTGTTTTGAAAGAATGTGACAGAATAATCCAGCCATACTTCGTATTACAAATGCAATTTACAAACAAGGAAGCAAATATTTCAGCTCCTGAGTGTTTTTGGAGAATATGATTCAACTGAATAAACAAACAAATTTCACACCGCCAGGAACCTCTTAATGAAGCATAGTATAACAGCAAAAAGATAAGACAGCTAATTGTCTATGTAAAGAGATATTTTAAAAGGGAAGAAATATATCATGCTAAATTGCATTTAACACAGTTGCCAACTTAGCTCCAGACAGATATAACACAAATGTGAATACATCCACTTCTTGAATCACTGTGTGTTTTCAAATAAGATTTCAAGCAAAGGTATTGTTTGTGATCATCTGAATACTGGATGGTACAGACTACTCTGAAATTTACTAAATAACACACCACTCAAACAGCAACTTCAATTTCTGCAACAGTTTGCACTTGAACTCTTAATGAAAGGCCTATGTAAGTGAAAGCTGTTGATGAAGTTGCATTGCAGCAAGATTAGGTCATTAAGATAAGGGTGTTTTTATCTTTCACTGACAAATGAAGAAGCAGAAATACTAATACAGACAGATATCTCCCTGCTAAAATCAGTTCATGTACCCAAACCTTTATCATGTGCCCTGCTCTTACCAGATAGTACACATATCGATTGTCTCTCTGCAGAACAGCCACATCTCCAGTCTTCTTTTCTAAAACAAATTAGAACATCTTTAACAGAGCCAAAACTAGGTTTTTTGTCACCTGGGTCAAAGACCCAGTTTGACACCCTACTCCCCAATGTGTGCTTGCATACATATACATACAAACAAAAACACATCTCAACACATTTATTCATAAAGCGCATAAAAAGTAGGCAATATATCATTTGATCTGGCTTCCCACAGCCAATCAGAAGCTGCACTTTGGTTTCCAAACATTTTGGAGGTTGAAAGGACTTCCAGAATGGATTCCATTCGACTTCCAAGGTACAACTGTATTAAGAACCTAGGTTCTTTTTTTTATATATTAGGCATTATTTTTCCTTAACTACTTACTCTGGTTCAAGAGCTCCTGAACACCACCAAACTTCTTCTTGAAAATGGCAGCTATGCCAGCACTCATGTGACAATCCTCACTGATGCAGTGAGCAAGGGAGTCTGTTCCAGGACACGTAAAAAGGTCCCCTTTTATGTACATGATCTGAGGATCAAAAGAAAGAAAGAAAGAAAGAAGCATTCGAGTCAGAACACCAGGCAAAATTCAGTATCACAAAGAGTGCCACCATCTAAGTCACTGACACCTTCCTTTGATCCTGTGCATTTTTACTCCAAGTAAATCCCAACACAATAATCAAGGCTTGTTCTTATCAGTGCAAAATATTACAGTCTCAGAACTATGCACACTCACCTAGGAGTAAATCCCCCTTAAGGCAGTGGAACTTACTTCCAAGTAAACACGCACTGCGTTGTGCTGCCAGTATCCACATCAATGCATTCCTGTCCCATTTATAGTTAGGTATGTGCTAAGAATTCTGAAATCTGTTTGCAGCACAATCTTTTACCTATCTTGGAACTTTATGGTAAAGTGTTGATAAGAAATCTAATAACATCTAGTATATTTACTCCGAAGTAACTCTCAATGAGTTCAGTATTATTTACTTATAGTTATCTGAAGGCTTCATTGAAACAAATGGGAGTTGCTTACAAGAAACCTTGGTTAGAACTAGAATAACTGCTTAGGACTTTGTCTTCATAATTAAGTTCTATTACTGTTGAGTTCTAAGTTATTTGTGAGCCATATAAATATAATACATAAATACTGTGGAGATAGCTAATTAATTTATCCATCTCTTTCTATAGATTTAACTTACTTGGAGTATTCTCATATCATTTACCAGTTAATAGTACAGTACTTGGTATTTAAAGTTAGAACACATTCCAGTCATAAAATTGCAAACCTTCATTTTAAAGGGGGGGGGGCATTCCCTGATTCATCTGAAATCCAGAAGTCTTTATACAACTACACAATAAATGCAGTAGCCACTAATTAAGTTTTAACTATGTGATTTCATTTAGAAACAGTACTACCTAACATAAAATCAGTACAAGAACTTCAAGACTAGCAATAGCCAGCCTTCCTCTGGCTGCCTGATGTCAGCAATATAGCCAATGTCAACAGTATGAAAGCTCTCCAAAACCACCACACAGTATTTCCTGCTGGGAGTCGCAGACAATTTCCAACTAATGACCTACTGCACACAGGGAGCTACAAGAATGACAAAGCTAAACTCACAACAAAAGAAGCATGAGCTTCTGTTCATACTAAGATGCATGTCTATCAGCCGGACCCTCATTATGTTTACACAGAAGCCACTCTGTTCTCAATGGGATTTGCTTCAAATTGCAGTTGAGAGCATTTGCAGATGACTTAGTATTGACGTTACAGAAGCCAGAATCTAGTACTAAAAGGGTTTTGGAACTGATTCAAGAATTTGGTCAGGTTTCAGGATTTAAACTGAATAAGTTAAAAACAAAGGTTTTAGAGAAAAACTTAACTGTGATGGAGAAAGAGAGGTTTTAGAATGAGACAGGTTTAACAGTGGTTAAGAAAGTGAAATACCTGGGGATTAACATGACAGCTAAAAATGGGAATCTATTTAAAGACAATTATGAAAAATGTTGGACTGAAGTGAAAAAAGACTTAGAAATTTGGTCAAATCTAAAGCTTTCACTGCTAGGCCGCATCGCTGCTATAAAAATGAATGTATTGCCTAGAATGCTGTTTCTGTTTCAAACATTGCAAATTTTGGACAAAATGGACTGTTTCAAGAAGTGGCAGAGAGATATCTCTAGATTTGTCTGGCAGGGCAAGAAGCCTAGAATAAAATTTAAAATACTAACAGATGCAAAGGAAAGAGGTGGATTTGCCCTGCCAGACCTTAAACTTTATTATGAATCAGCAGCTTTTTGCTGGTTGAAAGAATGGCTACTTCTGGAAAACGCAGACATTTTGGATTTAGAAGGTTTTAATAATGTATTTGGATGGCATGCATACTTGTGGTATGATAAGGTCAAAGCACATAAAGCATTTAAAAACCATATTGTCAGGAAAGCATTATTTAATGTTTAGATAAGATATATGGACCTATTGGAAAATAAAACCCCAAGGTGGCTGTCACTGATGGAAGCGAAGGCTCAGAAAAAGCTCAATATAGAGGTTAAATGGCCGAAATATTGGGAAATTTTGGAACAAGAGGGAGATAGATTGAAATTGCAGAGTTTTGAGAAATTAAAAAACAAAGTGCGAGACTGGCTTCATTATTATCAGATAATGGAGGCATACAATTTGGACAAGAAAATTGGCTTCCAGGTGGAAAAATCAAAATTAGAAACAGAACTGTTAGAACCCAAAACTAAGATTTTGTCAAAGATGTATAACTTGCTGTTGAAATGGAATACACAGGATGAAACGGTGAAATCTGCTATGATTAAATGGGCACAAGATGTTGGACATAACATAATGATGGCTGACTGGGAACAGTTATGGACCACAGGTATGAAGTTCACGGCATGTAATGCCTTAAGAGAGAATATTATGAAAATGATATACAGGTGGTACATGACACCAGTCAAGCTTGCAAAAATCTATCATTTGCCCGACAATAAATGTTGGAAATGTAAAGAAACTGAAGGTACATTCTTTCACCTTTGGTGGACGTGCCCAAGGATTAAGGCTTTCTGGGAGATGATTTATAATGAAATGAAAAGGGTATTTAAATATACCTTTCTGAAGAAACCAGAGGCCTTTCTCCTGGGCATGGTCGGCCAAATGGTGCCAAAGAAGGACAGAACTTTCTTTATGTATGCTACAACAGCAGCAAGAATACTTATTGCAAAGTATTGGAAGACACAAGATCTACCCACTCTGGAAGAATGGCAGATGAAGGTGATGGACTACATGGAATTGGCGGAAATGACTGGCAGAATCCGAGACCAGGGTGAAGAGTCGGTGGAAGAAGATTGGAAGAAATTTAAAGACTATTTACAGAAATATTGTAAAATTAATGAATGTTAGAATGATGTCAGAATGAAATTAAGTGGTTCTAGCAGCAATGTTATAAAGGTGTATGAAAAATGGCTGGTTAATAGGTGAGAATTTAAAGCTATAATATATTAAGTTAAAGGACTAAGACAAAAACAAAGAGGGAAAGGAATTGCTGAATTAACCAATTGAACCGGAATACAAAAAAGGGAGGTGAGAGGAGGTCAGGAAAGCAAGGAAATGAAATGTAAGATACGAAAGGATAAATTTGTTTCTAAGTGTTTTTTCTATTTTTCCCCCCTATATTTTGCATTTTGTATGTTTTTTCTCTTTTTTTCTATATTTTTCATTGTCTTTTATGTAATTTTTTGTTTTTGAAATCTCAATAAATATCATTTTTAAAAAAAAACAAATTGCAGCCTCAATCTGCAGAAAATAACATGAATTGGACAGCTTTCTTTTGAGTCCCTGACAATCAGGGAGAATTAATTTCTTATAAGGGCCAAAATGGAAAACACCCAAAGCACAGTTGGAAGCTAGGATCACACTGATTCAAAACTCAAATACCTATTCCAAGGAGTCTGAATCTTCTAAATTTACTACATTATAAAATGTGGATTATGAAAACCTGGCAGATATATTTGCAGCAAGGCCAAATGAAAAATTTCAGCCAAATGGCTGAAAACAAACATGGATATCAGGCAGGTTTTTTGTTTTGCTTTGTTTTTTAAGAGGAGTGAGCTAGAGGGAAACATCATGAGAATTTGTAGCATTTTTAATCTAACTTGCAAAAATGCCAGCCATTTTATACTTGGTGTTTTATTCTATTAAAGACATTTGGTGTAGGATCAACAAGGATAGAACAGGTGAACATGATTGACAGAGAACCATTTCCAAAATAATAATCAATGGTCAGATTGTGAATAGTTGTGTGTGTCGATCTGAACTTATTCTATCATTTACTGTACTGTAACCTAAAGCTTACAAGAAAATGAATAGAATACTTTTGATCACCACCTATGAAAGACAACTGTAATGACTACGAGAGGATTTGTTCAACACATGGGGAAGTGCCTATTTATATTAGATTTAAGACTGCCAATTGAGTGAACAGTTTCCTGACGAGCCCAATAGGTGGCAGTCACAGTCAGGCAGGATCCAAAACGGTACGGCTCCAAAATTGCACCAGTGAACCGGAGAACCTTTTCTCGGCGCTTTCGAGGCAAAGCTGTGTTAAGGGAAACAACCGAGTCCAGTACTGTATTCATTATCAGGTGTAGCGTACCAAGCAAATTGTAAGTCTTGAGAATACATTTGCTTAATATACCATCAAAACCAAATACCTAAACTTTCGCCTCCTTACATCACAACTATAGGATTGCACATAATTACAATAAATATACCCCGCTTTCCTGCTACGAGAACCAAAACAGCAGGCACCAACACCAGCAAAACAGAATTGCTGAATTATAACAAATGGAGGGAAAAAGACTCCACTACGCACTCGCTCTCCTTTTGCAGCCATAAGCATCGAGGGCTTTCCAGGATTTCTTCAGGTGTAAAGGCTGGAAATAAATAGAAAATTCCTATGGGAAAAACGAACTGGAATGACAGGCAACAGCAGCCCCAAAACAATAAATACGAATCGAGGTACCGGAAACCCTGGGGGGGGTGTTATCAAATAAGGGCTCTCCCCCCGGCTTTACTTTAGGGGGCTTTTTTAAACACAGATAGCCTCCCAAGAGTTTCGGTATAATTATTCTGCCTACAGCCTTCTGAGGTAAATGCGAAATAAAAGCGGGAAGCGTCCCCCTGACCCGTTCCCACTACCTGCCCTAACGGCTGCTGAGCTATTAGACGTCTCCACAACGGAAGGCGCCTTCCCCTGTTTCAAAAGCGGTAGCTACTAACACCCTCCGGGAAAAAGCGGCGCTGTCCGCCACCGAGAACGTGCAAGGGCAAACGTGTAATGTCGCTCTCCAGCCTGTTTTGGCCGGGGGAGGGGAGGCCCTCCAGTTTCCTGTAAACGCAAGATACAAAATGGCAGCTACCCACACGTATGCTTTTCTAGGCAGAAAACTCTATGGTGTCGCCTCAGAGCAGAAATTACCATAGGAAACAGACACAGCAATTATCCTGCCCTGCACATGCGTAGAGAAGCTATCTAAAAGTAGAAGGCAACGAGGCGACTTAACGAGGGAGCGCACGACTGTTCCAACAGCGCGTGCGCGCAGAGTTTCAAACCAGCGCAAGCTTCGGCGGGAGGAGCTCTTCTTGCGGCGCCTGCGCGGAGGCCACCCTCGTCTTCTCTTTGTTGGGCGTCGGGGGTTGGGCGCCATTTTGCGCGGCGGCTGAGTGGAGGCGCTGATTGGGTTTCGGGGACCGGTGGCGGAGCCAATCAGAGCGGGACCCGAACCGGGGGAGCAAGGCACGGTGAGTGCGAGCAGCCAATATGGAGCCCCCGAGCGCCGGCCCAAGAGCCGGGATTGGCGGGGCCGAGTGGCCAGTCAGAAGGCCGCGCGCGGGCTAAGGCTGGGCGAGCGCTGGGGCAGCGAGTGGACGTGGCCCGTTGGGCGCCCGGATCGTGCGCTGAGGCGGGATGGGGTAGCCGGGAGGGTCACCCTAATGGGGAGAGGACGAGGAGGGATAGTCGGTGCCGTTCCGTCCTTGGCGCGGTGCTCCCGGAGCCGCCGGAGAAACCTCTGGGATGCCCTTTTGTGGCCCTCGCTGGGTTGGGGGTGAAGTTGCTGAGGAGGAAAGTGTGGGGAGCCCAGGGGAAGTCGCGTTATGGGGGGTGGCTTTCCTGGAAGGGGAAAAGCGGCCTCCGGTTCTCCCTCCAAGCTGACACGGCTGTGCCCAGTGCGGGACTCGTCACCCTGCGTGTGGCTGCCTACCACGGCCCAACGAGGTCAGTTTTGCTCGGACGCTGATCACGGCAACCAAAGGGCTCAAGGTCCCCTGCGAAGCCTTCCTGCCTGTTTCTGGGCCCAGCTCTGGCCTTTGTCATAAAAAAGTACTCTTCGCTGAGACCCAGTACTGCAAGTGATAGGGCCTTTCGCTACACAAAGGCAGGCATCTCTCCCTTACTTGTCATGCTAGATTTCAGTATCTGTTAATAGCATGTTTTCTTCTCTCATATTAGAAATTTGGCCTCAATTTTTTGTGTGAATTTGATGAGGTGAGGTGGCTTTGTGATGTCCTTCCTACAGCAAAAAACAAAACTTCTGCATTAAACTTCATTTTAGCTGACATGTTTGCATTACAAAGGAGTAATCTGTCGTCTGCCTGTTTGCAGTTCAATTATTTTTCCATTGGGTTTTGTGATAATGATTTCATTATTCTATGAATTATGTAAGAATGAAATCTAGTAGAAATCAATGGAGTTTTCTATACCTACATGGAACAAAATGCATTATATGATTTAGGGTTGAACTGTAAGTGATGGGAGCTATATGTATTCTCTGATATGTATATAATTTCAGAATTCTAGTTAAACTTGGAGAAGAGTTCTTTTAAAAAGCTGCTCATGAGGAAAGCTATTAACCATAGCTGTAGGCAATTGATAGACATTGCCAACGTGATATTCAGGCAATGTTTTTCTTGCTTTTTTGCCTTCTAGATGTAGTGCAGTAATGTTATCAAGCGTTTCTTGGTGGCCATGTTTATTGATCTTTGTGTTGATCTTAGAGAATGTAAGAATTGAAATTTAAAATGTAATCCACCCTAAATTGTGGCACTAGGTGGTTGCCAGGTACCCGATCTATCTTCATAAGGTGAGAAATCTGCAACATTATTCTGCGGGAAACAAAGAAAGAGGTGAAGACTTGGCAGTAATAGGAAGCGTCACATTCATCCGACATCTCAGCTGATGTTGGCATATATTTTGTATCAACTTAGTTATATGGTTTAATACAATATATGCGCTTTCTGCACCTGCCATCTTTTGGGGTCCTGCTCTCCAAATTTTGTCCAAATGAATGCATGTGCAGGGCACCCTTGCTCATCATCAGCTATTCTGGAGATCATCTGGATGAGGCAGAAGTGTCCCTCCAGGGAGCTTAGTTGCCAGCGAGGGAGTACCTCAGTGCACCCACCCAAACAGTTGACAGGCCAAAGCTACTGCTGGAAATAGTGGAAATACAAGCAGGGGCAGGGCTGAACTAACATAGGATTCATTGGATTAACTCAGTCTAGCAGGTGGCTCAACAACCTTCTCTCCCTTACCAGCATGAGCAGTAGGGTTGTGGATGCAGCAGAGGCTAGGCTGCTGCCTTAAGCCTGCTATGCAGGTGTTTGGATTGCTTCCTTAGCCAACTCCAAGATTAATCCTGAGGTGATGTGAACACTTCAGAAAAACTGAAGTGTCACCCAAATAATACTATCACACCTTTCTGATCCTGCTGTTGCTTGTTGACAGTTTACTTTGCAGCTTGGCTCTGCTGGAGGTTGCTCTAGTATCTGCTGCCAATTGGTGAGTGTGAGTTTAAGCTTAGAGTAAATTTATGTCTTCTTATTTCCAGCTTTCAGTTTCCAGTAGGTTAACAGCTGGGTTTGATTGCCTGCCTTTGACAGTGGGTTTCTGCTAGCCCTGCTTGGGTTCCAGACAGCAGTAATGCTGAGGGAGAAAGAAGTAATAGGTAGATCAGCAAGTAGGTAGTCAGGGAAGAAGGTACAGGAGACTCCATAGTTGGAGTTGCTTCCAGGTTACTATAGAAGCAGAAGCAGTAAGTCCATTCTGACATTATTTGTGCAGTATGGAACCCCCTGAAAGGTGACTCTTTACCCACTGCTAATGTATCATCAGAAGACCCACAACACATAAGCAGAATATACAGTGGACTCCTTCCCAGATCAGTATTGCCCCAATTTTGGGAAGAGCTGCAGCATAGATTTCTGCTATGTAGTCTTGTGCTTGTGTTACCTGTAGGACAGAAAAGCCCTGCTGCTGGTGCAGCTTCCACAGTTGAGTAGCACTGGAACACGGCTAGGAGAGCATACATTCCATTCCCACCCCAATCCCTATTGCCTGAAACATCGCTTCTGGCAATCCTTGCTTCAAATTCTCTGTCGTATCATCTTGGGTGCAATTCTTGTTGAAAGCATTATTAATAATTGCAACAGGGCATTTTGGAGAGAAAATTACAGAGCTTGTTATAAACTTTATTACTTTGAACTACTTTAGAATGCAGTCTGTCACCTGGTGTGGTGGTGGCTGTATCTGAATTTTCAGATAGGAAATTGTTGGATAGGAGGTTGTTGGGTTAAGGCCATGGAAATAGAGTTTTGTGTTTTAAACTGTAAATGTTGCTTAATACTGCAGTTTCTACACAGTGTACCATAAGATCAGAAAACTCAAATTGCCTACGGAAAACGTATTAACCAAACACCAGATGTTATATAGGGAGGGGTCCTGCCTGATCTCATCCGGGAGGAAGCACCACAGAATTGGTTACAGCTCCTGGTGGATAAGATGTGTATCTGAATCATTAGTGGGAAAGGCATTAACAGTGAATCTCTCAAAGACCTCCGTGACTGGTCAGGAATATAACATATTGGGGTTCTTAAGGTATCCTTGTTCCAAGTTGTAAAGAGCCTTGTAAATAAATAAAATTTGTTTGTTTGTTTGTTTGTTTGTTTAATTATGCCACACTTCATCAGAAGACCACAGGATAGTTTGCAACATACAACACAAATGTAGCATAATATCTGCGGAGCATAAACATAAAATTAATTATATAAATACAATCCTAATAATTAGAGATACACAGTACAGTCATACTTCAAGTTGAATGTGCTTCAGGTTGAGCGCCTTCGGGTTGCGCTCCGTGGCAACCTGGAAGTAACAGAGCACGTTACTTCCGGGTTTCACCGCATGCGCGGACGCTCAAAATGACGTCATGCGCGGACGCGGCAAAACACGACCCGTGCCATCGCGTCTTGCGTTCCATTCGGGATGCGAACGGGGCTCCGGAACAGATCGCATTCGCATCCCGAGATACCACTGTAAATACAGATTATCTCAACAGCAGCATAAAAGAAGAAGAACAGAGTATCTAATATACAAAAACAGCACAAAAATATATAATGACAGGCTCTTGTAGTATGCAGATTGTATGAAATGTCCAGGCAACAACCTGGGTATGCAGAATCCAAAATCTTTTACAGCCAAACTGTATAGAAAACAAAAATGAAACTTAACCATTTAAGAAAGATGACAGCTTGTCTTTCTGAAATGCCCTTCGATAGCCACATTCACTATTTGTATTGGCTGCACAAGAGTTACCTCAAATGTATCGTGCTAAAGTTTATTTAACACTGGGATTATTTGAAGGAAAGGAGGACTCTGCTCAGGTATCCTAACACATTTGTAGTTATCATAAGTGAATTTAGATCTTGATCATTGTTTGAAATCTCTGCTTTTTAGGTTTCCAGTTGAGGACTGAATAGAGGATTGACACTACAAAAACAATGGAGCAGTACACAGCAAACAGCAATAGTTCAACAGAACAGATTGTGGTGCAGGCTGGACAAATTCAGCAACAGGTGTGGAAAATTACTTGGGATGGCTAACTCATGCATTTGGTTCTTAAATTCTGCTTTAGAGGCCAACAATAATAGATTCTTCATTGCTAATTATTACTTTATTCAGAGATATGTGTGTGTTTTCAAAAACTCCATACCTGTTTTAAATATTAAGAATATGCAGCGCAATAAATAATTGCAGGACGTTTTGTCTTTCAAACTTGTATTTTTCCAGATTGTTCCCACCCAGTACCCAAAGTGGTTCTAGTTTTCTCCAACAGTGTGTAAGCTGTTACTTTTATGAAATTTTATTATAGTCTACGGAAAAATGAATAGTTAGTGACTTATGCAGTCTTAAGTGACATCAGCATCACTCAATGAAATCTTTGTTGACTTTTATTTTTTTGTATTAGGTAGGTGTTTTGGTCATTTTTGTAAAGGTGTCATTTGTGTAGTGCTGTATTAAGATGTCCTTCAACCCAACTCTAAGCTTTAAAACACAATGTAGCAATATGTAGGTAAGGGAATAGGTGCTGTTTTAGTATGAAGTGGAAAATATAATAGACTTTTACTTCCCTTTGTCTTACCTTGCTACCATTTTCTTATGTGTATGTGCTTTTTTCTGAGAAAAGTCCTGACACCACAACGCTAAGGCTGCACTAATTTAGGCTCCATGCAGTGAGAAAGTATTCAGAATTATTCTTGAGAGTATAAAGACCTTCAGTGGGCTATTTATTGATTTTGTGCTCCTCATGAAACCTGCAGCTCATTATAAGGAACTTTGAAGAGCTTTTATATTTATCCTGGGGGCAGCAGCAGTACAGTGTTGTTCTTTTTTCAGCCTGTGTCTCGGTTCGGTCCAAACACCGGAGGTGAACCAGATAGCTCCCCTTCACAGGACTCCTTGTCCTTCTCCCTGCAGTAAGGCTATTTCTTGTCTTGAACTCTTCCTTTCCTCCTGCAAAGTTTTAAGCTCTTCCTGTTCCTGTTCCCAGCAGCAGGGCGGTGTCACTGCTGTCCAGTTGCAGACTGAGGCCCAGGTGGCATCTGCCTCAGGCCAGCAAGTCCAGACCCTCCAGGTAGTGGTGTCCTATCTGTTGTGTTTATGTGAGCACTGCATGAATCACCCCATCACCTCATGTTTGATGCTGTGTTTGCACTGGGGCTTGAAATAGGAACAGAAAAATAGTGGCAGTTTACTTGCTCTGTAACCGGTTATGGCTTATGCTAACAGTAGAGAACATTAGAGTTAACATGGTTGGAACTGACCTTGCAGATAAAAATGCATGCAGCAAGTCCAGATCCATGAAACGTCTACTTCGCAAATACAAAGATGAGTAACCCTTTCTTATAGCCTCTCTTTGGGAAGGAAAATCTAGATGAAATTACCGTATTTTTCGCCCTATAGGACGCACTTTTTCCCCTCCAAAAATGAAGGGGAAATCTGTGTGCGTCCTATGGGGCGAATGCAGGCTTTCGCTGAAGCGTGGAGAGCGAGAGGGGTCGGTGCGCACCGACCCCTCTTGCTCTCCAGGCTTCAGGAAGCTATCAGCAAGCCGGAGGAGCCCGCGGATAGCAGCCTGCTGCACGGAGCGCGCCGAAGCAGAGCACCCCGCGCTTCGGGCAGATATCCGCAGCCTAGGGAGCCCTGCGGGAGTTCCCGCAAGGCTCCCTAGGCTGCGGATAGCAGCCTGCTGCCTGGAGCGCAGGACGCGCTGAAGCAGAGCGCCTCGCACTTCGGGCAGATATCCGCGGCTGGGAGGGGGGAATAATTTTTTCCCCCTTTATTCCCCCCCCCCCGAAAACCTAGGTGCGTCCTATGGGCCAGTGCGTCCAATAGGACGAAAAATACAGTATACATGTTGAGAGAGTGACAGATTCCCCTCACCCAGTCCATTGTTTGAAGAAGACACACTTTTTTAAAGAAAATAAAAAAAATCTTGCCTGACCAGTATAGATAATGGATTGTTTCTGTTCTAATCAGAAAATCTGTAAACTAGATTTTTTAAAAAAATTGAAACAAATGACATCCATTGGAGGTATTATTTCAAACCCTGGTTTGTGCTCTGTGAAACTATTAATGTCATTGTGAACATCATCTCATTTGGTTAAATATGCCAGGATTGCTGTGGATGTTTTTATTTCTTTTCTTGAATGGTGTTGTTTGTTTCTAATTTGGCTTGAATTGACTTGGTTTTGTTTTGTTTTGTTTTGTTTTTGCTTGTTGGAGCATTTGAATTAGTATTCAGTAATTTATTATTCTGAGTGGTGAACTAATTAAAACGGCTTGCTTGCATTTGCTTGACTTCGCCTGGATTATATATTTTGTTCCTCTTCTGCTCTCCAATCTGTCATTCTAAGACTGCGGAAAACTTTATTGTAGAATTTGAGAAAGGTAGAGTTGACTTTTGTTGATTTCTACAGCAGATATATTTGTCAATACACATCTCACTTTAGCTTTCTTTTCTTCTGTTTTCGACTACTCTTTCATTTCCTAAATGAAATGTAACTCTACATGAACTAGTCCAAAGCCCATTCATTCATAAGAACATTTCTTGTGTCAGGATAATGGTCCATAAAACTCTGGCTTTTCCCTCACAGCACAAGCTAACAATTTAGGTTTCAAGGTAGCTCACATAGTAATCAAAGCTCCTAAAGGCAAATTAGAGTACTATATGTGTCATACTCCATTCTCATAATTTCAAGGGACTACTTGGAACTGTTTGCCTATTCACTACTGAGTTCATGTATTGCTGTTGGCATATACAACCTCAAACAACCTTGGACTCGGATGCCTAGCAGATCTCCTCCCCCTATACATACCCATGATCAGTTTGTTAAGAGTTTCCTGGTTATAACACAATCAGTGGAATGCCACCTTTTGACATCTAAAAGGCTGGCCTTCAGGTTGAGACATCTTCCCACCTGCAGTCCATGAGCTGGAAAGTAGTTATATTTAAATACTTATTGAAAACACACTTTTATGCAGGCTTCCCCTGGATTCTAAAGTTTACTGCCCTGTTTTGTTGATAGGTGTATTAAGCAATCTAGTTATTTATTTTTATGGTAAGTAGTAATATTTTGCTCTGGATATTTTATTTAAACCTCTTGGGGTTCATTTATATTAAATGATATAAAATATTTCTTAGAAATCATATATCTAGTTTATTAATACTTATTTACTATGTGAGTTGCCTGGAGACCTCAGTGATTAGGTAGTGTTTGTCTCTCCCCTGAGCTTCGGTTGCTTCATGTTGCAAACTGCTACATAAGATGGGCAGAGGTGAAAACACTCTTGGTCTTCCTTTTTTCCAACATGGCTGAGGGCAGAGCTACATGTTACAGACCATGTGGAGCTACTGCCAAAAACAGTGAAGTGAGATCTGGCCTGTGAAAGCTAATGTCAGCTTTCATAAATGTGGTGCCTTCAAGTTGTTTTCATCTACAACTCGCATCATTGGGCTGGTGGGAGTTGTAGTCTACAGCAGTGTTTCCCAACCTTGGGCCTCCAGCTGTTTTGGGACTACAACTCCCATCATCCCTAGCTAGCAAGACCAGTGGTCAGTAATGATGGGAATTGTAGTTCAAAAACAGCTGGAGGCCCAAGGTTGGGAAACACTGGTCTACAGCATCCGTTGAACACTAGGTTGACAAAGGCTGCCTTGTGCTACATTTGATGTGCTGAGGGATATATTGTTTAATGAGTTAGTGAGATATGCAAACTTGAGTTCCTTACAGAGTTTCAGGTCTCTGGTTATATAGGCCATTTGCTTTATCTTTTATCAGCATAGGCATTGGTGGTGAATTATTTCTTTCTCTTAGATTTGATGTAATTGTGCATTTAAGAAATTCCCTGAACCAAACATTTTAAAGTCATCAGTGCTGGAAGTTTGAGCCTGAGGTGATGCATGAACAAAACTTCATTACTGCTGTATTTGGGGCCTTCTGCACAATGCTTGAACGGTAGATCATAATGCAAGATGCAAGAGGCTTATTGGACTTTTATTTCATTGTGGTTCTCCCTTTTGTCCATTTCTTTAGGTCCAGGGCCAGCCACTGATGGTACAAGTGAGTGGAGGCCAGCTGATCACATCAACTGGTCAGCCAATCATGGTACAGGCTGTACCTGGGAGTCAAGGTCAGACCATTATGCAAGTTCCAGTTTCAGGATCACAAGGACTTCAGCAGGTCAGTATGCCCAAATCTATGAGCTGTAATAAAAGGCAGCAGTGGCTTTCTGGATACCACAAGGAAGCTCACTAAGCGCATTAACAAAGGCAGCCATCACTTGCTGTTTGACCTCATGATCTGGTGATCAGATATATGATGCTGCTGCTCACACAGGCCTATTCTTCATTGTCTTAGCTAGCAGCTATTGGTATTCTTGATGTATTAGTTTAATTCCTTTTAAGAACCATCTGTGCTGCTGGGGGCAAATACAATATAGGAATTATGTGTCGTGTGAAGAAATACTTCCTACAAAAATATGATATATAATAGAAATTACAGGAAATTGGCTTTAGAAGAGACCTTCACTTCTTAACATAATTTTAGCTGTGTTTCATACAGTAGTATTTGTGTAAAGTCACAGCAATTTTTACCAGGTTTTGCATTGTGAACATTGCTCCTGAATTGCACCTCTTCATAGTAACATCTCCAATGTGCCTTGCTTTGCAGAAATTAATGGATTTCATAAATTTTAGTTTCTTGCCATATAGAGGTGCATTCAGAAGAAATATTTGTCTTGCTGTGCTGAAATGATGGGAAGGACCTTTACTGGTAGAAGCTTCCTATGTTAAAAATGAATGTGAAAACTGAATTATAGAGAAGAAAAACTTTTCAAGTATACGTAAAAGATTTTCCACCTGCCTGGAAACTAAATAACCCAGTTTATGGTCTAACAGCAAAGACAGCAATAGCTTAAGAAAGTATTAGTGGAGAGAACCGCTGCCACTTGCCCTTGTAGTGTTTCACTCCTGGGAGAATGAAAAGTTTTTTGTTTTGTTTTTTAGGCCTTCCTCTGATCCAGCTGTAGATTTTCTCTGGGTTGTTTCCACCACTAGGGTCCCAGTTTTTCAGTTCTATATTAGAGGAAGACAAAGAAGTTGCCACTTTTCTTTCAAGCTGGTTGCTTTATCTACAATACTGTCTTGTATCATATGCATGGTCGTGTTTGCTTAGGACTGAAAGGGAGAGATTTTGTTGCTGAAATGTGATAACTGGCTCCTAGGATTTTAAAGTATTGTTCTAGCCTTGCTATTTAATAGTCCCATTGTTACAGTCCTGATGGGATATAGTAAGTGGCACAGACGAATCTCCCATCTTTGCTTTATCATTGAGCGGAAGTAATTTCTGCCTCCATTTTAAAGGTATTAGTACCGGATTTGGTTTTACATGTTTTGATTGTCTTAGCCTAATATATACTGTCAATGTTAAGTTTAGCTTTATTAGATTTATCTGATTATTCTGTCCTGCTGATTCTTCCTTTCACAGATTCAGTTGGTCCAGCCTGGTCAGATTCAGATTCAGGGTGGTCAAGCAGTGCAAGTTCAGGGTCAGCAGGGCCAGACTCAGCAAATCATCATCCAGCAGCCACAGACAGCAGTTACTGCTGGCCAGACACAGGTAACATAAAAGAGGAAGATTGCAGGGGGCACTGAGGGAAATGAAACGAACAAGAATGCTGATCTTGGCACATCTGAATTGCAATGTGAAGTTAGGAAGTCCCAAGGCATTGTAGTTTTGCATTGCTTAGTGTTTCATCTCATGGGATGTTTTTAATTTGCAGACACAGCCACAAATTGCAGTTCAGGGACAACAAGTAGCCCAGACGGCAGAGGGACAGACAATTGTCTATCAACCCGTTAATGCTGATGGAACAATTCTTCAACAAGGTAGGAATTCTACATGCCACAGTATACTATTTCACTTTCTTTTTTTAAAAAAATTGACGGTTACCAGAGCAAGATACATACTGTTTGCTTTTTTAGTAGCCTTTAGGCACCAAAGTGATGCCATTAAAATTGATGAACGTTTTTAACCCTGTTTTGTAAGGATCATTGTACCAAGAACCTACAATTCTATGTTCATAGTTACAACATTTGTATACTCAGGAAGGAGTGTGCAATTATGAAAGAGTGTGGGATGTTTACCCCATGGTGTCTGTTGTGTGGTTTCTGAAGTGAAACTCAAAAGTCCCAGTCTCCTGAAATACCAAAATAGGTTTTTTTCCCCTGAATGCATTTTAAATAAAAGGACACATTCTACTCATGTAAAAACATGCTGATTCCTGGACCGTCCGCAAGCCGGATTGAGAAGGCGATTGGGCCGCATCCGGGCCTTAGGTTGCCTACCCCTGGGCTAGGGCTTGCCGATCAGAAGGTTCGAATACCCGCCACAGGGTGAGCTCCCATTGCCCGGTCCCAGCTCCTGCCAACTTAGCAGTTTGAAAGTACGCCCCAAAGTGCAAGTAGTACCACTCCCACGGGAAGGTAAACAGCGTTTCCATGCGTTGCTCTGGTTTCGCCAGAAGCGGCTTAGTCATGCTGGCCACATGACCCGGAAAAACTGTCTGCGGACAAACGCTGGCTCCCTCGGCCTGTAAAGCGAGATGAGTGCCGCAACCCCAGAGTCGTCTGCGATTGGACTTAACTGTCAGGGGTCCTTTACCTTTTAGATAAGTCCCATTTCTCAGTTGTGGCTGATAGTCCTTCAGATGCCTATCCTTCATGAATGAACATGCAATTCCCTTTTAAAGCCATCCAATCTAGACGCTGCTGCCTCTTGCGGTGATGGTGTTAGTTCAGTTATTTACCAAGGGGAAGTTAAAATCTTCATACTCCATCTCTTGCATTCTTATCTGGGGGTGGGAAGGCAGAAGTCTTTATTTTTGTGTTGTATGAGGAGCACATGGATGTGGATTAATCTATTAATATATCTGGAAAAAAAATCTCATTTTTTCAAATCCACAGGCAAATTTCAGGGCAGAGTGAATAAAATCCGAAGTGGGACTAATTATGTTCCCTTCATCTTTGTGTTTGTGTATGTTTTTGTTTTTGTTCCTTAAAGTTACAGTCCCTGTTACAGGCATGATCACCATCCCAGCAGCCAGTTTGGCTGGAGCACAAATAGTTCAGACTGGCGCCAACACCAACACAACCAGCAGTGGACAAGGAACTGTAACTGTGACGCTGCCTGTTGCTGGAAATGTGGTTAATTCAGGTGGAATGGTCATGGTGCGTATTGCCTTTTTCTAATTACCCCATTTCTTTGCTGAATCTAATGCACTGAATCTGTAGAATAAATGATTTATTCCACTTGGCAGCCTTTTGCTTTGCTCATAATGGGAGCAGGGGTTTATAGATTTTAGGAAGTTATATTTGATCTTTGGCTTTCTGTAAGGTATATTCAGGACTACACTGAATTGATTATGGTGTGGAGAGATGTATTCATTTTAACTAATCTCTTTCCTTCCCTTGATGCAGATGGTACCTGGTGCTGGATCAGTGCCAGCCATCCAGAGAATACCTTTGCCTGGAGCTGAGATGCTTGAAGAGGAGCCGTTGTATGTGAATGCGAAACAGTACCATAGGATTTTGAAGAGGAGGCAAGCAAGAGCTAAGCTGGAAGCCGAAGGGAAAATTCCAAAAGAGAGGAGGGTAAGGCTATGATCTAACGTTCATGAGAGGCAGAGAAACAGTAACATTTACTGTGTGTCCTTAAAATTGCCTATGTTCCTATTATAGAAATTCCTCTCATTTTCCTCTGCTTGGTTACAGTAGACTTCAAATATTTTAACCATACTGGGTTCAAAGAACATGCTTTCTGGACTTGGCCACCAGAAGCTTTCTTCCTTATATCACTGAAGCAGAATTAGTCCTGGGTTCATTTAGACATAGTATAAATTATTGATTTGGAAAATGTTGTTTGGCAGCTCACTGTTTAAAGGGCTATCCTCCTAAAAATTAAGGAGAACTACATCTAGTCAATGTGGAGAACAACTTTACACTTGCTGCAGCTGATGGTTCCCTGATAGCCCCATCAACTTGAGGTATGGGGACATGGCACAGGCTGCCACAGCCATGACTATTTTAAAACTGAGATAAATTATTTTATTTATATTTACCATAATTTCAATTAGATTGAAAGTTTTAATACATGTTCTTAGAAGTTTGAGCAGGGGACTGGAGTGTTCTTTCCCCTCTTGGTTTCATTTGGAGGCAAAGAATAGACGGGGGGTGTTTGCTCTTTGACCTCAAGTCATCAAATCTTTGTTGTGGCAAAGTCCAGCTGAAACTAACAGAACAGGTTAGCTACAACTAAAGTTCCATTGCTGGAGTGGGGCTTTTGTGTCTCGCTGCATTTCCATGTTGTAGATTTGGAAGAGTTCTTTTGCATTTTGCGCCTGCTTTCTGCTTGTAGTACAAAGTGGATGATCTAGTCACACACTTGTATATGGGGTCACTTACATCCTTACAACTTTGTGATTTTCTGTGCAGAAATACCTGCATGAGTCCCGACACCGTCATGCCATGGCAAGGAAGCGGGGGGAAGGTGGACGGTTTTTTTCACCGAAAGAAAAGGATAGCCCCCACATGCAGGTGAGCAAAACTTTCCTCTTTGTTTTAATCAGAGTTTGCATACATATGCTTCCAATTTATTTGCAGCCAGTTCCAAGAAAACCTCTGTGCAACATCTCTAATAACTTTGCTAAAATTGCAGACCTAGTTTCAAAGTACTTGTGATTCTTCCTGGTTCCCACTGAGGCTTTCAGAGAGATCTCCCAACCCTGTTAAGTTACAAGTAACTTTGGGTGGTATTCAATGCTGTCCATGCAAAAGCAGAACAGACTTCTGTTCCTGCAGTAAGCAGGGCTTCGCTACTCTCTCATCCCCTCTGCACACCTTCACAGTCTGCTCTGGAGATCTGTGGGACCATCAAACAGATTTTATAAGGAGAAGAGAGGGTGGTGAAGGCCTGCTGAACAAGTGGAAATCAGTTCATGCAGTGTTGGATTTTGCCCTCTGTGGAGATGTGATCCACTTTAGAAAATACTCCTCTTATGGTAAAGACTAGAATTGATCTGGGATGGTTCAGCATTTCAAGTTTTGGGGGCTATACTTTCTGGGACATATAGCTGTGGGCACTGGTACAATACCACTTAATAATCTGGCACACACAAAATACTCTTAATTTCTAATATACTCTTTAAAAAAATAACATAATAATGCTCTTGTACAATACTAGTTGCATCATTATACAGACAAGCTTGTGACCAACAAAACATTGGTTTGAAGCTGTCGCTGATAAGATTCAACCCCAGTTTTAAAGATGACAAGCTAATCTGGTTTGTTTTATAGAATTGCTTTTACTTTTCACGGTAGGTGGGGAAGCAGTCTGACTGCTGCTTATTAGCTACATGGGCTGCATCATGGTTGATCTGAAATATTCTGATTCCCTTTGCTCCGGATAGGCCAAAATCTATTAGGAGCTGTATGACTGACATGTTTCAAAATGTAAACTGTACCACAAAACTCTTACTAGGTACTTCTTCTTTCAGAGAGACTCCTTTGGTAGTTCTGACACCCTCAGAAATGCAGAGAATGATGACTCGAGAGAGAGCTTTTAACCTAACCTGTGCTGCGTTTGTCTAGAACTGTTTTACTTGTTTGAATTGTATGATTAAACCTACCTTCAGTCCTTATGGTGAAGAGCGGGTAAAAAATAATACAAACAAACCCACACTTTCCTCCACATCTAGTTCAGTGCTATAGCCACAGCACTAAACAGTTGGGTGTCTACCTTAAAGGGCAGGCTGTTGTTGTTTGTATTTAAATGCTATTATGAAGAGGCTGCAGGTTACAAAACTGTTCTTTCCCCCCTCCTCATCTGTATAGGATCCTAGCCAGGCAAACGAAGAAGCAATGACACAGATGATTAGAGTATCCTAACAGCCAGCTAAAGAACAGAGCGTCTGGACTAATATCTTGTGTCTCTGGAACTGTTCCCTATCCTACCTATCAAACTTCTGAATGGGAAAATTTGCCATATGCACAGCCTGTTCTCGTTTTAAGAACAAATGCCACACTCTCAGTGAGTGGTTTGTCTTAGACTTTTAACTGCAGTGGACTCAGCACATGGAAACACCTATGAACCCACCCAGTTCAGACCAGGGAGTTGAAAAGTCAGACTCAACAGAGCTTTAACATCCTTGACAATAAGTGTGGCACAGCTTGAAACTGCCACTGCCTCAGCAATAACTAGCAGGTTGAAATAGGGCTAGTTACACCATTTGGAAGCCAAGGCTCTTGAACCACACAGGAATGCTAATATTTGAAGCAGCCAGAGCTCAATGTAGCCGCCTTGGTCCCCGCTGCTCCCCACAACCTCAGATTTTATATTTTCTGGTAATGCATCTTTCCACTGCAGAAGCATCTTCTGTAATAGAACTCTTGACACGACACAGAAAGTTTTTCTCAGCGTACTGTCCTACATAAACTGTCTCCAACTATTTGTGACAGAATTAATCCATTATCACAAAGTATTGGGAAGTTAGAAGACTTGGGGTAATGCATGCATGTTCCAATGGATAGCAGAGAAATTGTATAGTGGCCCAGGGGACAGTCATGGGTCGTTGGGGGAAGGGGGTGGGGATAGATCTTGGTAATGTGTGTCAGTTAAAGTTCACTGACATGCTGTTCCTGCAGGCTGAGAAATGCACATCTTCTGAAATGCACATACTGCCGCTGTCTTTGGTGCAGTTGTTTCTCCAATATCAGAGCATTAGATACGGTGTTGTGAGCATTAGTCAGGATGTGACACATACTTTGCCCTAACCAAACCCTATGTTGTTAACATCCTCCTGTAGCTCAGATTGCATTGTCCATGAGAATTAACGTGAACAGTCCTCTCAAGTTTTTTATTTAATCATCTCTGTAAAATGGCACTTAATTCTGTAACCTTCGTTTTCTGTTCTGAGGGACTTTTTCCTCATTTTGATTGTTTATCATTATGTTTATCATTATTGGATTGTTAATCATTACGAGAAGTGACAAAAAAAGAAATGGAGTTTCTTTCTGCCAAGCATCACTTGCTACCTTTTTCACTTCTCCCAAGATTTTCTTTCTTCCCTTATTGCTACTTGCTTGGGCAATGCCATGAGGTCCAGCTAGCACTATGTTATGTTCTTTTATATTCACAGGCTTATGTTTAAGCCTGCATTGCTTACCGAGATTGAGAGTGAAGGAGGATTGGAGGAGGCTCGTCTCTGAAAGATGGGAGACGAACTACAGTAGCAAGACTGAGGGGCTGCATAAAAAAGAAGGTGCCTGGAAGTTGACTGTTAAGTTTTTAAGAGGGATCTCATGGCATCAGAACAGGTGTCATGAGGTGGCCCTCCCTAGTTAAAAAAAGTAGAACTCATTCGTCACTTGATTTGAAATAGCTTGTATATGGGCACCTTCACAAGGCCCCCTTTTCATGACATAAAAAGATAATAATTCAGGAGAGTGGATTTGAGAGAAAATAATTGGTACTAGTAAATCAGCAGAGATTGCTTATCCAGTGGACTAGAACAGTGCAGCTTTCAGATTGGCTAACTTAATTCCAACCAATGAAATGTTAAGACAACTGATACGCAAGTGTGATGTCAAACTCTAGAATGCGTTTGGAGAAAACAACGTAAAGTGAGATGTGGAGCAGAGTTTAAGCTATTTATCACCATGCTGTACATGGTGTTCCAGTGCTCTAACATAAGTTATTGTAAGCAAAGATGTGCGCTTTTTTTGTATCAACTGCACTTATCCTTTTAAGCCTTTGTGCAGGTTGTGTGTTTCTAAACCTTTTTGTTTTTAATCCCCACTAGCCTTTCTGTTTGCTTCTTTGCATTTGCCAGCATCCTGGGTGCCTTTGATTACCATTGTAGTTTTCTTCAGCAGGCTAGTTCCATGTCATCTAGTGTTTCTTTTCACTGGTTTTACAATAAAATATCCAGTCTTAGTGAAGGAACAGTGAATACTTTTTTTTAATACTGTTTTTCAGTTGTAAATATCTAAAGCATTGGTACGTTCTGAGATGCTGATAGACATGGTGAGGAGGAAATACTGTATAGTCTGAATTAAAGATGTTTCTCCATGTGTTTCCCTTTTCAGTTATCAGTTTTATCACTGCAGACTGGGATGGTAAGGGAATCAAGGTTCTCCTAATTCTTTGTGTGTGTAAAATCATAATATGACATTTGCATCTTTAAAAAGACCAAGCCATCGCTACCTTTTTCAACCTAAAAACAAAAACAAAAAATGCTCTTTGATACCTATATGTAGATGGTGCAAACACCTTTTTAATTTTTGGTCTATAGTTAGGTTTTTCTGTAATGGTGTAAAATGTCCTGATAGGATCTATTATACCAATGTCTTAGACTTCATGTGTGTAGGTCAAACTTGTTTCAAAATATTTGTTAATATTAGGAGTCTCAAACTGCAACGTGTTGCAAAATGTTCTGTTCCTGGATAACTAAAAGCGGAAGTAATGCCAAGTGCAAACTCTTAATTGGAAATTAAAAATCAGGCTATGAAATATTTAATTGGGGATAGACTTAAGGGATAAAGCTGGAGTGGAGTGGGTTTGAAGAAAATGTAAATTCTTCTATTGACCTATAAAACACTGGAACATTGAGCCCATTTAAAGCGGTTTGATACTTAAGGGTTGGCGTAGAAACCTCCAAGGCTAAACTTCTACAAATATTTTGCATGTAAAAAAAAATAAATCAGTTTCTTGGGTTGTGAATGGGGATTGGAGTATTGATATTTGTGAAACCGTAAGGCAAAGTTTGTACATAGTTCAAAAGTTTATAATTTTTTATGCTGCATTTTGAAGTGTATTTTGTCTTTAATAGATACAACTGTAAGTACTGTGTACACTATTCAGCCAATAAAATGTTTATAAAATATGCTGTTGACTTCGAGTCTGATTACTATTTATCATTATTTGTAATCACTTACAGTATAATCACTCATGCATCATTTGGAACTGCACTCCTGCTCAGCAATTGAGAAGAAATAAATAACTAAATACCAGAGCCAGCGGGTGGGGTATCATTCCTCCTGAGAAGGTGAAATGCTTGCCCTGATGATGAAACAATTGCCTTAGCATGATGTTGAATTCCTCCTGCAATCTAGGGGTATAGTAAGAGTTTGGACATGCATTGTTTTTAATATGCGATAGTTTGCATTGAGCATAAGACTTTGTCTGCAGCTAATGGATTCCAGCGAAGTTATAGGAGCAACTGGATTGCATTGTGGGCGTGCACCATCTGATTGCTGCCCCATTTTTTTCAAAATAGCGTGCTGGGAAACTGAAGTTTGTTTCCTCATGAGCAAGGGGATTTGGGGTGTAGAGAGAGGAAGTATTCCAATTTTAAAGCCCACACCGGTAGCCTGGAGCGGAACAATTCAGAAAGAGCTGCATCACATCAGTCTCAGACATGAGGTGTCAGCTTGAGGCACAAGTTGAATTAGGGTGACGAATTCCTGCTGCTTTGTTTTATCTTCTGATCCATCAGTAGCTGTTCTGATCCATCAGTAGCTGTTTTATCTTCTGATCCATCAGTAGCTGTCCCTCCAAGTTTATAACACAAATATATTAAAGCCTAGCATTGATGGATAGGATATATAAAACAGGTATGGATAACTAATACTTACAAGAGCCTAGTAGATGAATTTGTCATCTAATCATGTACTTAAACTACTGTGAAGTATAACAACTTAGGGCCTGATATATGGGTGTATATCCATTTTATAAAATATTGCAGCATGACCTCTCATTCATGGGGTTTGCAATTTCACAAACTATAATGGAATATAGATTATATAATAAAAAAAGGTTTACAAGAGACATTTTTGGAATTCGGAGTTTGAAAGATTGTGTCGAAGAGCTTGCCTCTCTTGCAGCTTGGTGCCACACAAACTTTGTGGTTTTGCTCTGTTGGACTTCTATTTCCTTATCTTCCACCCCCCTTAACTGTTCCTGAGGGAATAATAAATGTCTGAGAAGTCATGGTTACATCAGTTAAAATGAAAATGCAAGGTCATAACTTTTAATTGGATCAACTTATGTTTCTGAAGAGTCCACACACATTTCTGTAGAGAGTGTAGCTGTGTAGAATGCCTCCAAGATGTGGAAACAGGTCATCTCAGTGTTGACAAGTTTAACCCCTCTGTTTGGTTTCCTGTGTGTTCCCCATCATTGTCAAGTGGACAGAAGGTTTCACTACTTAGCAGCAGCTTCAGATGCTTTGCTGCACAATAGTAGTAAATAATAGTATTTATATAGCACCAAGTGCAGTTTGGTATGGTGTTTGAACAACACAGATTATGAAAGTGTATAAAGCAATGTATTTTTTTATTTGTTGTTAACTCTACTTCATTGTTGAGCAAGCTAGTGTAGTCCACTGAATAGTGAGCCAAACTTGGGACTCTGGAGTTTTTGCTCATTAGCTCTCATAAGTCCTTGCCTTTCAGCTTCAGATTCCCATCTGTAAAACGGGAACGTTGCAACAACAACAAAATTCCCCTATCTATGAATGGTGAATCAGCTTGCATGCCTAAAATGTGTTATTCACAAACTCAACAAATCCTTTTGATTCATGCTTCCTGTTCGTTTTATTTTATATAGTGCCATCTATTTTGAAAAACAAAGTCCATATCCTCATTAGGTATCAGTGCAACAATCTTCTTTCTGCTGCAACAGAGCAAGGCTGTATTTAATTCAGATAAGAATCACTAGAATTCAAATGCAAAATGAGCTTTCATCCCTAAACCCAGCCCTGCACTTTTCAAATCCATCCAGATTCTGGTTCCCTTTTAAGCTTCATTCCCACATTCTCCTCCACCCTCCATTTAACATACCATGCAATTCTGCTTAATAGGTATGCAGAGATCCTGCTGCAGCATGTGAGGTTCTGCGGTCTGAGGTATTAACCCCAAAACAAGCATTAGAAGAGTAGTAGCACTGGATCTGTGGCATCTTCCTAAAGTCATACACAGGGCAGCAACATCATAAGAAATCAGCAGCTGTTTCTGGGCTCCCTTCTTCCCCAGCAATAATAATAACTTATTATTTGTACACTGCCCATCTGACTGGGTTGCCCCAACCACTGTCTCACATTTCATTTCATTTATTTTGCACTGGACACAAGCCACTAATGTAACTAACAAGGGTACAGTCACCGCCACAAAACCAGCATGGAGTAGTTAGCCTTATCAGGATCCTACTGCTCCCTAGAACTTTGCATAGACTTTGGGTCCCTGTCCCCCCAGTGTGGCTTGCCCTGCAGTTTGGGGTGCCACTCCCTTCACCTGAATAAATCAGAGAAGCAAGATTACATGCATGAAAGTAACGTACATTCAGATCAGTTCCTTTGGGGTGTATGTTCAGGACCCAGCTGGGCAGAATGAGCAGGAAAGCCACCCAAAGGCAACCCAAGGGAGGGTGCCTTACCAGAATTTGAAGAAAATGAAGCAATATACACTGCCATCCGAGAGGAGGAGGGGCTGCATGACCAATTGGTCCAGAGCCTAAAATTAACTAATGCCATCACTGCTTAAGATGAGCATCTGCATCCACACTGCAGAGCTCATCTAGACCTTACTGAACTGGCTGCATGCATCTTTCGATGCAGCCATGAATGTGGATTCTCATCCAGGGCCACTAATTGTTTTGCAGGAATAGTAGCATGCAACCTAAGCCAGATCAGAGTTCAGTATAGTTATTATCAGCAACGGTGAACTGAAAACCACCTAGTTTGGAAATTAAATATTTGATAGTGATAAGAGAAAAGCAGTTTTTTCTTTGTCTCGTTCTTTCTTTCAAAAAGAAAGCTCTTCACAGAAGAAGAATTGCAAGCAAAAGGCTCAGAGTTTGCTATTAATGTTTCTGGAAGACTGACTTGATTCTTCCTACCACAGCACAGTAATGGAAGGATGGTGTTCTATATTTGTGCAGCTGGGAGGAAAGTTGTGCTTATGCTAAAAGAGTACCTTTATTTTATCTCTTGGACTCCACTCCCCATTTGTAAAAAAGCAAACAGAAAATTAGAAAACAGTGTCAAAGCTAAAAAAGAAAACAATTTGTGAAATAATATATTGTCAAAGTCACCATTATCTGGATTTCAATCTACATTAGCAGTTGTCAGGGTCATTATTAAATTGGCTTCAAAGTCTTTGCACCCTCAGGTGGTGCAGTGGATCAGTGTGTCTGGCTATTAACCAGAAGGTTGGTGAATCGAGCCCATCTAGGGACAGCTGTGGGCAGGATTCCTGCATTGCAGGGGGTTGGACTAGATGACCCTCTAGGTACCAACTTACAATTCTGTGATTCAGCTGGCACTGTCTACTCCATGGGTAGGCAAACTAAGGCCCAGGGGCTGGATCCGGCCCAATCACCTTCTAAATCCGGCCCGCGGATAGTCCAGGAATCAGCATGTTTTTACATGAGTAGAATGTGTCCTTTTATTTAAAATGCACCTCTGGGTTATTTGTGGGGCATAGGAATTCGTTCATTTTTTATTTATCTTTTTCAAAATATAGTGCGGCCCCCCACAAGGTCTGAGGGAAAGTGGACCGGCCCCTGGTCTACATTGAAAACATCTAAGGGCCGGATTTAGAAGGTGATTGGGCCGGATCCAGCCCCCGGGCCTTAGTTTGCCTACCCATGGAGTAGACACTCTAGAAAGTCTGGGGAGCTGGTTTTGCAAGTTTCAGGATATTCCACTTTAGAGAGGGCGATTGTTGCTACTCAAATGGTTTAACCAAATATGTGAAAATATTTAAAGTCTAATTGTCCCAATCAGCTTATGTAGTGTTTGTATATTGGCCAAGCAAGTTATCTTGTTCTAGTTGCAGAGATTCGGAAGTGGAGAGAACGCTGTTGCACTCAGGTCCTGTTTTGGGCTTCCCTTGAGCATCTGAGATGCTGTACTAGATGGGCCACACCACTACACTTTTATAAAATGTAGAGAGAGCGTTCACACACAAACACAAAATCAAAAAAATAACAGAATTATAGGGTTATGGATCTATAGATCTTAAGACGCTGGTCTGTGAAAGAGTGGCTTACAAATCACCCAGCAACAAGATGGGCAGTGGCTATAGATATGTGATTCTGAGCACTGCCATTTTCAAACAGAAATGCTGACAGAGTTTGCTTACAGTTCAGCAGCAGATTAAAAGCTGATGGCAGCAGAGGTCCAGTGGATTAATATGAGCTGTAGGAAGCAACAGAATACACAAGCCCCGAAACATTATTTCACATTGTCCAGTCATTTAAAGCTTTTCCGTTGCACAACGCAGCCTCTAAGTGCTTCTGTGGCTTGGCAAATGTGCTATGGTGAGATTTCCAGCACATCTTCTTTCCAGTCCTCTCCTTCCTGCTCTTCATTGTCCAGCTGCTCAAATTCGCTAGACTTGTCAGGTTTTCTCTCTCCAGGAGTTTTCAGGAATCTGGAATTTTAAAGAAACAAACATGCACACTTTGAGCTAATCCATATTCCCATTTGTTTCTCAAGCCCACTTCCAACCCCAGTCATTGGGCAAAACAACACATTAAAGTGTCCCAGGAAACGAGATTAACTTAGCCATTTTGTAGAAAAATCAGTGGTGAGGGACCAGATCCAGAACATGCTTCCAGTCCAGTTTAAGGACCAACAACAGCAGTCTTCTGAAAACTGCACAAAATTGGTATGGGTCCCCAGTTTGGATTGGAAGCACGCTGTAGGTCTGGGCCCCATAGCTGATTTTTCTGTAAAATAAAAATGGCCAGAGTAAGCATGCTTGCTTGAAGTCACATGCAACTTGGTCTGCATCTCAGCATCACATACAAGATTCCCTGCTGACTAAGGATCTCATCTTTTGGGTGAAGGTCCTTGGCTCAAACCCTGCTGTCTCAGAGTTCCTTGCCACCAAGGAAAAGTCCCATAACTGAGCAAAACAAATCTTCAAAAGATTTCATACCTTTTAGCTGAGTAGATCTGCACTGTGGTGCACAACAACTCTCCGATGCAGGTGGGACACAACCAAGTTGCCCCCATCATCCTGCTCCACTAGAGAGCAGAGCACTTCCTATGCAGCAAACAATACCTATCCTGCTAATGTGCAGTTCTCTCACAGTAACTCCCCAGTGAGCTCACTTTACAGGTTGAGCTCTTATTTTCTTACCGGAATAAGAGTTTCTGCCCAGGTTCCTTTTTGATGATGTTGAGTTTATAGTAATGTCTCAAAGCTCTTGACATTTTCTCATACGTCATGTTCCTGCGATTCTGTAAATTCAAAAGATTATGGGTTTTGTTCAACTGACAGTTGATTTCCTTTGGCCGCAATAGGAATGGTTTAAGCTAGGTTAGCTAAAAAGCACCATAGGATCTTCCTGCAGAATCGTAGTTCAGTGGTCACTGGACTAGATGCTTGAACACTCAATTCCAAACGTAATAAATTGCAACAGATGCTGTTTTAAATAGAGTTGAGCGACGAATGGTTTGAGCAACTTCATTTGAAAGTGTGAGTTAATAAGATTTTTTAAAACAAACAGCTGCCTTAGTGTACATCAGTAGTACATTTAGCCCAGTGATGTCTATTCCAATTGGCTGTGGCTCATCATTGTATCAGGAGCAGCTCTTTCCCATTCCTGCAACCTTTTAGCAAGAGTTAAAACAGATTGCACTTAGAATTTTAGTGCTCTGCCACCAAGCCCCCTCTTCCAATCCCTCTTAGATTGTAGATAAGAATTTAGAATAAAATAACCTGGTAAACCATGTTTACTGCTTGAACAGGACACCTGCTGAGATCTTTAGACAGTGGACTTTATTTCAAGAAGAATACCGTATTTTTCGTCCTATAGGGCGCACCTTCCCATAGGACGCACTTATTTGGGGGGGGGGGAATAAAGGGGAAAAAATTATTCCCTCCCCAAGCCCCAAAGAGCAAAGAAGCCATGACAGCGAGCGGGATGGATCCCGCTAGCTGTCCTGGCTTTGTTTTTAGCCTCGGGGCTGGGGGTCCAGGAGCGAAGGCGAGGTTGCGCTCAACCTCGCCATCGCTCCCGGAGCTTGCGGGGAAGCCTGAGCTCCCCCCCGACCCCAGCCCCCAGAACGGGTCCGGGAGCGATGGCGAGGTTGCACAACCTCGCCATCGCTCCCAGAGCTTGCTTGCGGGGCGGGGGGCAGGGGAAGCCCGAGCTTCCCCCGACCCCAGCCCCCAGAACAGGCTGTTGCTCGCAAGGCTTGCGGACATCTGCGCGAAGCATGGGGCGCACTCCGGAGTGCGCCCCGTGCTTCGGGCTGCAGCTCGCAAGGCTTGCGGATAGCTTCCTGAAGCCTGGAGAGCGAGAGGGGTCGGTGCGCACCGACACCTCTCGCTCTCCAGGCTTCAGCAAAAGCCTGCATTCGCCCCATAGGACGCACACACATTTCCCCTTCATTTTTGGAGGCAAAAAATACGGTACTTGTTGATGGCAATGTGGAAACTCCAAGGCAGGGTAAAATAAATTTACCCACTTTTTAAATCTAAGACAATCTTCCAGCTTTACCAATAAAAAAATTGGCCTAATCATTGTACCTAAATCAAGGGATCCCCACATGAGTAAGTACTCTAGGGGTACTTACTTGGGTATGGCTCTGTCAGCTAGGAGCTCTTACCAACCAGCAGATCTGATATCCCCATATGCCTGCTCAAACAATACACCCTAAAGGCAGCTTCAATAATAACATTTATACTATACATTATTTTTATTAGTTAGGTTTTTAAATCTGCAAGTATCCCTTCTGTTCAGTTGCTTCACCAGAATTAGGGACGGCCCAAACAACTTTTTTAAAAATAAAATCTGCATCTACGTAATTCCACATGAGAAGCTTACTGGGTACCTTGTGATTACCCCAGAGCCTGGCTAGTCCATTGGGGTCAACAACACGAAATATCTTGGCCTCTTTATCTTCCCATTTTATAAATGCTTCGTATCGGCTGTCACAGAGGAGCTGGTAGACGTAATCCCAAAGTAACCTGCAGTCTGTAGTATAGCAGAAAAAAGAAGGGTTGTGGTTCAATCAGCTAGGATGACATAAATTAGCATCTTTACTGGGCAATTCTGTATCATCCTTTAGGTGAGGGTGCATTTCCAAGCTACCACAAATAAGTGGCCAATGATGTGAGGAAGAGCAGGGCTACCACGCTGCAATTTTGTGCCTGATAGCAGACCTCTCTTACTCTCAGTAGGTGAAAAGTTCAGCATTTGCCCCTGTGTGGCCTGCAGCTAAGAAAGGAACTAAATGTTACCTCAGCAAAACACAGGTTCCCATAGCAGTGTTTGCTGAGGTAATCCAGGAGCAAAGAAAGCTTTTATAGGAGACAAACAGCAAGCCGGTAGGATGTGTGCTTGACCTCTCCCACCAATTATCCTCTGAAAATGTCCCCTGGCTGTGTTTCCCTTTGCTTAGTCTTCCAGTTTGAGAGCCTGGCCCTGAGGAGATATTCACAGTGAGCTTGAAAACAGGGCAAGGGAAGAGGATGAAGCCTTCCCTTCCACCAGCCTATTCTTCCTTGAAAGTGCCGCCTAGCCACACACCCCTCCCATATTTCCCATTGAAAGCGCTGCCTACTCCCCATATTTCGGAATTGTCTTGTGTTTTATTTGCGTATATTTTTGTAAACCTCTTTGGGAAACATTTTGTTTGAAACACAGTCTACAATTTTAAAAAAAAAATCAAATAAAACGCTTTGAGTTTGTAGAAAAGGTGCCACAGAAATTACAAATATAATCTGATTTATGACAATGGAGCTAAGGATCACAGAAAATTCATGCTTACCAGCAATTTTACCACTGACTGGAGCTGGTGTCCCAGGAAACGAGCAAATAATATCTCCCCTGTAATTGATCCCCAAATTATGATCAGAGAGACTGATGGAGCCAGGGCTGTAGAAGATCTTGGCTTGAGATCTAGTCGTGTCTGTATGGCTTGGAAGACTTGTAGGGATGATCAACCTTTCTGTCGGGTGTGAATGGCCATCAGCTGAGAGACCATCTAACTTACATCTCACACCTGTGAGGAGATCAGGGCTTCATTCAGTATATTCCCAGTCACTTGAATACTATGAAATGAACTTATAACAAGAAGTAAGCCCAGGACCCAAAGCAACTATGACAGACTAACTGGCTAAAGTTCTTTCCTAGCACTATGCATCTAGCATGGACTTTGGCACCTATGGGAAGAATCCCAAAGATTATCTCAGAAGAAAAGAAAACTGAAGGAAGCAGTTTATTTTATTTGGATCCAATATCCTGGCATCGTTGCACCAGGCTATCAGTCCTGTGGTTAGAGAACTAAGCTTTTGAACTCTTAAGAACTGGTGTTTAAGTTTTCTGGTTTTCCTCCTTCCTCCCCATCTCTTTTTCCTTTCGTGCTGTGTCCCACTGGCTGAGACCTTTTTAACTGGAGCTATCAGGGGTTGTACTTGAATCTTCACTTTGCTGATCAGGTTCTCTAAGCCTTGCCCCCTCCCACCTTTAAGGTCTAGATTCTGCCTGCTAGCATGTGAGACTCCAAGGGTAATTGACCAAGATGAATCCACAACTCCATAGCACTCACCTTCTGGAGCGCTCTGGGTCTGTGCGTGTTCTGCATCCCGAAGGGCAGAGTTAAAGAAAGGGCTAGAAATAAGGGCTCGCCTCTTGGTCTTAATATATTGGAGCAATTCATACAAAACATCTCCTGTGGGAAAAGAAATAGAGAAAGACCAATCCCACGTTATGCATATCCCCCAAAAATAACATGAATGGCAGTTTTGGGGTATATGTTGTGAAAACCTATGCACCATTTTCAGAGAATCGTAGAGTTGGAAGAGACCCTGAGGGTCATCTAGTCCAACCCCCTGCAATGCAGGAATCTCAACTAAAGAATCCCTGACAGACGACCATCCAACTAAAATCCTCCAAGGAAGAAGAGTCCACATTTGGTGACTCAAAAGACATCCTAGTCAGTCAGGAATTTCCATCTTGCTTTGCAAGACAGAAGCCCAGTTTACTGAGTACCTGAGAAACTGAGATCCACTATTAAACTCAGCCAAGTATTTGACCTACTCAAAATGATTTTACGCCTGCCCTTGGGTGTTGTCACCTTTTGAGTGCAAAGGCTTTGCACATTATTTCCATGCGTTCCCTTTAGTGTTATACCTGCATCCAAGCCTTTCTAATTCTCTTTGCCTGTAAGAAATCCTTCATTTCCCTTGAGTTATTAAGGGGAAACATTTCTAACCTGAGTTAGGAGCCCGCAATCTGAAATCTTCCTTGGTGAGAATACACAGAGCTTTCCCGTTCATTTCAAACTTGCTTTCGTCTGTTTCCCTGAGGGAATATTCTTTCTCAGCCCATCTCAGCCAGTGACTCACATCATCTTTGCTCCACAGAGAGGGCTGGATTCCTGCAACCAAAGGAGACTGATATTTAAATTAAAAGAACAAGGCAATGATCCCCACCCCGCCCCCGCCAACCAGTTTCTGAGATTTCCCCACATGGTTCTTATACATTTTCAAGTCTATATTCACAGCCAGGTGGACTAGGAAATTGCTTTTTAGAAAACGAAGGGTGAGGTCCTTAGGATGCTGAATTGTGCATCAAATAATCAATTCTGCATTCTCATAGTATAAAGTATCATATCACAATACACAACCCTGAGCCAGGCTGGCTTCAGACATGCACTTAAATAGGCTTTCTATTTCCTGCATCTCTAAAACTGAATGAAAAGTTTATTAGAGTGTATATCTCATTTAACAATAGTTCCCCTTCTGCTTTCTCTCTCATTCACATCACAAGACATTCTTACGATTACTTTGCCTTAATAGGCGAAGAAGACAGGTGTCGTGTATAAAGAAAAGCTGGGTTGGAAGCTACTGAATGCTGGTTCAGCCATCATTCTTGTCCATCCACTCCTCACTCCTCATCCTGCTTCAAACTGAAAAGCTGCAAAATTCCATAAATGTTTTTTTTCCTACCCCAGCAGAAGAAAAGTTGCCTTTGCACAGAAAATGTTGAGAGTGCTTTCAGACCAACCCCTCCACTCCTAAAATGTTATGTCTGTTTTCATTTACACTAGGACTGCCATTGCTTATGCAGCCAAAAATGAAACTATCCATCTGCAAAAGGGAGATATCAGGAGGCTTGGGGGGAACTCAAGATTTGCAGAAGTACAAACTTCACAGGGGAAATCCTGTGTGAGGTGCTCTTCCCCCAAAAAGAAGATCATGCTCACTGGCCAATGAGTGTGGTCTGTCTGTTATGGGGGGACAGAAGAGCGGATGAGAGAGGTAATGAAATGGAGTATCCAAACAGGAGCACTTCACACTGCAACATTTTGTTGCAGGTCTTGCTTTTTTAAAAATTGTATTGATCACTGGTCCCTTACATCATGACCCTTCTACTCACTGAGGCAGCCTGGTAATGTGCAGATTTGTCCCTCGTAGAGTAAGGATGGAACAGATGTGGGCTGGAATTGCAGGGGCAAAGCAGATGTTGCCACGGGACCTGAAGAACTAGTTGCCACTTCACCCTTTAGAAAGGAGAAACATACCGAAGATGTGGAGAACAAACTGGATTCCCTATGTTTGAGTCATGCCCCGCTGCAAAATTTATATCACTCTGTGCTATACAGAAGCAAGTGGAACCTGTTCCGATGGCAGCTTGACGATGAGATCAGTGTAGAAGGACATTTGTTGGATGATGGACAGGGCCATGCACTTGAGCCAGGGGTCGGCAAGGCTTACCGGCCATAGGCCAGATCACTCCCACGGAGATCATCCGTGGGCCGGGCTGGCGCAGCATGACACCAGAAATCACACCTGCGCATGTTTGTGGCGCCGGAAATCGCTTCTGTGCATGCTCAGGACGCCGAAAATTGCGCATGCGCAGAAGCGATTTCCAGCGTCTGGGCATGCGCAGGTGTGATTTTCAATAGCTGCGCATGCACAGATACGATTTCCGGCGCCGCTCAGCGAGTCTCCACGCTGCGCTGGTTTAGCGCAGCAGGCAGGGGACTCACCAAGCGGGCGGCTCGGTTCAGGGGAAGCTCGTGGGCCGGTAAAACGGTCTTCGTGGTCCCCATCTGGCCCATGGGCCATACGTTGCCGACCTCTGACTTAAGCCATGCAGCTCACTGGGTGATCTTGGGCTGCTTACTGTATCCAAGCCTCCTCCACATCCTTGATTTGTTGCACAGATAAAATGACGTAACCCCACAAATACTACCTTGATCCCCTCAGAGGGAGGGTGAGATAAAAATGGAAAGCAGAGCTTTATGAATAGCAATGGTCATTGTATTATAATCTGCTGCCATTCGATCATGATACAGTGCAGGAAAGGCTGGTGAGGAGTAACTCATATCACACGGCATACATATTATTATTTTTTAACCCACTGTTTTGTGCAAATCTGCTATATATCAAAAAACTTGCATCTAAAAATAAAAATAATAAAATGGTGAGTGCACAGGCAAACCAATACATGCAGGCATGCTCATAACGGACTTCAAGTTTGAAGAACTCTGGAAGGGCAAGCTACTGCCATGGCTGGGAAGGACACACACTTTTTAAAGAAAACTACTGTTTTGTGCAAGTCTGATACATCAGAAAACTTGAATCTCAAAAGGAGGCACACACAGGTAAACCAATACAGTACCTGCCCACAACAAACCTCGGATTTCCAGAACTCAAGGAGGGTGGGGAAATAGTGACTGGGGGGAGAGGACAACAGCACACCATGCAAATACATCCCATCAAGCACTATCTACTGATGTAGATGGGAACCCTTGGACAAAAATCAACTTAAAGAATTCATATGTGGCTGGAAGTGCACAAAACCCCACGGGGGGCGGATCAGATCTGGGGGACCCATGTGTGTATTAACACTCTGGTGTGTACACAGCCATCTTTGGCAGTAATTCACCAAATTTCAAGCACAGAAGGGATGTTTCTGTCAATGCAATTTCTAGGCAAGACTTAGATCTGAAGAAGAAATTTGTTTCATTTTTGAGTTGAGTTATCTTCTTCTCAACTCAAAAAAAAAATCTGTTTAGAGACTACAGCACTGCTGTCACAATCGCTATATGTCTCTTAATCCAGACATTGAAACCATAGCCCTCATCAATAATAGTCTCCATGCATAGGATACATCTGTGCAAAGTGTTTTTCATGTGGCTTTGAGCAAGGCAATTTCTTTCAGGCTATGTATAAAGCATACATTTAAAGTCCACCCCCCCCCCCAAAAAAAACCAGAGAATACTAAGTACTTTATGGAGTGCTGCTTCTACTAGGGGTGAACTACAGTCCCCAGGATTCAGGTGTGCGTGTTTTAAATATATGGCATATACACACAGCTTCAATTTTAACCTTTTGTGAAATGGGAATAATAGATACCAGGGTGGTTGTAGAGAGAAATGCAATATAAATAAATGCAAAGCACTTTGTAACTGAAGGCAATGATTCAGACAAAATTAAGGAAGTTTAGGTCTCATTGATTTTGATGGAAGAGAGCAAAGGTTATGAGTGACTCCATCATTGAAATAAACAGGATCTATGCTCTGGTTTCGCCAGAAGCGGCTTAGTCATGCTGGCCACATGACCTGGAAAAACTGTCTGCGACAAACGTCAGCTCCCTCAGCCAGTAAAGCGAGATGAGCGCTGCAACTCCAGAGTCGTTCGCGACTGGACTTAACTGTCAGGGGTCCTTTACCTTTTTTAAAAAAAGCTAACCTGAGGCTGATATGTCAGATGCTATAGCTATTTTTTAGCCATATTTCATGCTAATTAACCCATGTCTCTATGGATTTATTAAGTCTTTACTATATCAGTATTTGAAACTTAAGTCTCAAATCCTCAAATACTTGTGTATTCTCACTGACACTAAGAAGTCTATTCCGAATAGACTGAAGTCTATGTGTCTTTAAAATGGGCCTGAACACATATAGACTGGCTTGTTAGCTGTTTTAATTAGCAAAGAGGTAGTTGTATTAATTGGTTGTTATCTTCCCCCCCCCCCAAAAAAAAATCAGCAGCACCTTATTGCGTATTGTTTATACATTATTGAACAAGCTTTTGTGAACTGAAGTCTATCATCCATCTAATTAAGTGTTTAAAAAGCACAATACATTTGATAAGTCTTGAAGGTGCCACAAGACAATTTGCTGTTATAGTTAGCCTTAACCACACTTAAGGCACTCTTTACACAACAGTTTAAAAAGTGTTTCAGATTCAAACACCCAGTGAAAATAAAACTGAAAGATACCCACCCATTTTTACACTTCACTTCTAAACTATTTTTAAAAAGCTGAATAAAATAGAGAAATGTAGAGGAGGAAATTAAATAATGATCCAAATTAATCATTGTTCAGGCATGGCAACAGCAATGATTAACCAAAAACAAACACACTCCCCCCCCCCTTGCTACAGAATATTAATCAGACTGTCCAGCTAACACTTTATTTCTCCATTTGTGGCAATACATCCTCAAGAACAAGCTCGAGTTGCTCTTTACTTTCCCCATATATGAAACTCAAATGTACAATCTTCACTGCCTAAGAATAAATGCTGGGTTTTAAAAATGTTATTTTCCTCTTCCAGCCTAGTCACAACATTCACAAATGACATACTCCAGCCCAAAATTGTCTTTGTCACTTGGTGAAAACAATCGAAAAGCTTTAGCCTGTCAGCCAAGGAAAAAAGAAAAGGAAGTGTTTAAGTTTCAACACACATTTTTGTTTTGTTTTTTAAAGTTGATTATACCCCTCCCTGGCCCTCGTTTTCTCCTCCAAAATGCTTCTCCTAGAACATTAGCTTATTTTCCTTCCCTCTTGTGAAATAAACTGGGAAGGGGAGGGAGGGGGGAATTCCAGAGTTTCTCCAGCCTGAAATAAGCCAATTAACAGAAACAACTCAGAAAACTTTATCTGAGGACTTGGGGAGCTGAAACTGTCCACGAGGAACGTGGGAAGTGGGAGGGTCTCAGGTACATACAACCTGAGGCTCGGGACGCGAAGAGGGATGGGGACCACGTGTGTGATGAACTTGGGATGCGCGTTAAGAGAGAGAGGAGAGAAAGAAAACGGAGTTGGCGCCGGAGACTGGACACAGAGGACTGAAAGGGGGGGGGAGGTACAGGGGGTCCGGTGAGTGCAGAGCGGGTGTCCCACGGGCTCCCAGCATCTCTTACTTACCTGCATTACAGGTGGGAAGTGGAAGGTGGAGCCGCTGCTCCGGGGGCTGGGGCGCTCGGGGTGCAAAGCAAGTCTTCTGCCCCCTGATCCTCGCCGCCCTCTCCCTCCCTCTCTCTCCCTCCCTCCCGGCTTGGCAAGCAAAGGCAGGAGATCGCGGTCTCCGATTACTGCGCTACCCTTCCGGGAAACGAAAACGAAAGAAGCCGGATCCGAAGGTTGCTGGAGTTCAGTCCGCAGAGCACCCACAGCCGCTTGTTTGCCGGCTGGTCCCGCCTCGTTGTGCACAGCTAGCGGCGAGGAAGAGGGTTTCTGAAAGAAGTGCGCTTAAAGGACAAACACTTAGGAGCGTTGCTTTCCTGGAAGGAAAAGTCCCGCGGCGCCTTCAAGGCTAACATAGCATAGCGTTCCGAGGGACGGATTAACGCTTATGCACCCCCCCAAAAAAACAACAACACTCAGCAGAGCTTCTGCCACGATGCAGTCGTTAGTTGGAGAAGGCAGATCCATCAGTTTCACTGTGCAATGGACGAAACCTGTAGAACCAGAAGTTGGGTGGCCATCGGTCTTGGATGTCTTAGTTGAGATTCCTGCATTGCAGGGGGTTGGACTACATAACTCTTTGGGTACCTTCAGGGCCGGATTTAGGTTTGATGAGGCCCTAATCTACTGGGGCCCTTTATATGTCCAGCTGTCCTTTGTCGCTGTTTTTTTGTTGAACATATGCTATATATATGGTAATTTATGGACCTATAAGGTATCTAAAGCCATTTGCACATATTGCCATGCAACCAGTCCATGCAGAATGTAGGCACCCTATAGTATATAGAAATGAGCAAACCAGTGATGTTTTAGGGAGCAGGCTAGCAGGCGGGGCCCATTATTTACATCATAGGAGCCTACACAACACAAAGTTACATTATGTAGGTTTTATTTTATTTGTTTTTTATCTTATATTTTGGAAATGTACATCCAGTTTTTTCCCCTTTAAATTTTTTTGGGGCCCCCCAAGAGAGTGGGGCCCCAAGCTATAGATTGTTTAGCTTATACAGTGGTACCTCGGGTTAAGAACTTAATTCATTCTGGAGGTCCGTTCTTAACCTGAAACTGTTCTTAACCTGAGGTACCACTTTAGCTAATGGGGCCTCCTGCTGCTGCTGCACTTCCGGCGCACGATTTCTGTTCTCATCCTGAAGCAAAGTTCTTAACCCGAGGTACTATTTCTGGGTTAGCGGAGTCTGTAACCCGAGGTACCACTGTATGTAAATCCAGCCCTGGACTGTACCTTCCAACTCTACAATTCTATGAAAATGGTGCCCAGGTTTTCACAACATATACCCCTAAACTGTCATGAATGTTAGGGGGGGGGGATATACAAGTCTACGATTCTTTGATTCTATGAAACCTAAAGGAGAGCGCTGTACCTACTAGGGAAGATTTAAAATGTTAATTTTAAAACTCTGGTAAGCACAAGGCAATCTTTGACAGCCAGATTTGTGCAACTCTTAATCCATGGTTGTGACCATGGCTTAGAAGTCAGCTGTTTCTAACTCCTCAGAGTTACACTAAGAAGTTAAATATATTGAGTTCAAAGGGGCTTAAAGGTAAAGGGAACCCTGACCATTAGGTCCAGTTGTGGCCGACTCTGGGGTTGCGGCGCTCATCTCGCTTTACTGGCCGAGGGAGCCGGTGTACAGCTTCCGGGTCATGTGGCCAGCATGACTAAGCCACTTCTGGCGAACCAGAGCAGCGCACGGAAACGCCGTTTACCTTCCCACTGGAGTGGTACCTATTTATCTACTTGCACTTTGACGTGCTTTCGAACTGCTAGGTTGGCAGGAGCAGGGACCGAGCAACGGGAGCTCACCCCGTCGTGGGGATTCGAACCGCCGACCTTCTGATCGGCAAGTCCTAGGCTCTGTGGTTTAACCCACAGCGCCACCCGCGCTTACTCTGAGGTAAATATGTAGGCAGCAATATTTGCCTATTTACCTGGGAGTAAGCCCCATTTAGCTTAATATGGCTTGATTATGAGCAAACATAAGAGTGCTGGATCAGGCCAGGGGGGTCCATCTAGTTCTCACCATGCCCAGCCAGGTACCCTTGGAAAGCCCACAAGCAGGATCCGAGTGCGAGAGCGCTCTCCCCTCCTGCAGTTTTCATCAACTGATGGATTAGTTACCCTTTTAATTGATTTAAGCGCCCTAAAAGCACATGTAACCCAATTTGTAACACAAATTTCCCCATGGCACAAATTTCACACATGTTTCATTAGAAATAATGAATGCACATATCTGTTTCCTCACATGAGTGTGTAGTAGGAAGCCCTTATTGATGGTTTATCCCTTCTGCCTGTACACACATTGGCTCAGTTGTCCTTTGCCAGCATCTCCAAAGTACCTATGGGCAGGTGAGTGCCAGCTTCAACCTATGGTGTAGATTAACTGGAATAGAGCATGTCATCCAAACCCTAAACCAACAAGATTAACGTACTGTATTAGCTTATGAAACTGACTTCATGAACAATGGTTGGAAACTGCTTGTTCTACCGACAATGGTTGTAATTAACCACTGTTTGTCTAGGTTTAGATGACATGGCAAGTTACGGTTCTTCTAAAATGCAAGTGAAAGCTTTTCATCTCCTCATAGCCAGAGCAGGAGAGGAAAGACACCAGAGGAGAAGGGGGTGCTTTTCAGCCCTAAGACTTACCTAGGCTTATTTATGCAGTGCTAAATTTTGTGTTATGTCTGAACCAGCCCACTGAAAGAGAGGCATGGGAATTTGTCCCATATGATTAGATAAGTAGATTGGGATTCTTGTGGTCTCCTGCATGGAAAGTGTTTCAAGATATGTAATTATTATGGGAAATGACCCTCAAGTTGGTGAACAATAGCATCATTTTTTGCCCACTTTTTCAATGTGTACTGTGGCGTGTATGGTCCAAGCTGCATTTGCAATTGCGTCTAAATCACAAGAGTAATCATTATTCCTAGTTCATTTATCTGAAAATTAAAGGGGTGGATCTGATTGTGCGGGTGGGTTTGCAGCTGTGGCCATTTTCAGGCATGTCTAGAGGTTTCTCTCCAAATCAGAACAGAATGTGAAAGGGCTTGTGACATATAATGGTCTATATACATCTTTACATGTGTGTGTTGAATATTCCTGTGATTCTTCCCTTTTGAGAATGTGAGTTGTTGATTCCGTTTGGATGCAATACCTCAAGGACCGCCTCTCTCCATATGAAGCTACCTGGACCATGAGACCACCCTCTGAGGCCCTTCTTCATGTGCCTCCTCCATGAGAGGGTGGCAACATGAGAACGGGCCTTTTTTGCAGTGACTCCCTATTTGTGGAATGCTCTTCCCAGGGAAGCTCTCTGGGCACCTTTAGGCACCAGGCAAAAACGTTCCTCTTTAACCAGGCCTATGGCTGATTGACATCCAATGCCCTTTTAAATGTGTTGTGGAAGAGGGGGTTATTGGTTTCGTTCTGTTTTTATTTCTATCGTGCATTTTGTATTTTTTATATTGTAATTTTATGCTGTGAACTGCCGTGAGATCTACAGGTAGAGAGGGTGGCATATGAATTTATTTATTTATTTAATAATAATATTTTTCTCTGGATTAATTAAGATATTTAACACTTAACAATGTTGAGTCAAGAAGGGGTTAATACAGCAACGAAGAGGTTCTCGGGTAGAGAGCAAAACTGACTTGCTCTGATATATGTTTTTAAGAAGTTCCAGGAATGTCTGTATTATTTATTTCCTTGTATCTGAGCAAACTCCAGGCTCTGGCTATAGGCATGCCATCTCTTGTTTTCTGTATGTGCTGGGCAGGGACTCTTAATTTGAAGTATGTACATGACTCACCATCTGGGCTTAGATAGGGGGTGGAGAATTCGATTGCAAGAGCACAAACAATTTTAACTGTCAGCTATTCTGCTTGGTTTTGTCCACGTTCTTTATTAAATGTAGATTTCAAGATTTTGACCTGATTTCGATCAGCTGGAACCGTTTTCTGACATCTAGGTATGTAGACGATATTTAATTTGCTCTCAAAATGTATGTGTCCCTATGGGAACCTGATTCCGGTAATAGAATTTGATATTGTTTAGATCAGTGTTTCAGTTGTTCAGAGCTTTTGTGATTATAGCCAAAACTTAGAACATTTTTTTAAAAATGAAAAGCAAAAACACGCAAATGTGTGAGGTTTCTGGTGTCTTAAATGCAGATTATATAATTAAGATGTGTGAAAATAAGAATTGTGATGAAGTCCCAAAACTGGTATTTTTAAGAACTGGAAAAGTTCGGGGTGTGTAGTTATAAAAGGTAAAGGCAAAATTGTTTGCTTTGGCATATAGAAAACATCCTGTTTTATTTTGTGTTGGAACGAAGTCCCTGCTCCATGTTTAGTGCAGGCCTCTGGATAGCTGCCAGAGAGCAGCGTAAAACCGGCAGCAAGCATTGTGTACCACTTTCTCACAATCCTTTGTTAAAACGTTATGGAAATCTCTTAATAGGTCTTCTACAATCCATAAACAGCTTAAGTTTGGTGGTGGTTTTTTTTTTTTTTGCAGTCCCCATTAGTAAAAATCCCAACATTGTTTATCCTGTTCCATGAAAAAAAATAAAATACTTGTTTTGTGTGCTGCACCTTTAATTATTTATTTCTATTTTTTAATATATAATATTTTTTATTAGTTTTCAATTACATTCCAGTAATAGCCTCATTATAACAATACCAATTTATAATACAGTTACTAATACCAATTGTTCAAATACCGAATTATATAATTTAGGTGGCACCCCACATGCTAGAATTGATGGTTGGATGATTTTCTTTATTTCTCTGTTCTAAAATCTTACTAATTTCAATTACATTTCTATTTTATTTCTATTAATTTCAATTACATTTCTAGTTTAATTCTATTTTATTTTTAAACATGTTTTTGAGGTACGTACGAGGAATCCCAGGGATTCCTGCCTTTGCATCATGTTGATTCCAATATACCATAAAAGGACACCATAAGGACACCTGTTTGCGGTTCCCAACAGTTTTCATAACCACTCCTTTCTTGAAGGAAAAGAAGCTATTTTCCCCAACATTGAGGAAATTTATTAGATGTAACAATGGATGTCATAATTGACATGATGCTGCTCCTAGGAAAGCTCTCTCCCACTGTTAATTTATTTTAAAATATGTATATCCTGCTTATTTATTTATTTTTGTTATTTATTTAATTTATATACCGCCCTACACCCGGAGGTTTCAGAACAAAATCAAAATATGAAACCACAAAATATATAATCAAAATAGAAACAACAACCCAATACCCCCCCCTTTTTAAAAAGGGCATAGGGTGTCAATCAAATCCACCAAAGGCCTGCTTACAAAGGAACGTTTTTGCCCAGTGCCTAAAGGTGCCAGGAGAGGAATTCTGGAGCCAGGGAGCAATTGCTTGCACAGTCACAGTTTTACCTCACATGGCAAGATGGCCCAGAGATGGCTCCGGATGAAGATGTGCTTGAACTTTATTTTCTTTCTAGCGTAATCTAGAATGTCTTTTTAACAACAGAACATCTTCCTATTTTACCCCCGCCCCACATTAGCTATACTTATGGAAATTTAGATTTTATTGTGGAAAGTGATTGAGGTGTTGAACCAGATCACAGGAAACCGAGGTTCAAATCTTCAATTCCGCCATGAAGTTCTGGCTGACCTTGGGCCTCGCTTTTGGTGTAAATGACCTTCTCAGGATTGTTGCAAGGAAAAACATGGGAAAACAGGGCATGAGTCACATTGAAAACATGACCATGTATTTTCTGCCCTGAACTCCTTGGAGAAAAGAGGGCGTATGCATCAAATAAACGGAGTCATTTCAGTCAGTTGTGTCTAGTTCTTCTCTTGGCTTCTGCTGGTTCTAGGGTGGATTTGCCTGGTTTTGTTAGGATTTTAGCTGCTGGAGTGGGTAGTATAACCACATAGTTTCATCTAAAGTTTGTGTTGATTGTTATCACTATTATTATTATTATTATTTTATTATTATTATTTATACCCTGCCTATCTGGCTGGGTCGCTTTGCATTGAGCTGTTTATGAGCTTTGCACTGCACAGTAACTGAATTGGTGGCATTTTCAGTACTGAAGTTTATTTCTAGTTTCTTATGGCATTTTTAGGGCTGGATAACCTTTCGTATTATCTGTTGAAATAATTGCATTTGAAATAATTGCCGGGGGGTGGGGGTGGGGTAGGATAGGGAGCTGCAGTGACTGAAAGAGGGTGGAACTGTTCACACAATCTCTGGAATTGGATCCAAGCCCACGTAGACTACAAACACATACTAAATCAATCAAGCATGGGCAGATATAAAAGAAGAGTCCACTATCTGTAAAAGGTTTCTCTCACGACACCATAGCCTTTTGGTTGGAACAGTGGCTATTCCCCACATGTGCAGTTGCAAGCGCATACGTGTAATTTTATTGCATGTATATCCCGCCACCTTCTCTAAGGAGCTCAAAGTGAAGTACAAGGTTCTCCCCTTCCTCATTTTTAGTCCCCACAACAACCCTGTGAGGTAGGTTAGGCTGAGAGGCAGTGACTGGCCCAAGGTCACCCAGTGAACTTCATGGTTGAGTGGGGATTTGAACCCTGGTCTCCCAGGTTCCTGACCGACACTCAAGCCACTAAGCTACATACTGGCTCTCTCATGCTTAGCAGCCGGAACTGGATAGAGAATAAAGATGGAGGCGAGGGAAGAGTACTGAAAGAGAAGGGAAGAGAGCAAATGGATGGCAGATAGACTGACCCACACAATACATTTAAATCGCAGGGTATCCTGGGGACTGTAGTTTGTTAAAGAGTCTGGAGATTATAGCTCTGTGAAGGATAAACTATGTAAATTAAGAAGGGGGACAAAAGTTAAATGTTTTTAATGATAATAAGCCTGGACACAGAAAGGTGGGGTTAAGGCATGCAAGGTAATCGTGAAAGGGGAAAAGAAATGACAGGAGATGACTAGAAACACTTTGAGATGTAAGTGCAAAAGGAATATTAGATAGCAAGGATCGGCTATCTCGGCTTCGAATAGCAAGGATCAAGAGCAGTGTGCAGGCCTGCTCAAGCTGCAGAATTCGCCTTCCCAATGCAGCTGTTGTTTCCTGTGTTTTTGGAGGAATGGGGTACATGGGACTGTAATGCTGTGATGGTAAGGAATTTTGGGTCTTGATCAGAAATTCCTGCACATGTCAGTGCAGAATCCTGGATTGAGGTTCAGATCTCGCCATTCGTGCATGACCTTGGACATATCATGCTCTCTCAGGCTGTGTACACACCCCTGTTTGCTCTGCATCCAGTGTGCTCCCATTGCTGATTTGGGAAGCAATGTCAACATGGTGTTAGGCACAACCCATATCTATTCTGTATCTATCCTGTCATTTCTTACGAAATACTGTATTTTGAGGTGTTTCCCCCTAAGCCAGCTTCATTCTGAATTGAGAAAAAGAACAACTTAGGTCCATTTTAAGCCAGTGATGTGTCTGCAGCCTCTTGTCTAACTGGCCTCACAGGGTTGTTGTGTGAATAAAAGGGGAGGGCATCTATTGCTGCCCTGTGTCCCCTGGAGGAAAAGTGAGATAAAAAATGAAATATAGCATTGTTGTTGACATCGTTTCTAAAGGATCTTAATCTTTTTGAACTGAACAACATATGTTTGTGTTATTTTGCCCTGTTAAGAAATATGGGAGGAAAGGCTTTGGGGAATACTGCTAATGACAGCTACATTGTTCTCTCTCTCAATTTGGATCAAAGCTGGTTTGAGGGGAAAAGCAGTGTTTCTCAAGAAACAACAAAGTAGATAAGGGATTGTGACATACGTACTCTTGCTTCCCAGAGCTCACTGGATGCCAAGTAAATGGGGGTGTGCGCACAGCCTCAGTTACTACAAATCTTCCTGTGAAAACAAGAAGTCAAAGGAGGTCTTGTTTAATGCAAACATGCTGTTTTGCATAACTGTGTGCTTACAATGAATGACCCATTCTCCACTGATCTATTTCCCTCACTCACCATCCCCATCTCCAAAGGCACAATTTCTTATGCTCAGCTGAGTCCTCCTTACACACACACACACCACTGACTACTGAAGGCTTGGTGCTCATTGACCGAAAATAGCTCCTCTTGCTGCTGGTTTCAGCCCGCCCTGGCTGTGCTGCTGCAGATGTCAAATAAGGATAAGGGGGTGACTGTAGGAGTGAGAGATGCAGGGATAAGGAGGCGGATCTCTAGAAGAAAATCCATTGCAGCCCACACACTTTTTATATGCCACGTAGGGAGTAACTTTGTGTTTAAAGGAGGGAAAAACACAGTGGCATTCAGAGGGTGACCTCAAGTCCCCCTCTGCCTCTTGGTGCAAATTATGTTTCTAGGGCACAGTTTTAAGGTTATGTATACAGAAACTGGATAATATGTCAACAGTGTGATTAAGTCTTGCTAACGTTAGACCACTAGATGCAGAATAGGAAAAGCCATTGGGCATTTCATTAGACTTCCAGAGTGGTGTTAAATATTGTTCATGTAATATTGTGGTCCATGTTGGCAGTTAACACAGGAAGCCTTAGGATATCCCCCCCCCCCAGCACCAAGCAATGTGGTAACGGCTGTTTCCTATATTAAAATTGAACAGAGGAACACTGTTGTTGGTTTTTCTGTACACATTATAACTTTAAAGCACATTCAAAGCGCAATCTTTCTCTCAGAGGTCTGGGCACTTTAGTTTACCCCCTCATAGAATTCCTAGCTGCCCTTAACAAACCAGCCCTATTCTACAAATATATACTGAAAAGTAAGTCCTACTGAATTTAGTGGGGCTTACTCCCACTTAAGTGTGCTAGGGATTGCAAGCTCAGTAAACTTTATAGCAGGGATGGGGAATCTGGTTCTCTTAAGATGTTATTGAACTGCAACTCCCATCATTCCTGAATATTGGCCCTGCTGGCTGGGGCTGATGGGATATAGGTGTGGGCCACTCCCCCTAGGCCACATCAGGTAGAGAATTTTTTTCCAGATGTAACCCTCATTACCATTTCTTCCTTACAGGACTTTTCTCCAGATGGGCAGTCACTTTGAATTACGGATGCCTCAAATGAGTATTAATCGTGCCACTGGAATGGAACGATCAAGCAATCAAGAATCTTGTCAGCTGACCGAAAACATGACTTCTACAATCCATGATCTAGGAGAAAGCAGCCAGAAACAGTGTGGGCAAACCATTACCATGTCTTCACTATGCAGAAATCATGGTAAAGTCAAGAGTGTTTGCTGTAGAATGTGCAACGCACAGCACAGCCCTGTTGATCCTTTTCAGATCAACTACACATGATACTAAATGAATCTTTTGAGCATTGCATCATTATATTGTTGCTGTTATTATTTGTTTTAACTAGCAGCTTTGGAGAGGAGACCGAATTAGGATCGGGACCATGACACATGAAAGGGTGAAGCTCTTTCCTCCCATGCCACAGCCCTAATTAAAATCACCACCACCATGCTGTTATTTTGTAGAGGAGGAAACTGCCTCCCTCCTATACCAAATATCACGGGGAGGAAATGGAATTTTCATAGGGATCACTGCATGGGATGGAGGGAATTTTTATTTTTAAGCTAACCCTAACCCCTTCCCTCACCATGATCAGCCTCCTTCCCACATAGATGGTGTTTGAAATTTTAAAAAGAACTGGGCTGTGAATGTCTGTTGCATGTGTAGCCAAAACAGCACCACCCATGCCCAAGGGGGAGGTGTCAGCAGGCTTAGAGGGACGCCAAGGTTTGGGGGAACATTAAGGTTTGCAGAAGCTGAGGGGGGGCTTTTCCACCCTATACATAAAAAAATAAAACAGTAAGTTCAAGTCCTATAAAGACTGTGCTTACTGGCCATGGATGCTGACTAAGGGGGAATGGGACAGAAAACAGGTGGAAGGAAGAATAGATTGAAATATCATCAAGGAGAGCATGGTTGCTAAATGTGAGTGTGCTAACTTGAACATACCAATACCTGTACAGTGGTGCCTCGCAAGACGAAATTAATCCGTTCCGCAAGAGTCTTCGTCTAGCGGTTTTTTCGTCTTGCGAAGCAAGCCCATTGACGGATTAGCGCTATTAGCGCTATCAGCTGTTTAGCGGCTATTAAAGGCTTAAAGGCTTAGGGATTAGCTGCTAAAAGGCTATTAAAGGCTATTAAAGGCTTAGCAGATTAGATAAAGGGGGAAAAGCGAAAAAAATCTCAGGACTCGCAAGGTATTTTCGTCTTGCGAAGCAAGCCCATAGGGGAATTCGTCCTGCGAAGCAACTTCAAAACGGAAAACCCTTTCGTCTAGCGGTTTTTCCGTCTTGCGAGGCATTCGTCTTGCGGGGCACCACTGTATGTGTATGATCAGATTGTGTTTACGTGGCTGATTTGTGTGTCATAGACTGCTGTTTACAGATGTGTCAGGGTGTTTTAGTAATCTACTAAATCAGTGGTGCATATTCTCTTAGCATTGTATTATCACCAATAATAATAATAATAATAATAATAATAATAATAATTTATTATTTATACCCCGCCCATCTGGCTGGGCTTCCCCAGCCACTCTGGGCGGCTTTCAAAAGAATATTAAGATACTGTGATACATCAAACATTAAAAGCTTCCCTAAACAGGGCTGCCTATTTGTTATAAACTTTTGTTATAGATCGCTTTTTTTGGGTAATCTGTCTAATGCATTTAACTCAATTGCGGCTTTCATCTGCTGTGTTTAGATCATGCAGAGTTCAGATATGCTTCCCATCCAGCAAGTCCTCAGTGTTCTAACACTCTTGAAGACACCAAAGGCATTTTCTTCCAAGTGGGGAGTAAAAGAAACCTCGAATACTACACTACTAGCCAAGAGCAGTTTGGGATTGGTTGTAGCAGCTTGAACAACAGTACGCAAGTCCAAGCGCCAGAGAAAGTGACTCTTGTCGTTGATGGCACTAGATTTGTTGTAAATCCCCAGATTTTCACAGCTCATCCTGATACTATGTTAGGAAGGTAAGTGTCTTCATTACCTTTTTAAACCTTGCAGACTACTTAAATGGAAACAAAGTGTATCGCTACTGCTGCTGATAGGGTGTGCTTTGCAGTCTGAATAGGGTTAGGAGGATGGTTTGTAATTTTGGAAGGCCACCTAGCTTTAGAATTCTGTCCTCATCATTCCCATTGGAATTTGAAGGTGTTCCACTTCATGAGGTTATTTGCATTTAACTTGTTAATGCATTCCAGTGAAATCAGATAACTCCCAAGTAAACGGGTTTAGCATGAGGGACCAGAATGAAGGTTCCGCTGGAGATGTTCATGGTACGTTGACCTTATGAGACATCTCAAAGATTATGTGATGAATGCCACTCACTGGTCTAGATATGAGCAATCTTATGGCAAGGATAAGGAACCTTTAGCTCTCCAGAAGTTGTTGAACTACAACTTCTGTCTGTCCCAGCCAGCCTGACAAATGCTAAAGGACCATCGGAGTTGTAGTCCAGCAATATCTGGAAGACCACAGATTCCCTATCCTTGTCTTATGATCAAACCACAAGAGGCTTTTATACATTTTCATTTTATTTACGAAAAGCAGCCACAAAGAGAGGAATAGTGGTTTAACCCTTTTCTAATTCTCCTCTGCCCCCAATTACTGGTGCCTGTCCCAACTGAGTTTTATTTTTAACAGAGCAAATAGCAGCTTATGGGGGCAATTTTCAGCAAGACGCTGGTATGTGACATTAGCTCTCCCACTCCCACCCCCGTAACAACATCCTGATCTGGATTCCTTCCCACTCACCCGCAGCCTCCCCGTGGCTGCTTTTTTTGTGAATGAAGAGACATAGCCAGTCTCAGCACATTTTTAGATTATTTTAATTCATGTCCAGTGGTCAGATCCTGATTGTATCCAGGTTTGAAGGCAGCATGTAAACCCTCATTTCCTGGTTTAGGAATTAAGGATATAAGTGTCAAAGTTGTATGCATGGAGGCAGGAGCAAGATGGAATTATGTGGGCACACAGTTCATTCTCAGATTATGACATCTGAACTTTTGAGAACTCCATGCCATTTTCTCAGCTGTGTAAAATGCCATCCATCTCCTTAATAAAGGGCTTAATAATTACTGCATTCTCAAAGAAACACTTGCCATGATTGACATAGTTCTTTATTTAGATAGTTTCAATGTGCTCTGTTTACTTCAACACACTAGCTGGCATTTGGAGACAGCCATCTTAAACCCATGTATGGATTATCATTTCAGAATGTTTGGACCAGGACGAGAATATAACTTCACTCGGCCGAACGAGAAGGGTGAATATGAGATTGCGGATGGAATTAGCTCCACGGTGTTCCGGACTGTGCTGGTGAGGAAGCCCCCAAAGTTGCAAAAGTAGGGTTCTTCCTCCAGTTTGTATAGTTCCTATTCCTGCCTTCACATTCAAAGGAACTTTGAGCTTCTCATGTATCTTCTGCTTTATTTATAGATCTGTTTCTTTCTCGTTTCCTTCCTATTTCTTACTTCTAAGACAGCACCTATCACTTATATTGTGTATTGTTGGGAATAACACTTTCTGCGTTGTCCCATATAACTAGTCATGTTTTTCGTTCATGGTATATGTACACAGTGCTGGCTCCAGGTTTGGGGAGGTCCTTGGACCCAGTGGTGGCCCCCTCCCTCAGTGAGTCTACCACCTCATGGCCATTATGGGCAGCTGTTGCTGCTCCTCTGCCCCCTCATTGTCATTGCTCCTACCTGCTTGCTTGCCAGGCAGCCAATGAGCAAAGAGGCAGCAGCTCCTGCACCTCCTCCTCCTCCTCTCCACCATTTTTGTTTGCTTGATGATCCCCTTGAAGGCCAGAGTGAGAGGCAGGTGAATAAGCAGGTTGCAATGGTGAAGGGAAGGAGCGAATCCAGGGGACTCTCATCAGTGGATGCTCTGATGGAATATGGAGCAACTATTCCAATCCTTGGTGCCAGCTCTGGTCTCATGGTAGAATATGGTGCTAATTCATAATGTTGAGCTTTAAAAAACAAACACAATTATTTAAAAGACGCATTCATCTATGTTAGATCAGAGTCATGAGATAGCTCAGTTGGTAGAGCATGAGAGTCTTAGAGCTGTGGGTTCAAGTCCCATGTTGGGCAAAAAGATTACTGCATGGCAGGGATGACCTTCACGATCCCTTCCAACTCTACAGTTCTATGAGTCGAACTCCCTAGTCAATAACCAGATGGGAGGCTGCCTGGTGCCCTGGGTGCATCCCTCCATACTTTTGGAAGGAAGAACAGGATACAAGTGAGCAATAATAAACACAGCTGCGCTTTCCTTTCAGGATTATTACAAAACTGGAATCATTAACTGTCCCGATGGGATTTCTATTCCGGATCTCAGAGACACGTGTGACTACCTTTGCATCAACTTTGATTTCAACACAATCAAATGTCAAGACTTAAGTAAGTGTGGCCAAACTCAAAGGAGCGGCGGGTAAATGCTGCGCATGTTGGGGCCATTCCGCTCCAGACCCTGCTAGTCAGGGTGGCATTTGAGACGTAGGGAGTTGGGTCTCTGATTTTCTCTCAGGCGGCTTTGAAAGAAGGTATCAATGACTACTCACCATGATGGCTATGTTATGCCTCCGTGGTCAGAGGCATTAATGCTTCCGAATACCAGTTGCTAGAAACCGCAAGTGGGGAGAGTGATCTTGTGCTTGCGGGTTTTCCAGAAGAGGCCCCTGGTTGGCCACTGTGAGAACAGGATTCTGGGCTCAATGGACCATTTGCCAGATGCAGCAGCGCTCCTCTTAATGTCCTTCCAGCCGGATGCAAAGGACTCACATGTGACTTATTTCCTGTTAGGTGCATTATTGCATGAGCTGTCCAACGATGGGGCTCACAAGCAGTTTGACTGCTATCTGGAGGAGCTGATCCTGCCTATAATGGTGGGGAATGCCAAGAAGGGAGAACGCGAGTGTCACATTGTGGTGCTAACGGATGAAGACATAGTGGACTGGGATGAAGACTACCCACCTCCAATGGGAGAAGAATACTCACAAAGTAAGGGATCTGCATTCATTTTTTTAAAAAATATAAATAATACAATTTCTAGAAAGTTATTTTAAAAACCAACTTATGCCACCACATGGTATACATGGTGTGTGTCGTCTTAGCAAAGGCTGAAAAAAGAAAGAAAATACAGTTACAAATGGGGGTGATTTATACCAACCAAAAAAATTCCGAACTGTATACCTACAGTTAAAAGTGTTATAAGGATAATATAAAATTGTTAAATGAATAAGAAATGGATAGGAATTTCTTTTTTGCCTTGTGCAGAGGATTATTCCCAAAAATTCTTGCATTTCAGTGTCTGGTTATACACATAAAAGTACAATTGATCATGGTGTTTAAGAACTGTGGCTAGATGTAAGATTGTAGGCTGAATGCCTACCAACCCCGTAATCTATACATGTAGTAAATCTGTAGTTTTTGTTCATATGTTGCACAGGCTCCAAGCATCTTAATTCATCACACCCTCCCTCTTAACATCAAATTTACCATGGGGGTGGGGAGAAGCAGTTCTTTCTGAAGCAAATTTTTGCATTTCTATTATTAATGGTTTGCAGAATATTTATTATTATGTATTAAATTGGATTGAGGTGGGAGAGGCAACTTACCAATTCCCCTTGTGCCTTCCAAACATCCGCTTGGTGTGGGAGGCAGATCTGTCATCTTCCCTCCATGGGCAGAAGGATATGTTCCATGTGTGGAAGGTGAAGTCAGGATGCAACCCAATATTATTTGAGAAATGTGTATCCTGCCTTTCTAGCAAATGGTGCTCACTATCACAGATGATTGTTTGTTTGTTTATTTATTATTCGACATTATTATGATGTATTATTGCGATATTTATTTAATTAACAAGATTCTTATATCGTTAAAAATTAAATCAACCTCTAAGTGATTTTACACAAAATATTAATTAAAAAATGGCAAGAAACAGATTTTAGAACCAGTGAACATCCCAGGTTGTGTGAAATTGCTAGTGTCAAAGGTTTTAACCATCCTCCTAGTGCTCTATTCTTTAAAAAAACTGCTAACCTGTCAAATTAGCCACTGCTACAGTTGTCAGATTTTTAAAATATTATTTTCTTTGTTGTAGTTCTGTATAGTTCTAAGCTCTACAGATTCTTCAAGTACATTGAGAATCGGGATGTAGCAAAAACGGTTTTGAAAGAACGTGGCCTGAAAAACATCCGAATTGGCATTGAAGGCAAGTAACAGTGTTTTCTGAATAGCAGAAGCTTTTCAAAAGAAGCCAGAAGTTTCCTGTAGCAACTCTGCATTTACTGGGTCTACTAACAGATAGCTCAATCACCCATGTACTAACTTTGCTGCTCTCCAACCCTTCGATTTTGGGTCACCAATTTCACGACTAACCTTTTTTTGCAGAGGGAGCCCTAAACGTTGCCTGTATCTGATGCTGCTGGCAAGAGCCCTGGGATTAGCTGTGTTTCATTTGGAGATGCGATTTGGCAGTCACCCCTGGGCTGAAGGCTGTGTAGACACCAGTGTTAATGCACACATGGGTTGTTCATATCCGGTTTTTCCATGTGTGCTTTGGGGAAGTTTGTTCACTCACATGAGTGCTTTCAATTGAACTCTGCCTCAGTGTTGTACAAAGTTTTGTTGTCCCCTCTTCACAGTTAGTACTTCTTCATCCTTCTTGAGTTCTGGAAACCTGAAGTCCATAAGGCACAAATAGTGCACACAGTATTTGTTCATCAGTGTGCACTGCCAGTTTTTTTTTGTATTTCTGAGATACACGTTTTTAGGTATACCACACTTGCACAAGGCAGGTTACTTCTTTTTTTTTAAGTGTGTGTATGTGTTGCACCTAGGGACGTGGGTGGCGCTGTGGGTTAAACCACAGAGCCTAGGACTTGCCAATCAGAAGGTCGGTGGTTCGAATCCCCGCGACGGGATGAGCTCCTGTTGCTTGGTCCCTGCTCCTGCCAACCTAGCAGTTCAAAAGCACAAAGTGCAAGTAGATAAATAGGTACCGCTCCAGCGGGAAAGTAAACGGCGTTTCCGTGTGCTGCTCTGGTTCACCAGAAGCGGCTTAGTCAGGCTGGCCACATGACCCGGAAGCTGTCTGCGGGCAAACGCCGGCTCCCTCGGCCTATAGAGCGAGATGAGCGTGCAACCCCAGAGTCGGTCACGACTGGACCTAATGGTCAGGGGTCCCTTTACTTTTACCTTTATGTGTTGCACCCACGGGATGCGGGTGGCGCTGTGGGTTAAACCACAGAGCCTAGGACTTGCAGATCTGAAGGTTGGCAGTTCGAGCTCACGTTGCTCGGTCCCTGCTCCTGCCAACCTAGCAGTTCAAAAGCACGTCAAAGTGCAAATAGATAAATAGGTACCGCTCCTGCAGGAAGGTAAACGGCGTTTCCGTGGGCTGCTCTGGTTCGCCAGAAGTGGCTTAGTCACGCTGGCCACATGACCCGGAAGCTGTACGCCAGCTCCCTCGGCCAATAAAGCGAGTACCGCAACCCCAGAGTCGGCCACGACTGGACCTAATGGTCAGGGGTCCCTTTACCTTTATTGTATTCCTACTCCACGCCCCTTGCTTACTGCATTGTCCACAGACCAGGACAATCGAAATTAAATGTTGGAGAGACAGAGAGCACAGGCTGTGATTTGGATAAGGACAATGCCATGTGGGTGGCACGGAAAACATGCACCCATGGGACGCCTTGAATCCACTTTAAACAGTGTTGTGTATACAGCCTATACAGTTTCATCAGCACAATCCTAGTCTGAACCCCGGGGATACTCTTCCTTTGGGCTGCTCACAGGGGCTGGGCCTGGGCCGAGATGGTTAACAGTGTCAAAATATTTGTTTCAGGTTACCCCACCTGTAAAGAGAAAGTGAAGAGGAGGCCTGGAGGGCGCTCGGAAGTTATCTATAATTATGTGCAACGCCCGTTCATCCAGATGTCGTGGGAAAAGGAAGAGGGAAAGAGTCGCCATGTTGACTTCCAGTGCGTTAGAAGCAAATCTCTAACAAACCTCGTGGCGGTGGGGGAAGATGTGGCGGAAGACCAGGAAGTTATGCTCCATCACCCGCCCCAGGTGGATGAACTTGACAGACTGAATGCACCATTTTCTCAAATGGATCCTAATGAGCTTCCGGAATAATGTAACTAAAGTGCAGTGTTTTCTCAAATGGATTTGTTTGATTGACTGGCTCAGGACTGAATATCCAGATCGGCCTGCTGCTAGTTTTCATACAACTGGATCTCTTAAAAGCTATTGCATTACCATAATTGCTCAATTCTCTAAATACAGTCTACATACGTAGAAAGGACTAGTGTTATTACATCATTTGCTGAGGCCTCCCAAGTATTCTCCAATGAGAACGTGGACTCTGGGAATTAAGTTTACATCTCACCCTGTCAAAGAACAGAAATAAAATGTTCTCATTGAATTGAAATACGGTGTAAATATACATACAGTTCTGTGTTAATGCTTAGCAGCCATCGCTTAGTTACAAATAGGCCAAGCGCTATAGCAATAATGACTTCACCGTCATGGGACAATTACCAGTAAGAATAAAAAAACTATGCTTCTCATCAGTTGGGTGCAGCTACACAGCGGATAGCCTATGCAGTCCAGTGTTGTTGCTTTTTAAGTTTCCTTTTCAGTAGCTGTCCCACCAACTCCTTAAATTGCTTCTTAATCTCCAGGACCTGCTGGGAAGAGATTGAAAACTCTGATTTCAGAGGCATACCAAACAAGTTCACTCTGAGTCATCAGTTTTCAAGAAACCAAATACCAGTCTGCACTACAAAGTGCTGTGTTTTCAACTCAAGGCACAGTTGCTCTGCCATCCCCATACTTTAAAAAAGGAAGAAAAAAAACCTAACAGAACTGGACACAAGTTATTGCATTAGTGAATCCCATAAAAGTTGTGGTTTTAGGCAAGTTTACCTAGGAGTAAATCCTATTGAAAAGTGTGGGACTTTTCTTTCAACTAAACTTGCATAGGATTGTGCTGCAAGTCTACTGAAAAAGGGTTAAAGTTCTTTATATTCAGCCATACAAATGAAGAAGCGTCTCTCTCTACATGTTGTATCTGTAACTTGCTCTCTATTATGACTGTCGTAAATTAGTAGGAATATCTTTTAAGGTTACAGTGAGTGCTGAATCCTACTGGATTCAACAACAAAGCCAAGTGCAGAGTGCTTGGCGCAGTACAGATGTATTGCATAAACATTACGATGTTTTTTCAGCATAGCTCTGCCAATCTTCTCTATTTTGTGTTACTTCCTTGGTTCTGTTCCAGGATTCTCATCTTGTTGCCACTTGCGTGAAATTTAATATTGAACCTCTTCAAATGTTCAACAACAGCACATGGTATTCGTGCTGCAGGGGCCATACGACTTCACAGTGCGTGTAGCAGAAATGCCTGTCTTGATTTTGGATGATGTTTAGCTTTAATGGCTGCAATAGAAATTGTGATTTAGGATTGTTGATGGGAGGGGATGCTGCTCTTCAGTGCTAGGATGTTCGGATCATTACCAACCTTGCCATGTTTTTTTAAAAGTTTGGTGGGATTAAAGATTTTATAATAAAATATGCCCTAAGATTAAAAGTTCCTAACATGAAGAAAGCCAGCACTTCTCACCAGTACGTTAGCTTTCAGTGTACAGCATGGGTAGGCAAACTAAGGCCTAGGGGCCGGATCCAGCCCAATCACCTTCTAAATTCGGCAAGGACGGTCTGGGAATCAGTGTGTTTTTACATGTGTAGAATGTGTCCTTTTATTTAAAATGCATCTCTGGGTTATTTGTGGGGCGTAGGAATTTGATCATCCCCCCAAAAAAAATATAGTCTGGCCCCCCACAAGGTCTGAGGGACAGTGGACCAGCCCCCTGCTGAAAAAGTTTGCTGACCCCTGGTGTACAGGGAGATTTTGATGGGTTAAGCTCAGGGAAACATGCTGGTAGTTTGAATGGGAATTGGCTGTTATATGAGTTATGCACTGTAGTTATACCTGCCCATTACATTAAAGTGCTTCAAAAGCTTAGCCTATCCTCTGCAAGGTAGAGAAAAAACTTTTGACACATTCAGATGAAGAATCTTACTGCAGAAGAAAGCAAATACACACCTGAAGTCCTGAATTTTCAGCAACTTAAGTGTGATTTTAGAACAGATTGTGCATAATGCTGGTCTGAATTAATATGTAGAGGACTTTGCAACTATCAGCACCTGCAATTATATACTTTTTAAAAAAATCAATGCACCAAATATCTCTATCTTAAGAGCCTCAAAAGAACAAATGTGTAGCTGATTGCCATCTACTTGGGATCTGCTTAGAGGAATTAAGTGAATAGATATTGCCAGATAGTGGAGATAGCTTTCCAGAGTCAGAATAAATCGAGTTAATACTTCCAGTGAAGGGAGAATCGCCCAAGGTCACTAATTTATGTAACAAATGGTCTTTTTAATTTTCAATTAAAACTTTTTGGTTTTATTTCCAAGCAAGATTAATGGACTATGCTACTGTTACACTGTTGAAGATGTTAAAGCAGACTTGTAGCACAATCTTATACATGCTTACTCAAAAGTAAGCCCCATTATGTTCAAAGGGGCTTTCTGGAAAGTGTGCATAGTTTTGCAGCCTTAGAACTGTATCAAGGAAGCTTTTATCATTTCTGATCCAGTTATTTTATTTAAACAGCCATTCAACCTCTCACGAAAGTGCCTACAGCAACGTTTTTCAAAAGCTGCACTACTTGTGCTGTCCACAAGGCAAGGTGGTCTTTTTAGAAATATTTAATTAGAAAAATATAGGGTGATTTATAGACAGGTGTCAACATTGAAAGAAACTCCAGCATGAAAATTATTGGAGAATACTTCCAGTATTAAATTCAAAAATTTGGGTAAGCCAAGTTTGCCATTCTCACATGTGTGTAAGAGCCATTCCCACGTATGCACTGAATGTTGATAGAAAATTGAACCACTTTTACAGCTGTGAGGGTGGTGAGAATTTTTGATAAAATCTCTAACCTAGAAATTTTCAGAGTAGCTGCTTAGAAGATTGCAATTTCATACAGTAGCTATGCTTGCTGCAGCTACATTGGTGTTTCCAAAAGAAAGTGCTGAAAGTCAGATACACGTTTCTGGACATTCAGGGATGCATGCTGAGCCCACGATGGCTATAACAACATGATCATGTCTGCTGCATGTTCACGGAACATATAGCTGCCCTTCACATTTTACATTTGCTGCAGCAGACACACTAGTATAGGCAAAAAACAAAGACAACTGCCACAGAAAATGAGAGGTAACCCTTAGGATTCCAAAAACAAAGAAATTCAAAAGTGAGGCAACCCCAATGAACTTGAAGAATGCCCACTGCAAACAAAGTCAAACCTGACTTGAAAAATTACACTTACTCCAAATTATAACCAGACATTCAGAGAGCCAATATAAGCCACTAAAAGCTTTTCACAAATAATAGGTTGCTTTCCCAAAGAAACAATGTATCTATATCTGATGCAAAATAAAAAAATAAAGTATTATATAGCATTGTCCAACTAGGAATATTGGACTAATGGGATATTTCTATTCTGGGGTGATTTATTTCCTCTTCCGTTATCTGTAATTAAAAAGGCACAAAAACAAGTTTCTCCTTTTTTATTTTGTTCAATATTCAGTGTTTACATTATCATACCTTTAAATAAAAATTTTTTAAATACTTTTCCGGTAGTTGTTTACGTCCTGTGTCTTAGTTTTCAAAGAGTTGCCTTTTATCTGCTGCGTTATGTTTCTAATCCTGTGTTGTCTCTTTGGTTGTTGTTTTTCTAGTCAACTTGAATATGGTTTGGAAAATCATTTTCTTTGCATTACCTTGATGCTAAAGAACAGTGTGGCCCTACCTGTACTCTCCAGAGGGAGCCACACTGGCCCCAGCCCCCACCTGTGTGTACACATGGTATAAAGAATGTATATAGCCACATCCCGTGTAACAGGAAACACCTGGTGCCACCACTAACTCTTTAACACACGTGAAGCAACCCTGAAGATATTTCATGTTAGAACAAAAGTTTGCAAAACGCATGGCTGAGAAGGAGGATGCTCGTAAGTGCTCTCAATCATAACGAAAAGTGTTTTTACGACACTTTCTTTTGAGAGGCAGGCCTTATCTACAGTTCCCCCATCCTATCCCTTCCGGTAATCATCCAGTGCTCTGTATCCTTTTCTATCCTGCCTCCCTTGCCTAAGTTGTGCTATTTCCAAAACTTACCGATACAGCAACTGGAATTGGGTTTTACCCCCTCCCCCCTTTATTTTCCCTTTTATACAGGTGCTGTTTCTCTTTTTATTTTTCTCTTATGTATGTCTCACCATGTTTAGTGCACATATAATTATGTACTTTTTCAACTTTCAATGAAGATGTCGGTGTGTGTCGGGGGGGGGATTCAGCGACTGGAATAAGTGAACATGTCTATTGCTCATTATTCACTCTTATTGCACCTAATCAACACACTTAGCAAATACATCCAGGCACCCCCTTTGATTACCTCAGTGTCATCTGTTGCGAACAATAAGCTTTTCAATTCAAATAACTCACAAAACATTAGCAAAACTACATTTATTGAGGAAGTATTTTAAACAGCTCAGAATGCAAAGACACTTCCATAAAAATTGGTCTTCACACAAAACCCCAGAATCATGTACAAAGTATATGAAATTTTACACTGCAAGTAGTTACAGCTGTATGCAGATACAAAATCAATTTTAATCGGCCATAAGGCGGAACCCAGGCACATTGGTTAAGCAGTACCTAAGTGCAATACTCTGCTAAAAATCACAAACAACTGGCAGCATTGCTCATAAGTCTCAGCCAGGAATTTTCTCCTGTACCCAGACACGCCAAAAATGCAGTATTTTGCAGCTTTTTGTTGTGCCAGAGAGACATCAGCGTTACTAAATACCTCAGTAGAACAGGAAACAGAAAAATGATACCAACTTGCATTATGAGTAAGCTGTGTAATTGTTTGGCTTCTAGATCTAAAACTGCTTTTGAAGAAGAAATGTGCCACCCCGGAAAGGCAACAGTTTCTCTAGAATTTACTATGGGCTGCTGCAGGGTGACAAGAGCTAGGAACATGAGATTGGCAGCCACCTGTGGACTGTGCACTCCCTGCCACATTAATTGTGGTTAATATTGGCATTAAGCGTTGACACTTACAATGGTCATTAAGGCTTATTGGGATTCCTGTTTAACCAGGATTTAAATACAGGTTTCAGATCTTGGTTAAATGAGAACCTTAATTCTCTAAATTAGTGCCAACAGACTACTTAACTGATTAAAGAGGACATTTACTGCAGTGACAGAGTTCATGCGGAAGCTCTCTAAAAAATTTGTTGAAAGGAAGCCAGCATTGGCTGCAACAGCCAATATATGATCTTCTCAGTTAATACTCCTGTTTTAGTGTTGTTGTTGTTGTTGTTTTTAAAAAAGCAATACCATAGGAATCCAAGTTATAATGTTGCTATGAGAGGGCAGCATTGATTTTACCCCACCCCCCAAAAAAAAGAAAATGGTTCACAGACTGATGTTCCAAGTTCCCAAATGCTTAATTCTCATTTCCATAAGCTTGTTGATGCATAATGTCCTTATTTGTGGGGAGCCTTCATTCACTGCACTGGCAGTGTTAATTAAGCACACTGGGTGACCTCTGGCAACTCAGCTATGCTCTTGGCTGCTGCAGAGACTACAGGAACAATGATTCGACCTCAGTTATAACAATATGCTATATTCATTCTCACTACAATACACAAAGTAAATCTTTCAAAAATTCCCAACAGTAGAAGACAGAAAATTACACCTTGTACTGCAATTCAATTTACTCACGTACACACAATGCTTGCACTCATCTGTCACACTGTGGCACAGAGATGCTTTGCTAAATGGTCATAATGCAGAAGGAAACATCAAAGAGGCATGCAAGAATCTTGTTTTCTTCCCTTTTGTGCAAGTTATTGGCTGGGCAGCTCTCTAGGCAATCAGGTTATCCTGAGACCTTCTACAGCTTTTTTAATAAAAGGCTTTTAAAGCACCAGTTATGTATGCTACATATTTTCAACATTCAGCAAGCACCAGAAATTTAACTTTAAACCCATCATTATCTAACCAGTAAGCAAAACTCTAGCCCCACCATGTGTAGGACACGTCATTGGAGCACAGTAATAATTACAAACTAGGCACAGAGGATATATTAAAGCAGGAATAAGAGTTACCTCCCTATAGCCTCTCTCTAGATACATTTTGTGGACAAAGCCTAAATGCAAAATATTTCATTAGTGACCTTCTCACTGAAGCTTCTGTGCATTGCCACATCTAGAAAACTAGTTAAGGACCAGGATCTATCTGGATTTATAGGAGTACTAAGGAAGATAGGAAACACTCATGGTATGATGATGGGGGGGGGGGGTTTCCAAATCAGTACATTAAGACTGCCTACCGGTGAGGGGTATGTGTAACAGTGCAGATTGGAGAACAACCACTATTAAAACAGTGTTTAATGTTTTAGCACATTAATCCCTCCAATTAATTTGCTAAAACTCTGATCTGATAAGGACAGATGAACCATCAGAGGACAAGTGAACTACTGCATAATTATGCACATTCAGTGAAAATGACTAAGACACCTGTTATTGAAATATCGCAGGCTTCATCATATCTTCTAAAGGCAGAGACAACAATAATATTTGACGACTGTCTCCTAAACTACAACTGAATCCTGATCTCTACCTTTGTACAAGAACAAAGGACTTCAACTTCTTCCAGCCTATTTGGGCATCAGAGCACCTTACTAAAGGAAAGCTTAATGTTTTTACTAAATCGCCTGGTAACATTCCCTGATGTACAAGGACCATCCCAAGCTATCATGTTTAGGTCTCCTCCTCTGGCTTGCCTGTCTTCATTTTGGCTCCAGATGCACTAGGTCTCCTCCTGTACCGTTACCTGCCCCCATCCTCAGTCTGGAGCTTAACATTGTCTTGAACAAATGATTTCAAAGATAGTTATCTGAACAATATGGTGAACTACATGAGATACACAAAATGATGGCAGTCTCATGTACCACGCAGAGCCTGAGAGGGCAGGGGTCCACCTTAAGAATCTGAAGAACACTCAGAGGGTCAGTGCCACCTAATGGCAACAGCCCAAGAAGTAGAACTGCACCCTGTAGATCCTTTGAACAACCAGTCACTATGATCCCATTACTTCCTGTAGAGCACTCCTAGGTTATCCCAAAAGGCACTTCAGGGCTCTCTGCGTCCAAGCTTCAGAAAGATAAAGCTCCAAAGTATATTATGCCACTAACACTTACATTTTACAATTCTCTGCTTGCAGCAACTTCCTAAGCTTTCATTAATCAAAGTCTTGAGGGTGAGAAGTAGGGAAAGAATCTGAAAAAGCAGGGCTCCTTTCACAGTATTAACTATGGTATCCTAATAATGCTATTAACAGTGATTTCTCTCTTACTACCAAGTAGAATGCAGTTACATAAATCTCACAAGGAATCATCTTTAGCTCTCTTGACAATGCTTGTAAAAAAGCGTAACGTTCCCCAAATCTGAAGTTTAGAGGGGGGGGGGAGCTCAATACTTTAGGATTACTATTTTAGTACCAACAGTAAAGTGCAGCAGCTTTTGAGGCCATTGTTGGGTTGAAAAAATTGCTATCCAAAAGGCTTTTGAACTAAGTATACAACACACTAGTGACAATTAAGGCAATACAGGTTTTGCCCTCCTATAGGATAAGCTTCTGAGAATTTGGTCTACCTCATACTAGTTATTGCTCTGTTTCCTGTACAATACCTTAGCCCTTAGAATTGTGCTGTACCTTTGCACAGCACTTGTAAAACAGAAGATACAAAAAAAACCCAAACCACAATTATGTTATAGTCTACAATGTAAATAAAAGCTTGCACTCTCCTTCTTGAAGTAACAGTCTTAGGAATTTTAACTAAAGCCAGAATAACCTATTTCTGCAATAAAATCTGCAAAGGCAGGCTCATAAGTGCCATTTGTGGAAGTTTTCAATGCATAAATCCATTTAAATGTAAACACTGTGCATAATGATGTTATTTTGCACTCTTCTCAAGAGTTCACAGGCCTCAGATAAAGTTTATGAAGCATAGGAGAAAAAACTTGTGCTGACAGGAAAGAATGAAGGTTCAGGAATAGTTTTGTTGTGAGTCACTACTTTCCTGCTTTCATGTATGAAGGTATTGCTCCTCGAGCTGTCAGGCCTTCAAATCGCTTGTAGGTATAATTTATAAAGACCCAGTCTTTGTTCTTGTAGTCTGTCTCTGGATGGTTGCTTGTGGTCACTGATTTTAAAAAAAGAATATAGAGGTATTAAGTTATTAATAATAACTAAGGAGTTTAACAGAACACAACTTTGCATTAAGAACATTTTAGGAAAACCCTGGACTCCTTCAGTTTATTTCAAAAGTGCAAATGTTTCAGTTAGAATTACAGACAGCCAAATGTAAAGACACCTCAGAGTAGCCTCTACAAATCTATTCTGCAATCTGCAGCCAAGCCATCATTCTCCATGCTACTGAAAGCCCTGAACATCATGTCTAGCATATGCTGAAGTGGCGGAGAAAATTAGGGAAAGAACCTACTTGGAGAAGCTTCCTCTCAATGACAATTTTATTCATTAAAATATTTTGCTCTGGGTTAAACCAAACCTGTGACACTTTCATGTCACTTTTGTAATTTTTTCCAGATTTATATTACCAGAGAATGCTCCAAAAGTATCAATAAAGAGGGAAAAAATGATTGAACAATACCAGAAGCAGAAAAAAGCCCAAAATTAGGTCACTAGACATTTTTGGCCACAATGTAACACAGAGTTAACCATGAGTACATGCAGTTAACTGTGATGGCTTACCTGGCTATATTGGATTTTGGACTGTGCTTCTTACATTAGACAAAACCCTTTCAGGAGGTCAAGCTCAAACATAATGCAACTGAGAGCATGAGGATTTGCAAAACTGAGCCTGTAGTAGACTATGAACTATTTTATATGAAATACCTACTTTTGAGAGAGAGATTAAAGCTAAAACTCTACATAAAAACGAAATAAAATCCAAAGTGAAAATATCTACCTGCTGGTTTAAGGATATCAGATTCCGGAAATTCATCGAAGTTTGAAGTATCATCAATACTTTTGATTTCTATGGATATTGCCGCTGGTCTCTCCCTATTAAGAATTGTTCTCAATTAGAGTTTATAATGCAAGTAAGTACCAAAAATCAAAATCTATGTCAGAGGTGTTCTGAAGTTCAAACTTTGCCTTGCTCATAAGGAATTACTGCACACTAAGCAACTGAATTAGAAAAACTTAAAGAACAGTGTCCTAGAAGAAATAAAACTTTGTACCTGATATGCTCCCAGTCAACAGCTTCAAAAAAGGGGTTTGTTTTGATTTCTTCAACACCTGGGGCACCAATTCGGTGCTCCCATTCACAGCAAAATCTGCACAGACAAAAAAGGCAGCATAGAATATTCAAAAAGTGGGGAAACAAACTACTAAGTGGGAAAGGGAACAACTGACAGTAAAACAAATACAATTCAAAGTAAATGCAATTTTTTTTCAATGGAAGCCTCTAGAGCAGGTCTCTATATACTGGAAGAAAAAACCTTAGTATCTGTGTGGGGTTAATGAGCATTGTTTTTAAAGCCATTTCACATTATTTCCCCGTCCTCCAAAACACTGGGAGCAGTGCAATAGCTGCATTACTCTGATTTTCCTCCAGGCATGTGGTCATAAGGCATCATGTTCCCCTTCCTAAGCCTTCTGTGCATCACTGAGAAGTTGTGAGGCTCCAGAACATTTTTAATGCCATATTAATCAAACCACTACAATTCTGTGTCTCTTCCAGTGAGATATGGACTGCTTAATGCCACTTGTTATGATACATGTTTCCCCAATGTTTAGTTATCTGGCAATGTAATAAATTGCAATAATTTCAATGCTTTGTTTCTTTTTTTTCTGTTCTGTTTAACGTGCTTCTGCTTCCAGGCATATCAAGCAGAATACTTTCTTTTGAATTTCTGTGCAACACAAGAGTTCAGACACTCACTCAATATTTTCCAGTGCACAGAACATTAAGAGCTAGGGGAAAGTTGCCTCAAACTGGGATTCAAGGAAGTTTAGAAGCCGCACAAGTCTCTCTCGCTCTACCCTGATTTTTGCTGGAGGTTCAACATAAGGGAGAATGTCCATCCTCTTCTGCAACATACACAATACATTAAGGGAATAAATTTCTCGCTTTATGCAGCTGGCCAAGGAAGCTGGAGGCAGCACAGGAGAGGTTCCCACATTCCTGAAAACCCACCATGAAGTAGCAATGGTGCTGTGGATGATGAGGGGTTCCTTGTGGGTGCCTAGGCTAAAGCATTTGCCCAAGTTATGTGCTCTCTGGGGCAGGCAACTGTTGCAAGTGCTTACAAAAAGGAATAAAGTAAGAAGCAATATGAAATAAGGAGAGAGCAGGGATGCTCTGCCTAAGCAACTTTTAAAACTAATACTCCTGAATGATGCTGTGCTACCTACACAATTTTTAAAATATGGAAGCCTAACTCTTATTTTTGTAAGATCACAAAGGGGTAGCCAAAACTTGCAGACTGAATGTTGAGAAATCTTGTAACTGATGACAACAGATAATGATCTGGTACCTTAGAATAAGATCCTTGGCTCTCTCTGAGATGGGAACTTCTGGAGGGAATATTAGGGTCTCTTTCCAATTCATCACCTTCTTGTAAGTTTCTTGAGGAGTCTCTGAACAGAAAGGAGGGTAACCTGAGAAAGTTATGAAAGTTCTGATTAGTGGTTAATGAAGTCCAAGTGCAGTTATCATCATCTACCTTCTTAAATTTATTTTAAGGTCAAGCACCACAATTGCATATAAAAATCCAGCTAAAAGTAGCCAAGCAAAAGAAAAGCAGTATTATATATAACATACTATTTAGAAGCTAGGTGAGGGGCAATGATCCACAATATTCTTAGATACATGAATGGTTGTTTCTTACCAATTAACATCTCATACATGATGACCCCAAGTGACCACCAGTCACAAAGCTTATTGTAGCCTGTCTGCATAAAGACCTCTGGAGCAATATAATCTGGAGTTCCCACTGTAGAGAAGGCCTGTAATCAAACATCATCTGTTACACATTTTCTGTTGTATCTTATCAATGAGCACAGGGAATATCCAGAAAAAATATGTGGAACAATGACTTCTGCAGGCATTATTAATGAACAAGTCTGCAAACAAATTTGTTTGTGTCTCTACTTCAGGATGCTGGAGGGCAATGCGATACTCTGGCCATAAACAAAGTCCTAATATGCCTCTTTTGATGCCATAAAATTATTATTTGAGCAATCTAAACCAAGGATGGGGAACCTCTAGCCTGCAGGCCAAATGCGTCCCTCCCCCAACCCAGGTCTCCCCATTTGGCCTGCCAGGCTGTTTTGGGAAAGTCAAAATTATATAAAATGTCAGCTGTGAGGCAAGTGAAGGTGGGCCTTCAAAGGAGCTTAAAGTGAGCTCTCAATTGTTCTTTTTATGATGCAAGGAGTGCTCCCAACCAAGTGCACCTTGCTCAAGTTGGAGGAAGCAGTGCTACTCTTTGCAAGCCTCCCCATACTCCCCCTTTGAACCCCTGACATCTGGAGTATAAAACAGCCATGTGGCTTTTAGGCATCCCTTAAAAAACCATCCAACATCACTTGGGAACCTTGCACAAGTAATTTTGAGAGGAGGAAGACACAACTTGCCTATCAATCGTGTGCCATAGTGACGACATGTGGTGATCCCACCTGTCAAATTTGGCCTGCAAAATAAATCCTGATAAAGATCAGGCTTGTGGAGCCAAAATGTTTCCCTACCCCTGATCTAAGCCTTCAATTACATTTGAGATCCCTTCCAACTCTATGGTTCTATTTCCCTAGATGAGAACAAGTGGCAGAGACGAAACAAGTATGCATTACATACTGATTTCTCAGCAGGATCTTCAAGGCCTTAAACATAAAATATGACATGATCTCTACACAGAGGGAAGAATCTCTAGACACAGCAATACCTACCAGCTGCCGCCTGTTTCTTTTCCAAGTTTCTGCTTTCCTTTTGGAGTTCATATTCTGAAAAGCTAAAGATAGAAGGCAGGTAGTATATTATTACCTTTGCGTTTAATGGCTCTTGTTTCAATGAAGTGTTGATGAGGTTTACATTTTTGTACAATAGTTCCCTACTTTTAACATATTCCCCTGAATCCCAGTATGCTCCCTCTCCCCACCCAATACAACCCAGAAATGTGCATGTGTACATGAGAGGGTGAGTAGGTGAAAGAGAGCTAGAATTCCTTCTAGTTACAGACAATTTATTCTTTGGTGGCTACACTTAAAATCTTTCGTAGGTATCTACCTTGCTTTGCATTTTTGCAAAAGCAGTATTTTGAGGCCTCCCTCAGATATCATTTAGCAGCAGTCATTCCATCAAGCTGCAGCAGAGGGAGAGATGAGCCTACAGAGTCACTTCATCAAGTCCGTTGAGATTGCCAGTGCCATTTGGCTCCCCCTCAACTGTTTATATTCAAGCTGGTCATTATAAGAACTCTGTGTAATTTTAAGAATTGATTATCAAGGTTGCTTGTTTTCTTCTCCCCTCCTCGTCCCATTTATCATTTTGAGTCCTGTCTTTAAGACTGCAAGCCTATCAATATTTCTGCCAAGCAACAAGCTCAAAAGAAGTTTTAGATACAACACAACTTACTGAAGTCACTAGGAAGATTGTGGCTCAAATTTCTATAGAACTCTGTTCTGTGTGCTTTCTTAAGTCCAGTGCAGAGACCAAAGTCGGATAGTTTCACATGGCCCTACATGTCAAGAAACAAGCACAAAACAAGGAGATACAAAGCAACCTCATTTTTAAATTATTTTTTATTTAACAAATTTTATATAACACTTGATTGTATCAAAACCTCTAAGGAGTTCAGGTACTGAATGTTTGACCATGGTCTTAAAAGCCTGAACTGGCCTTGATCTTAGGTTTCTAGCAAGATAAAATGACTCTATCTGACCAACTCATCCAGAACCTTTGGTAATTGTGGCTGAGAGAGCTTGGTGATACATACTGTGCATGAATGGAACTATTCACTTAAGAAATTTTGAGAACATGTACAGGAAGCAGAAGAACAACAACAAAAACTGACAACCAAAATAAAATGTCATGACTCTTCTTCAGCACCCAAAGCATGAATGCCAGCAATCCTAACTAGAACTCCATAATTTCTTTCTCTAGTCTGGGTGGTGGTATGGGAAACACATGCTATTGAGGCCTCCTGGGTTTTGGATTTGATGGAGGTACCTTCTTCTGGCTCATGCACGACATACCACACATTACTGTGGCAACAAGGTCTCTGAGCAGGTCATTTTTATGCATCTAAGCTATTTAGCACTAGTCTCCCATTTCCATCCCTGGGGTTACCAAAGTAAATTAACACAGCAGTAATAAAATAATAATATTAGATCTCTGCCTTGTGTGTTTTCAAACCTATCTTTATTATATTGTTTTCAAACCTATCTTTATTATAGAATCATAAAATTGCAGAGTTGGAAGAGAACCAAAGGATCATCTAGTTCAACCCCATTTTTAATTGTATGATTGGAAATCGCCTTGTGATGTCTGAAAAAGGGGATTCATAAATAATAATAAATATTTTTAATAGTCCCTGAAACAGCTTACAGTAAATAATACTCGTACCTTACTGTCTAACAGGAGATTATCTGGCTTGATATCACGATGAATAAAACCCAGTTGATGAATTGAATCTATAGCCAGCACAGTCTCTGCTATATAAAACTGAGTTTCTTCTTCTGTTAGGGTATCTTTTTTCATCAATAATGTCATCATATCACCTGTATGTACAGAGAACAAGAAGTGAAGATAAGTTGTATTCAGTTTCTTTGTAATGCCATATCTAGTTGTTCTTTTAGCTTGGCCTAAATTCCAAGATACACCATCTTCTGTTCCAAGTCTCTTTTTCCTCAGAGCTATTTCATTTACTTCTTAAATAGCTACTTAGTCTATTTTCTTTCCTACACAGGCAAGGAAATAGCATCATAGACAGAATTACATTATGTCCTGGAAAATCTGCATGCTTTACTCCTTGCAACTGCTGGTAAATGATTCTGAAATGGCCAAAAGTAGATGCCCATTCCATCATAAATATAGCAGCCTAAAATAGCAGAATGGCCTTTTGAATATGCCCTCAATTTCACCAAGTTTCCTTCTAACAAGTTCATGTTTCTAATTTCAGCATAAATAAATACAATTTTATCAAATTCCTGCATGAGCCAACCTCAACTTATTTCTGTCAATAACAAGTAAAAATGAAAGTCTTGATATAGCTCTGAAAAGTTATTGAGCAGTAAAGTGGATAGGTCATTTGGTCAAAACAGTAATATTCTCCCTCAAAAACTCACATGAACACCCTGACCAATAAACAATAACGAGCAAAAGTCAACCTGGAGTAGGACTCCTTCACTATCAGTGAATTTCATATGCTCAAAACTGCCTTTCCTATAGTTTGTCTATAGTCTATGGGTACATCACTTTAGATTGTGAATTGTTCAATACATGCTAATCAGTGACTAGTGCGTTTCAAAATGGGGCATATAACTTGTCATGTAGTCAGCATTCACAATAATATCAAGCAATATTAGATGACACAGAAGTTCAAAATAATTACCTCCAGGCAGAAACTCCATAATTAGGTAGAGGTTCAGCTTATCCTGGAAACTATAGAACATTTTTACAACCCACAAACTGTCTGCCTCCACTAGAATGTCACGTTCTGCTCGAATGTGGCCAACCTGGAGATGAATACATTTTTTTTTTTAAAAAAGAAGCAAGTTGTAATTAAAGAAATATTTACACAATATTTGCAAATGTTGTTCATAACCCAAGAGGTCCCCAAACAGCAACTTATTTTTAATATTAGTTACATTTCAAATTGCAGAATGGTGCATGCCAGAAGCACAGGTGCTGCCCAGTCAAGTGAGTCAAGATACAGGCAATGGGCTGTAAACCCACCCCAACTGTGAACAGGAAATAAAAATTTAAAATGAGCAAATCCCTCCCCTTACCAGCAGCAACCACTTAGTTAAGAGGGCTCAGTTGGGGTTGCCCTTGAAAAATGTTCAGAACTTTCAGTTAACGCAGGACGCTCCTACTAAAGATTTGACCATCACTACATTTCAGAAACATGTTACCCCTTTGCTATTATCAGCTGCATTGGTGGTTGGTCTGTTTCTGAGAGTAATTCTAGGTTAAAGCCCACAATAGCTTAGGACAAGTTGTCTAAAAGCACTTTTTCTTCCCATTGAGTCTCTCTGCCCTCCGATATCTAGCAAAGCCCTTTTATGCATTCTGTTGCCTTAAGAAGTGTGTTACCACCCACTATACAAGACTGCCTTTTGTGTCATGGCACCCGGTATATTAACTCCCTGCCCAGAAAGATTAGGTTTATATCCTGTTCTGCTGGTTTCCTGTTGTTTGAAAACCTTTCTAGCAAGCCCTTGTTTTTAAGCTTATGTGTTTTTTGGCGTTTGTTGCTGCTATTTTACTGATACTGGCATTGGCCTGATTTGTAAGTTACAGTATGTCAAATTATGGCTAAGTGTGAATGAGGGAGAGTGTGAGTATTTAGAGGAAAGATCATGACCCCTTTGCTCCTCTCCTGGTCCTGTTGCTGTGCTATTCAGAGCTAAGCCATAGTTTGGCTTAGAGCTATGTCCAAACCAAGGCCCACAGTTTCCAGACAAATGAGCTGCAACCCATGTTTGTTCTTGGCTTACCACTCGTGGTTTGTGGAGTGAGACAAACCCTGAGCAATGCTAATTCAAATTATGAATTGGCTCTGGGTAGTGTGGCAGCAGCAGGACAAGGGAGGAGCAGAACGGCTACGATTTTTCATCCAAGTTCCCACCTACTTTCTTGTTCATGCTTAGCCATGGATTGATTTAGCAATGCCTTTTGAAATAAGACATTTGTTTTTATATTTTATAAACTGTCTTCATATCTCCATTTTAGAAGGAGAGAATGATTATAAATCCTAAAATAATTAAATATTGATAGTGTGAAAACACTATATCCACCAGCATGAGCAAAAGGTTTCTTAATTTGCAACTGAAGCCTCTAAATAGGTAAGTGCCTTCTGACAACCTCCATGTTGCCTGCATCAAAATTAAATCAGGCATGGGATACAGACAGAAGTGCACTTAGTCACTGAGACACATGCAAGTGGAATTTAAGTCAAAGGCTTAAACGGTTAAAGGAAGAATTCTGAATTTCATTTTCCTTCTATAGCATCATATTCATACCTGAACACGCATGAAAATTGATCAGGACACATGTATTCAGCTTTTGATGCTCAAAACTCTAACACAAGACTTACAGCATGATCCCATGCAGGCTTTCTATGAACAAGTCCCATTAAGACTTACTCTTTAATAACTGTGCATACAACTGCAGTTTTTGCATAATAAATACTAAATGTTCAATTAAATTTAGATAAAGATGGAGAGTTGGAGATGCAGGTTCAAAAACATCTCATCCACAAGCTGGAAAAACTTTAAATGGAAGTTACCACATTCCATTTGGTGATTACAGAGTTTCTTTTTCCTAGAAGGTTCTCTTCTGCTTTCCATGCATTCCAAATTTCCCCACAAAATGATAAATTAAGATACCTCATCATGAGCCTAATGGTTCCAGCAGAAAAGAAGAATTCCACATTGCTTGCATGTTCTTACTTTTGACATCTGCATACTCTCATTAGGAATCAGTATTTACCTGCTCTTTTTCCAGCATATCTGCTTTCCGTAGTATTTTCATTGCATATACATGCCCTGTATCTTTCTTCTGAACAAGCCGCACCTAGAAGTTGTGCAAAAACAATGAACATATTAAAACCCATTTCAGCCATTTTTTTTAAGATAAACAGTTACAGAAAGGAGAATTAGGGGAGGAAAGTGCTCTGTTTTGGGGATGATTGAACAATATATAGAGCCTTCTGTACCTACCAGTGTAGTATATCTAGTTTTCAGCTGCTATGGAGCATAACACTATCTGGCATTGAGTCAATTATTATTTTTCCTTCCTGGATTACATTCATGACAATGCTACCCTTCATAATAAATTACAGTAAGAGATACGGTGAATACATATAACTGAGACAGGCCTAGGGTACACCCAAAATATTTGGATAATGGGTATAAATAAAGCAGATTATTACTATAGCACTACAATGGAACAGAGTAACTTAGAAAAGGTGTAGACACAGTATATTAAAATAGTTAAGTTTGGAAAACAACAACATTATACCGTTAGCCATTAGACAATTTTCAGAGAAGCCAGTAAGATACTGCTGCTGCTTAGAGCATTACCTGAATTCTGTAAATAACTACATGTAGGAAACAGGTGTTACCAGATAACTGTTAGGGAGCTCAGCATAAAACTACACTTCATTTGGCCAACTGTGTTCAATGTTAACAAATCAACTATGTCCAATTGTCCATTACTTTAAGAGGATTTTCAAATTACTAATATACTTTTCAGAAGTGTAGAAACTACCTTTATTGATGGGATACTTGCCCTGAAAGCAAACTCTATGTATTTGCATTTAATAACAGGGTGATAAGAGGCTGTTTGATGGTGTTGGCGGGTCAGAAGTTGGCTGTCTATACTTTTTAGAATTTCTTTTTCATTTTGAACTCTTACCTCTCCAAATGCTCCTCTGCCTATTACTTTTAAAGATTCAAAGTCTTCCAACCCAAGTCTTGTTCTTTTTAGGCGCAGAAACTCTGTTTCCTTTCGGGCATGTGCTGATCTCCTCATTCTTTTCTAGAAGTTGTTCAAAAATGGGGTGTGTTAGTGTCATTTTCTATTAATGAAAAATAAAAAAATCAACAGCTAGACCAGAATCACTCACAGCAAAGGCTTGTTATCTTTACTCTGGTCTTTGTTACCTAAGATATATATTCTTAGGACCCGCCCTTCTTTTTGTGGCTTCATTCCATAACTGTATGTTTTAAAACTATTTTTAATGTTGTATTTTAAATTGTTGTAATTCATCCTGTGACCTAGAATCATAGAATCATAGAGTCACAGAGTTGGAAGAGACCACAAGGGCCATCGAGTCCAACCCCCTGCCAAGCAGGAAACACCATCAGAGCACTCCTGACATATGGTTGTCAAGCCTCTGCTTAAAGACCTCCAAAGAAGGAGACCTTAGGGTGAAGGACAGATAATAACTTTAAATTATTGATGATGATGATGATGATGATACAGGGGTGATGAGAAACAAGCACCAAGAAAGGCAGTTTCAGGATATGCAATACCTCTTCATCTTTTAAGCCTTCTTCTTCCATAACTTTTTCTAGCTTCTTCTGTCTGTAAAAAAAAAAAAAGAATAAAGTTTTTGAACAAGGTCTCCACAAGTTCATGCATACAACTTCAGGACAGAACAGAGCTGCCAGGAATTGGAACACTGAATTCCAAGGCTTCATTTCTCAATGCACACAGCAATCAAGATAAACACCCTGCTTCTGCTTGAACTTCTGCAAAATGAACAGGAAATTTGCTCTTATCGTGTATTTGCATCATACAAATTAAGTCTTTTGTAAAGAAAAGGGGCACGAAACAAGAGTATCATAGAATCATAGGGTTGGAAGAGACCACAAGGGACATCGAGTCCAACCCTCTGCCAAGCAGGAAATGTATAGTTTAATCATTTATAATAAAAAGGACGTACAAACAAACTGATTGCAGGATGGGCAACTTCTGGAAGGTATCAAGAACTGATTTAGATCAACCATCCAATACCTTACTGCCAGGTCAAGGTGTGTCTGTGGTGGGAAAGGGCTCACAGGAGATAGCTGGCAAAAACAGAGGCCACATCATCGCAGCCAATCTAATACCCAATCCATAGTGCATAACACAACTGCATTTGCCACTGGGTGGAACAGTAGAATGTAATAAGTGGAAAGGACTTCATTTCTGCATTAACCTCTAACCTCACAGAATTATAGAACAAAATAAGCATAAGAATTTCATTAAACATACAAAATGACCTTTGAAACACTATAGAGAGCTTATTAAACTATAAACTACTTCCATTTCTATGAAAATGATCAGTCTCTTCAATTCTAACCAATCTGTCAGCTTAATAAACCTTTAGTTATTCTGTATATGCAAACAAAAGGCTGGATAAATTTAGGGAGGATATAGAAGGGAGTAGATCTGAGGCATTTTAGTAACGCCTTTTAAGAAATTTGCTCAAAGGCAATATTTCAAAAGAACTGAAACTCCTTACGATAGAATTCTGAGGCAAGGGTTCCTGTGAGCTTCATTCAAGTGGTCTTCAGCATGTCCACATTAAATTATTATGTTGATTTTAATCTGTATTGTATTGCTGCTTCTTTTATTATATTTTACTGTATTATAGTTTGAATTCCATAGAATGCAAATTGTAATACAAAAAAATACAATATAAGAAATAAAAAACCAATAAAAATACGGCATCTAGCACAGGACATTAGAAATCATACAACACACGGGAAAAACATGAAGCGCCCCCCCCCCCCAAGATCATCAGCAAACCTGAAGTGGTCTCCCACTATCATCCAGGGTGGGGGAAAGGAACTACTGTTTTAGGGTACCTGTCAAGCACACACAATCAAATGTACCTCACGGTTAGAACCATAGAATGGTAGAGTTGAAAGGGACCCCAAGGGTCATCTAGTACAACCCACTGCAATGCAGGAATGTTATTCCATGTGAACTGGCAGCATAACCTAACAAAGATTTCACATGGCTGGATGTCATAGTAAAAGACTAGCAGCAGTGACAAGCTATTTCTATAACTGATCTTCTCATTGATAAGCCTAATAAGCTTTCAACTACAACATCTATAGAGGTGTTGGTGGAGTTTCCCCACCAAGTGAAGGGAAATGTGTAACTACCAGAGAGGTGTGTTTTTCAGCAGTGGCTTCGCCTTCAAGGACCTATGTTCCAATTGGCATTCAACAGAATGAAGAGAGGGGTGTTTGTTAAATATTTCAAATAAGGGAAAGCTAAATTGGAACAATGTTTTTATGCGTTAATTATTTTTTTATAGAGCACATTTGACCACTACTTGTAGCAGGAAGTAGTTAATATATTTTACAGATAAATATAAAATACAATACTTAGAAGGGAATGAAATCCAGGAAGGAGTAAACTGTGTTTAGAGAGGCTGCTTTTGATTATAGTACACAGTAGAGCCAAGTGCATTTCGCAATAAAAACTGTTTATACTGGACACACTGAAATAAAAATAAAACATAACACCAGAGAGAGAAAAACAACTTTCATTCCAGGAAAATGCTGCTACTAGTTTTCATCAAGCATCTGCAACATATGCCTTTATTGAAATGCACAACAAGAGGATAGCATGGGCACTGAAAAATATCATCATACTAAAATATTTTAAAGGCTTTTTGAGGACTTAAAAGTGTTATAAAAACTTTTAGCAGGGTAAGATGATCAGCATATTTGTTGCATCCATTGTTTCTTAAATCTTGATATAAGGAAAATAGCATTACTTCCATTTTCATGCAGCTGGGATATTTACCTCATTTCTCGTTCCTCATGCTGCGCAATCAGATTACTGTAGAAGTTTTCTAATGTCACCTTTGTCATTGTAACTCGCTCCTTGGTGTGGTTGCTCATAGATGAACAAGGTGCTGGGCCAGTCATCGCCATGGTTCCTGGAAGATAGAAATTAGAAAATATCTGTGATCCTAAACCTTGAAGCAAGAAATCTACACTACATGATGGCTTAAATTTAAATAAAGCAGCCAGTTTAAAAATAAACAAAAGCTTTGCAAAATGCAATATGCCCAAACTGGAAGCTACAAGTGTAAAAGGCCACAATGTTGCAAAACTTCCTGTTTTTCTACATAAGTTATGAACAAGGAGGAAAGAAATGTGATAACTATTAAGTCTCTGAATGACATTTGCAGGTTGCATTACAAATGTCTCTTATTACTTTCATCTCCAGTCAATTAAAATTCTACCAACATGTTTTAAACCAATAATAGTACGTATTTCCATGTAAAAGTATTTACAAACATAGCACAAGCTTCATTTATTTCCTTGGAACTTGCTTGTATTGAGTAAGAGTCAATATCTGCAGGGCTGTCAACAAAGAGTGAGCAAATTTGTTTCTGTTGCTCTAGAGCCTAGGGAAAGGGAATATTGATTACACTTTGGAAAGAAAGAATGTCCTGACCATATGAACTGCTAGACAGTGGAACAGGCTACCACACAAGGTAAAGAACTGTTGGAGGTTTCTAAGTACAAGATGGATGGCCACCTCGTTATTGCAGATAACTAGAGTAGCAGATAATATACCTAAGTAGAAGTGGACTACATGGTTTTTAATCCTTCCAACTAAGATTCTAATCAGTAATTTTCAGTTCAAATTTACTTGGCGATAAGTCCCAGTGATTTCAATGGAGCTTACCTCTAAGCAAGTGTTCATAGACTACAGCCCAAGCAGTATTTTTCCTTGGATGACAGCAGAAACAAAAGTTTCTGTTCCTATTTTCTTCACAGTGTAACTAGCCGACCTAGAACCAATTAGCTCTTACACATTTGCTTTAGTTAACAATTGTGACTGCTTTTAAAATCTTCCCAATTTCATCAGAACTTCTAACCAAACCAAGGTTATATAAAATAATTCTTTGAACTAATTAGAGTATTTTGCTTGCACGGCTCTTTGAATGCAATCGTTTTACGGTGCACTCCCTTCGAAGAAAAGCTGTACATAATATAAATTATCTCTGTGATACTAGGCAACTGCAGCTCCTTTTTGCCAGTTGAAATTTCCCATTAAAAAAATTATCATCATCCCCCGGGACCAGAGTGTCACTATGGCCCATCTGCAGTGTACCTAGCCTATCACGCCAGTTACAGGATCATGCTGCATGATACAGCCATGGTGTCCTACAAAAGTTTGTTATGGGTGTTAAGGGTTGTTAGGAAAACCCCTGTTCCTCTCAAGGAGCTACAGTTCTCAGGATCTCTGGGAATTGTAGCTCTGTGCAGGGAATAGGGGTATCCTAAGAACTCTGACCATGCTTAACAAACCACAATTGCCAGGATGCTTTTGGGGGGAAACCACAGATGTTTTAAAGTGGCATGGTACAGCTTTAAATGTACAGCACAGGTGGGGCCTACTAGAATTCAAAGCAAAGCCTTCCCCTATGCATCCAAAGCACATTTCCCCCCAAAGAATCCTGGCAACTGCAACTTACCCCTCCCAAAGCTGCAAATTCCCAGCACCCTTAACAAAATACAGTTCCCAGAGCTTGGGGGCGGGAAGGAGCAAGAATTGTGCTTTTTACATGTTGGGCTTATACAATGACTAGAATCCCAGGAGACTTAACTATAAAAGAGCTGCTCCATTCCTAGGCACATTTACTCGGGAGCAATTCCCTCTCCTCAAGTCGGCAAAAGCCTCACTCGCCAGCAGAAACGACAAGGAGAAGATGAAGAAGGGAAAAGGAGCACGAGGTCCATTTTCCACAGAAGAAGTTTGCGAGGGGGAAGAGGCGAGCAGGTGTAAACAGAGGGAGGAAAGGCAGAGCCAGGCGTCACGCTAAAAACCTAGCAGGACTCTATGTGGTCCAGAAGAAGAAAATGGGGGGTTTTTTTTAGAGGGGGGAGGCAGGAGATTCAAGAGAAGGAAGAAGAGGAGGAGGAGGACGGGGCAACTTGAGGCGTCTCCCCTCCCCTCTGTGGATGCTACCAAAGTACCTACCTGGAAAGAGGGGGCGGGACAGGATGGCGCCCCGGGAGGCAGCTCAGCCTGAAGGGGGAGAGGAATAACTTTTGGGTGGGGGGGTTAAGAGCAAACACCGGAGGAAGAGACGCTTACCAGACCCCCTTCTGGGAGCAGCGCCGAGGAGCCCCCGCCGTCCAATCCCTTCCCAGCCGACAACCACGGGAGAGAGAGGGGGAGAAGCAGTTTCCAGAGGCCGAGCCCCGCCCCTTGCTCCCCGCTCAGCCGCCCCCACCCCAAAGGAAAGCTGGAGCCCGCGACCGGACAAGCGCCGACTGGAAACTCTGGCACAGCCCGCATGCGCAGAAGAGCTCTTTCTCTCTCTCCCGGCCGCGGCGCCGCCCTCTTCAAGGGGCGAGGCTCGCCTGATGGCCCGTTCCCCGCCCGCAGCCCCAGGAGGCGGGGCCGCCGCACTTTTGCCTAGCCTCCGGCGCTGCGCATGCGCCGGCTGCCGCTCTAGCGCCTCGGCGAGCGGGCCGCGAAGTTCGTGGCTGCTGCGCGCCGCTCCTTCGGCGTATGAGGAAGTCGGCAACTGTTTCCCGGGCGGCGCAAGGCGGCGGCCTCCTCCTCCGCCTCGCTCTCCGCTTGCTTACGCGGAAGTAAACGCGGCACGACGGGCGTTTGCTCCCCAAGCTAAGGGAAGGGGAGGGTTGCGGGTTTTTAGCGGCTTTGCTGGGAGGTATGTTGGCTTCCGTGCTTAGGATCGCACTGCGTGGGTGTTTTGGACGGTCACCGTCGAGCCTGAGCTTACGCACGTTTATTCAGAAGAAAAAAATCTATGTTTTAAGGACACTCCACCCACAGAGCTCCCAGTTAGGGATGAATCGACGCTTTCATAGGTGGAAAGCAAGTCAGGAAGGTTCGTTGGTTCCTCAGGGTGTTTTTCCACAATCCCAAATCCACATAAAAATTGTATTAATTTCAGAAGATCCGAGTTCTTGTGCTGTCTTTTCAAGAGACTGGAACCTGCCTTGTTCCTGATTATTGTACAGTACAGTACTTGCATTTGGTTTTTCTCTGCTTTTCCAGACATTGGAACTGCACAAATAGAGAAATAGTGATGCTCACTAGTTTTATCAGATCACACCAAAAACGTTTGCTTTTATTGCTTGTATTGTTGCACTGTAAAAACGCCATATGCCAGGTTTATTCGGCATACACCTTTGTGGACTAGAGCCCACTTTGTCAGACGCCTATGCCAAAATAAATCTGCCAAAGGACTTGTTTTTCCTGCAAGAGGCTAGCCTGGCCACCTCTGTTGAATTTTAAAAAAACATGAAGTTCTTTAAAACCATTTCCAGAAGAACAAAGGGCAGTATTTTACTTTAGCTCTCTCTTTGTCCTGATGATCTATCTTCTCAGACAAGACACTTGAAGGAAGGACTCTAGACAATGGAAGGATTTATGCAACTAATAGAAGACTGGATACATACCATAAGCTGTACTCTGTGTCTACTAACCCTATGAAGAACCTCTGGTCCCTACTCGTTAATATCCATGAATTGAGAAAGTTGATGCCCTAAAGACGAAATTTTGAAATAAGCAACCATCGCTTTGTGGTTAAGCTGAGGTGTGTATATTTGAGACTGCCCGTTGCACATGCACAGTTGACAGCTTCAAGAATAGGAGTTGCGGGAAGCTGCAGGCATGGGGAAACCAAACAGGTACTGTCATATGCATAGAGTGAAGACACCCCTGCCCCTTCTCGGATGTAAATGTGACTTGAAGGGGAGTGGGGAGAACAAATTTGCTGTGTTTTAAGCTGTTAATATGTATATAGCCTCAGATGAAAATTCCATTTCTACTTTTAAATCCACTTACAGGATAATATTATAACTCAGATGAACAGTGACAGCAAATTGTACATAGCTGTGGAAGTCCCTGTTGTTGCCAACATAGCTATCCAGTGTTTTTTCCCCTTCATTTTAATGGCATTTAATAACTTTTCCATTTTCTTCAAAAATGCATAGCTATTAGCAAAATATAATCTTGCTTTATTTTATTTAGATTTCCAGCATTAATGATATACAACATTTTGATAAATTTCATGCAAAAAACATGTATCTTAATGCGTTCCATAACACTGAGGATGGACAGTTTGTTTAAAATGGATCACTGTAAAATATGATCTATCAACATTTTATCATTATCAAAAGATTATTTTAAGACAGCCTAAGCATTATATTTAAAGTAACTGAGACCTTAAATATTTTCGGTGACCCGAATAACAAAGCTATAGCAATACTACATATGTATTTTAGCATTTGTACATATTGTTTAACATATTATTAAACATGAAGGACAAAATGTGTTCTTGCCATTTATTACTCCTTTGGAATGTACAAAGGTGGCTTTGTATAACATCTCAGCCCTGCACTTGTTGGCTTGGGAATATTCAGTGGGACTTATTTGCTAATAATTGTATTTAGAATTCTGCATTCATAATTTTGTATGTTTCCCCAAACTGGTTTAGATTTGAAATATGGCATTAGAAACTAAGAAACCAGTCTCCTTGCTCATGACAAAAATGGGATGTGAAGGCCAGATCCAGCCTCTACTTATGATAGCCTTCAGAGATTTTCCAGGGGGAAGTTGAGATATAAAATACAAATGTATTTGCAAAAGAAAAAAACAAGCAAGCAAGAAAAAACCAACTTGTCCCACATTAAGTAATAAGACGCTCAGGCAGAGTCCCCCAAAACAAAATCTGCAAGGTGGTTTAGTATCTGGTGCCTGGACAACCAAAATCTAACCAGTCTGCGGTCTTCTCATGGCCAAACGTTGATTATACACTGAATGTCAGTGGTATACAACAGAACTTCATGTTGTGCATTAGTATAAGCCCATTTTAAATTGTTACATTCACCATCTGTGTAATATGGTTTCTGTGTTGTATTCAGGTAGAGTAAATTAACAGCATTGTCTCTGAAAGTTGACCCCTATAATTACCCACTTTCCTAGGATTAGGAGAAACCTGGATGCAGGGCTGTTTAGAGACTTCCCGGGGAGCTGTATTTAACCCGCTTTTAATGCCAATTACATTACCAACACTTTTGTGGAGCCTAACAATCAACATTTAGTTCTCACACATCACATTGTTTTAGGTTTCAGGTACGCAATCTGCACCTCTTATCTATCATAGAATTGTAGAGTTGAAAGAGACCACGAGGGTCATCTAGTCTAACCCCCTGCAGTGCAGGAATATTTTGCCCAATGTGGGGCTCGAACTCACGACCCTGAGATTAAGAGTCTGATGCCCTCCTGACAGAGCCCAATAGACTTTGGAACTCTTCTGACAAAACCTTTTCATCCCTCTGGAAAGTGGGAACCCTCAGCATACTTCTTCCAGAGGTATGCAGTATCTGAAATATTTTGTTCAAGCAGCCAACCAGTTACTTGCAATGATTGCTTCCAATTCCACATCTTCAGAGTTGCAGCAGAACGTTTTTACATTTGAAAATATGTATATTTGGGCTTTTCTACTGAGTGTTCTAATCAGCTAGATGTGGGTGATAGGCTGAGGCATTATTCTGGATGACTTGATTCCTTTTGAAAACCTTGAGTAGGTCAGAATTGCTGCAGCCTGATCCAATGCATGTTTACTCAAAAGTAAGTCCCATGGTGTTCATGGGTCTTATTCTTGTTTGCCTAAGATTCCAATCTTACTGTAAGACGTATTCTTTCTGCAGTAAGGAGACAACATTAATATGCTCAAAGAACCAGGGGTGCATATTTAGAAGTATGCATTTTTACATGAAAAAATGTATTATAGAGCATTTGAATTTGCTTTCCAGCCTAGGTGTTTTCTCAGCCATGTGCTTTATTATAACTTAAACCCACATTGCTAAAGGGGAACAGTAGAAAACAGGCACAAAAGGTGGTGGAAGCAGGAAAGGAGCATAAGGGACAAAGAGTGAATACTTTCCACATACCCCAGCAGAATCTGCATGCACAAATACCTCAATAATATTGTTCAACAAATGCAAAGGAGTGAAGCAGCAATAATAATATATAGCCCCTGGCAATATTGCTAACAGTTATAAAATATCTGTGCTATCTAGAAGGGAAAATTTTAAGCCCTGCACATTCCTGTTTAATAATCAGAATAAGGGGGAAATGTTCTGGCCTTTCAACAATGTGAAGGAGTAGTAAATGGCACAAACGCACATTTTGTTAACCAACTTTTCTTTTGATCTCCCTCAGTGTATATATCTCAAGTAGCAGATGGACTGCAATAGGTTCGGTCAGGAAATCTATGTCTGGGTGCTGAGATTTCTTTTGCCATCTTGATCTCCACCTTGAAATATGTCAGAAAGATCCTGATTGCCCTTTACATTCTTTAGATACTGCAACACATTTGTTTTCCTGAGGACAGCAACAGGCTCTTCCTTCTCCATCAATCCCAGCAGCAGTTGCTTCATCATTTCTAGAGACTCTTCTCTGCCAGTTCCATCAGAGAGATCGGAGAGGTCTTGGTTCTTTGGTGAGGTCCACACAATGTGTGCCTGCGGGATGTCCCTGCCCACGGCTGTGTGCACTCCTCCCATGGCTTGGTGGAGCCAAATCAGTCGGTTTAACTCTTCACGGAGATTTCCTTTATTATGCAAGAACTGGAATTCTGCCACTCCTCTCTTACTGAAATGTGAAAAAGCCAGTACTGTGCTTGAGAAGCAGAAACACATTCACAACAAAGCAAGAAAATATTCGGGTTACAAACACTTCAGGTTACAGCCTCCACTAACCCAGAAGTAGTAACTCAGGTTAAGAACTTTATTTCAGGATGAGAACAGAAATTGCATGCCGGTGGCGCGGCAGCAGCAGGGGCCCCATTAGGTAAAGTGGTACCTCAGGTTAAGAACGGACCTTTGGAACGAATTAAGTTCATAACCAGAGGTACCACTGTATTTGTGTGTGTGCTCCATCTTTGTAATAAAGTTGTGGTGTACTCCCTGCTCCATAAACTGGGCTAGGAGAAAAGTGCCTGGACTGATGGAATGCAGGGAAGTAAAAAAAGGGGGGGAGTCATATTTCCTGCTCCATGCACCTATTTTCATGTCAAGACTACCACATACTTTGGCCTGTTTCAGACATAATGGGAAACCATGATTTCCTACTCCATGAAAGAGCCTGTATGAGTCTCAGGTTTCTAGGCATCTCCTTGGCCACAAGGAGATTGGAAGCTTCCATTTTTGAACAAGCCACAGTTCCTCTTTATGCCCAGGCTGGAGAGATTGTAGCGAGAAGTACTAACCTTATGACCAGCAGACCATGTGAGCCTGAGGTTCATGTGGGCTCACTCATGTGGTGAGCAACTGGTTTCCCATTATGTCTAAACCAGGCTAATATATGTGAACACGACAGACATGTGAATAACATATGTAGCTGTCTTCATTGTTTCTGATTTTGCTATGGATTTGTGCTTTGACGTGTTAAAAGAGGTAGCTCTCTCGCCCTTATCATCACTATCTAGGAATGAACAGAAGATCACTTTATGGTTTTCGGAACCATCTTAGAAAGCTCTAACAACAAGAAGACTTTGCCTTTTCCCTTTGCTATCTTGTGACTTTCAGTACAGGATAATCTTGTTTTTAAAAGCACCTTCCAAATGTGTCACATTTTAAAGAAAAATCATTTTAAAAATTACAAACGATGCTAAACATATGTTTGCACAGTGATCTCCTTCAGAAAAATACATTATATTGTAAAGCATTACTGCAATGTTATCATTTTGCATCCAATAGTCAACACAGTAACCCCCCAAAAAAACCCATCATAGTAAAATAAAGCTTATCAAAAATTTGACTAACAAATATTCTTACGTTTTTGTTTCTTGACATGTTGCAAACCAAACAAGAAAAAAAATGGACAAAAATGTTACCATCTGTAGATATCTTTGGGACAAAAGCATCTTCTGTCTTGTAAACTATTAAACAAGATGAAATAAGATGGACATTGAAATGCAACTTGCAGCTATAACATATTCCACTTAAATAATGGATAGTAAAATTAAACCATAGTGGCAGATAGTAAGTATTGGCCTGAAATATATAATTTTTTAAAAAAATATTATTCTTTGCCTTTTCATATTTACTGTGACAACAAAAGCCAAATAATTCCGTAGTGTATTTTATTTGTATATTAGGACACAAAAGGTTTTAATTTGAAACAGTAGAAAACCATCTTTTAAATATATATTCCAAATATTCCTGCCATAAATATATTACTGCAATCTTCACTCAGGTTAGTATAGTCTATGAAAATCAATAGCATAATATGTATATAAAATTGTTTGCTTTTGGAGGGAACAAAACAAATATTCTGATCTGAACCATAACTGGTTTTCTAGAAATATGTGAATACACAAAATACATCCTGAATGGCACAAGCCATTGGTTCAATTTTTCCAGTACTGTATTCACTTATTTGAGATATATTTGTATAGCTACATATAACCGACAATATCTTAATTAAATATTAGTTGAAATAAAATATTTAACAGTGCAACCCTATACATGTCTACTCAGAAATAAGTTCAATGGGGCTTATGTCCTGGTAAGTGTATATAGAGTTTTAAGCCCAACAGGTTAAAAATAGCAGTGTGATGTAGAGTACTTACTATTTCTTCTTGTATTGGAGTATGGTAAAGTTGATTTGTGGAGTCTTACTTGTTGCTAGCAGATCTCTAGTGAGCCTCCTCCTGCAATGACAGTGTGCGCCTTCCTAGCTTCTTTTATAGTTCTGTAGCTGCACTTAACAATAGGGATGAGCTGCGCATCATATTCTATGACTAAGATCTTTTCCTCCTTGTATAAATGAAAGATGTGCTTCTCCCAGAGACAATCACCCTTGGACAATAAAGTTTACTATTTGGCTAGTGATTAAGACACTGGGACCTCCTGTTTTTGAAATATCTCTCATCCTGTCATTTTCATAGGATCGTAAAATCATGCTATGGAGGTTGGGATCAATAGCAAGGCTGAAGATTTGGAGACTTTTTATCACTGGGGGACTTATTCCAGCCATTACTTGCTGGATAACTTTTGATATAATTTCTGGATCAGCACCACATGTTTAAGGCAAGAATCAGCTTGATTTTTCTAGAAGGCAGCTGGAGAAGTGGAGAACTGACCATATGAACAAGGCAAGGAGGAATCTTCCTCTTCTTGACATGTTATTGTCAGATTTTGAATTGGACCAGGATTTACAACGGTGCCATGGCTCAGCCTGGAAATACGAAGTGGGATATTAATATATCCAACTAAAAATGGAGAAACATAAATCAAACTACTTGCTCAGTAGAAATTAAAGACATATGGTACTTCACACATCCTACCCCAAATTTCGGGTTGATGTTTATCAGTCTTGGTTGAACTATGGCAGCCTCAATGGCAAACAAATATTCAGAATGCTCCCAGTGAAGTCTCCTGCATCCACCCAGTGTCACCAACAGTAACTTGCAAACTGACCCATAATCCCACCCACAGATCAGAAATGTGTGCAGATGGGGCATAGCTAGAGTCAGAAGATGCAGGGCTGTGAGGGCTCACCTAAATACTTTCCCAGCGGTGGTATCTCAGCAGGCCTGCTCTTCTTTGAGCTTTGATATAAGGCAGCAACCTGCTATTCTGAACATCAGAACTGATCTTACATATGTGCCTCTCAGCCTTGCACAGAAAAAGAATTCTGCTGCCTTCATCTATCGTTTATTTGACATTCTCAGTTTTCCCTCTTTATAGTTGTTTGTCTAGTGCAGGCATCCCCAAACTTGACTCTCCAGATGTTTGGGGACTACAGTTCCCATCATCCCTGACCACTAGTCCTGTTAGCTAGGGATGATGGGAGTTGTAGTCCCAAAAAACATCTGGAGGGCCGAGTTTGGGGATGCCTGTTCTAGTGGATTTTAGGCTCAGAGCAGCACCTTCAGAGCTCCCCAAACCCCTCATTCCTCCCATCACAGGGTTCTTTTCATAGATAAATAAATCACAGCTCTATTCCCCTTGGTTCCTGTCCCCTTGCCCCAACCTCCACTCCACTGCCAGGTAAATGAGTCTGCTTCTTTTCCCAGTACAATACCCTTTCAGAGCAAGTTCGTGCTCCTGAAGCTTTTAGACCCATGTCAGTCTCTTCTCTGTGGTAAAGGTGAGTTTCTCTGGGTGCATCTGAGGCCTGTCCCTCCTCTGCTTGCTGCTTCTCCGCTCTATAGTCCAGTGGTGAAGGCAACAGCACATGCATGGCACAGCCACCTGCGGCTGGCGCAAGTTCACTTCCATTTAGGCCAGAGTCAGCAGAGAGTGGACATCACCAGCAGCTACTTGCAGTATTGCCTCTCAGATTTGGATTTCCAAGGCACCTTTCAAGAATTACGGCACAAATAAAATAAGACAATAGAAATGCAGAGCAAATAATATAATACCAGCAGCTAAGCAATCCTGAGCAGAGCCAGTACCTCACAACCTGGACTTCTGCTGGCACAACAGGATTTCCTCTATGCCTGCCCACTGCCCATCTACTCAATGATTCCCAAAGTGTCCAACACAGATTCTGGGAGTTTGCAGCAGCTGAAAGGTGAGGGTGAGAGGACAGGAAAGCATGGGTGAAAGCCCGTTTTGATAGCATACGGACACCATTGAATGTCATATATATTTTCTATGCAGTCATATTGGTATAGCTGTTTGTGCCTCATTGCAGCTACAGTTAAATGTAGGATTGTTTTCATGATGTTAATAACATAAAAAGTAGTAGCCAAATACCAATGTACAGACCTAACTGGTTCTGCCTTGTACCATCTGGGGCTAGAATTGTTTATTTTGAGCCATTGTGTTCATCAGCTAATCACTACAGGCTTCTAGCTTTGTAACAACTCTGTTCCTGGCGTAAGAGCCATTTATTGAAAAGGTCAAAACTTGTAACCAATTAAAGATTTAAATTGAGGTTGCTAAATTGGTTGCTAAACTCTTGTGATCTCTTTTTAGTTTCCAGGACACCCAAAAAGTTAACGTAAATGATGTGCCTGCCACAGCAGAGCTTTCTAGTTACGTGTTTCCAGGCTAATAAGCACTAGCCATAGCCAAGTCTAAAACATCTGATCTTTATAACCACCTTTATGTAATTGAGGGGCAACTACCATTATCATAAGAACTATGATTCCATTTGTCTGAGCAAGTGAATGTCAGCCAGAGAAATTGAAAGATGCTCATTGAATGACAACTTAAAGCATTCTATCATAGACAGTGTGTGCTGCCATGGCTACTCAATTCCACTACCCTTGGGAAGTTGCATTATAGGAAATATCTCAGCAGCTCTACTTTTAGAGAATGGGTGTTGCATCCAGCAGCATTTTTAACTCCTGCAGTAGTAGTTATGGAAGCTTCAAACTGTGCTGGCCTTCACTGAACAATACTTGCCAGATGGTTACAAGCTGGCTTCCAGTACTGAGTTCAAGAGTATCCCAGGATTGGATAAAAGTGTCTAAAGAAGTGGAGCATATTGCAGGACAAAAAATCCATGCTAAATCCTAAACCTGCCCTCCATTTTCATCTTTGAAGACTCCATAAAGATGTGATTATATTAACTGTGGCTAAATCCACCACAGAAAAGCTGTGGAGGATTTTGAAAGCAAACTTTAAGTTGGACCGGTGGCAGCAGCTCTGGAACTTGTGTAGCTTTGAACGAGAAACTGGCCCATTATGTGTCAGCATATCAAAATAATTAGACAATTTCTATGCTGTGCACATCAACTTTATTAAATAGTTACCAAAGAACATGAGCTTTGGCCTCTGGCAATGTAAGGGAACTTGTAGCAAGATATTATGGTTTGATACAACATACGTAATCAGTGATTCAGGTAATGTAGCCATGTTGGTCTGTCGTAATAAATAACAATGATGAAAGATTAAAAAATATATATTGAAAGATGTTCCAGTAGCACCTTAAAGACCAACTAAGTATAAGCTTTCTAGGTATGAGCTTTTACGTAATCAGTGTTTTCTTATTTTTGAAATGGTATGTATATTTCTCTAAATTGTTGATGCGTTTCTTTCAAATAAATAAAATGCCTCCCTTTCTCTGCCAAATGTTTTGCATTTGATGTACATTTCAATGACCAGGTGTGTACCCAAGTTTCAGTTTCCTTGGAATGAGGAACAGCAGAGACTATGGTGTCTTTAGGATCAATGGTTTATATACATATATACAACCTGGCGTGCCTGGCGTGTTCTGGTCCATGGGGTCACAAAGAGTCGGACACGACTAAACAATAACAAAACAACAACCTGTGGCTGAGACAGAAATCAGGCATAGTTCTGTCTTCCAGCTTCTAACTTACATCACTCAACTCTCAATTCTCGCTTTTGTCTTTCTAACAAAGGGAGTGGGGGACCCACGTATTTGTTATCTGGCACAGAACCACTTCCTTTGTTACCTAATGGCCCATACTTAGAGAGTCATTACCTCACCAGGAACCTAACCTGGCTATTCCAGAAATTGAATCAATGCTGCCTCCAGGAATTAGAAGGAAGCTCAGGCATACAACCTACCCCACCTAACTCATAAAACTATATTAAGAGCACGTGACATGTCCAGCTTTTTACATAGCATTCATGCGAAACACAAAACTAGTTGCCTCCATATGTCTGCTATCTTTATAGGCCTTGTGGCCTTCTGGGGTTTTAACCTAGAATAACTTCAGACTACTCTACAACAGAAAGCACTCCTGTGTGGGTGACAAAATAGCAGAGGAGCTATGGATTATTCAGATAGAAAACTGTGGGGAAACAGTTAAGACAGACAGGCTTTTAGCTCCAGAAAAGCAAACAGGTTTCTTTGCTTGCCACTAGATGGCAGACCGACAGGGTCACACATACTACAATGCAATCTTCCAAATGTAAGGATTCACAAAAGTGTACTTTTAGAAGTGTAAGTCCCAAAGAGGAGGAAGAAGAGGTCACACTACAGAACACTCACATGGAAATAGGATATTTCTTTCACCACATGGCAATAAGCCTGCAGAAAGGACCCTGTTTAAGATGCTCAGGGAATACCTTTTTCTTTTTTTTTCTTTTTTTGCCAAGCAACCGAGAGGGATTAGGACGACACACGAAGGGGAGCCACAGCTACACACTATCACACTGCTAGGACTATCCCATAGTGGTGCCCTACACAGGACTCAGGGTTGGGAAGCAGGTGGTGGGATTTTGAGCCCCACTGAGGGAAAATGGCTTCACTCATCTTTTGCATACCTGGCCAAAAACTGTCAGATTACAGGGGTGCCAACTTGAATAAAATATTTGGGGACCTAGGTAAGCCCTTCCTCACATAATCACATGATGGGCACACCCACACTATTTGAAGGACAATGCCCATCAACTTTCTGTGGGGTGGTGCCCCCCGAAATATTCTCTTGGCGGGACCTCAGCCCCTAGGAGTTGGCAGGTAGCATCCCAAAACACTTTGCCCTCATCACCTCTCCGCACAACTTGCCAGCCAACGGACTGCCTCATCTGTCACAGCAGGGGCAATAACCATCCCACACTTGCCTTTAGGGCCTGCATCCCACCTAACCGAACACAGAATGGAGGTACCACTCGCTCCGACAGCATCCGATTCCTTGTCCTTCCTATTCTGAGGCCAGCTGAAGCCAGATCAGGTGTGGGAACGGGGTTCCTATCTAGCAACCCCTCTAGGAACAAAGTCACAGCACAGTTGGGAAAATTATAGCCTTTTTCGTACAGCACCTGGGATGGGCAACACCTATGCAAAGGGGAAACATAGCTCTTCGGAAACAAGCCCCACTTTGTAAATCGTTAGGAGAAAAGAATCAAAACTAAGGCCGCCTTAAATTCCCTTTTAAGGATTAATGGCGAGGTGGGTTCCCTCCACAATCCAGTGCGGGTTCAGGTTAAAGCTGAAGCGAGAGATGCCGCGCTTCTAAAACAGGGACGCCCTTTAATACAAAGAGCTCATCCGGGAAATTTGAAAAGCGGTTGCGTCGAAGTGGAAATGGAGCAGTTGACACCTCCCGCCCCACACGTTTCCACCATAAGCCCTGAGCCTCCGTGAGGCACTGTCGGCCCCGCCCCACCCATTCTCTCCCCCTCCCCGCCCCACCTATTCTCTGGTTGCCACGGTGACAGTGGCCCGGCCTACTGGGCAATAGGAGCAGGCACTACTAAGCGAACAAGAAGCGTCAGGAAGGATCTGCTCCTTGAGGCGGAGCCGTCTCTCTGAGAAAGGGGGTAGGGCGCAAGGAACCGTCGATCACCGGAGAAGCGACGTGCAATTGGTGAGAATCCTGGTCACGTGCTAGATGGGCAGGACATATATAAACTCGGGGTGTGTAGGCGCCTTCCGCCATTTTGTCCAGTGCGACGAAGTGGGAGAGGCGGCGGAATCGAGTCTTGGCGGGAAAACGGGCGACGCAGCGATCGAGCTCGGTGGCTGAGGGGCGAGAAGCGAGGGAGACTGCGGAGGCGACCGAAAAATAATAATCATAAAACCGTGTAGCGGTTACTCGCGAGAGTCGGTCACACTCCTGGCCCGGCAGCCGGTGAGGGAGGGGCTTGGTCGGGATGGAAGGCCTCGCGGTTGCGGCAGCGGACAAAGAGCCGCCGCCATTTTGTGTGGTTGAAATAACGTCAGGTCTCCCGCCGGGATGTTGGACCCGGGGAGGAGATGAAAGGGGAGGCGGACTGCCTGAGCCTGAGGGGCGGCGTGGTGGGTATTATATGCGCAAGCTCGAGTCGAACCGAGGGAGAATTGTGAGGGCCCGAGGCCGCCGCGATGGGCGGGAAACCGCTCAGTAGTAGGCGCGCCGGTTACCCAAGGCGTAAGAAGCCCTTTTCGTCTCCTCGTGAGCGAGCAGCCCGAGGCCCAGCTCAAATCACCACAGGCTGCCTTGATGGGGACCTGCTTTGGGGATCTAAACACAACATGCCCTTCCAAGACGAGTTGTCAACCCCTGGATGCCCTCAAATGGGGGAAATGATCGGCAACTCCTTTCTTATATCGAGGTCTCTTAATTTTGACTTCGCTTGTGTGTTTTAAGGGCCCGGAGTATGGGTCTTCAATATAAGATGATTAATACCTTGGAACAATGGATTATATTTCTAAAGTAGATAAGATGGACTTAAATGTATAAATAGTTATGCGTTGTAAGTCAAATCATCTGCACTGTATTTTCAAAATCATGAGCCTGTTTCAAATACCTTATAACCCAAAAGGTTCCCTAACTATTTAATAAATATGAACAGAAGGCAAACCAGTTTTTCCTTGCATGTCTTTCAGAGATGCATCGTGATTCGTGTCCACTGGACTGCAAGGTTTATGTAGGTAACCTTGGGAACAATGGCAACAAAACTGAATTGGAACGAGCTTTTGGCTACTATGGACCACTACGTAGTGTGTGGGTTGCTAGGAATCCCCCTGGTTTTGCTTTCGTTGAATTTGAGGACCCACGTGATGCTGCTGATGCAGTCAGAGAACTAGATGGGAGGTAAAAATTCACTTACATTTGGGTTGAGCTTATGTGTATACTCTGATCTATTAATGTAATATGCTGCTTTGATTGAAAAGAAAATTGGTCACAAATAGCCTGGCTTCTGTACTTGGAGATCCAAAAGAAATATAACTGATTTTCTGTGGGAGCTAGTGGGGCTGGGAAGTAATTCTTACTAACAGTCTGTTAAATTTGTGTGAAATGTAATCCTTTGCTTGTGTTAGAAGAGTTTATTTTGAGTACAGTTTAAACATGTTGCATATTATTCCTGAGTTTCTGGATTTTGCACAGCTATCAAGTTTTGGAAACACTGGTTGTGAGCTCTTGTGATTCTGAGTGCCCTGTTTCAAACATTTAATGTTTTTTTTTAAATGGAAATATGCTCAACATTGCAGGCTCTTAATGGCTCAGCCTGTAGCTGAATTTCACTCATGTTGATTTAAAAACATTTTTATTTTGACATCTATAATAAGCCTGAAGCTGAATATGTGTTCTATATGATCAAAACAATTTTAAGTGCTGGCTGCTTTTTAGGAGTGAAATACTGGTCCCCAGTCTAATTTTCAGTTAAACAAAACAAAATTAGACTGACTTGGTATGGTTTTGTGTTGAAGTTTAAATAACTAGGGAAATACAGGGGCACTAGTTGAAGTGTCTGGCTTAGTTTTATTAGGCTATTAGAACTAACAACTCTTCCCTTTTTCTCTTAGAACACTTTGTGGGTGTCGTGTCAGGGTTGAACTCTCCAATGGTGAGAAACGTAGTCGGAACCGTGGTCCACCTCCCTCATGGGGTAGACGTCCTCGAGATGACTATCGTAGGAGAAGTCCTCCACCTCGCCGCAGGTATTTAGGAGCAAAGAATTTGTATAGTAATGTTTGGCAGTATTACCATTTGGCATAATAGACTTTTTTTAAAAAAAAAATATGCTTGTCTATACCTACCCAGACACAGAATTTTAAAGCATTGAATATATGTTAGAGGGATACATTGTGTTGAACACTGACTTTTATCCTTAGGTGTCTATACCAGTTGATAGTGCCCTCTAACATGGATTATCATCTTTCCTTCTGAAGTCTGTTCATCTTCTAGTCACTTTCTTTTTCTTCCCAGTACTCCAACTTGGTTTTTTTTTGCTTTTCTTTACACCATTGTTGTAAACATTGCATACAACAGCTTGGCTTTTCCACCTACTTGAGATTTTTCCACTTTAGCACAATGATGCCAGGCAGGCAACTGTTTTAAAAATGCTGAAGCAATGAACAGTTGCTTAGCTAAATCTGACAATAGTAAATCTGTTGAAATAAGACCAACTTTTGAGTTATGCAGGAATAAATTTCAAAATAAAGCAGGTTTTTTTACAAGTAATGCATCCTCTGACCCTGACAGATTGGTTGGGTGTTTATTAGTCGTACTTAAGGTCTTTATTTCTGCAAGGGCTGATTTTAGCCTGTTTCAGGTAAATGAAGTCCATACAAGATAAGAGAGTGAAATCTGTTCCCTTTCACTGTAGAACACAATAGGAGTATTTGTTAGCTAATAGATGGTTGTACTGATGGCTTGTTTTTCATTTTTTTATGCTTTTTTTGGTCCATCTATTAATAAAAATGAACCCGTTACAGAGTCACCATCATGTCTCTTCTCACCACCCTCTGAGTCTGCATTAGCCAGTCAACTAGCCCTTTCAGCGTCATGTGACCAGCGCGCCCCATTCAGCTTGGCTGGTGTCGTTTCACATGACCCAGGCATGGCCAGTCGTCAGGTTGCACCGCCCTTTGGTTCCCGAGCATGCTGTTTTCTCTCAGCCTTCTCTCCAACCTTAACCAAATCGGCAGCAGCCACCTCGACCGCCCACACATTCCCGGCCAATCAGCTCAGCTGTTTATTTACCAAATGTCTTCACAACAACTGCAGCAGCAGCCTTCGGCTAACAAAAAAGCAGGAAAAATCCACAACACCCCCTTCGCCAACCAACTAAATACAACGCAACATCTGGCAAAACCTTTTCAGCAAATTCTTCTTGGCAGTCAGTCCGGCAGCCTCACCTCACCATTTCTAGCTTGTTGAAACCAAAAACTAGTAAGTTTTTCCTGCTTATACAGTTTACTGCTGGTAAAAATAAGGAGTAAGCGGCTTATAAGTAATTACTTTTTCTCAATCAAAGGCTGGCTGTGCATAATTTCGTGGTAACATACATATGTTGCTTGAACAAAACTTTTAAGGGTGTTAAGGAAACTTAATATAAGAAACTAAACTGCAGTATATTTGCATGCGAGATGGCAAACTACATTTAATTGCTAACTTAGTTCTTCCTTGCAAAAATCTGCCAACTCCTTTCACCTTTAAACTGTTTTACTAACAGTTTTCGGAACTTAAAACAATTACTTTGGGGTTAAACTGGGCAAACTAAGGTTCTTTAGACTAAACACACTATGACATTTTAAATTTTTACATTCACAAATATGCAGTTCTAATGGTGTTTAATGGCTTTGTCACGGTGTGCGTTAGTCTTTGACTTGGTACCTTGTGTCCTGTTGCGGACTTTTACCTTGCATGGGTTCCAAAATACTGGTTTATACCAATTTTGGGACTACTTGTGGGACATTAGTATAGTGTTCTAGGCAGTGGATTTAGTTGAGATGGAAGTGCTGCATTGGACAGGTTTGCTTATGACATGGTGTTAGTTAAAGCAAACTCATGGTTGGAAGCGTGCTGATCACACTTGAGTTTTTAATGCCTGAATCTTTCCATTTTGCTGGACGATGAGTGCCATGTTATTTGGCACATTCACTGGGCCCAACAGTGACTTGACAAGTTGGGAATTGCCTCGCCCCACTAATGTTGAATTGATGAAAATACTCACTTTTCTATTTTTGATTGTAGATCTCCACGAAGGAGAAGCTTCTCCCGTAGCCGCAGCAGGTAAACTATTGGTGCCGCATTTGGGTTGTCTAGATAATGGGTAGGCAAACTAAGACCCAGGGGCTGGATCTGGCCCAATCCCCTTCTAAATCCGGCCCACGGACGGTCCGGGAATCTGCATGTTTTTACATGAGTAGAATGTGTCCTTTTATTTAAAATGCACCTCTGGGTTATTTGTGGGGCATAGGAATTCGTTCATTTTTTATTTTTTTCAAAATACAGTCCACCCGTTCACCCCCCAAAGTCTGAGGGAAAGTGGACTGGCCCCCTGGTGAAAACGTTTGCTGACCCCTGGTCTAGATAGTGCTTATAGAATAAGGGACTCCCCACCCCCTTAAACAGATGGCACTGTGGTGCAGATGGCACAGGTGTGACATTTCATAGCCCAAAGGATAGTTGAATTATACACTTGAAGTGCCATAAATCTCTGACTCCTTTGAAAGTGTACTTGGCCAGCACAGTTGTCAGTATGCTGTGTAAAATACATGCCAAATGTGTTTATTAAAGTATAGTCTAATCTGAATTCAGCTTTAAACAATTTAAAAGTGTGTTTTTTTCTGCCATCAAATGCTGTGATAAACTAAAATACCTTTCGTTTTGAATCCAGTATCAATGATGAATTACATATTCTAAAATGTGCCTCGTAAATTAAGATTTTCAAGCATGTTTACAAGCACTGTACTAGTTAATGCATTGATAGCATGTGTTGCTCAAATAGAAAGTAAAACCTGTGCACATACATTAGTATGTTATAGCCATTAATTTGCAACGTATTTAAAAATATGAATTTAAGCTACAAGAGAAAGGTTATTCAAGGAGTGAGATTTGAGTATGCTGTTTTTCAAGAATTGCATGAAAAATATATTCTCTTGAAATCCTGATTATTCCTTTTATAGGTCCCTTTCTAGAGATAGAAGGAGAGAGAGATCACTGTCAAGGGAGAGAAATCATAAGCCTTCCCGTTCATTTTCCAGATCTCGTAGGTAAGAAAACTTCCATAACCTTAATGTCTGAATAGAGTTTAATTCTGTAGCATATTTACTAGAGAAATGTCATTTTCACTAGTGCACTAATTAAAAGCCTTATAATAGGTCAATTTGTCTAGTTGAAATTTCAGGTGTATGTTTAAATAACGATACTGAACTACTTCCATTGTTTGACTGAGAATCTCAATGTATATTCTATCTAGCCGTTCCAGGTCAAATGACAGGAAATAGAACTTCAGGAACAGCAGTGTACAGGAAGTCATATTAGATCTGAAGAAAGGAGTATGTGAAAGGAGTATGTACAGAACATTGTTTTCTTTTAAGACTTCATAAGCTTGGTGCATTTTTAAAATGTTTTAGCTGTCAAATTTTGTTTTTCTTGTCTCTTGTAACAGGTGACAAATGTAACAGTTGTGAATCTGTATATGGTTCTGAGCAGGTCATATGAAGTGTAATAACTTGTTGCTTTACAGTGTACCCTTAAGCATAACTTTGATTTGCATTAATGTTTAGCTAATAACCTTGCATAGACTTACCAAATAAAACCTCAAAAGCCATGCAAGTGGCAAATGTTCTTCATATAAATATTGTGTTCTGGAATCTCTGCAGGATCTAAACTTGAAAGGAAGTACACAACACACATGACCTTTTAATTCTGAGCATTTGCTACAATCACAAATGGGCAATCTATGCAGGGTGAGAGCAGGGTTAATGGACAGGATAAAACCAATAGTAAGCAAAAGAGTTATGAAAGCCTTGTGGGAGCTATATGTTTTTGATACTGTTTTACAAGTTCTGATTTATACCAGTTTAGTCAGAACTACCTTCTACCATGTAAAAGCGTAGATTAAGTTTTGTATCTTTGTGTGGATCAGTACTTACTGCTGAAATGTGAACTGCCTAATCTGTTCATTATAGAGCAGACCAAAAGAACAGATGATTAGCTTAAAGGATTTGGGTGCATAAGGGTACATTGTAGATGCGAAATTTTCTTATTGTGCATAAGTTGTCATGTCACTGTAAACTCTTTGAGATCTTTGGATTAAAATTTTGGTTACAAATCGTTCTAAGTATTTAACTTTCGTATTTTGACAAACTTTCGTGCAAATATAACATTCAGATGGACTTGTGTACAGTTTAATTCAAATCTGTTATTGTGAACAATTTGAAGCCATAATCAAACTTCACTGTGTTAATGTTTGGATAAAGAGCTATTCAGAGAACGTTCATATGTAAGTAACAGACCACACATAGTTCCTTTTAAAATACCTCTTCAAATACCTAGAGGCAATTGCCTCAGTCGTCATCTATGGTAATACATGGTTACTTACTACAACACATTCACAACAAGTTACAATAATGATTGGCTTAGCATGCTGCACTCCAATGAGCATTCATTTTAGTAATGAAGCACTCAAACTTGTATACCAAAAGTGAACTTGCTATGCAGGGATTCAAGTTAAGCATAAAAATTAAGCTTTGTAATGCCGACAAAGCTTTAAATGCTCTGCATTAAAACAAATGTTGCATGCAACGTTTATCCATTGGTCTTGTGCCCAGAAAATAATTGGTCTTGTGAATTTTAGATTAAATCCATACTACTTGAAAACATTTGGTTTAATTTCATTATCTAGCCTTTTAAGGAAAATGACATGGTCATCCAAAGATTGTTAATGTTTAATATTCTATCTTAAACGGCTTCAAAAAGGGGAAATGCATGCTTCATTAAAGACTTGTCTTGCAGAGTTCCATTGTGCCTTGTCAGCCTATGTGGATAAAGCATTTGTAAAAAAACAAAAAAAACTCACAGCAGAATGAGCTGTTGAAGTAGGTGTCTTTTTGGGGAGACAGGCTTGGAGGGGGCAATTGCGAACTAAACCCTATGAAAACAACACTCAAGAGTGACATGAGTCACTTTTATGTACTACCTTGAACCTTTGCACATGGGTCATATCACATGTAACCCAGGTATCAGAAGCCTTGCTGAAAAATGTGAAGGAAGGGATATAGTTAAAGCATGTCAAATTGCAGAGTTAGAAGTGCCTGCACTATGCCATGTAGTAAACATCCAGCTCAGTAGTTTTAGTGTGTAAGCTCCCTGTACCATAGAGGTTCTGAAACTTGTGTGAGGAGCATGAGGGACTGCAGAGTATCAGCCCTAAAGAGTTGCACATTAAATCCTCCTGGTAAATTTATTGGTTAAAAAATGTTTACCTCTGGTGGCTTCCTGGTCCCCTTTTTATTCTTCGTGCAGTACAAATGTTTCCTTTGCCTGGCAAGCTTGCATCTGGGTCTGGTGATGCTCATCTGTACCTGTGATGGATGTGAATTGTGCATTCCCACTCCCAGTGCCTAAAACAACTGGTGTAAGCATACAAAGGAGGAAGAAGTCACATTCTCAAATTGGTATTGAAATTTAAGGGAGTTTTGGGTATAATGAGAGGTGCACATGTACTCTTCAATGTAGCTGTCAACATCTCATTGTCAAGGCAATTTAAGTCCACAGAGAAGTGCATCGTTCTTCACAAAATGGCAATAGTATACAAACAGCTTATTCTACTTTTAGAAGAAATTGTACCATCAAGTGATGTTTGCTTTCTCTTGCCCTAGGCACGTGGCAGCAGTTGGTTTCTTTGGATATGCATCATAAAGTTGTAATAAGCTAAAATTGCTATTGTGGGCTCCTACTGAGTAGCTAGGAGATACTCTCTGGCTGAAAAATGGTTACTTGACTGCCTACAGCAGTAATCTTTGCTAGTAGAACATGCAAAGTAATTGTAATGACAAGCCTTTGTGCTATATAGCTGTAGGTGTGCCCTGACACTATAACCCAAAGAATGTTGCCAAAGAAGAATTCCTGAAGTGGTAACCTATCCATACCTTTTGGCTTGCCTTACTCTTACATATGTGGAGGAGACAACGATGTTAACTTCATAACCATGTGATTTATTACAAGCAGTGTGCTTAAAACAAAACCCAGTATAAAAAGCTCTTAACTGGTGATTAGGTACATAGGCTGGAACCTTAAATCTCCTTTTAGGTGTAAGGTGAGGTGGAATACATTTAGTGGGACTAAATTTTTTGAAAATTAAATTGCTTGCTATATTGGACATCTGAAAATGGTGAGTTTTGATACTGAATTAATACTGTGAGTAGGAAGCTAATGACACGGCTTTTTAGGTTATTATATAAAAACCTTAGCTGTGATTGCAAAGTAATGTATGCATATTTTAACAATTGACAGACGTGTAGGCACAACTTGAATATTGCTATCTGAAGTTCTAGTTTCAGGTTGAATTGGTTATTGAATTCATCCACAAATGCACTAAAACCTTTAACCAGTAAGGGGACCAATTTCTGGTCATCTTGACAGAATGCAGGCATAATCTGCATAATTAGGTTGCCCGTTTCTCTTGACATTGGTCACATTACATTTTCTTTGTAGATAGGTTTCCAGAACAGTTAATTGTTTTTGTTAGAGGGAACAAGGTAGTAAAGTTTAAATGGCAAAATCTGAGAAGTTCACTAATTCAGAGAAATGTCCTTGGTGTGTGAATATGGAGGCTTGTATCCAGTGCAGAACTAGGGATATACACTTGAGCAATGGAACTCTTCCCCCACCAGTACCCCATGAGTCTGTACTGAGGTTCTTCCAACACCGGGGGTGTGTGTGTGGATTTGGGGAGGATATGTGGTTGCAGGTAAAGAGTCATGTTACACAAGCAGGAACCTATAAGTTGTCTGGACACTCACTAGAGCTTCCAGTGCTATTTTCCTTGGTTCCCTTCATGCTTGAATAATCATTGATTCAGTACAATCAAGAGCAAGAAGACCATAAACCATGTGACTGGATGAATATTGACTGAACGAACGACCATCTGCACTTTACTGCATCTGTACTGCACTTTACAACGCTGAAGCCTCCAATGGCGGTTGAGATTCTGGTGGCAAACATTCCAAATGATCACAGAACAAAGTGTCAACAATATCACAGTTTTTGTGAGAATGGGATTAAAATGTCATCCTGGGGGAAGGAAGAATCAGGGCTGGAAAGCTGACTGGGAAGGAGATACTAGTAGGTTGCAAATCTTTGAAAATAAATCCTAGAGGGCAGTGTAAGTAGATTCAGGAATTTGTGTGAAGGGCAGATAGGCCTTGAGAAAAAGGCTTTTGAGTTTCCAAGACTAGTCCCTAAGAAATTCCTGGAACTTGCATGGAACAATTCTGCTTCCTGTGGCTTCTACGATAAACTGCAGTGGGATTACATTCTTTTATATGCTACATGCTAATGTAGTCAACTAATTCTTTGTGGCCTTCTAGTATCAATCAATCAGTACCATAACACTAATATATTTGCATGTACACACTTTGAATACCATACTCTTTAATCAGATTGCCAGGAAAGACACATTATAAGCACACGTGAACTACCTGCAATATTAAAATCTCTTCAATAAAAGCATGACTTAATGTATTTGTTTTCAGTGTTAATATTTTGGTAATAAAAAGATACAGTATAAGCTTGTTTATAGTTGTGTGGGATACGCTTGCCATTGGATATGGGAAACCTATGTAAGTGTCCCTTGCCTTCTGCCAAGAAGAATCCCAAGAAATTTTGGAGTTGCTTGCATGTGCTTGTGGTTTGAATATGAAAAAACAGGCATTTCTTCTGGCTTATCCATGTCTCCAGCACTAGTGAAACAAGATAACAACTCCTTTTCCTCTAGAATAGATACTTTGTAGGAATCAAGGAAAAATTGAGATTTGGCTAGCAAGCCAAAGTGATAATTTGTGGAACCCAGTCAGCTCATATGTAGGGGTGGAGTGGCACAGTGGATTTTACCGACAGCATGGAAAGCAGTCTCCTGTTACAAACAGGATACTCTTTCCATGCTGAATTCAGTCTGCAGTGGACAGTTGTTAGCAGGATACTTCTTTTTTAAAAACTTGTTGTACTTTAGTGCTGAATAGAGAAGGAATACTCCCAAGATTGAATGAATGGATTTATTATGGTCACAGACCAGAAATCTCCCAAGATTAAGCCCCTTGTGACAAGAAAAAATGATTCATCTATGTCAGAGGTGAGTCAAATATGTTGAGAAACCTCTTTTAAGGCCATCTAGTGATGTCCTTTAAGAATTTTTATCTCCTTATCCAGGCACTGCTGGAGGCACTAGGCAAATGAAATTGCATGGCTGCCTAGTTACTGCAACTTTGCTGTTGGGACTAAACTCTTCCTGTAATGCAATATATAGTAGCTGCCACCATCTTAGATACTGTAATAGATAATTGTTAGGAGTAGTTGCTTGAGGCATCCAGTTGTAATGCTAACAGCTGCTAGTTTTCACTAACCTCAAATATTAACACATTCTTCATAATTTTGACAAAAGAACTCTGGTGGTGTTGCTACTCCAAAATCAGTTGGGCTTAAACACTTCCCGCACATGTTCTAGCAAGGTAATGGTCATATTTGTGACTGCAAAAGAAAGTGATAGAGTCCTAGTGCTTGGCATTCTGAACTGGAGCACCTGGCTGTCACTGGAGATGGGAGAAGCCGTCTGAGGACCAAATTGGAAATGATGCTCCACCCACATCTTCACAGCTCCCTGTTGAGTTATTTAAGAAACGTATATCCTGATTTTCACTTACTTCAAAGCAGCTAGGAGCGCTCCTAGAAGCATGAAAACTGCAGTCGCTGACTTAAGACAAAATCTTGGTGAGCACCTTGTTTCATTTAAATAGGGTATATGGGATATGGTTAGTTGCAAGTTAAATTTTGGTTTAATTCATTAGGATTAATTACCTTCAAAAGGCATCAAGTCTGTGTGCTCTATTCATACTACCTGCTCCTTCAAAGCCTTAACGTGGCATGAAATCATGGGAGGGAGGCTGACATACCTGTTTATATTTGGTGGGGGTGGGATGCAAGATTATGAACTTGAATGGCAGTTCGACATTGAACTTGAATGGCAGTTCTACCTAGCACATAGCATTGGTGCAGGGCTTTGTGGCAAATTAAAATGGCAGTGAAGATTTTTTTTAAATTACTGTGGGGATTTACAATGATGATTGGCTCCCAGAAACAGCTGCCTGGAATAGTGCCTGCTTCAGGCATGCATCAATACAGTAGTGGACCCTATTGGGTCCCTCGTAGGTACTGAAGGATGTTGTGTGTCTCGGACAGACATGCAGTTACAGCTCACTTGCTTACAGATCTATTAATGTGCCACAGTTCCTAATTTAGAAACGAAATTTCCTTTCTGCCACCTGGGGAGTCTGGGTGCATCATAGAAAGCAGACCACATAGTTTTTCCATTAACTTCAGACTAAAGACAATTTAAAACAGTCAGCTGCATTCTTACATATATATAAGCTTGGCTGTTGACACAGCCTTAGGCATAACATGATCCTGGAAGTTAGAGTAACAGAGAAGGAAAATTGCAGGCTTGTTCTGGTCACGTAAGACACATCTGTGGTAGTTTCTTCGTGTTTGTGGTGATCAGCAAACAACAGCTGGGATTAAACGCCTCTATGTAACCTGGTCTCCTAGGAACAGCTGCAACTAACCAATGCAGACACATATTTATAAAATAAATATACCTCTGATAGGTAGTCATGTTGGTCCGTTTATGGAAAATGTCCAGCATCCCCTAGGCGTAGTCAGCTGCAGTACTCCAGCCTGCTAATTTCAACACCTCTAAATTCTTCATTCTTAAGTGAGAGAGGAATTCCCAAGAACTAGGTGTTATTTTCCCTTTAGAGATAGTGCAATTACCTGTTAAATCCCCAATTATCACTGGGCAAATTCAGTCTGTTTTACCGGTTTCCTGCACTTAGTTAAAGCATGTAGTGCAAAGAGGTATAGCACACATGGGATAATTCCTTGGAATATACATTCCGTTTTTAAAAAAGCAAACTGAAGAATTTGGGTAAAGGTAAAGGGACCCCTGACCATTAGGTCCAGTCATGACCAATTCTGGGGTTGTGGTGCTCATCTCACTTTACTGGCCGAGGGAGTCGGTGTACAGCTTCCGGGTCATGTGGCCAGCATGACTAAGCCGCTTCTGGTGAACCAGAGCAGCGCATGGAAATGCCGTTTACCTTCCCGCCAGAGCGGTACCTATTTATCTACTTGTACTTTGACGTGCTTTCGAACTGCTAGGTGGGCAGGAGCTGGGACAGAGCAACGAGAGCTCACCCCGTCGCGGGGATTCAAACTACCAATCTTCTGATCGGCAAGCCCTAGGCTCTGTGGTTTAAGCCACAGCGCTACCCGTGTTATTTAAAAAACCAAAACACATTGCTCCCTAAGTAGCCGGCTCTAGACAGAAACTCTTAAAGGGGAAGGATCACCCATGATATTCAATAGCAGATACCTGAATAGACAGAAAGCATGACATCATCTCAATTTTTATCCAAATACTCAGAGGAGGGGCAAGAGTATCTTTTAATTTGATGTACCCATTGTAGGTATGATGAGCCATCTTTGAACGCTTTGGGGCATGGCGTTCCACATGGGCAGGGAACCTTGGGCCCTCCAGATGTTGAACTGTATCTCCCATCATCATGTTCGCTGGGACTGGTGGAAGCTGGAGTCTGGCAAAATCTGGAGAGAGACAGGTTCCCCACCAAGGAAGCTGAGCCATTAATACTTTGCAACAACCCAAGAAGGTACAAAAATAAGAGGTGTGAACTAGGAGAGATTTCTTATTTACATTTGGTACACCCATCAAAGGGGGAAATTCCGTCCTGTGTATTTGAGAGGTGCTTGAAACATCACAGAACAGCTGTTCTGGATTGGTTAAACTAGGTCAGTGGTCCAGAGATAGAGGGATTTTTTCTTTAAAGAAAGAGACGTGGCTTTTTCCTTGAGCCATTTTCCTCACTGAGCAAGCTTTCAAGTTCTCCAGTGTGGATGGAAAAAGGAGAGAATGGGGAAGATTAGTCCTTGCAGCGACACGTTTTGTACCCTGAGCAATTTAATTAAGTGTGCATAACCCCTCCTGCACTCCCAACTTCAGACTTACAAACTGCAGAATGAGATTTTTCTATCCTAACTTTAGTGTCTTTCCTTTTGGAACTTTATATTGGAAGGCCTTAATCTAGGGTTACCAGATGTTCCTGGGGACAGTCCTCGGATTTGCAAATCTGTCCCTGGACAAATTCTGTCCCCTCAGCAGCCCGGAGCCAGCCTGGTAGTGCAGTTGGCTCTGGCTGGCTTCAGGAGCTGCTCGCTGCTGCCGCCACTGCTGAAAGGGAACCAGGGATGTCTGGTAGTACACATCTCCTGCCCCCTTTGTTTTGACAGATCGGGGGAGGCTTGGGAGTCATGGGCGGCCGGCCGTTGCCCAGTTTCTTAAAAACTCTGCACATTTATGTTTTACAGGGTGCGAAAGAAAGGCTTTGCACCTTTATACAATATGCATGTATGCTTGGGCCCAGGGTCTTTGGCCACACCACCCCCACTACTGACTCCCTGTTGATACTCAGTTTAAAAAAAAAAAAAAGTGTCCCCGGATTCATTGAAAAGAATCTGGTAACCATACCTTAATCTGTTCCTTTTCTCTGACTTTGGAAGCCAAGCAGAGGGATGGCGTGGTTGGCAACTTACTATGCATATGACTGTGCAACAAATAGATGTTTGAGTTTTTGTGAGTTGCTGTTTGCCTTGGCAAGATGATTATTTTTCTTCCCTCTGTCCCTCTCTCTTCTGTCCTCTTTGGCTGAGCCCCTTGCTATCAGCAAGACATGGAGCTCAGTTAGTAGATCACGTTTGTATGGCAGGAGGCAGCCCAGCACATATCCTGATCATAAGCTGTTCAGGGCTCTGTAGATCTATGTTTCCCAAACTTTTTCCGACCATGGCCCCTTTCCGACCCTGTGCCTCCCCAATGGGCGTAGGCAAGGGGGGCAGCTCCCTCCAATAAGAAAACATCAATACAAATCTAAAGTTCTGCCCCCCCAACAAAAATCCTGGCTACGCCCACCCCACCCCCCATCCTACCGGTAGAAAGGTGGCTATTTAAATATTTTGTTTGTAAATAGAGCATGCTTTCTTTATATATTTTTTATAATTTATACAAAATACAATTTTATACAAAATACAATTACGTGAAATGACAGGAACATAATGAAATAAGCATAAAAACATAGAATCATGGAGCTGGAAGGGACCCCAAGGGTCAGCAAAGTAGGAAACTCAGCTAAAATTTACATGACAGACCAACCTCTGCTCAGAAACCTCAAGGAAGGAGAGTCCAGAACCTCCCGAGGAAGATCCATCTTCCATGTATTATAAAAAAAGAAAGAACACTTATTTGACCCCAGTTATTTGACACAGAGGGGGAAACCTATAGATACAGTCCAAAAGGTGCACAGGGAGTTCTGTATATATGGGAGAATTTTAAAAAGCAAGTGGTCT